GCAGCAGACTACTACCGAGTATTTTGTACGTCTCGCTAGTGGATGACTTCAACCCCCCTCGCAACAACATGGCGCAGCCAATCGTGTGCGATACCAATATTTGCACAAGCATGGATTCGTAGATCAGGAACACCTCTTCTTGTTTCGTTATCCGCGTGGCGGTGTCTGTGTGTTCTGAACCGAGAAACAATAGCATCGCCCAAAGACAATGGCGTTCTGGAAAATCTCTGCCCATAATCTGCACCCACGAAGATACAGTAGCATCAAGAACAGCAGTCAGCTGAGCCAGAGTGGAAATTGGTCGATCCCATCCCAGAGCTCCGTCGGCGGATCTCAGTGAGGCTTGGTGTGCGGCAGCGGCAGCGCGCTGTGCGTGTGCGTGTACGAGTCGAAACTGGAGCTGGGGCCTTTTTGCTGATTAGTACTCCGTACTCCTTCGTGCTGGTACTGCCGTCGCTTGCCACGAACCAGCCAAGGGCCGTATGTACGGTTCGTACGGCAAGGATGATGGCCAGCGGTGGTAGTACTAGCAGTTGGTGGTACTAGCAGTTGGTGACTGTGCTTTAAACGGTCACTGTCTAATGTCCAATTAGACCGTCGAACTCGAGAGGGGATCTCACGGTCGAACAAGTCATTGGCTAATGGCTCCCGTTTGGCTGATGATGGATTCAATGGAGAAAATGATGGCCGTTGTCCGTGCTGGCAGAAGCAGGCGACCTGGCGCCATGAACATGAACCGAGTAGTTACTACTCCGTACAGTCTTGGACTAGTGCAGAGTCCCGTGATTTAGCGCTCGCTGCAGGCTGCAGTGGTCCGGGCCCACCTGCCACCAGTTGACCTTTGCGGCAGGTGGGCGGTGGATGGCGGGAGCCATTGGGAAGGCACGACAGCCGTAAACCCAGACCGCTTCTCCCAATCTCGACATCCCGTGCGCTCTCCGTCCTGTCAAACGAGTCTTGTGTCAAATCCTCATTTCTATCCAGTCTCAGCCCGTTTCCACCAGGGAAGGGGCCGCTGGCCAACTTGAAGCACACTCGACGCCGCTCTGTACATACTGTGCGTACCGAGAACAGACCTCGACGATTGATTCGTGAAGCGAGAGGACGCTCGAGTACAGAATACATCGTACGTGCATACCTGCGGCACCCTACAACATTCGCACCACATGGTGCGCCCAACACGCACGACTCATTGCAGCCAATAATACGTGTGTCGGATAACAGATTAGAGAGAAATACGGAGTACATGCTGGCAGTGTCAGGCAAGCAAGCAAGGTGTCCTCTGCCCGCTGCTGGGGCTCGGTACGTCGACCCAGTTGCCATTTCCACATCGCCTGCCGAATACTCCGCATGTGGCTGGAAGCGAGGGGACACGAGTGCAATCCCAAAGCTGCTTATTGCAGTGTGTGAGATGCAGGGTTTTGGTACTTTACCGCGCTCATCGAGCGAGGCTTCTTCCGCCGTACCAACGACTGAACTGTTACTCTGACAGTTCCATCATGAAACACGTCTCCCCGGGTCGACGGCCAGCAGCCCCTAAGATTAAGTGTACAATGTCGGTGCCGGCCTTCCCGTATTCCTTACAGTACTGAGCAAGGCACAGACATGTTGTCCTCGGCACGATCAAAGGTAAAGCAGAAAAAAATGACCAGTATTACCAGCCATTTATGCCGGAGGGGAATGGAAGAAAGCAGGCACGAGCTCCTGGCATTTGGTTTCCATTGCCATCCACGCCAGGGCCATCTTGATGGATGACGGGTTAACATCGCCGTGCTCTTTGATGTAGCAGACGACAGGACTGCGAGGTGACCACGATGTGGCATCCGTACCTGTATGGCGGCCCCCTTCAGCTGGACGACAGAAAAAATGCAATTTTCTCGACGGGTGACTTTGTGGCACATAATTATTGGTGGGGCCGGGGGGCAGACGCCTCTGTCACAGATGATAATGCACTCCGTCCGACCTTTGCAGCCCCATGCTGCTCAGTGAATGATCAACGCAACCGCCTCACTGTCCGGCAGCGACGGGGAAAAGAGTCCCCACCATTATGAATTCTGCCTTATTCGACCTCGTTCTACTGGCTGGTGGCGGCGGCAACTTGAGCGAGGCTGCTTGCAGCCATCGAGCCACTAGTGACGAAGAGGGTTGTGTCGAGCTTCCCGGGATCCGGTTCCAGTCTCCCAATCAAACCATGTATCATGATGCAAGTCTCTCTTTTGAGCCCGTGTCCGTGCATCGCACATGCCGGGGCCCTACTGTTGGAGAGCGCAGGTGATACTCCGTACTCCGTACGTATGCGCAAATTTGAAGCTCTCGACGGGAGTATATTATTACTCCGCAACTGCGCACCCTGTACTCCGTAATGACAGAAACCCAGGAAGCCACCAAGCCCTGTGGTCGGCATCTGAGGCTGGAGATGGTGATGGGCAAGATCTTGATGTTGATCGATACGCTAGTACTGGACATGTTCTAATCAGTTACAGGCCCGCGGCTGATCGTCTGTACGTCCATGGTGGCGAGCCTGGCATTCAACGTACAATAAACTAGAAGCTCATCTCTGCGCATTGCGTTGCACACACGCTGTATGCGTTCTTACGATTCTTGCATTGTGGGACCAGCCACTTGGATGCATCAAACGTGGCGATCTCTCCAGTGCTGTCAGTACTCCGTACAGAGTACTAGTCACAATGTGCACACAGACAGGCATGCATAAGCTATCGAGGCATCATCCATTCGCCATGGTTCTGTCGGCCGAAACAAGGCAGCAAACTGTCAAGGCAAACGAGGCATGTCTACGGAGTATACTGGAGTGAATGCGGCATTGTACAAAGTACGACGACACAACAGTCCCTTCTCTATCAGTCCTTTGAGCATCCATCTGGACAGCAGGGCCGTGTCCAGGATTGCGATGCTCAAGAGTTGACGTAGACGGAGCGGCTTCACGGAGCAAAGCCGAGTGGTGTCTCCAGTCGCCGGTCTAAAAGGCAAAGATGATCAAGTAGGATGTTCTCCGTACATAGGTGAGGAGCACGGAGTACTGCCAAAAGATGCTCTGATCCCCTGCATTCCGGCGCACCCCAACACTAGGCTCAGTACGGAGTACATGGATGGTTCACCAGGAAAGGACAACTCCACAGGGCTGTCGAGTGAGAATTTTCATTATCATCTGGCCAAGCTGGCCCTGTTTGACCCGGCAAGGTTTTCTCTTCATACCAGACATTATGGATGCGGACCCAGTTGCCCGTGCTGGCCACCACAGCATGTATTACTGAGTGATGCAAAATCTTGTTTGTTGTATCGGAGAATCCTGCTGTGTCTCAATCAGAAGTGTCCACACGTATCATTGGACTTCCTGCTCTGCCTTCTACTGCCATGACAGAATGCGCCTGCGGAGTAAGGAACAAGTACGGAGTACTACTCCGTACAAGAACAACAACTAGTACTACGTACCGCTGCTCCGTCTACCAACTACTACTAGTTTGACCCAGGTAGCGCTGGCAGCCTAACTTGCGCAAATGGGTCTAGATCAAGCACACATGGATCAAGAACATTTCTCGAAGCAGTATGGGCCGTCACGGGGCCTCGTCGATGGCTCTCAAAGGGGACGTGCTTGGTCCACCAAGTGAGAGGGCTCCCGTGCAAGGTTGAAGAACAGTCAGTCACACACAACGGGAATGGGGACATTGAACGACATGGCCAGAAGAAGGCACGGGGGCAAGCGTCCGGGGTGGTGTAGGATGCTGGAGGGCCGAGGCGGTGCCTCTCAGCGGCTCAGTCTCCCTCCTGCCATTACGTTTCGCCCGATGGTCCTGGTCCTTGGACCTTGGATCATGGCGCCGGGTGATGAAGCAGGCAGGGGTGCTGGAATTGCCTCCCGCCAGGACTGGCTGGGCTCTGGCACTCTGGACACCTTGCAATCCGACTCTGGTCTGTTTCTGAACATCCTTTGGCCTTTTGACTACCTACCTGGTGGCGTGGGTCCATGTCTGGCATTGCCATTGCTACTGTACGGAGCACACACGGAGTAGTCCAGAAGGCAAAATGGGTTGGGCGGTGACCCATGACACAACCACAACCACGACGGAACCACTTTATTTTGGTGTGTCAGACTATTCTCGCCTCTCGTATATTGCTCAGCGTCACCACACGATACAGGATCCCTGCTCTCTTGCCTTTCGCTAGCCTCGGACCCTCACACCCCCTTTGGCCGAACCTTACGGCGCGGTTAAGAATAGCTGCTGCAGTAGCGCTCTGCTGATGGTCTCCCCACCCCTGCCGGCTAAGACAAGATAAACGGAGCACCATGTCATTAATCTTCCCACCCAGGCCAGGTTGCTCTGTGATGAGGCTTGTGGGCCCACCGTGGCCTGGCGCCGTGGATGTTGTGGATGCTCCACGCAATCGCTACGTATCCTTGTCCGCCCCAGGGTTGTTGAAAGAGCGTGAGCGCCGTGGAGCCCTGGATGGGATGGCGAGCTTGCCAGGTGTGGTAATGAGTGGTCCGCCTTCCATCGTTATCTACCTGTTGATGCCCGCCCTAGCCTCGTGCATACACCACTTACAAGATCAACAACCTACTTCACGACTCTCCTTCAACCTCCTCATACCAGCCGTCTTGCTACTGGATTGTTCGTTCCCCAAGGCCACCTCCCACGTCGATGCTCTCCTTTAGTCAGGGAGACCAATTCTACCATCTTCTCGGGTCATCCGCGTTTCCCGTCGCCTGAATTGAACAACATCTTGACCCGTTGATTCGGTTGTCGAGTTGACTTGTTACCGAGGCCCGGGGCATTTTTTTTCTATGCACGAAACCACGCCGAGACAAAGCCGGACATTCTCTACGACCACGCTGTAAATACCCTCGTCTGGGCATAGGAATTTTCTATTCTCCATTTGATCCATCAGGTTGGGCTGGCTGGATTTTATTTTTTCTTTGCGGTTTTCAAACTGGACAACTTTTTGATATCAAAGGCGCGTCCTAGCTTCTTTGACCACATAACATGCAGCACCATGCGCCATACGGATATCCCACACCTCCAGCGTCCCCGGCCTACGATGATATCAAGTGTGGCAACAGCCACCAGACCTTCTCGCCGACAAGTCTCCCGTCGAGATGCATCCCGCTTGCTCCAGAGCAGAGACTAGGCAGATTCCTCGAGGGGAAGCTGCAACTGACCGAGGTTCTTGGAACCGGAGCCTACGGTGTAGTGTACTCTGCCACCGACATCAAGACGGGCATCCGTTACGCAGTCAAGTGTCTGAGCAAGTATAATGCCGACGGTAGTCCTTTGGAACGTCGACAGGTTGCCTACCAGCAACGAGAAATCAGGCTCCATTACCTAGCTTCAGCACATCCAAACATCGTGTCGATGCTCAAGATTGTGGATGATCCCGATTGCATCTACGTCATTTTGGAATACTGCCCTGAGGGTGATTTGTTCCTCAACATCACCGAGCTTGGCCAGTATGTGGGCAAGGACCAGCTCTCCAAGAAGGTTTTCCTCCAAATCGTGGATGCCGTTGAGCACTGTCATGAGTTGGGTATCTTCCACAGAGACCTCAAGCCCGAGAACATTCTGGTTACAGACAATGGCAACACTGTCAAATTGGCCGACTTTGGCCTTGCCACTGCGGATGATTGCTCCGAGGACTATGGATGTGGATCGACGTTTTACATGAGCCCTGGTATGTTTGCCGCACCCCGCAACACTCGTCAGCGCGACCGCCCAAGGACTTTGCTGACCGTTCTCTTAGAATGCCTCAATCCATCAAGTCGAAAGCGTTACTACTTGTGCGCTCCCAACGACGTCTGGTCGTTGGGGGTCATCCTGGTAAATTTGACTTGTGGGCGCAACCCATGGAAACAGGCTTCCTGCCAGGACTCCACATATCGGGCCTACACGCGATCCAAGGATTTTCTCAAGACAATTCTTCCCCTGACTGACGACTTGAACGACATCCTGGGTAGAATTTTCAACCCCACCCCGGAGCTGAGAATCACTTTGGCTGAGCTGCGATCCCGCATCATGGCCTGCCCGCAGTTCACTGTGCCAGCTGCCCAACCTACACCTGTTCAGCAGCAACCAGTCTCGCCGCCCATTCCCGAATACGTTGCCGACGAGGATGCCGTTGTCGATGACTATGAATACGACTCTCCTCTGTCGCCTGCCAGCACCACATCTGACGAGGGATCCCTCACCTCCAGCGGATCCACCATTGATGACTTGGATGACGAGGACTTCGCCCAGGACCAACAGGACGTCCCTGTCGCCTTTACTCCAGCGACCTTTGAGCCAGAGGATAGCGGAGACCTAGGGATGTACCAAGGACAAGGCATCCCACCGGCGTTTCACGACCAAGTGGCAGTGCCTATTCCTATACCGCTTCCCCCTCAACCGGTGGCTTGCCAGCCAACACCACTGCCTGTTCCGGCCCCGGTACCTGTGCAAGCCCCTTGTCAGGCAAAATCCTTCTTCCCGTTGTGGGAAGTGGTCAGATACGTTCAACAGGTTCCCATGATGCAACATCACCCAGTTGCGTTCCAGCAGGTCCCTTTTATCCCATCCTTCCAAGGGTGCTATTAAGCATCAACCACGTTCATCTGATACCCGAACCAGCTCTTCCTACACACGGAGTTGTACACGCATAATCCACATGAGATGACGGAAGGCAACCAATCCAAAAAAGTTTTCAACGACTATTTATTTTTCTTTCAACAGGAATCATCAGATTAGCAAAACCGTTGGCGTCACACCGTTTGCCACTGGATCTTCTGTATCTACCTGGGTTTCAACCTCGCGATTTTTCTGCCTCTTGGTCTTTTTTTTTATTTAACCAGCGTGGAGTTTAAACTGATGCCAAGGACGGCGAGGTATCTGCAATTTGAAATTTCTCTACATCTCAACTCTTGATTGATGCAAAATAACCTTGCGGGGTTGTTTTTTTTTGTTTAAAAAAGCTCGCCCCTTTTTTGTTCTGTTGTAGCATGTTGACAAAGCGATTTTTTTTTCACACATTCGAATGAGAAAAGAGACGTCGGCGGGAATTTTTACGACGGGAACATATTTTAATGACAGCCGGTTGACTGCGGAGAGGTCTACGGCATGGCGGAAACATTCACTTTTTGACAAGGGGATCCGAGAAGGCCCTGTCTATATTTTTACTTTTGGTCATTATTCTGGGTTGGCTACTCGATATGACGGGGGAACTGGCACTGGACTTTTTGGACAAGTTTTATAAAAACGGGAGGAGTTACTTTGTGGCGGAAATTATAGAGACGGGGATGGGCTCCGAAGCCCGCTGCACGCGTGGCGCCTCAGATGAAAGGCGGTAGCAGCATAGCCATTGCCAGGGAGAGCCGATGGGTGCTTTTCTCTCGATGGAAGAAACTAGCGCGTCCAGGAGACGAAAGAATAAAGAACACATGCTCTGCTTCAACTGCAACTTTGGGCGGTACGTAAATGGCGTGAATGTTTGGGAGATGGGACCGTCCGCCCGAGGTTTGCGACTATAGTATAGTGTAGATGGAGCGAGGAAAGCACGTTTCTCTGCGAGCAAGCCGCCGTCCTAGTGCCAAGTGCCAAGTGCGCCAAACTAACTACTAGTAGTTTCTGCTGGCCAATGCAACGGGGGAGGGAGACCTCAGCAAGCCCGCACAGGGAGACGGGGTCTGACGAGGCTTCCCGCGTGTTCCGGCACATGTTGACGAGGGACAGATTACCAAAAGGGGCATGGCTGGTGGGTGACGGGGCGGGAAGCTACTCCGTCGCCCTCGGCATAAATGGAAGGCGGCCGGAAGAGTCGGAGCTCCACCGGATGGCATGGCAGGGCTCTTGGCGGCCCCCCAACTACATTTTTATTTTTATTTTTCCTTCTTTGGGTTCGCACCAGCATGTTAGTATGAGCCGGGGGCGCAGCGCAGAGCCGTCCGATGCCGAGGGGACCGAGCGAGGCACGGAGCAGCACTCCGTCGCCATACCGGCACCAAGGGGCATACATGCCTGGCAGCTGGCAGTCAAACTCCGGCTGCCAACATGGGACCGGATCGACGGACGACGACTGCGACTACGACTACGACTAACCGGGAGCAGAAGTTGGCGTGGAGGCTTGAAAAAAAAAAGAAAAAAAAAAAAAAGAGGCTCAGCAGCCAAACTGCTGCTGCTAAAACGAAGCAGTTCGACGGACGACAGACACTTGGCTCCTTCTACGTAGCTACTGCCGCAGACCGTGGGCGAGGGCAGGAGCCAACGGGCTCCATGGTTCCTTCCAAAGTTGTTAAAGTTGTTGCTCGTGCTCTCCTGAGTCCTGAGGCTGCCTCTGCGCAATGTGGCGACGCCGCCCTGGGTTCGGGGCGCAAGTCTTTTTTGGAAAAAAAGAGCCTTTTTTTTTTTTGCCTCTCAAGCGTGTAGTAGTAGTGTGTGGTACTCCGTATGTGCTACGAATAACGTGACGCCATGGAGGAACATGAACCTTGTGTCGTTGCACCACAGGGTTGGATGGAGGGGAGCACTGATGAAGCCACAGGGTCGGACTGGGACTGGGGATGGCGGAATCCCACTTGCGACGCTGCCGACGAGGGCTCTGAGGTTGAGGCCAGGCAAAGATGTGCTGCGTGGGTGCTGCGTGGGCGGGCGGTGGCTGATTGATGCCGAGACTTGAGGGCGTCTGGTTGTCGTGGGGGTCCGGGATTTGACAGGTCGGCACCATTGCCATGGGCCGGTTGGTTGGGTGCCACGCTGCCGCAGATGAAGACGGCAGCGGCGCAGGACTGCCAGTGCTTGAGAGAGACGGAGAGATGAGTGGTGAGAGGTGACTCGTGAGTGATGGGGACGGGCTGTTGTTGGCCGGTCAGGGCTGCAGCACGCAGCACGGCGCACCGGGACCAGAGGTGGTCTGTTTTGTTTGTTTTTGAGTTGACGACGGGGCGCACACTGACATGCTGCCGCAGCAGGGAGTGGAAGGTGTCCCGACACGGGCAAGCCGCGGTTGAAAGAGGTCATCGGTGCGTTTGGCGATGTCCGCTCTGTGGCACGGAGGAGCAGCAGGGGCCGGGTTCGGATGGTGTGAGAGTGCGAGAGGTGACGGTCGAAAACGACACCGCACCACCACTAATACTCCTACGTACATGCAAAGCACACAATACCAAGGGCGGCGGCACACGCTGCGTGTCGTCTCGTGGTGTCGAGTTGACGCGAGCTGTCTTGTCTGCCACGGCTGCAGCTCGCGTTGCAATATCAGTGCTCCCTTGCCGGGGGACCAACGTGTGGCAGGCCAAGACGCGTCATACATGTCCTCGAGGTCAGATGTCTTGGCCATGTCATTGACGGGCTCAGCCCACGATCGGACGCCCGCGCACGTTATGCTCCCATTTTTCTCTCCGACGAGGCAGTAAGCAAGCAAATCAAGTGACGACGACAGGTTGGCATCCGCACGGTGCTTGACCGCCAGTGTCAACCGGCTGGGTAGCTCCGCCAGCTGCATGCACTGACGCCATGTAGGCTTACGGCGTACTGCCTGCTGCTGCTGCTGCTACTGCTGCTGCGGCCGCCGCCGCCATGCCCTGCTGGCCTGCTGGTGGTGGTGCGGCAGCATTCCCTTCCTCGCCTTGCCGTTTCTGCATCTTCCATCTTCCATCTCCCATCTCCCATCTCCCATCTCCCATCCCGCGAGGCCGCCGCCGCAATCTGATCAGCAATCTGCCGAGGGCGCCGGACTAGTTGGTACTACTAGTGCGTAGTAGCGGGTTCAAGCGCGCCATTTGCATCATGCCGGCCTGCTCATACTACGGAGCACCAGCACTCCGTAACTCGTCAACCAAAACCATCCACGCTCATACAACGACCCGGTCTCTACGGTTACTCCTGCCAGACGCAGAGAACCCCCGGCCCAAAAACGGCTTCCTTTTTGACGAGGGGCAGTTTGGGGAGCCGAGCCTGGCTGCGCTGGCTGCCTACAACGGTCTAGGGTGGCAATGATGCACCATGTCTGTCCAGGTTCTCGCTGATCTCTGTCGGCAACCATCAGGCACCCTCCTCGACTCCGTCGTTTGTCTGCCTCTGCCTTGATGCCGTTGACGTTTTGATGATGGCCTTCCGACGATCTGATGCAGCTCAGCTTGCTTTTGAGCTCATGCACCGCCAAAACCCGTACGCGATGCATCCTCGACGGGCGGGGGAAGTCTCAGAGTCCGGCGCCGTCTCTGACGAATCCTGCTGCGTCGACGGTTTTTGGTGGAATGGACTCAGTACCCGGAGCAAGTCCGACCCAGTCCTTGTCTGACTGAATGTTGGCCGGCGACAGATACCCATCATGTGCCTGTGAGGCCTTTCTCACAGCAGCAACGGGCCTATCGCTGTCTTTTGCCCCCTCTAGTGCTCCGTACGAGCGACGACGCGGGAATAAGTTGCCTTGTGGTGCGCGAGAACAGCATCTCCAGACACACATCCAGTCGTGCATGGTGGGTGCGGTGCTTGCATTCCTGCCGTCTTCCACAACGTGCAAAGAAGCAGCGGCGCCTTCGTTTCTGATCCGTCACACCATGCGGCAGGCAGGCTGTTGTGCGCCGTGACTCTTGGACGGTGGCGCTGCGCCCGCCTTGCGCATCTTGCAACCTTGATACATCTCGGATCGTTTGATGTATGGGGCAGCAAGTCGTGTGTGTGACTTTTGCCGCCCCCTCGCAAAGGACCATGCTTGTCTGCTACCCACTGGGCCGCAATACGTACGTGATGACGGACCTTGTCGGAACCTGGGCATGCGTTTTGCTAGTCTCCCGCAATCATCTGTCGAGGCAGATGGAACACGGTCCAGAGAGAGGCAGAAGCATGCACAGACACGGAGTACGGTACTCGTACGTAGTGTGCCATGCATGCACGCCCTTCCCGAGGCGGCAACTGGGTGAGAGCCGAGCTTGCTGCTTCTTCGCCTTGGTGTGCTCATCGCGCGAGGCGTGACTTGCATCCGTGGTACCGCGTCCTTGCGCAGCACCACATAACCACGGCGCCAGGAGTCGGACGGCCAGCCCATTCGTTGCTTTGTACTCCGTATGTGTCGTCGGGCGTGTTGCTGGGACGAGATCCCGTTCCGGCTTGGCTTCCGTCCTCACATGATGATGCTTGCACCTATGAGTATGTAGGCCGGGCCAGATGACCACACCTACACGTACATACGGAGTACAACCCAACATATACATGCTGACTAGTAGTACGGAGTACCTGTGACACAACTCAAGTCGAGTGCTCGGAAGCGGAAAGAAACGTGGCTACCTTCTCCGTACAAGGGAACAACAAAACAAGGCGTCAAACGCACAAGGGGCACCTCCTACAGTGTCCAAAGCAACAACGAACGACGGTTATGAATGTATACACCAGGCATCGGGCGGCGTGTGTACATGATGTACAAAGAAGAGGGAAAAAAAGCCATCAAGGCCCGCTATGAATTCACCAACGCCTGCCGGAGCTGATTCTGCCGTGGGTTGCGTCCTGAGGACGGACGGACGTCCACGAATCGAGGAGCTTGGTGCTGCTCGTCCACGGTTGTGTATGTACAAGGACTCCGGCGGATGACGGAAGCCACGGACGGCCCATGAGAGGGGGGCCTCGATCTTGTTTGGGGTCCGTCACGGGGCTGTGACGCTGACAACCGGGGGGGTTACGTCGTCCCAAGTCGTGCCGCGCCATGAGGCTATTTATCATACAGACGTGGTGCATGATATGATATGGTTCCTGCCGACCCGTCAACTTTGAAATCTTGACAGAGCCAACCAACCAACCAACTGACCAGCGCCTTTCCGCCTTGGGGCAGAAACGCCGTCGAGAGGGGGGCCTCAAGGATCTTGCCAAGCCGCTTGCCTGGGCGTTGAACGTGCCAAAGGGGCGTGGATCGGCGCGTGCTATGGGGAAATATCCGATGTCTAGTTGCAAACTTTGATGGGACAAGGCCCGTTCTACTACTGCTTATTTGGGAAAGGGGTCCAACCCGGATCTTGCTGCCCAGTGTCTACGGTGTACAGTGATTGGGCTGCGAGCGGACGAGGAGGGCCTTCCTTGGCTTGGCTTGGGGCTTGGGGCTCGGGATCCGGTTCATGTTTTCTCGAGCCTCGTAAACGGCTCAATGAGAGCCATGGCGGGATGGGCGCCCGGGCGACAGTTCCGCGTGTCCTGTCGAGGTGGAACTCGGTAGGATTCTACCCAGCAACCAAGGCGAAGAAGTTGCCAGATGGATTCACTGAGTGATGAGGAGGCTCGGTTCTGACCTGGCCAGCGGCATTGGGGCTTTTCCCTGGGGCGCCGGTCAGTTCAGACGTGTTCAGGTGTGACGATGGCGCAAGTGTTTCCTTAGTTCGAGGGACTCACGGTCCCGGAGATTGTTCCAACAGAGTTTGGCCCGGGCCCGGCTACCCTTCTCCTGAAGGAGTGTGCTCCGAATCCCATCATGAGCCATTGTATGCATAGGGGAAGAGAACGCGCCACACCGAGTATAGAAAAATCGAATCGAATCGAATCGAGGTGATTTGAGGAAAATCAACCGTGCCGTCATGGGCAAAAGCCTTTTTGGTTCAAACTAAGTTTGGTGGTTCCCGAGTTGCATTCCAACCGTGGGAAAGAAAACACCAAGCAACTCTCTCCCACGGGTACGTGCACACACCACGTATGCGGACGAGGCATTCCACAAAAAAAGCCAAAGTATCGGCACTAAGCTTGGTCTTCTCTTTTCTTCCGGCACCAGAAATGTTTTAGCAGGACGTGGCGACGGCACCCTGCTACACCAACAAAGGACCGCTGTAGCGCCACCAGATAGATGCCCGTCCATCGGGGGCTCTGGATGGAAGGCAGCGATGCCCAAGACGGGCCTGGTCTCGTCGCAATTAGAGTTGCCCCAACGAGTTGACCCGTCAAAGGACATTTCTTGGCCATTTTCTGCTCTTCTGTCGATCGTCTGTTTTGTCATGCGACGGCCCCGCACAATCTCGGAGGGTAGATGCCGGTGCCGATATACCCCAGGATACGATCCATGCTCTCGACAGTGATGAGAATGGCCTTGGAATTGAAAAGAACCAACTACAGGGTACGGAGTACCGTGTACATGTGCTCCGATGAGTCGGGCGCGCGAATGCCATCGGGGCCACGGGCCGGTGCAACTATTCCGGCTGAGCAGGCCAAGTCGACCAGAACGCGCGTCTTCCTTCTTCTCCCACAATGGGCCTCTGTTGGCCGCGGAAAAGTCTAATCGAGTGCCGACACACTCGATTGCCACGGTGAGAAAGGAAAAAAAGTTTCCGCTCTCACGGACGCTCGGGACCAGTACATACGTTGCCCCGGAGGCAACGTTCTATCGACTCATTACGGAGTATTAACCTTACCATTGACGCCGTATGACGTGCCCACTCTTGTGCTTTGCGTCCAACTACTCCGTAGGGTTGTACGCATGGACGACGAGGCGTGTGACGACTTACGACTTTTGTACAATGTGTCAATGGTTGCACGACTCTCAGCATTGGGCAGCGAGCAGGGGGAGCTGAGCTTGCAGGTACTGACTGTGAAGAGCGGGCGTCAACGTTGCAGCATGATTCACTTTGTTGAAACTCACTGCGACTGCGACTGCGGCTGCGTGAAAGTGAGGGAGTTGCTCCGGTCACTGATGAGTGGCTCGACATGGAGAGAGTCCTGCAAGTCTTGTTCGCTGTCGACCGTCGTGGCACTACGCGCACCCACCCCGGCGTTGAGGATATAGTTGTGATGTACATGCCAAAAAGAATGACAGCATGTCTTGACTTGGGCTGTATATCCGTATAACCAACCCTACCCTACACCTATTGCTGCGCGCCGTGGTTCTTTGGCGTGCAGGGTGTGGTGGCTTCAACTTCACATCGTCGCTTCATTTTCTTGACATGACTACTAAACGCGTTCCTGGACTTTTTGACCACGGTTATTCACACAGCTAGGGATTCACATAAATGCAAATCGTTCGCAAGACGAGGTGACACCCAACTGCCATGCTCAACGAGAAGCGTACCCGTCTCCAACAGAAGCCCGGACACAAGCATCCTCTGCACACCGGCATTGATGTAGGCGCACACGCAGAAAGGCATTGTTCACAGGTACCGTGTCTTTAGCACACCGACGTAGTTGAGAGGGGTGTGAATGAGGGAACGGCTCGTATTCACACATGTATATGAAGCTAAAGATGGCGAGAGTGTCATCTCGTCTCCCCTGTTGAATCATATCAAGAGAGACATGCGTCGTGAGACATGTCAAGGAACGCAGGAGACTCCGGCAGTGAGTGGATGGCCGTTGGACCACATCTTGGCCGGACAGTATCGGGGACTCGTAGCACCTCGTATTGAAGCCGAGTGCGGATTTCATTCATCAACCGGGACCACGTCCACGGCTGGCTGCACGATCCTTTGTCATGGATGGAGGCAGACGCTGACCGTGTCGAGAGATTGGGTCCTATGATGCAGTCAGTGACGGTAGGTGTTGAACTTGGCGAATATACTACTGTATCGGTGTACATGTCTCATATTGTGCCGTTTCAGTAATGGCAACGCGACGAGTAGTAGTGTCCAGTGAAAATGAAATCATTTCCTACAGTCGTGAAGAGCTCCTGCAAGACACAGCTGTGAAATACACAGGCACAAGTATGCAGCGACGATTCCGTATTCCGACTTCTGAACCGTGCGGATGGGTCCGTTCCGACTTGTCACGCGGTTGCAGATACATGGCCGCGGGCAAACCGTGGTTGCAGAGAGCCGGGGCATTCAGGCGAATCTCGGATTTCCTTTGTGATTTCGGCTCGGTTTCTGCGCATGAGTTTCGGCCTGGAGAGGTGTGTGGTGTGTTTCCAGAAAGCTTGGGACGGCGAACCTTTGGCCTAGCTGATGGGGCTTTGTTCGTCGTCGCCCGAGTGGGAAGGCAGCTGGCTGTCTTTGCGTTGAGAAGCGGCCCTGCTTTTTGATCATGTTTGACGCACCACGTGCCATCCGACTGTGTGGCATGCTTTGTTTTACAGTCTGCAGCAAAAGGGTATCCGTGCGGAACCAGTCCCACGTCAGGGGCAGGGGAATAAATCCGCACAATGTAGAGAAGACTACAGCTGAGCGGCAGAGAATCGCACTCTGTAGATTGGCTCACTTGCGTCTTGCTGGGAATCAACATGAGGAGGCTTAATAGCTCTGCGTAGCTGCTGTAGCTCCAGATAAATAAGACGTTTCGCCCCCCAGTTTCGCTATTCACTCAGGGGCGTCAAGCCATCTCATGCGCCTGCAACGGCAGAGAGAAATGCCTTCGTCGCCAACGGGCGACTCTCTGGGCTGGCATCGTGGCTGCCCTGGATGACAACTCGGAGCGGACATGGACCATGTGAAAGTGCTTCGGCACAAGATCAGCCACTGTCTTTGTTGTTGCCAGAACCCGTCATTACTAGTTCTCGCCTCTCGGTTGCCGTTTCTTCTTGCGCATCAAAGAGCACTCTCTGAACTTGCTCTCGCGCATGCCTTCCAACTCGCCTGCGTCCACTGTGCGCTCCGAGTCTCATGTCGAGTCGTACCGTTCTTGCCTGACATGGTATCACGAGGCCGTTGAGAAGCCTCACCAGAATTCCCCGCGTCCACTGTGCGCTCCGAGTCTCATGTCGAGTCGTACCGTTCTTGCCTGACATGGCATCACGAGGCCGTTGAGAAGCCTCACCAGAATTCCCCGGGCCTATCCGGCTGCACCCTGAAAGGCGAGCAACTTCTCCGTGGGCCGGCTACCGCTTCTTTAAACTCCTGTTTCCTGGATGTCCTCATCCTGGGCGCGCCTTCGCTTTTTGTTCTTCGTATCGGGACTGGCCTCGGTGCAACTCGGCCTCGACCAGAGGGACTTGCTCCAGGACCCGTTGCGTGAGTGCAGTGTGACGGGTTGCATCCTTTTCAGCGTTCACGTAGTCGAATGTCGCCCGGATGAAATCCGTGACCATGCTGACCCGGCGCCTGGTAAACTCGTACCGCTCTTGCGCCGCCACCAACTTCTTCCTGGCAGCTTCAAGCATCCGCATACGCGTCTCTTCCGGAATGGTGAGGCGACGGGCATCTTCTTGGGTCAAGAAATAGTCCCGCTTCGCCTCTGCTTCGGCCGCCTGTCTAGCCTCCCAGGCTTGCTCCCGTTCTCTCCCACGCTCCATCGAAGACGGGGTGGTCCGCACGAAATCCTTGAATTCATGAGGCTTCGGTATCTTCTTGTCCACCAACTCTTGCCAGCGTCTGTCGTGGTCGGGCGCCAGGCGCTCGATGGAGTCGGTGGACCGGTCAAGCCACCAGTATTCAAAGCAAAGGTACTCGATCCAAGTTGCCAGTCTGTCTGTCCTGCAGCTTGGGGTTCTCTTTCAGCTCGAACTGTCGTGCGAATCCGTGGCGCGCCGGGGCGCTTCACTGCATCGACGTAGTCGGAGAAACCGTTGCAGCCACGTTCCCGTTGCCACCGGCGCTGCCATCTGCGTGTCCTTCGCTTGTCCAACCATACTGACTTGAGCCACGATGGATCGGTTCCGAGCTGAGCTACCCCCTTGTCGTACTTATCGTTTCTATACATGCTCTCCATCATCTCGACAAAGGCAGGAAAGCCAGCGTCTTCATCTTCAAGGCCTCTGTTGTCCATCTGCCAGTTGCGCAACTCCCGCCACCTCTTCAGCTGTCTCCGGAATACCGACGTAGACGCGCGTCGAGTTGGTCAAGATCGAGCGGGAAGGAATGAGGCGCAGCGTTCTCGGACAAGATTCGTTCTTGTGCTCTGCAAACGTCAAGTCAACAGGCCGCCACGCGCAAGACGAGAGCGGCTCACTTCAATCTTTCCGCGAGCTGGCTTCGGGCATGCAAAGACAGCTTGTCCCAGCCGTCGACGGGAAGGTCAAAATCGCCATTGTGACTGCGATGCTTCTCCATCAACTGGGCGAGCTGCTCCTCGCTCAAGGCGGCGGGTTCGCCCACGGAGAGCGTCGCAGTCGTCGCTTCCGAGTCTGGCATTCTGCTACGAAGTCATGCAAATGAAACAGTCGCCTCGCAAATGCGACTGCAACCTGTCGTCAATCGCTGAGGGGACGCTTGGTCTGATGAAATGTCGGGTAGAAATTCGGTGGCGGCGGGAAGGAGAAGACGGCGTGGCCCTGGTCCAATAATACGTCGTGTTGCAGCCACGGATGCATACTCCGTACCCACTCCCCTCCTCCCACTGCTTGAACTGCTTGTCAAAGCCCATCAGCTTCCAAAATGCTCTCTTTTCTCTTCAGCTTCATCTCCTTGGAGAGAAACACTGTGAAATGGAGAACACGGACATTATTGCGCGGTTGTATGCCGTCCCCCGAGCCGCCGGGCGAGAGCAATGTCCCAGCGCACCTTAAACATGTTCCGCCTCGAAATCAAGCTCAACAACATACCACGAACCAGTCATGGCATCGTCTTCGGATGCGACCCGGACGGCGATGTTGTGCTGCACCAGCAAGCATCACTTCAGCCTGACATTTGACGATGCAAATCGGCTCATCGTCAGGGACTGGGGCTCCTTACTGGGAACCGAGGTCATGGACGATGACTAAGGGCAGGGCAGGCGAAGCCATTTCCGATGGATCGTCGGCGGGGATCCCAACCCTGAAGAGAAGACGACTATCCTTGTCAAGATACATGCCGCCGTCCGAGTTCCAGATTGTCCCTGCCCGTCACAGCAGTATAATGTCAGCAGAGTGCCCTGGTTGGCGGAAGGGCTCTTCCGCGACCTCGACTCTCCTCAGCTGCGGGACACGGAACTGCCTGCCGCAGCTCACACACCCACCCGGTAGGGGAGAGATTCATTCACCTGCGGAAGAAGATCGGCGAAGGTTCCTTTGGCGTTGTGACGCGTTTCTGGAACGTCAGCGATGGGAGCGAGTACGCTCCAAAGGAACCTACTGCACGGGCTATTCGGAAGCGCGCAGTCAATTATGATTTATGGTTTATGGGATAAGCTCGCATCATGGGCCAGATATCGCATGTGCGTACTCCGTACTTGTCCCGCCTTGTTCTGACTACCAAGTACCCAGCAGCCCCACATCGTACGGCTGATCGAGGCAAATTCTACGCCACTCCCGCAACAATGGCATCCTCATCTGAACATGTCAAGTATACCACGGAGCCCCCGGGAGACGTGTCATCTAGAGGATGGAGAAGCTGTCAGCGAAATGCGCGATGGTGTGCAAACAAACGAAAGGCACATGGAAGCGCTGCTGCAGCAGGCAATGAGTCGAGACTTCGGGCAATGATTAATGCAGGGGCTGGAGGTGTTTGCTTCCAAGACTCGCATTATTTCGTGGTCGTGTATGAACCGAGGGTGCTCTGCTAAAACTGAATAGCCAACTCTGGCAGGGAAGACCATAAGCTGATGAGATTAGTTTAACCTAGGCTTGTCCAATGCATTATGAATGCATTATATTAGTTTTCCTCGGTAGCTGTCATGGTCTAGGCTGAAGTCCGACCTAGCAAGCGGGATACAGCCTACCTACTCATCGACCACCTACTTAGGTATGTAGGGTCAATTGAGCGAGCCAAAGGACAGCTTGTTAATCGCGTTCCCTTTTGACCTAACGGTTGACCCAAGTCCATCACAGTAGCTAAATCCATTACTTGCAGGAATTAAGGAGCAGCTCAACGCTTGCTTGAACGTAATATATATCAATGTTACTGTCAGGCCATGGAATTTTCAATCACGTATTTGTACGGAGGCAAAATTTCGCATGCGTCATCCTCCATATACCTATTCGCAAGTTAATAATAAGGTAGTTTCTAGGTATGAAAGAGGCAGCAGTCCGTGAGAAGAAAAGAGAGCAGCTAACGTCACCAACGCTTTCGTACTGCCTCTCTAGTAAGTAACCTACTTAAGTGGGTACAATACTCTTCTATCCCCATTTCACACTGTGCTTCTCAAAGGCGTCGCGTCCGGCCAACAAATCTGGTACGTCGCCTACAGCTGTGATATGTTATAATCCTTCCATTGCTAGACTTTGGATTTTGTTCTTACAAGGTTGTCTAGGGGAAAAACCAGCAAATTACCCGCGAGATTCCCACTTGATAAACGGGGACTCGAATGTGAAGACATGCACGACGGCATGCCATATAGGACACCCTGCCAGCTGGGTGGAGAATTCCGGCCGTATCATTGCAATTAAGGGCGCTGACTATGGCGTAAATGAAGACTGCTACAGACTGCCAACTGACGATGACAGCACTAGAGTAGCAGCAGGTTCGAGTGCCCTAGCTAGATAGGTTCTCGGCTGGAGCCGTCATCTTTAAAGCAGAGATGGCTGCGAAAGGGCAGGTGGATGTACTGGCCGCGCGGAAAAAGCCTAGTTTTATCTCGAGCCTCTGCGGGTAAAGTGAACAGAGGAGAACAGGGTGTTGGAGGAAAATGAGCAACATGCAGACTTGCAAGAAGACAATACTAGCTATCAACTGGCTAGGTAGGTTTCGTTGTGCCAATTCATCCTGCACTCTAAGAGGAAGGCTTTTAACTATTAAAAGTTTGCTGTGAGAAGAGACGAAGAAAATCTAGAAAGAATACAAGAAAATAACACTAACTAGCGAGGTTATTCTACATTCTCTTCTATCCGCTAAACTCATCTGCTGAAAAAATGCTTCCCATGTCTCGCGGGAACCTGAAGTCCGGGTCGCGACGAGTCGACAACTCTCAGTAGCAGCAGCAACGCCGACGCCGACGCCGACGCCGCCTTCCTGTTCACGGGTTTCTGCCGCTCCTGCCTTTTTCGCTTAGCCCCAGCCGGGGCCCCTGACGGCATCTCCATCTTGTCCAGGCCGGTTTGGGCGACTTCCCCCGGATTCGACTTGGCGCCACCGGGGTGCCCCGACGCCACCTTCAGCCAGTGCAGTGACGGATGACGGATGGGCAAACGGTTAGCGACTCAGCCACTACTCCGTAGCCGGGCAGCGTTCGACGACTCTGTCCTGGACCTGTATGGTGCATCTTCGGAACGTCAACACTGAAGTCTCGGGGGTGGCCGGGGTTGCAATCGATGTTGCCAGACGTACGTCGTTGGCCACATGTCCAGTTGGGACGATGAAGACTAAACGGTTCGCATCTGCTGTGCGCACGGCCATGACGATGACGAGCCACGGCAACGCCGCTTCTAGCTGTGACAAAAGAGCTCACGTCCCCATGTCGATACGCAGGGTTGGTACTCCGTACTTCAGTCAACTTTGTGCCACGTCTCACCGTCGAAGCCCCGTGTGTGTGGTGCTCACTGCTGATCGTCATATTGCAATTGCCTGTGGTTGGGTGAGCCCTCTCTATTGGCCCATTCTTGTATGGGTTGTCTGTGCGTCGGTGCTCAGATTCGATTTTCTCTTCCTTGCTTCGTGCATCTCGCCGTTCACCGCGTTCACCGCGTTCATTGCAAGATCCGCCATGTCGAACCTCAACAAGGAGGAGACTGACGACGGCAGAGGCCAAGAGAACGGCCAGCAGCCTGCTGCCTTTGGGACGGCCCTTGAGCAGAAATCCTTCTTCCAGGCTGCCCTGCCTGTTTTTGCTTGCGGCGCAGGCTTGTTCTCCGACGGCTACATCAACAACGTGAGTCCCTTGCCGGGCGGAAAGCCAAACCAACTTGCCAACACGTGTAATTCTCTAGGTCATTGGTTCAGTCAACACGGTGCTCAAGCTCCAGTACAAGACCGTCTACACCTCGTCCAACGCTGCCAAATATGTCGCCGATATCGCCTTTGCTGGCACCGTCGTCGGCCAGCTGATTTTCGGCTTCACCTCTGACCACTGGTCCCGAACCAATTCGCTTGTTGTTTCCACCTTGATCCTCATCGTATTTACCGCCTTGGCCACCGGTTCGTACTACAAGGGCGATGCCGTCGGCATGTTCAACATGTTGGCTGCATGGAGGTTCTTTGTCGGAATCGGCATTGGAGGTATGCGACACCACAGGCATAGCGCCGCCGTGGCAAACCACTCACTCCATGGACTGAAGACTGACATGCACATGTGCGCAGGCGAGTACCCAGCTGGGAGCGTTGGCTGTGCCGAGTCTAGCGGTGAACTCAAAAGCGGCACCCGGAATCGATGGTTCATCCTGTTTACAAACTCCATGATTGACTGGGGCTTTGTGTTTGGTGCCTTTGTCCCTTGTAAGTCGTCCGGAACGCGGGACGCCCCCGTTTGCGGAGCATGTATTTGCTATAGGATGGCATCTGGCGCTGACCGTGTTGTAGACGTTGTCGCCGCTGCCTGCCACAACCAAAACCTGTCCACCATCTGGCGTACCAGCTTGGGCATCGGTGTGGTCTTCCCCCTGGTTCTCTTTCTCCTGCGATTGCGACTCAAGGAGCCCGAAGAGTTTGCAAAAGAGTCGATGCGAAAGCAGACACCGTACCTCCTCGTCTTCAGATTTTACTGGTTCCGTCTGCTGTGCGTGAGCATCATCTGGTTCCTGTATGATTTCTCCACCTACGCATTCGGCATCTACTCGTCCGATATCCTGGCCGGCATTTATGACGGCGACGCGCCCCTGACCACAGTCTTTGGCTGGAATACTGTCATCAACTTGTTCTACCTGCCTGGTACTTTGCTTGGTGCCTTCGTCTCCGACTGGGCTGGCCCCAAGTATACCCTCATTGGCGGCGTTCTCGTGCAGGCCGTTGTCGGATATATCATGGCTGGCGTCTACGGCAGCATTGTCAACCACATCGCTGGGTTTGCTGTCTTGTACGGCATCTTCCTGACTCTCGGCGAGCTGGGCCCCGGCAACAACATCGGTCTGTTGGCCGCCAAGACGTGCGCCACGGGTGTCCGCGGCCGATACTATGGCATTGCCGCCGCCGTTGGTAAGATTGGTGCCTTTGTCGGGACCTGGGTCTTTCCTTATATCCAGGCCGCCGGGGGCGATGACAAGGTCAAGTCGGCCCAGTACCCCTTCTGGGTGGCTTCCAGCCTGTCCGTTTTGTCAGCCGCCATCGCCTTCGCCTTCGTCCCCAACATTGGCCAGGACACCATTACTCACGAAGATGCGCGTTTCCGTGAATTCCTCGAGAGCCGTGGCTGGGACACTGCTCAGCTCGGCCTGGGGAAAGTTGATTCCGAATGCGTCAACGCCTCTCAAGACGAGCGTGTGCCCGAGAAGCTGGCAGTCCGCTAGATCGTCTGGTGATTTTGGATGACCTTGTCCTAATGTCTATTTATCTCGTCATAGCCCTGCAAAGAATAGATCCCCCCACAAATGCGAGCATCTCATGCGGTCTCGACTTCTCGAGTGTCGTTGAAGCCGTCACCAGATTCCTCCGGCCTGCTCTGCGCTTTTCATTTGACGGCAGCGGCCTTGGCGTCGTGGGCGGGAAAACAGGCGGCCCAAATCGTCTGAATGACTGTCGAGACTCAACACCAGGGACACAACCCGCCACCTCGCAACATTGTCGGCCGACCACCCCGCACACGCGCTCATCTCAATCCGGGGGTCGGGACTCGGGAGTGTGGGGTGTGGAGTGTGGGGGCCGGGGCGAGTTTGCGCAGGGTCCTCGTGCCCAATCCGGGGTTGAAAGTGAAATGCTCCGTGTCTACTCCGTAAGATGGTTGAGTTTTGCCCGATTTTGCGTGCGCACTTGTTTCAATTTACTAATTTTCGTCGAGCGGCGGAATGAAGTGACCGGCAGGGGCGGCTACCCTGGAACCAACAGACGACAATTGGGCGAATGCTTCTTCTGGCCTTGATGCAAATCGCAGCACACGACGAGACACTGTGGCAAGGCTATTTGGAAAAGAGACACAAGCCTTCGTAGTGGACGAGGCCGGCTTACAAAACACGAGGTCATGCCCTTGGGCTCAGCAGTGTACAGTCTGACTGCCCTCTACCCGGTCCGGACTCCCTGGAGGATGCTCCCACCTGACCAAATCATATCCAGTCACGGATAGCAATGGCATCGTTTTCTTTCGAGCAGACTGCTTACGGCGTCGTGTGAGGCGGCCATGATTCTGTGCATTGATCAGTCCTTGTCACCACCATCGTGGCCATGACTGTGATTCACTTCCTTTTTGAGTCCTGGGAGCAATGGCTTGCGTATTGTAGGGTTACATCCGCAGCAAGCTGTCAGCATACGGCCACCATGGTCAGCAGGCGGGTTCCAAGAAGGATAGAGAGCAAGGGGATACACAGACATGCTGCGACGCGAGGACAAAGACAGTGGTGCGAGGCATTGCGAAGGTCATGACAGGTCGGATTATCGGATTATTCCTGTGGCGCTAAAACGGCCGCATCTCAACCAGGTGCAGGTGACATCCTCCACAAGGGAACGGTATTGGGCGCGTCCATCACCGGGTAGTTTACGCGGTCATCAATATTTACCCGAAAGGGCGGCCTTGGAACTTGTGAGACGCGCATTGGGGTTCGTTTGACTCGTCGACATCGCGCCTCTACCGCCAGTTGCTGGATGATTTGCAGTTCCTGTGCGTCGCAACTGCACCAGGTAGTCACGCATTTCGTGTCATGCTTCCGCACGAGGAGGGCAGGTTGATTTAGAACCTTGGAAAGTCAAATGCTGACACTGCATGAAGTGTGAAGAGGGTGTTGCGAGAGCCGTGTGGATGATAGCCTGCCCATACATAGCTATCTAGGCTCAATGCAGTGGGAAAACAACCTCCTGCTTGCCTACTCGTCTCCCCGTGGTCTGCAAATTGGAGACTTTTCCTGGCAACAAAGCCACGGTGACCGACAAGTTACAACCACGCCGCATTTACTGACAGAGTCCTCGGTACGTGGGACATTGGTGCGGCGGACAGCCAAGCCAATGCTCTTCGACGCCTCTCCGATTGCCCGTGTAACCCACCGTGTTTCCCCTTTCCCCGACGCAGTCTCATGTCAGCAAAACATCTGTATGGGATGTGGGAGACACCGGCCTGCCGAATGGCATTCCAGGTCCGGCAGACGGCAGAAACCACAATCTCAGCCCAGCCGGCGTCAAAGTCGAGCACGCAGTTCTTGTTGACTGGCAAGACGACAACCCCTCGTCGCTCGACAAGCTGACCCGGCGTGGCTAGCTGAAACGAGACGAGCGAGTCCTGGTAAACGCCCAAGCACGCGCGCGTGCGTCGCTCGTCGGAACACCACGACGTGTCGCTGCCTGTATTCGCTGCTCTCAGCTCGCCCATTCCTCGGCCCGGCTGCCATCTGGAGCCTGCCAATGTCTCGGAGAGCAGAGATATTCACAGTTGCACGCTGCGAAATCTAGCCAGCCATGACGCACAGTAAGCCCGTCGGTTGTCCAGGTCTCGGCTTGCGAGCGCCCAGCTGCCACCTCGCAAGATGCCATCTCGACTTTCAATGTGAATAGCTCGGTGCATGGCCAGTGCTTGCCCAGGGGCTGTAGATCAACCATTCAACATGCCATGGTCTACTCTACAGCGGGCCGGCCATCACGACGGCCAACGGTGCCTGGACGCCTCGCGCCGCGCAGGCCCGACGAGCAGATAGATATAAAGGCCCGCTTGGCCTTGCCGTTTTTCGCTCCCGCCCAAGATTTAGTCTGGTAGCAGCAGCTCCCCTTTGTTGTACTTGGACTCTGACTCGTGTCGCCATGAGGTATCTCCGGCTTGGTCTGGCTTTTGCCGGTCTTCAGTGCCTGCTTGCTCGGGGCGTCCAGGTGGTTCAGGTCGGCTCCGACGCGGACGTGGGCCAGGACAAAATCAAACATACGAGACCTGGCTCGGACTTTGAGGAGAGCTTTGGTTGCGCGGGCGGGAGCGGCAAGGAGCTTGCTTTTAGCCGCGACGGGCGGTTCGCTGCTTGCTGTGCTCCTGGACAGCATCTGGCGGGTAGTATGTCCACCGAGTTCCTTTGCTGTGGCGAACGGCATGATGTTTCTGGTTCCAGTGGCCGGGGCTATCACTGCTGCCCGACTGGGATGAGCTTTGATGGCCGTATATGCCACGAGGATCCTGGCCAAGGAGGGCCTGACGTTCAGGTTCATGACAGCCAGACGATATTAGCTGGAGGCGGCGGCGGCGGCGGTGGAGGAGGAGGAGGGGGAGGCGGGGATAAGAGCAGCGAGGGTGGTGAAAAGAGTAGCGGCGGCGGTGGAGGCGGAGGGGGCGGTGGAGGAGGAGGAGGAGGAGGAGGTGGAGGAGGTAGTGATGATCATCATGGCAGCGGCGGAGGGGGAAGAGGAGGAGGAGGTGGTGATGATAGTGGCGGCCGTGGGAAAGGAGGAGGAAACGGCGGGAACCAAGGAAACGGGGATGGGCAAGGAAAACCGCCAGCAAGCGGAGGCAATCCCCCTGATCAGGGAAATTCAAGTTGGTGCCAAAGCCCAGAAACCTGCAACTCTGGAATCGATACAGGTACGGCGCGGCCGCGAAACTCGTCCCCCTTCCAACGTCACTATCAGGGTGGCATTCACTTGGGATCCTCTCCACTAACGCGGTTTCAGGAAAATGCTATCTGTTCAAGATGGACAACGGAGAGTATCTCGGGTTTGACAGCAAGCCCGGCACGAATGTCTACACGGCCGGAAAAGACAGCGCCACCCACCACATGGGCAAGTTCCGTTTTTGCAAAGATCAGAACTGCACGGCGGGATGCAGCGTAAACCCGGGAGAGGGCTTTGCGATTCTCGACCTTCACGGAGCTGCCAATGGCGGCGCTGGCGCCAACTCCTTTCTCGACTCCAGACGCAACGGCGACCACATTGGCAAGACGCCAAACTACAACGAGGCTGGACGATTCACCATCACGAAATGGACGTGTGGGAAGTACTGTCTGGGGGGCTATAAATGGGGAGTCGGGCCAACATGCCCGAGCCTTGAGCCGGCACTCACGTTCAACACGCTCGACGCCCAGTCCTGTCTGCCCATGGAACTCGTCGAAGTCCCATGCGATGTTCGTGATGGAAAGAATAACTGTCGATGGGACAAGACCCCTGGGAGCTGCGGTCCCGGAGACAGCCGTCACTGCCATTGCTACAAACCCTAGACTCCGCAACCAAGGGAGTTCTGATGTCGACAGTTTTGCCTCGTCGTCTGGCCACCTCGTCCTTTAGCTTCTTCAATATCTCAGCCATCTTTGTCACGCAATACTTTTTATTGGTCTTTTGAGAAGGGACGTAACCGTGTGCCTTGATAGGCGAGCAACTCGCTTGTTAGTCCAGATTGCTCCTCACCACACCAGGCAGTACTAGGTTGACAAGTGCAAAATCTCCCAACAACTCACAGGTGCCCTCAACAAAGAATTAAAAGTCCCTACGGCTCTCATCGTAATATTCGTGTCCAAGTCTACATAGTTTGCGTAATGGTCATGCGTACAATCTGCTGCTCGCCAATTCAAGCTCGCCTGGAAACTCTGTGGTCATTCGGTTGGTTTCTTTTCCGGTTTCCAGTGGCGTCATGCATCACGTCAGACATATCAATTCTTCCATTGTCGACCAAGCCGGCAGAGACTTCCAGCGGGACGCGTATATGGACGGGTCTGACCTGGTTCTGCTTTTGCTTGCCATGACACGTTGATTTATTTGAACGGCCACCGTTATCTTGTTGAACAACCGTAGCCTTCTTCCGCTGGCTCTGGTGACCATTCCAATCCTGAGGCAAAGCATATCGGTGGGCCTCAGGACTGTGAGAGGTGGTATGGTATAGCCGTCTGCGGCTCCTGGGAACAAGTTCGGTGTCGGTATTTTACATGTTTGACGGTGTTGGAGACTCCCTGAATGGTGAAATGGATGACAAGCACGCGAGACGTCGTTGTGAACCACCTAGATCCAGCTCACGTTGACAGCCATCACGCAGCACGAGCCGCCAGCTGTCTGCCAGCTTTCAGAGGTTTTGCCGGCTGGCGACTTGGCAAACAGCTGAAGTGGTGCCGAGAATAAATAACGGGCGATGCACCGGGATGAAATTGTGCCTCTCACTTCCTGTCGGCGCAAGAAAGCCAAAAGCCCGGCAACCACTTGCGAATAATTTGAATCCTGCTGTCTTCCTCTTGAGGAGCCGCCGACAAGAACGTTGCTGGTGCCTTTACCCAGTTTTGCCATGATGGAGGAAGACGGGGCTATGGTGTGTTGCCCAGGCGAGGCAGGAGAGCCAGGTTCTCCAGACTCTCCTCCCAGTTTAAGCGACGGCGACGAGATGCAGGAGTCAGACTTAATGATCAAGCTGGGATTCGAGACCGGGTGCCAGACCGAGCTTGACCATGACGAGCAAGCAGAATCTCCATGCTCAGTCTGCCACGCAGACGAAGCGTGTGACGAAAGCGCGAACCGAATTCAACGGAGCAACGCCGCCACCTCGAGCATTCCCACTTCAGGAAGACTTTGCATCGATACAGGGTTTGAGTTGGATGAAGATGACTACGAAGCGCTGCGGTTCCCAGCGGGAACTTTGGGAAGGCTTAGGCGACTGGCTGCGTCTGTGAGCCGAGCTCAATCCCAAAAGCTCATTTCGAGCCCTGCCACGCCCGGAACACAGATTATAGGGGAGTCTCAAGCTGCTGTCAGACAGCTGGCATCTCCTATTCAGTTCCAACCTCGAGGTATACCGAGAAGCTGCCGTACGTCGCCAGTTCAAGCACACAATGTGCTCAGGAAACCACCCAGACGGCCACGGAGGCGTGCGTACCAGCTGCTCGAGAGGGAGACTGCTGAAATTTTGAACGGCCGCAACCTAGACCAGGAAAATCTTAACTCGGACAGGAATGGCGTGTCAACTAGAAGAAAGAAGCTAGGGTTGGCGAGCAAGTCTTCCTCGAACTCGAAGCAGAAGAGCACTTCATCCAAAACCCAAGTCATCTCATCCGCCACGACCTGGACAGTGGCACCAAAAGCTCGACTGGAAGTGGTGCTACAGACCAGACACAAGAGTTGGCTGGCTGCATATCAGGATGTTGATGTCAGCGGCAAGAATGTCACTGCACGCCCAACAAGAGGTGGTCACCGTGGCAGAGGCCGACGCAGGGCCTTACGAACTGCGCCGAAGCGTACCGTCGACCGCGCCGAGAGGAGAGCTGAAGTTGTTTCCAAGAATACTTCGAGAGGGAGACCTAGGAATACCTCGCGCAGAGTCATCGGTGGCAAGGCTGGCGCCATCGGGACACGACGAAGCCGCAGAATGAATGCTGGCAAGCTCGATTCGACCAACAAAAAAGCCGCTTCTGGCGGTTCCAAGCCAGTTGCAAAGGCTGTGGCTAAATCTGCAACGCACAGAGGTAGATCATCAGGTGTAGCCAAGCGAAGAGGCCGACCACCAACACGTGGTAGGGTGTCAAACAGACGGAACTAACGTTAATGCATTCCGGAAGTGGGTTAGAAAATTCACAAAGCATAAAAAAGAATGCGGCTAGGAGGCCGAGGCGGCTGGCTTCTTGAAGTTGGGGTTTCTGTGTTCATTTTCACCGTCAGCGGTGGGATCACCTTGAGTAGTCTTGGTATCAGGTCACTAAGATACAATCACTTCACATGAAAACACTGAGAGGATATTCGGTCTGAAGGAAAACGGCCGAGGAGCTTCTGGAGAGCGTCTTGGCGTATATGGGCCGTAAACGGCTAGAAAGTCCCTTAGTACTGGCTGGGACAAGGAACAGGCCAACTAGCAAAATACAGTATACGTTGGTAAATTTTTTTCCAGTCAACAGAATGGTCAGGGTAATACCAAGTTTGGAGAAGTTTGGCTCTCCAACTGGTCGGCTTTTCTTTCCAATGAGCTACTTGTTCACGGCTTTCCAATTCTTGCCTCTGTACCTGGTCTGCAATGTATAGTCCATAGTAGAGAAAAAGGCGAGGAGGGTACTTCGCTTGATGTGGGATTGCGAAGCCATAGGGTAGGCTTGGAAGAAGGTTTGGAGGAAGAAAAGAAAAGGGGGATGTAACATGTTCATCGTGATTCTATTCTGGATTTACGCTGGTCTCCAAGAATACTTTCTAAATGACAGTATTCCGACGAATGGTCTTCTCCAAAAGCTGCCGACCTGTGTACCGGGGAAAATCAACACAAACCGTACAGGTGTTCCAGGACTCAATGTCGATATGCGACCCGCTGGGTGGTGGTGGTTCGGCGGCGGCGGTGATGTCGGCGCAATCTTCGGAATAGAAACGGTCAATTTTGAGTGGCCAAAGTTGAGAAGTCAGTCGGCCAAACGGCGTATACATCCGTACTTCAAAGGCGCGTGCACACCGCTTTCGTGCACGAGCCAAATTAGTCATGAGCCGGCACGACTCCTCAAACGACTTCGCAATGTAGCGCTTCACCCTTGATTCCGCCGAACCTCGTCCTCCTGCATTGCCCGATTTTGTCCCGTAAGCATGCTTATTTGAGCGTCACCTCTCTGCAAGTTCTCAAATACACTTCATGTCAGTCAAAGAGGAAATCGCAGTCACGAAGAGTAGGCGTTTTCGTCCTCTCGGAGCTACTTATTCGGTAGCCCCCGCCCGACGACGGCACTCGCTGGGACACCTCGGAATCCAGAGCCTGAATTGTGTTCTTAGCCAGAGGCTAGTCAGTAGCGAACACGGCCTTGTATGCCGTGAAGCTAGTTGGCCACTTCTGCAGCAAGTCTATTTCCCGAAAACACGCCCTCAGAGACGTCTATCCGGGTGGGCAGGCGAGCGTCCAAAAATGGCTGCCAGTTTGCAGCAACAGACGTCACGACGAGATGAAAAGCTGTGCAGGGATTTCTGGGCAAATCTGGATTACAATCGACCTAGTGAAGAAGCTTGCACAAATCTCGCATAGTCGGGTGCTTGAAAACATCCTTGACAGCAATCGGCAAGCCCGTCTTTCGTGCCAAAGCGACCAGCTTCATTGCACCGATGGAATCGCCGCCAATGCGGAAGAAACTGTCGTCGATGCTGATATTGTCGGGTTCCATACTCAGGACCTCGGCCCAAAGGCCTTGCATCAACCTTTCCGAATCATTTGTCGGCCCCCTACGCTCACCCTCAGCGCGACCCAACGCGGCGATGTCTTCCAGATCAAGAGAAGACCCGTAGTTGCGTAGGTGACGACGGTCAGTCTTCCCGGTTGCCGTCATGGGAATGTTTCGGATTGGAATGAAAACGCTCGGGATCATGAATGACGGTACCTGTTCGCCCAGTCTCTCCGCGACATCGCACGTTGCGCTCCGAACCGCCTTTCCGTAGTCTTGGTCGCTCATCATCTCTTGTGAGCCAAGACAAACAAATGCAACCAACATAATCCCGTGACTACCCACTGGCTTGATCGTCTCGGCGACGACTGTCATGGTTGTGCCATGAGAAGTAGTAGAAATCGCATCCTGTACATAATGTTCTACTTCTTCGAGCTCTACTCGCTGTCCGCGGATCTTGACCTGCGTGTCCTTTCGGCCCTTGAAGATGAGACTGCCATCTTCCCGGTACTGCACTAGATCTACTGTGCGGTATACTCGGCCGCGACGACCGGGTCGCTTGCCGGGAACGCCCCGAAGAAGCCACTCGGGGTCCTGGATGTAAGCTGCTTTTGTTTTTTCTGCATCGTTGACGTAACCTGCTCCGATGAGCGGTCCCTCCAGCCAAAGCTCACCTACCGTGCCAATAGGTGCCAACCTGTCAGGGTTCTCTGCATCAACAATCCAGGCACACGAGCCGCATGCAAAACCGAGGCCGCCGTCGCCTTCAGGAGTCAGATCCAAGATGATGCTGGTTGGCGTACACTCCGCCAGACCATATGCGCTGACGACGCGTGCCCCTGGACTGACGTACTGTGCGTCGCTTGGTAGGACGACCTCGCCGCCCAATAACATGGTGGACAGCCGCGTCAATGCCGCCTTTGGCTCGATATTGCGCAAGACAGATGGTGTGAAATCTGCCACCGTGATTTGGTACTTGTCCAAGCACCCTGCAATACCGTCTTGGCGCTCTTCAGGCGATGGTATGCACAAACATCCACCCGCTGTCAGGGTGTTGAGCATGTTAGACCACGCGACATCGAACGCATAGGATGAAAAGTCAAGCACGCGTGAATCGCTCCCAAAGCCGAGCAAGTCTCTCTGGTGAACAATGGCGCTGCAGAAATTTCCGTGAGTGACCATGGCACCTTTGGGCACGCCCGTGCTGCCGGATGTAAAGACGATGTACAGGACGTCGAAAGCAGTGACCTCTGGAAGGCGGACTTCGTGGTCCAAAGACAGCGCGAACTCGAATAGCCGCTCAACGTCCACCGACACGACGTGGTCAGCGCCAAGTTTGTTGGCAATGTCGGCATATGCCGCAGACGCCAGAACTGTCTTTGCCCGAACCTGTGTTACCATGGCTCGCAGACGCTCCTCTGGCTGGTTGGATGGATCTGTACCAACACACGCAGCGCCAGTCTTCATGACTGCCAAAGCAGAAACCGGCATCCACATGGATTTGTCAAAGAAAAGAGGGATAACATCACCCCTCCCAACCCCCGTCTTCCTTAGCTGATAAGCTAAAGTGGTGGATAAGTCGTCTAGCTGTTGATATGTGAGGGAACCATCCCACGCATGTATAGCTGTAGCCAACGGTTGTCGATGGACGGTTTCACGGACCATGCGAGGCACGTTGTCCAACACGCTTTCGGGGACCTTTTCGTTCCATGCCCAGACATCTTCGAGGTCTCTGCAGCTGAGCGTTGACACATGGTGCAGCTTGGATTGTCTCGCTACGGGGTTGAGAAGCTGCTGATGCACATGCTCGAACTGGTAAAACAAGCGCGTGACTTCCTTCTCGGACAGCGTGTTGGAGTCAAATATGATGCTAACGTGTGATCCAAACTGCGACTTGTTGTACTTGAACAGTATGGCAAAATCGCCCAACTGCTCCGGCTGAGCATCATCGTGGTTGATAGAAAGTATGCTCTGGAAGTCACATGCAAGAGCAGCCTCAGCGTTGATGCGACGAATGCGTTGCAGCCCGGTCCGTTTGAAAACGTCCAAATCCTGTCCTTGCTTCTGAATGAAATGAAGCAGACTGTTCACATTGTCGTCCCACATGATGGGTACGCGAACCGGTAGCAAGGCGTTGTCATCAGATACCATGCCAAATATTGCCTCTGATGAATCCAACATTGTTGCTACAAGGATGGCCCAAGCAGCTTTGATACAAGTGGCAGGTTCAATTTCGCCGTCGAGCGGGCCGCAGCCCTTTTGAAACAGAGCGACTTCTTTGTAGGCTCGTGACCGGCCGACTGCCGGTGGCGAAGGGAAATGACAACCCGTGATTCCTCGGAACTGGTCTTTCCAAAAGGCGGTGGTTGTGGCTTCATCAGTTCCAACCGTCTGTTTGTAGAAACCGTCAAAGACTGAGATGGGTGAGAGCCAACTTATCGAGTCACCATTGCTTTTTGGTAACTGGGTTTCGTAATTGGCCTGCAGCAAGTAGGTGATGGCTTTGAACAAAACGTCACACGCCTGGGCAGCCACGGCTTTCTGGATATAAGGTTCGCGATACTCCACCACAAGATCAATGTTGTCGCCGTCAATGCTTGCGCTGAGACTAATGTCAAACTAGAGAGCGTGTTAGTGACTCGAGACGCCAGGCACTTCGAATACGTGGTCAGAACAACTCACTTCGTGGGGATCTTCCCCGCCACTGGACTCGAATGAGAGGCTTCTGTTTTCAGAACTCTTCAGCTTGTCCGACGCTCTGATGGAGAAGGATGTGTTGAACAATTTCTTTCCCGACAGTCCTAGTTCGTGCTGGATCTCGGCCAGCGACGCATATTGCATTGCCAAGTGCTGTATCGACCTGCTAGACACCGACTGCAAGACCTGGCGGGGCGAATCTCGCAAATCGATGCGGCTGATGAGCAAATTTGCAAGGGGGCCGACAATAGCCTCAATGCCGTCTATGGGGACATCTCGGCCCGAAGCCAGGTAACCAAAGCACACCTCGTCCATGCCGGTAAAGGTTGCCAGGACCATGGCCCAGGCCACTTGGAAGAAAACGGCACGGGTGATGCCGAGATTCTTGCACAATTCAGTCACCTCGGCCAACTCCAACGGCGGCACGGGGATGTCACAATGGCGCTCTTCATTCGCAGACGAGTCGTGAACTGACAAGGGGAACTCGCATGGACTCACGCCAGTGAGCATGGAAACCCACGGAGCAACTCGCTTGCCATGGGGAATGCTGCAAATATGGCGCATCACGTCTCCGAACGGCGGCACGGCGGCAGGCGTGATGCCGTCGTAAAAGGAGATCAGATCTTGCAGCATGACCGACATGGAAGCAGCGTCTATGAGGGCGTGGCTGATGTCCAATCTGCAAGCTACTTCTCCACTGTCTGATTGGCAAATAAAGAACAAGTGCTGAGGCTCGTGGGCTTTGAACGTTGGTTTTGGAAGGCTGTCGAGCATGGCTTCTGGACTTGTTGAACCAGAACCAACAAACTTGACCTCAGAATTGGTGTTTTTCAAGACAATCTGCATGAAGTCGTCTCCTTCCGGGTGCAAAGCGAACACGGTAGACAAGATGGAATGCCTCTGTGCCAACTTGGTCCACGCGTTTCCGAGCCTTTGGGGCTCAATCCGCGTCGCCAGTCCCGGGGTGGCCAGGCAGCGCCACGTCGAACTGGTGGCGTATGATGCGATTCCCTTCTCTGAGCTCAATAGAATACCCTGTTGAAGTGGTGAGCAGGGCAGAATCTCCTCCACCGTGCCGGCCGGTATCCCCAAACTGGGAAGTTGACGGCAAAGTAAGGTGTCGAGAGCGCTGTACGACATTGGCAGCAATGGAAGGTCACTGAGAGTGAAGCTAACGGCCGAATTGCACAGTCTATCAACGGCGCGCTGCATGCATCTTCCAAACTCCTGTGCCCACTGTTGCAGGCGTTGTTGGTGTTTCATGTCCTTGTGAACCTGGAACGTCACCACGAGCCAGCCATCCTCCACATCGGCAGTGATCTCAATCATGGTCAGACGGTGAGCAGTCTGTGATACGTCGACCAAGTCGTCATCACTGTCGCCCATATGGTCAGGGCGCTTGAAGAGCCCCTCTTCCGCTTCGAGCTGTTGGAATCTCCCGGTGAAATTGAAGGTCACCTCGGGGATCTCCTGTCCCCGGGCAGCCTCACGGCCAGCTTCACTGTAGAACCGGCAAGCGAAGTAGGGCTGGCCCTTACCGGGGACCTTTCTTCTGATGTCCTTGGCAAATCTGATGGTTTCGATGAGGGAGTCATCTTCACCGGGCTTGACGGAGATGGGAATGGGGTGGAGAGTGGTGAACCATCCCACGGTTCCGGAAACATCGACAGGGAGATCCTCCGAGTGCTCCCGCCCGTGCCCCTCGAGCCAAATGACAGGCACGGATCTTTCCGGGAACACGTGGTGAAATGAGTGTGCCATTGTGCCGAGGAGTATGTCCATGGGCTCCGTCCGCAGGCATTCGTTGGCATCTCCAAACATCGCATCGGTGAGAGATGGCTCAAATGCCTCAGAGATTACGGTACAGTTCCCAAATGTGCTGTCAGATAAAGGCAGTCCCCAGAAATCCAAGTCTGGAAGTGGAACGCTGTATGGAAGCACTGAAATGGGAGAGGCGCGGCGGTTGGCTCTAACTTGACGCCTTAGCCATGATTTCCACGACGTCGATGGTGCCGATATCAAGCTGCCGTGCTGGATGTGGTCTTCAATGTCGCCCCAGATGATCCTCCAAGAGACAAGGTCAACTACAAGGTGGTGTGCCGAGAGAGTGACAAGTTGAACGTCACCAGCAATATTGAAGAAGTCACAAGCGAAGACTGGACCATGCTCAATGTCGAGATTTTCCTGTCGCCATTGCGACAGAACCATTGCTTCGTCCCGGCTAGAAACATTGTGCTCCGCAAAGGCGAAAGATGACGGCCCCTTGGGAGCTATGCTCTGCCTCCAAGACGCGCCCTCGGCCGGGCGATGAAAACGATTCCGCAAAATGGCATGGCGATCAACGAGATCCTGGATTGCTGCCAAAAACCTTGCGCCGGGAACATACAGCCCCAACTCTAGCACGAATTTTTGATTAAAGTGATTCAGCCCGGATGGGTAAGCATCAAAGAATAGTTGCTGGATGGGTGAGAGGTCAAAAGGTTCAGTTGCCTCTTCGTCGACTCCATCGTCGTCATCTGGCACCGTATGGCGAGACATGGACTTGCACTGTGACGCCAGCTTTCTGATGGTTCCCGATTGCAGGATATCCGCGACGGTAACAGAGATACTGTGCTGTCTACATTGAGCGACGATTTGCATTGCCGAGATGGAGTCGCCCCCTATTCTCGTGAAGGTCTTGGTGACGGAGATCTCCTCAGCCGACAAGTTGAGGACCGACATCCAAATCCGCTGGAGCCGCTCCTCGACTTCGCTTAGTATCTCGGGGGAGTCTGTCTTGTCGGGCAAGTTCCTATACTGTTTCCAAGCCGACTCGGCGATTTCTCGAAGCAGTCGTCTGTTCGCCTTGCCACTCGGCGTCATGGGAATCTTGCGTATCGGGATATATGAAGTTGGTACCATGTATACGGGGATTCGTTCTTGTAGGCGCTCATTGCTAGCAAGAACCAAACTTTGCACAGCTTCTTCATGCTTTTCATCTGTCAGCTCAGCTCCAGAGCTTTCTAGGGCAACAAATGCTACCAAGACGGCGCTCGAGGCTTCCTTTGGACGGATCGTCTCTGCAACTACGGTCACGGCCTTGATGTCGCCGTTTTTGACCGCGTTCATGCTATCCACAATATGGTGCTCGATATCTTCCAACTCGACGCGCTGCCCTCGTATCTTGACCTGTGTGTCTTTGCGGCCCACAAAGATGAGTTCACCGGCGTTCGTGTACCGCACGAGGTCACCAGTTCGATATAGACGGCCAGCTCGTCCGGGGTGGCCAGGGGCTCCTCGAGTAAGCCAAACTGGGTCTTGAACAAATGCTGCCGCCGTCTTTTCTGGATTTGAGAGATAGCCCTGACCAACAAGCGGGCCTTCAACCCAAAGCTCTCCAGTTTCACCGAGGGGGGCCAAGAGTTCTGGGTTGTTGACGTCAACCACCCAAGTGCAAGCGCCGGCGCCGCGGCCTATGGTGACTTTCTTGGAACAAATTTCAGACATTGTCACCGTAGGCGTGCACTCAGCTGGCCCATATACGTTGATTATGGTCGTGTCGTCTCCAGCCAGGAGAACATCGGTCGGGACGACGGCTTCGCCGCCCAGAATGAGTGTCGTCAGATCGCAGAGCACCTTGGGGCCCAACATGCGCGCAACCGAGGGCGTCAAGTCCACCGACGTCACATTGTACTTTTTGAAGCATTCGGCCAACTGATTTTCTCTCTCAAAAGCCGATGGTATGCAAAGACAGCCGCCGCTCGTCAACGCATGGATCAGGTTGCACCACGAGGCGTCAAAGGCATACGATGAGAAATCAAACACTCTCGAGCTGCGAGAAAACATCAGCGGCTTCTGCTGATACGTGATGGCTGAGCAGAAGTTTCGGTGTGACACCATCGCGCCCTTAGGAGTGCCAGTGCTGCCCGACGTGAAGACGGCGTACAGCATGTCAGATGGTTGTACGATGGGCAGCTCTGCGGCCGGATGCAGAGATTCGAGACATTGTTGTCCAGGCCCAACGGTCAACACGCCAGCGTTTTCGGACAACCTCCTCACCAAGTCATACTTTTCAACAGAAGATAGGGCTACCGGGGACTCGAGCTGCGAGACCAAGGAACGAATTCTGTCGTCCGGAAGCTTCATATCCACGGCGACGACACCGGCACCAGCCTTCATGACGGCTACCGCGGCCACGGGCATCCACATGGACTTTTCAAAGTATAACGGGATAAGACAGCCGCGGATTCCGAAGCCAACCAGCCTTTGTGCCAAGTTGTCAGACATTTCGGACAACTGGCCGTAGGTCAAGCCACCGTCCCACGCACAAATGGCAGGGGCAGAAGGGTCCTCCAGGACTCTCTGTGAAATCAACTCGTGGACACACAGTTCGGTGGGCTCCGGGACGTCTTTGTTCCAGGCCCAGATCTGATCTATTCCAAACGGAGCAAGGTGCTCAGTAATGATGCTGCGTAAAGTCTGCTTCCTCAGACGCTGATCGGACAAATGGCGAATCACTGTCTCCAAGTTGGCGGCAATGTGTGCCATTTTTGGCTCCGACACGATTTCCGAGTCGAATCCAAAACGAATGCCGACGCCCTGTGCTTCTAATTGGCATTCAATCACCAGAGCATAAGTACTGAAGTCTTGCCACTTGTTCCCGTTTTCTTCGCCTTGGACCTCTGTCAGGAATTCCTCCTCTGGCTCGAGACCGCCGCCATCACTCGGGGGCTGTACCACGAGGAGAGTCTGGAAGTTGCAGGCCAGACATGGCTCCTCACCCAGGCGACGGATATGCTGCAAACCCGTTTGCTCAAATGGGATCATGTCGACAGACTGACGCTGTATGCGATGCAATATTGACTCGGCGTCGTCGTCCCAGTCAAGCGTCGCGCGCAGAGGAACGGTGGCAATGGTAGGGCCCGTCATTCTTTCAATTTCCGGAACCGGAGCTTGCCTGCCTGTCACGGTGACGCCAAAGAGTGCTTCGTTGGAGTTGGTGTTGTGGGCAGACACGATACACCACGCCGCGCGAAGAATGGTTGACGAAGTAAAGTCACTGTTGGACCAGTCCATGTTGGACACGGACATTTCAAGCTGCTGATCAGGCCTCGGGTTGTCCGTGCCCTTGACTGTTGGGAAATGACAGCCCTGGATGCCAGCAAACTGCGTCCTCCAGTACTCGTTCCGAGTGTTCTCGTTGATGGTAGCCATGTATTCGAGAAACGCATCCATCGGCTCCAGGTCTTGGACTTCATTTCCGTAATACACGTCCTGCACGTCCTGGAGCAGCAAGCCCATGGACCACCCGTCGTATAAAGCGTGGTGGACCTCCCACAGCAGGAAAACTTCGCCTTTGGCGTTTTGCGGCAGAATGGAGAACCTGGTGAGAGGTGTTCCCAGGCCCATTGGCGGACTGTGATTGTCTCCCGCCTCAAAATCGGTCCAGTGTGTTTCTTCAGCGAGAACTGCCTGCACAATGCCAATTTCAGGAAGGCTGACTATGCGTGTGCGCAGAATCGAGTTCATCATCACAACGTGATCCCATGCTTTCCTTAGCTTGAGGACGTCCACGTTTCTGCTGATGCTGAAAAGGTTCCTCGCAACGTAATCTCCGGGGTGTTTAACGGTCAATGCCAACAGCCCTTCTTGCAATGCTGTGCAGGGGAGAACATCTATCACTCTTGAGTCTTCGATACCGCAGAGTCGAGAAACCTGGGAACGGACTCCTTCGCCCGTGAGCGGAGATGGTACTCCCAGTCTTCTGTCACGGTCAGTGTCTGAGCTATGTCGGCTGCAAATCTCCGACATATCCTTCAGAAGCGGGTTTTTGTAGACGTCTCTTGTGGTGATCCAGATGCTGGACGATCTAGCGGCTTTGCAGAGCAAGATGGCGTGAACCATGTTGCCTCCCATGCGGAAAAAGTGGCTGTCTCTGCTGATGATGGCCGGATCAACGTGCAACACCGCGCCCCAGGTTCTTTGCATCATAGATTGGACCTCGTTTTGGGGGTCATCATCATGCCGGAATCCGAGCCTGGGGTCTGAAGGATCCGAATCACACGGTCTCTCGTCTAATTCGGAATCGTCCAAGCTGGCACGGACGACGCCGGCTTGGACGTCTTGGCCGTGGCCCAAAACCTGGATTGTTCCATCCGGCCTGTATTTGGCCAGGGCACCGGTCCTCAGTAATAGTCCCGTGCGACCTGGGTGGTTCTGACTGCCCTTCAGCAGCCATGCAGGGTTTTCCACAAAACAAGGCTCCTCATCAACGCCGCCTTGACCTCCTAATATAGGTCCTTCAAACCAGAGCTCACCGACTGTCCCGATGGGCGCAAGCGAGTCTGGATCGTTGGTATCAACGATCCACAGACACAGCCCGTATGCTGGCTCGGAGAATGAGATGTCATCCTTACTGGGCTCATACGCGGCCAATGACTTGATGGAAGATTTGAATGCGTTGGACCCCCACTCTCCATCAAAGACACCGGAGTCACTAGAGAAAGTCTGGTCCTCCAAGGTGTAGGGGATGATGGTCTTGGTGATGGGAATGACCGAAGCCAGCTTGGCACATCCATATGCACTCAAGACTGTCCGCTCGCTCTCTCTCGGACTCACATCCGGAAAGCTAGCCTCGCCACCGAAACAGCCGACTTGAACCAGCGTCGATACGTCTTCGCAACTCGGATCATGAGCCCGATCCGGCGTCACAAAGGCGCAGTTGGCATTGCCGGGTGCTGAGCTGGGCACAGAGTCACGATGAGGTGAAGGCATACAGAGACAGCCCCCAGAACATAACGTGTGAAGCAGGTAGCACCAGGCCACGGGGGACGCGTATGAGATGTGATCAAGGGTGCGAGTGTCTTTGCAGAATCCCAGCGCCCTTTTCTGATATACAGCAGCACTGCTGAACTGGCTGTGGGTAACGATAGCTGCCTTCTGAGACGCGGCCGATGCTGGATCAAGAGTTGCAAACAGACCATCTGAAGGGGTCACTTTCGGCAACCGGGACGACGTGGACTTTGCCGAAAGCCCCAGTAGGAACTGGCGGTCCAGAGTAAGGATGTCTTGCATCCCGGCGTCCGCCAATGCCGGAGCATGTGCCGCGGACGCGAGACAGAGGGAGAATCGGGTGCAGGATGCCCAGCTCGCGAGTTGACAATGCGAGCCGTCGACGGCAACGGATACTCCGCCGGCCTTCATGACGGCCATGACGGCAACGGGCGCAAGCTGTGACTTTTCAAACGACAAGAGCACATGGTTTCCGACTCGGAGGCCAATGTCGACGAGGTGAAGGGCCAGCTTGCTAGAGACAGCGTCCAGCTCCTTGTACGTCAAGTCTCCGTCCCAAGAGCAGACGGCTTGGCGGCCGGGAAACTGCCAAACGGTGCGCTTGACGAGAGCGTGGACGCACGCCTCGACGGTCTCGGGGACTGCCGCATTCTGAGACCAGATGTCTTCAACAGACGCTGTCCTCGGCCTCTGCTGGGATTCTGTGAACATGACGGCCTCCTGAGCGGCAAGAATGGGCAAGCAATCGGTTGGGTTCCAGGCTCAGACCTACGATATCAAGTAGGTACCAGCCACCGTGCAGAATCACACAAAACACCAGGGCAAAGGGAGATTTTACTAATCTCGAGAACGAGGCAGGATTTGATATGCCAAGAACCGCAAATGTGACTGTCAGCCTGGCGGGGGAATTTCAATCCACGATGAAATCTGGTGCGCGCCCCCTTGAGGATATTAAAACCAGTCCAAGTCCACGACGGCACGCAAATGCCAGTACGTAATCCAGCCCAGACGTCGCATGGCGTAGGCAGCAAGGAAGAACCTGGTCTAGATCTACGGCATACATACGACGCACCGAGAATTTGCAAAAAAAAGAAACCACATTATTATGCGGCACGTAGTCGAAGCTGCAAGCATGTACGGCAAAGGAAATAGCCGCAGACGAGCATGACCAGACTTGCGGATTCCACACGCCGAAATCACGTCATGAGGTTTTCTGATTGCTCTCTGATGAAACGGACCCCACGGCGCAATTGGTAAATTAACCTGGTTTCTCGGGTTTTACACGATGCGTGGTAATATATGTCCCCAGGGTCCAAGTCGCAGGGCAGAAGGGCTGTCGACCTGGCTTTCGGGTGGCACTGACATGGCGTTTTAATCCAGAGTCAGGGCCAATGACGCTGGAAGCTGGCTCGTAAAAGGTCACTGGATCGATTTTGCCTGTAGCAAAGTTTCGTCTTTGGCGCGTCTTGTTGGGAAAAGGGGGCGGCGAGCTGAGATGATGAGCCCGCCTTTTCAGCCTTTCCCGGGTCATCATTGCCCCAAGATTCGCTCGCCGTCTAGACCCTAGTCCCATCTCGTCCCTCGCCAAGGCACCGGGGGGGAGAGAAGAGGAAATTTTAGACGGCCGAGCGGAGGCGAAAACCGACGCCCGCGCGCTTTGCCAGTCACCCGACTGCTGAACATTGTGGCTTGAAACAACAAGACAACTACAGGTGCAGACAACTCATGGTGTTGAAAAGTCCGAGACGGTATTTTTAGACTGGACAGCCGTGTTGCGAATCTACTGGCTGGCTGGGAAATCAAGGCCGCCGGCCTGAGGTGCTGTGTAAGCCACAGGCCGGGGCCGCGACAGCTTGGATCTCGCGTTCCCGTCGTGAGCTTGGATCGTCCAACGCACTTTATACCAGCTCCTCCGATGGGCATGTAACGCTGAGACGGGGGCGGCATGTCTGTAGCCGTTGACAGCGTTACATGTGCCACATTCCAGAACCGTGGACGGCAACGCACGACGAGTCCCAAAGTAAGCGTCACATGGCATGCCGCGAGACACGGCGAGTGGAGACGAGCCCGTTGTGGGATAAACGATTTAAACTGCATATCCGAGGTGAGATCGCTCCTGGCTGGGCCGTTAACCGCGGCCTCGGAACCTCGAGGCCCCGTCGAGCCGTCACATCCGCAGACCAGACGAGACGAGACGAGACGAGACGAGACCTTGGATTCGGATCTGAACTGGATGCCAGGTGGACTCGGGGCGGGCTATCTGAGATTTGCCGTCATGTCGGTTCCAAACCTCGTCCCAGACTCCCAGCGTTGGGGCCATGGCGTTTCTCACCTGCCGAGCAATGACAGTTGTTAGTCCGAGACTCCAAGTAGCCAGGGGACTGCTCGGGGCCAGAAAAGCTTGTGTTGGATATGGGCCGGCACGAATGGCGCCATGCAGCCAATTTCTGTGCAACGGCCCAACCAACCTTGTCCATTGCCCGACTTGGCTGACGCCACGGCCAGGCATCGAGGCGGATTGTTCCAGCCCGGCACTGAGACAAATGTTCCCTGCAGGCAATAGAATGTGGGGAAGACCTTGTTGGCAGATGTTCTCTACAATGCGTTCGCGGTCAACGCCCGCTCCAAGTTTCGTGTTTATGCAAACCTCGCCGGACATAAGCACGAGTCAGCGAGGGACATGTTGCATTCGAACCGGGGTTTTGCGTCCCCCGCGTCAAACGTCGTCCCAAACCGTCCATGTTGCGGGCGAAGAGCTTACGTCAACGCTCAGAAACCAAGTCATGGTCATGGGAAACAGGCGTGATTCCCGTGTGAGTGGGTGGGAAGCGTGAGGGAACCGCCGCGGCTAGATGCACCACGTAGCATCCGCCAAAGGGAGCGTTCATGTTATAACTAGATCCAATGTAAGGTAAGCTGACAGCCCCAGCTGAGGACAAGACGGATCGGACAAGAGACGTGTCTTTTCCGACGGGGGATAAATGTTTCCGTCGCGGGAGACTGGCAAACGAGATGGTGTGCGGATTCATCCGCTCGGCACCGCGGCAGCACACGCGTGTCTATTCCGCCGAAGCTATCAAATGGTGGCGCTGCTTACCACACCGGCATGGTAGATGGCGAATGACGTTTCTTTGTTCATATAGGGAAAGCTTTGCTTGGCTCTCCTCGGGGCACGGCGTTTGCGGGCAACCTCCTGAGCGAGTGAGTGGCAGATAGGAAACCCTTTCCTTCGTCCTCGGTCCCCCAGCTCTTGTGGTCTTGCTCATCTTGTCACCACACGAGTCTCACGAATAGGAAATCAGTTGGCGTACACCAAGCATGAATTGCTCCGCCCTTGTCAATGACCGCTTTGGCCCAGCCGTTGGTGACGACTGTCCTGGCCGGTTCGACTTCACCCTGTTGTTTGAGGAATTGATATTATCGACAGTTCCTTTGGGCATAGCATGTATGTTTCTCGGGGGGGTTTGACTTTGATTCGAGTTTGATATTGATATAGCTTATCCCTAGGTTCCTGGGCGGCGATCCGTCTGCATCGGCTGTGGGACGAGGCTGCCAAAGTCGACAAGTCAGCAGTGTTGCTATTCAAGTTGGTATGACGTCGTGGTACCCTTCGCTTCTGCGACTCGTGTGTCTTGACGCTATGCATATAGGCGCTCTATGTTCTGATCACGTCGTTGCAAGTCGTGCTCTTGGTGCTGTGGCAAACCGGCCGTGTGGACAGGAGCCGATTTACTCTTCCATGTCTGATCCTCGCGCTGCCCGGCCATGTCCTACTGTCGGTTCTATCATGCCTGGAGCACGTGCGATCAGTTCGCCCGTCGACTTTGTTATGTTTGTACCTTGGCGTGACCTGTCTCCTGGACATGGCTCGCGTTCGCACCGCGTTTCTGTTCCTGAACAGCCCGGCCGTGTCTTGGGTTCTGCTTTTCTGCTTGGTTGTAACACTGTCCCTGCTTCTCCTCGAGGTGACCGAGAAGCGGCACTTGTTGAAACCAGCGTGGAAAAGCGCCGGCCCTGAAGAGGTGGCGGGAATCGTCAACCGCGCCTTTTTCATATGGCTCAACGGCATTTTCATCAAGGGGTTTCGCACGCTGCTCACCGTTGACATGCTATCGCCGCTTGACTCTGAGATGCTGGAAGCTTCAAGCCCCACGAAGCTTGTATCATCTTGGAAAAGAGGTAGCAAAGCCCTCGAGGCACAACAACCCTCTTGTCAGGCAACAGGACAGGCGCTAACTTTGCTCGGCAGCAAATCAGGAAAAGGAGCATTCTCTGTTCCTCACCTTCCTATGGCACTACAGGTGGGCTCTTCTGTCGGGGACCTTGCCGAGACTGGCCTACACCGGCTTCAGCTACTCGCAGCCGTTTCTTGTTGAAAGAGTACTGGATTTCGTGAGCGAAGACCGGGAGCCCGACAGCAACAAGATCGCGTACGGACTTATTGGAGCATATGCGATTGTCTACGTGGGCTTATCTGTAGGCCATTTCTCGCATCCCCTCGTCTCGCGGCATGTCTAACTCGCCAAACTAGCTGGCATTTGCGGTCTACCAGCACAAGACATACCGACTGTTGACGTTGTACCGCGGCAGTCTTACGGCCATGATATTCAGCAAGACGCTCAAGATGAGCGCATCGTCCACCTCGGAGGCGGAAGCTATCACGCTCATGAGCGCAGACATTGACCGCATCGGGTCGAGCATGTCCCTCATACACGAACTCTACGCCAGTGTCATCGAGCTCGCGCTTGCCCTGTGGCTCCTGTACAGGTTGCTGGGAATGGCGATCCTCGCCCCCATCGTCTGGGTCATTCGTACGTCAGAGACCACGTGTGCTGCCGCGTATTCCGTGATTCCAGTAGCTCACGCCGACTAGTCTGCCTCGTAGCCGCCATGCCCCTTGCCAGGGCGGCGGCCAATGCCCAGATCCCGTGGCTCGAGGCCATTGAGACGAGGCTGACGGGAACTGCCAAGGCGCTTGGCAACATGAAGGCCATCAAGATGACGGGGCTCACGGACATTATATGCTCACGCATTGCTGGTCTTAGAAACGACGAGATCAGGGCGTCTCTGCGTCACCGAGTCTTGAACATTCTGGTTTTCATTTCTTGTATGCCGCAACTTGGGTGAGGAGCCTGGCTCTACGTGTACTGGCGCTGACTGCAACGGCAGACTTTGCCTCGACCGCATTGGCACCGGTATGGGCCTTTACGGCGTTCATACTCATCGCAAAAGCCCGTGGCTCTGAAACACTGACCGAGGGCGTCGCCTTTGCCGTTCTCAGCATCTTTGAGCTCCTCAACCAGCCAATAATATACATGGTGGACGGGGTCGAGCACATCCAGACCGTCATCAACTCGTTTCGGCGCATCCAGAATTACTTGACTTCCCCAGAGCGGCAGGACCAGAGACATCTCCCAGCGCCAGCCATGTCGTCCGAGTCCAGCGTCTCGGGCAAAGATGGCATCCATGGCAAGGGGTTGCAGGATGAGAAGGTCTTCAGTCCGCAAGCCCAGTGCCCTGGTGTAATGTTGTCCCTGGATGAGGTGTCGGCAGGATATAACCTAGAAGAAAAGATGATCCTCAAGGACCTGAGCTTCAAAGTCGGGCACGGCCAGGTCACCATCATCGCAGGGCCAGTAGGGTGCGGCAAGTCCACGTTGCTGCGAGCGATTCTCGGAGAAGTCCCTTTCAGGGGTTCAATTGCGGCTGGATTTCGAACGGCCGCGTATTGCCCCCAAACCCCGTGGTCAACTTGGGGCACGGTCAGGAACAACATTGTCGGGGTGTCGCCTTGGGACAGAGCCTGGTACGACACGGTTGTAGATGCGTGCGCCCTCAACGCAGACTTTAGAGAGTTGTCCAACGGAGACCAGACGATGACCGGGACTCGCGGCTCACAGCTGAGTGGAGGGCAGCAAATGAGAGTGGTAAGGAGCGCCCAAGTCCGAGCCTCGAGAAAATACCCCGTGTACTAAGCACCACGACCACGCAGTCTTTCGCCCGGGCTCTGTATTCGCGGAACCCAGTCATGGTCCTGGACGACGTCTTGACGGGCCTCGACAGAACCACTGAGAGGCACATCATAGACAGGGTCTTCTCCAAGGACGGAATGCTGAAGCAACTGAGAGCGACGGTCATCATGGCTTCCAACTCGGGTGAGTGGTGCTGTGTGCACAAGACTGCTTGAAGCTGACGTTTGTAGCGCACCACCTGAGTCTTGGGGATCAAGTGATAGTCCTTGATGAAGGCGGCAAGATGGTCAGCCAGGGGGCTGCGAAGGCTGTTTCTTTGCCGACGTCACCAATCCAGCCAGAGGGCGTTGCGCAATCACAGCCGGCACCCAAGGAGACGGACGACGACGAAGCCGAGATATGGCAAGAGATTGACATGCTGATTCATCCCTCGACAGAGGAGAACCGGCATGCTGGCGACATGAGGATCTATGGATATTATGCAAAAATCGCAGGGCGGTGGACTATAGGCGTATACCTGTTTGCTTGCTGTATATTCGTATTCGGCATGACGTTTCCGTGTCAGTATATCCATTCCATGGCAGCATCGTCCCAACCCTTCTTCCCCCCGGAGCAGCAGATGCTGAGACAGAACAGCCGTTTGGATGCAGTGGTGGACAAACGCCAACGCAGAAAACCCGAATGAGAGAACGGGCTATTGGCTGGGAGTATACGGAGCGCTCGCGGCCTTGACAATCCTGGGCTGTGCTCTCGCAGACTGGTAATTGCCCACACGCCAGCATTGGCTCTCCTGTGCTGACTCTACACAGCACGTTCAACTTGGTCGTGCTGCCAAAGACGTCTCGAAAGTTCCATCAGCTGCTCCTGGACACCACGATGCGGTACGTACGTCTTGAGCAAAGGCAACTCTGCGGCAGACTGACCGTGGTTTGAAAGCGCACACATATCGTTCCTCACTTCGACGGATGCCGGCACAACGCTCAACAGGTACGTACGAACAAGAGTGCGTACACAGATGGCCGTGGTGCCGAACTGACGTGCCGTTGCCATTAGGTTCAGTCAAGATCTGGAGCTGATAGACAACGACTTGCCGCAAGCCATGGACCAGACAATCTTCCAGTTCCTGTCTGCCATCGTCTCCGCAGTCCTCGTCTTCATCGGATCGAGCTACATCGGCGCAGCTATCCCCTTGTGCATCGCCGCTCTTGTCTTCGTGCAGTTTTACTACCTGCGCACTTCGAGGCAGCTCCGGCTCTTGGACATTGAGACCAAAGCGCCGCTGTTCTCGCAGTTCCTGGAAACCGTCAACGGCGTCTCCTGCATCAGGGCATACGGCTGGTCGGACGCGTACATGGAGAGGAGCTGCTTGGCGTTGAACGTTTCCCAAAAGCCGTACTACCTACTCTGGTGCATCCAGCGATGGTTGACGCTGGTCCTGGACCTCTTCAACGCAGGCCTTGCGCTCCTCCTGGTCGGTATCGCGACCAACATACGCGGGAGTGCGACGAGTTTCCTCGGCGTGGCGCTCTTCAACATTGTGACCTTTAGCAGCACTCTCCAGACTCTCGTCACGGAGTGGACTCAGGTAGAGACTGCTCTGGGCGCCATCAATCGCATCCGGTCGTTCGTCTTGAACGTCAAGGACGAGAATCTCCCCGGGGAGAAGGGCGAGGTGCCCCAGAGCTGGCCGGCGACGGGACACGTCGTATTCGACAACGTCTCGGCCTCGTACAAGTCTGCGGCCGAGCCGGTACTCAACCAGGTTTCTTTCCAAGTCGAATCCGGCGAGAAAGTCGCGATTTGCGGAAGAACGGGAAGGTAAGATACGCCGTACATGTATATCTTCGGCCCTGGGGGGGCGGGGGCGAGTCGTCCGATACTGACGAGTCTGCCGAACAGCGGAAAGTCGTCGCTCATAGCGACTCTGCTCCGACTTCTGGAAGTGGACGGCGGCAAGATATGCGTCGACGGCATAGACGTCAGCACCATTCCGCGGCAGGAAGTACGTCGCAGGTTGAACACGGTGCCGCAGGACTCGTTCCTCCTCGCGGGCAAGCTGCGGGAAGACCTGGACCCCTTCCGGTCCGCCACAGACGAGGAGCTCGTCGACGTCCTCGGCGCAGTGGGCTTGTGGGACATTTTCGAGCCGGTTGGCGGGTTGGAGAGCGACATTGGGGAAGACATGCTGTCGCATGGCCAGCGTCAGTTGTACTGCCTCGCTCGCGCCGTCGTCAGACAGAGCCCCATACTCGTGCTCGATGAAGCGACGAGCAATGTTGATGCCGACACCGACAAGGCCATGCAGGAGCTGTTGCGGAGCAGGTTCAAGGACCAGACCGTCATATCTGTGGTGCACAAGTTGCAGAGCGTGCTTGACTTTGACCGCGTCATCTTGTTGGAGAACGGGCGGCTGGTGGAGAGCGGGAAGCCAAGAGAGTTGCTTTCAACGCCGGCGTCAGCTTTCCTGGCCTTGTATCAAAGCTTGGAACCTGGCCACGGGGCTTAGGTTTGGATCCTTGCACATTGCTTGTCTTATACGTCAAAGGAGGCGTGACGTGGCTTACTCGGTGTCTCTTGACCGGAAAATGGTTGCCGAATGCAGGCTACATAGACGAATGGGCAGAATTATAGAGTTTCCTGTGTCTTGTCACCCGTGAATGCTTTGTCCTGCTGGCTTCTTGCGATGTCCGGTTTCGCTCGGCGGCGGCAGGCCAACCCGACTCAGACAACACGATGTCATTCCCGACTGCGAATAGACAGACGGGACGGGACGGGCTTTTCGAAACAGACACACCGGGACCCCTCGTACCGGAGCGATAACCAGATGGAATAGGCAGACAGTCACGTGTGGAGAGTCTTGTGGTACAGGCCCCGGGGTGATCTGGCGAGGGATTTATAGCCAGGCAGCCCAACGCACGAGGTTGGGCTGAGACAAGGGCAATACACCAAGGAACACCACACGACGCCCATGACGATCCGCTGCTCCCAGTCCAGTCCAGCCGAGCCCCGTCCGGACACCAAAGAGCATGCAGACAGAAATACTCGTGCCGGTGGCTGCCGCGGCATTCCTCGTCCTGCTTTACAAACTCGTCCTGCAGCCAGCCTTGCTCAGCCCGCTCGCAAAGATTCCCACGGCCCACTGGTCCTGCTCCCTGTCCAACTGCTGGATCCTGCGTGTCAGAAAACGGGCCGAGGAAAATGAAACCCTCTTCCGGCTTCACCTGCGGCATGGTCCGATCGTCCGGGTGGCGCCCAACACGTTGAGCGTGGACGGGGTCGATGCCCTGCGGGCGATATACCAGGGGGGTTTTGAGAAATCCGACTGGTACAAGGTCTTCGATAACTACGGGTGCGTCGGCGACGAGCAAACCCTCGGGCGAGCATTGCGACACGACGTATGGGTTGCTAACTGACACGGCGTAAGCGTTCCGCACATGTTCTCAACGTTGGGATACAAGGAGCACTCGCGTCGAAAGCGCATCATGTCCAACGTGTACTCCAAGTCGTACATTCACGCGTCGGCTCCGGCGCGAGCGCAGAACAGGGCCGTCTTGCTCGGGAGGCTGCTTCCGCTGCTGAGACAGGAGGCGGCAGAGGCCGACGCCCGCGGCACAGAAGTACAGTCCGTGTTTATGGCGACGACGATGGATCTCATCTCGTCGTATATTTTCGGCATGCGACGCAGCACCAACTTCATCCAGGACAAGACGTATCGAGACCACTGGCTGCGGCTGTATCTCTCGCGACACCGTCACCACTTTTGGCCTCAGGAGCTTCCTGGCCTGACGAGGCTTTGTACGAGGCTAGGCATTCGACTGTACCCGTCGTTTGTCGACGCCGCCAACGAGGAACTACGACTGTGGAACAAGAGCATGTGTGACGAGACGGAGAGATGGGTAAGTGACGGGGCCGACGGGCCATGCCTGCCGGCCGACGAGGCCGTCGTTTTCGAGGCGATGCATGCGGGCATTGACAGGGAGGAACAGGCCGAGGGAGAGGCTTCACTGCTCTACAGCACGCTGATACAGCAGAGGAGTTTGGCGGTAGCCAGCGAGGTCCTGGACCAACTGCTGGCCGGCCATGAGACCGCGGGCATTGTGCTGACCTATATCGCGTGGCGGTTGTCTCGGTCGCCCGACGTCCAGCACCAGCTCCGGGCAGAGCTGCTTTCCGCGGTCCCACGCTCCAGCCAGGCTGCAGATGACGGCTGTGCGCTACCGGAGCCCCCAGAGCTGGATGCCTTGCCCGTTCTGAATGCCGTTGTCATGGAGACGCTCCGTCTGCACGCGCCTATTCCCGGGCCGCAACCCCGGTGTACGCCGCGTCCGGGCTGTCAAGTCGGGGGCTACGACATCCCGGGCGGCGTGCGGATCGCGTCTCTAGCACACACGCTTCACCTGGACGAGAGGGTATACCCAGATGCGAGGAGATGGGACCATGCGCGATGGCTGGCGCAAGCATCGGATGCCGAGACAAGGAAGCTGATGAACAGGCACTTTTGGGCGTTTGGGAGCGGAGGACGTATGTGCATCGGCTCGAATTTCGCACTTGCAGGTACGTACGTATATTGAGAGAACGAGGCGGGATTCGCGATTGACAGGTGTGCGTTGTAGGCATCAAGAGTATTGTCGCCGTCATTTACGCCAATTTCACAACCTCGGTTGTAGATGACGATGGCATGGAACAGACGGACGGGTACTCATCCAGACCGGCAGCTGAGCAGCTGTACCTGAAGTTTGCTGCTGTGTAGATAAGTAGCGTGCGACAATCGCAGCAAAGCGTTGAGGTCGATCGACTCGAGAGAGCATCCTCGTTTCTTGAGCGCGATTTTGCGTGATTGCTCGTGGCAGTTGGTCACGTGATCGGCTTACTGCGTGTTGATGCCCACCGGCTGCTGGCATCTAGTTATCTCACTCTGCCGCTTTCATCGTTCGTTTCGCGAGTCTCACCTGTGCACCATACAGCCCTCGACTGCTCATTCATACATCCGCGCCAGATGTTGCGGGATCCGCAGGTCGGGCCTTGGCCCTTTGATGAGTGACGGCCTTTTTCGAATCCCGCGAAACCAGGCGGCCACCGACTCCTCCGGGTTCGACTTGACCTAGACGGTATAGACAGCAAGGCGAGGGCGCATCGGCATACCTAGCCATGTCGTTCGATGGCGTGGGGGGCCACGTGCTCACGGTAAGGCGGCTAAGCCTCTGAGGACAACGCGTCCCTGACAGCTTGGCCTTTCGGATCAAGGCTAATCAGCAAAAGGCCGCTGCGGTTGCCACCGTCGCCGTTGACGTGATAGTTCACCCAATCGACACCATCATCACAAGGGTTCAGTCACCAGCGTACAAAACCCAGTATCGGCAGCTCGACGGCGCCTTTCACCGCAATCTTTTCCTGGGGCTCTACCAAGGCTTCGGGCCGACTCTGCTCGCCGGCATACCGGCCTCCGCAGCCTTCTTCTCCGTCTACGAGGCGTCCAAAACGCTCTTTGAACGATGCCAGAGGTCGGGCCATTTGGGACATATCCCCCTGCCCATTGCACACGCAGTCAGCAGTGCGGCCGCTGACCTTGTGGCGTGTGCCATTCTCAATCCCGCAGAAGTGCTCAAGCAGAACGCCCAAGTGTCCACGACAGAGGGCCTGCCGCCCGGTCGACGGTCGCATGTTTTGAAGGCCCTGCGGCGGTTCTCGAGGCAACCCACGCGTCTGTGGACGGGATACACCATGCTGGTGGCGAGTTCCCTGCCTGGGACGAGCCTGACTTTCAGTCTGTACGAGTGGTTCAAGCAGAAAATGACGCGACGTGACGAGGCTGCGTCGCAGGACATCCCGTATCAGATCAAGCTCAGCGCCGCGAGCGCCGCCGTTGCAGCTGGCTGTGCGTCGTGCATATTCGTTCCGGTGGACGTTGTCAAGACGAGAATGAGATTGGCCGCGGGGGACGAACCGGCCGCCACGACCGACAGGGCGGCGGCGCTCAGACCAAGCCCCATTGCCGCGGCGAGACACGTTTTGCGGATGGAGGGGGTAAGGGGCCTGTTCAGAGGATTGTCCTTGACAGTTATTTCTGGCGTGCTGGGCGCTGGCGTGTATTTGGGCTGCTATGAAGGCTGTAAGTTGTACCTAGGACGAGAAAAGGGCGACAGTGGAGTGTTCACGGGGTAAAGACGCGTTGGATCCGGCGTCGACGACTTGATCTTTAGCCCGCGGCATTCGCTCCGACGGGGGATGACATGCACAGTAGAATACCGCTCGTGTCTGATTTCAGATTTCTCAGGCTGACCCCAGCTTGACGCAGACGGATTGCGCAAAGCTGGCCTTGGACAGGCGAGCATGGCGATGGAACGAGCCAACGATGGCCTTTGGTGTTCTTGACGACGCAAGTTGCGGCGTTCCGGACTGTCGGTAGGCACCCGATATTTGCAGTTATAATCTCCAACCTCGATTCGCACAACTGAGCCCATACATACGTCGCACTAAGAGATGTACTTGTCGAACCTGTGCTCGGCCAGGTCGCCAAGCATGGACAAGACGAACTGACGCGCCTACCTGGTGGTTGACGACGACGCCCCGTGGACCCGATCCGGCCACGCCCGAAGTTTACGTTGAACGGTGCCCATGGCGGATTGTTGTTGAGTGGCCCGTCGGCTAGTGTGAGGTGTTGTTCCGTCCATACGGAAAAGTCATGTTCAATATCGGTGCTGCGGTTGGTCATGGCAAAAGAATCGCTCGGGTCCCTCTGCTAGCACCACGCAATGTAACCCAACAGTTGCAAGTTGAATAGATGCTCCATGCGCCGTACGTCCGACCTAACCCACGCGGCATAGCGTCGTCAAACTTAATCTCATCGGGAGCCAGTACCTGCTCGGTTCCACCACGTCGGTCAGGGGAAGGGGAGACAAAGGGGCCAGCCATCCACCATGCGCGCCCATGCCCATGTCCACGACTCCAGCCAGCTCACTTGCAGCATCTCGCCTGCCATTTCCGTGCATGAAATGAACCGGTGACCCAAAAAAGCGGGCAGTCTTGGTGTTTGCGAGCGAACCGAGAGGCCCGGGACCCCTTCAACTCACAAGGCGAGTGAGTCTATCCCAAGGCGAAGACGACATGTCGCCAATCAGGTTCCACGGCCTCAGCACGGGATGATACGCCAAGTTGCCAACTATCAAAATTAGGGTTACCGCTAACTCCAAGCAATGCGGTCCGTGAAGCCGCGACGGACGAGCGAATGGGCGGGCTGAAGCGGACGGCGCTGCTGGCGCATATAAGTCAAGCGTGAGACGCCCAATGGTGCCTCCGTCCGTAGACGCCCATCGTGTTTGTTGTTTCGAGAATCTGCAGGCGCCCACTGCCACCGAATCATGGTCTCTTTACCTGGCTGTGCTCAGGGCGCCCTGGTTCTGGCTGCCGTCGCGGCCGCCGGAGCTCATCTGCCGCCGATTCCATCCGACTTGACAACTCCAGTCCAGCAGCGGATCGCCGTTGACGGGCCCAACAGTTAGTTCCCACGTCCCGTCCCCCGATACGTGCAGCAAGCGACCTGCTCCGGTGTCGCGGCAGGTCACGGACGACCACAAGACGCTGGCTGACCAGGCGCGGTCGTCGTCGGAACAGGCATCGCTGTGAGCTGGAACACCTACGAGAAGCTGGACCAGGCCTGCGTCAAGTATGGCGCGCCCGACTGCTCGTCGTTGACGGAGCAAGTGTGCTCGAGCACCCCGGGAACGACATATCCGTCCTCCCGCACCTGGTTCAACTCGGTCACCCTGACGGGGTTGAGGCCGGCCACCAAATACTGCTACCAGATTGTGTCGACCAACTCGACCAAGGCAACCTTTCTCAGTCCGCGGCAGGCGGGCGACAAGACGCCCTTCTCGATAAACGCCGTCATCGACCTCGGCGTGTACGGCGAGGACGGCTACACCATCCAGATGAAGCAGGACAAGCGGGACGAGATCCCGTCCATCCCCCCGTCCCTCAACCACACGACCATCAAGCGCCTGGCCGACACCATCGACGACTACGAGTTCGTCATCCACCCGGGCGACCTGGCGTACGCCGACGACTGGGCGCTCAAGGGCCACAACCTCCTTGACGGCAAGAAGGCCTTCCAGGCCATCCTGGAGCAGTTCTACGACCAGCTGGCGCCCATCTCGTCGCGCAAGCCCTACATGGCCAGCCCGGGCAACCACGAGGCCGTGTGCGAGGAGATCCCGCTCACGTCGGGCCTGTGCCCAGACGGCCAGAAGAACTTCACCGACTTCATGACGAGGTTCGGCAGCAGCATGCCCGCGTCGTTCGCGTCGACGTCGCCCGACGCCGCGGCCAGGGTGAGCGCCAACAGGGCGCGGCAGCTCGCGCGCCCCCCGTTCTGGTTCTCCTTCGAGTACGGCATGGCGCACGTCGTCATGCTCGACACGGAGACGGACTTCGCCTCGGCCCCGGACGGGCCCGGCGGATCGGCCGGCCTCGACTCCGGCCCGTTCGGCAGCCCCGGCCAGCAGCTCGACTTCCTCGCCGCCGACCTCGCCTCGGTCGACCGCAGCGTCACGCCGTGGCTCATCGCCGCCGGCCACCGGCCCTGGTACACGACGGGCGACCAGGCCAGCGACCCCTGCGAGCCCTGCCGGGCCGCCTTCGAGGGCCTCCTGTACCGCTACGGCGTCGACCTCGCCGTCTTCGGCCACGTCCACAACTCGCAGCGCTTCATGCCCGTCGTCAACGGCACCGCCGACCCGGCCGGCCTCGACAACCCCCGCGCGCCCATGTACATCGTCGCCGGGGGCGCCGGCAACGTCGAGGGCCTCAGCGCCGTCGGCACCAGGCCCGCCTACACGGCCTTTGCCTACGCCGACGACTTCAGCTACGCCACCATCCGCTTCGTCGACCCCCAGAACCTCCGGGTCGACTTTTACAGGTCCTCCACCGGCGAGCTGCTCGACTCGTCTACCCTGCGCAAGGCTCACGACCGCCGCTTCGTCCGGCAGTAAGTAGGCTGCAGGCAGGCGGGCAGGCAGGCAGGCAGGGGCCTGGCCGTGCAAACCAAGTCCGTGGGCCGTAGGTAGCAAACGTGTGCTCATGTTGCTTTGTCTGCTGGTATCCATCCGTAGGGCGAACCCGACCACCCACTCGCATCTCGCACGTGAAACATGCCGATGTTGATTCGTCGACACGCAGGAGGAGACGGACAAACCACCTTTCGACGTCACCGGCCGTCTCCTTTCCCGCATCTACACTGAGCCCAGGGGCAAAGCAAGAAGAAAACGCTTAGCTTAGATTTCCAGTATTCCAGGCAGTGAAAACCCGTCCAGATATCAAGGACAGACAGAGCCTTCCGTCCGTGGCAAGATCGGCCTATTCTCAACCAAGGCCAGGGCGCCTGGGAAAAAAGCTGGCAGTTCCAGGGGCGCTAGCGAATCAGCAAGTTCTTTGTGCCACAGTCTCGGGTTGTCTCATTGTGATTTGACTCTTGATCCTTCCACACGAATGATAAATACGTTTCCTTCTCGACGTACACCCCAGCCAACCAGCCCAGCCCACCACACGCCACGTTGCCGCCCACCATTTACTTCGTTGTCGCCCACTTCCTTTCCCTCAGCACCAGAAGCAACCCGTTCGACTTGTCCGGTACGTACATGCTACCTCACAAAGCCGCTGACCAGGTTCCCGAGCTGCTTCAGTTGACACGCGTCCTCCATCATGGTGAAGTGATCAACCGAATCGATAATCTTGACGACCAAGTTTCGAGCCTTGAGCAAACGTTGCCAACCGGCAGCGGTGAAGTCGGTGCGGTCTCTTAGGATCCAACGAATATCGCGGTTCGCGGCACGCTCGAGCTCCCCTTGTGCATCGTCATAGTCGTTGTCCGCCCCCCTGCCCGCATACACGAGCAACGTGTCCAGCTCGACGTTGCTGGGAAGCGGCGCGGGCGTGTAGGCCCCCAACACCTCTGACATGCCGTCAAAATGCACGAGGACCCAGTCGGGTGCTCTTGCGGCGCTCGCGCCAAACTTGAGCACGTCCTCCAAGAAGCAAGACATCTTCCTGGATGGGATCTGCAGGCCGAAGGGATCCGGCGAATCCAGCAGAAGCAGCTTCCTCACGGGCACACCCTCGTCACCCAGCTGTCGGATGGCTTCATACGCGAGGATGCCTCCTGCCGACCAGCCTCCAAGCACTAGGTTGGGAGATCCTGCAGTGGCAATCTGCCAGCCGTGCCGTTTGTGGGCGTCGATGATGCGGCGTACCTCGACGAGTTGTTGGGCAACGATTTTCGAGACGGTCATCTTCTTCCGGATCAGCTCGAGGCCATTCTTGCGCCAGGGACAGTTGACCCCGTAAACAGCCACGTCCTCGTGCAGAGTCGGGGCCAGGCCGGCATACGATGCCGCGGATCCGGATCCATCTGGGAATAGGACCAGGACCGCCCTGGCCGTCGTCACCGAGCCACCGAGGAGCACCGAGGCTTCTGCCGAGCTGCGCGAGACTGTCGACCCGTGGGGCTTTTCGGCGGCGGTGGATTCCGGAACGGAATGCCGCTCATGATCTGCCAGGACGCCCGGCGAGCCCGTCTTCTCGACCCTCGCAGCTCCCGAGCTAGGCACTGGGCACAGAATTTCGCGCAGCGCAACTTCTATGTCGAGGAGAGTCTCGCATCTCATGATCGAGATGCCCGTCACGTTGACGCTCAGCCTATCGCATATTGTGGCGGCAATCGTCATGGCCATCAGGGAGTCGATGCCGACGTCGGCAGTAGATGTGGAGGGCGACAACTCATCGGCAGGCGTGGCCGTTTCGCAGGCAATAGTCTCCCATAGCGCGCGTCGGATCCAGTCGCGGTCTGAGCTGTCGGAGCTGCACGTGTCGCTGGTCGCCGGAACGACGCCCTCTTCGCTCGTTAGTTGGCTGTCGTTGGAGCAATTGTCAAACTCGACTGAGGATGAATAAACGAGACTGCTCTCGCAGCCCGTCGGATGCTGCAGCTGGCCTACCAGCCCATGTCGCAGGAGATCCTCCGAGGACACGTCCAGGCCGAGTTCTCTCTGGATGCGAGAAGTGATGGACATGGCGAGGAGCGAGTCGATGCCCAGATCGGCAAGCTGGGACTCAGAATCCAGATCGCAAACCGGGATACCAAGCTCTTGACAAATGATCTCGACCACAGGCCCAGCTCCCGAAGAACTACCAGGAGGCCGTCTGTCAACAAACGAGGGCGGTTCTTGGGCGGCCCTCGTCTGGGCGTCGTCACCGAAATGGAGAGTGTACGAGCTGGGCGGAGCAGCTCCTGGTGCGACTGGCTTCTGGTCTCGCACCACGCTTTTCGCCGGCAGCAGGTGATTGAGAGCCCGACGCCGCATTCCAATGAACTATAATGTGTCAAAAAGAACGGACAGAGGTGGCCGGGCCAGGGTGCGATGAGAGCGGCTCGCGAGGTTCGACATACCTTGATCCCCTCGTACAGGGCTACTATGCGATCCCCGTCAAGGACAAACACGTTGCCGGCAAAGGTCGTGTCTCGCACGAGCTGCATTCTGCAGTACGCGCGGTACGTTTTCGACGCCGTGAGCCTCTCGGCATGGCGGAGCCTTTCCCATCCGTGGTTGACGAATACTTCATCCTGGCTGTTGACGTTGTCGTTGGCATTCATGATGAACCCCGAAATCTGAGCCAAGCTATCAATCCATCTGGCATCAATGCCCAGCCCGCTGTTTGTAGAGCCCACCTGGAACCGGACTGTGGAAACTGCCTCCAGCTCGTCCGTGTCCAGCAGAACCTCGGACATGCCCTTGAAGTCGTCACTGTAGTCGACCAAGCACGAAAACAACTTGTACACCATGCGTCGCCGGAGCCTCTGACTCTTGATGCCCAGTTCAAGCGCCCGGACCCTTGACGTGACGAGGTGCGTGTTGCGCTCCCAGTTTGCGATCCAGTTCTGGTTGGAAACCATCCTGACGTTCATGGTGGCATGCCTTGTTGTTTGCTTCCCGGACACGGCTACACTGTAAACCGCCAAGCTGAGCATGTTGCTGGTCCAGTCAGCGTCCGCCGTCACTCGGAGGACGTGGCTCGTTTCGTCGTCCTTGGCGATGAGCGGTTGGTCGATACGCAGGTTCAACATGTCCAAACCCGTGGCTGTGGGACGCATTTTCCGCTCTCCCAAGAGGTAATCACCCAGAGTAAGGGCAATCTCGGCGTAGAGCGACTGCCAACGACGATTGTTAGAGTGCTGACATGAATGTAGATGGCAGAAACCGGGACTTACCGAAGGGCACAGAAACACACCGTTGACCGCGTGGCCACGCAGTACTGGCAACAGCTCAGGGTGGAATATGTCGGATTCCACCACCATGGCAGATTCTCTCTGCTTGTGAGTCTCCTCAAGCACCCTCTGCGCGACGCGAGAGATGCACTTAAACTGCTTGGCCTCATGCTCGCGCCCCGTCTCTCCCGCGTGGCCACCCTTGCTGACGCAAAAGTCGTCTCTGTAGTCGATCCAGTAGTTCTTGAGGTCCCACGAGTAGCGCGGAAGCTCGAGAACTCTGTGCGCAGCCGGAAACTCGGAATGGTATTCACTCCAGTCCATGTCCATGCCTGCAAGGTACAGTGCCTCCACGGACTTGGCTATGGTCTTGCACCCTCCCATATTCTCTCTCAGCGTGTCCAGAACCTTCTCATCGGCGCCGAGCGTCTGTCTGATCATCGGGGCGCAGAGCGGGTGAGCCCCTATGTCCAGCCAGATTGCATCCTTGCCGCACAAGCCGCGGGTCTGTGCCGCGGTCAAGGCAGCGCTGAAGTCGACGAGGCGGCGGCTCGCCTGCGTGACGTACGAGATATCGAGCGTGCCTTGTTCGCCCGCGGACACGACTCTTCCCAGCAACGGCGAGATGAAGGGTACCCGGGGGCCGCTGAACACAACGCCGGCGTTCGCGGCCGCCGCTTCGAGTCCCGCCAGGGCCGGCTCGACCTGGCCCGAGTGAAAGGCAAACGGGACGTCCAACTCGACCGTGGCCAAGGCGCGTTTGTGGGCTTCGCTGATGAAGGCGGGCATCTGGTCCTTGGGGCCGGCGACGACGTGGGCGGCAGGATGGTTGGCGCAGGCCACCTCCAAGTCGTTCTCTACCGCTCGCAGTAGATGCTCCATTGCTTGGCGAGAGGCCTTGACGACGAGCATGCCATGCGTGCCCTTTCTGCAGTGCTGCTCCAGCAGCGATGCTCGCTTGCCCACCAGGAAGATTGCGTCGCCGGCGCTTATCACGCCGGCCGCGTATAATGCAGCGTATTCGCCGAGACTGTGGCCGATGACGGCGTTCGGCTTGATCCCCCATCTCCCGAGGAGCCCAACCAATGCCAGCTGGGTGCACAGAAGAGCGAGGTGGGAGGTGACGACACTGATGCTACGGACCTCGACGTCGGTTGACCCGTCTATCATGCCTGTGAACGAGGCGAAGCCGTAGCTCTCGGCGAGTTGGTTAAACTGAGTGACGTCTCGGCGGAAAGAGCAGTAGGTGTAGTAGAGTTCCCTGCCCATGCCAACATACAGGCTTCCTTGGCCGGTGAAGGCAAACGTGATTCGCGGTCGTCTTCCGGGAGGGGGTATGGCTTTGAGTGTCTCCGTGGCTTGGCCGGACAGTGCTCTAAGATCCTGTATCAGCAAAGGCATGCTCTCGGCGCATACCATTATTCGATATTCGTGGTGGGTGCGTCGTGCCGTTGTGGTATAGGAGACCGCGGAGAGAGACGTGTCCGGCCGATGCTGAAGCCACAATGCGAGGGATCGAGCATTCCCAGCGAGGGATACCGCTGTTCTTGCGGAAACGGCAACGTGATGGATCGGACGGCCGCTTGGGGGCATTTTCCCGTCTTCGAGGAGCCTCCTCCAGCAAGACTGCCGTGTTGCCCCCTGCGGCGCTGAAATTGTTGAGGAACGCGGCCCTCTTGCTGCAACTCGAATAGCAGGGCCACGCCGTAGGCTGGGTCGCAATGTACACGCCGCGTTTCGTCAAGTCTGCCGGATAGTTGCGGTTGATTTTGGTCTTGATGCCGCAGTGCGGTGGTACCTCCTTGTGCTTGAGCATGAGGAGGACCTTGATCAGGCTGGTGATGCCCGACGCAGCTTCGGCATGCCCGACATTTGGCTTGACTGAGCCAACGTACAACGGCCTTTTTGGTTGGGTCTCCGTTCGTTTCTTTTCGGGCGCAAAGGTCGAGAGCACGGAGCTCATTTCCGTGGCATCGCCGACCTGCGTTCCGGTCCCGTGCATTTCGACTACGCCAACGTCCAGCGGGTCGTAGTTGGCACCTAGGAGAATGGACTTGAACAGAGCGGCTTGGTCACCCTCGTGCGGTCGAGTGATGCTCTCGGCATGTCCGCAGTGGTTCGTCTTTGCCGCCACAATCACCCCCAGTATCGGGTCCCTGTCGGCCTCGGCGTCCTCGAGTCGTTTGAGTATTACGCTACATACCGCGTCGGCTCTGCAGTATCCATCCGCCTCGTCGTCAAAGGCGTTGCAGTTCCCAGTGGTGGAGAGGAAGCGTGCTCGGTCAAGCCCGCAGAAGAGGTTCGGGTTCGTCATGATGTTGCTGCCGCCGGCAATGGCCGTGTCACACTGCCCGCTCCACAAGTAGCTGCAGGCTGTCTGAAGCGCGGCGAAGCTGGACGAGCACGCCGTGTCGATGCTGAGACTCGGTCCGGATAGCCGGAAGAAATGGCTGATGCGTCCGGGGCAAAAGGCCCGGATCCCGCCGGGTATAAAGTAGGTGTCTACGCTCTGCGAAGCATTGATCTCGCGCCAGTCATCGCTGGTTGATCCGAAAAACACACCCACACGGTCATGCTGCGTGCTCGGCGTTCTGTTTCGGACAAATCCTGCCATCTCCATGGCTTCGTACGTTGTAAGGATGGCTAGTCTGTGAGCTGGATCTGTGTTTTCCGCCTCTCGCGGCGACATGTTGAAGAACCGGCAATCAAAGAGTCCAGGAGAATCTACAAAGCACCCGTGCTTGACTCGGAATTTGTTTGTAGCCCTCCCTTCTCTGTCGTAATGTGTCTTGTAGTTGAAGCGATCGCTTGGGATCTCGCGGTGCACATCGCGACCCGCGCGAAGAAGCTCCCAGAGCGCTTCATTAGAGTCGGCGGACGGAAATCGCCCAGAATATCCGACAATGGCGATTTTGGATTGTTCTGACCGACCAGAGACATCATTGGCATTGACAGGCATTGGAGAGACTTCGTTTACGTCCAAATGGATACCAAAGCCGTTGAGCAATGCCGTGGAGAGCATCCATGTCGTGCCATATGCCATCGTCGTGAGACGGCACCTGCGAGCCCCCTTTTGGCTTAGATGCTCGCCGCAAGATTGGAACATGGCACTTAAATCTAGCTGTTGTCTGAGCACTCCATCAACCGCCATCCGAAGACGACCCCGGAAATCCGTCGTTGTGTCGGTGCCCTGAGGTGCCAACAACAGCGCCATTCGGGATGATGTTGATATCGGAATATTCTCTGCAACCCCTTCCATAATCTCACCAATGTCCTCAACGCCGAACAGGTGTGGCGCGTGATATGGAGACGAAATGTCCAACCACTTGATTCTCAGCTTGTCCTTGTTGACAGTCACAAAGTCTGATAGAACAAGAGGTCTTCCACCGAGCGTCGTGACGCCGGTAGGGGCTCTGGCAGTAACCCAAATTGTCTTCTGGTCTTGTAGTCCCTGCTTGGGTCAAATTAGCCACGTCAACTGCTTCCGTCGATTTGGCGAAATGACCTACTATTGAAGATTCTGTAAATGTCCCGAGGAGCTCATCTACGGTGGCACCCGTCGTTGGTAAAACAGATACAGACCATGTTCTTGAGCCCACATTGCCTTCTGCCACAAGAGTCCCTCCAAGTAAAAATGACTTGAGACCAGTTCTGAAAGCAGCGAGCGCAGCTTCTACAGCCAGGGGAACGAACTGGGCTGTCGACTGGGAACAGCTCGCGGCGGCGGCGGTGAAGTTTCCCGCACAACTGCTTATTATGCAAGTATTTGCCTCTGACGGATATTCGAAGGTTCCATATCCACCGTAGTGACTGCGAGTGATGATTAGAATACGCGCTCATGCGGAAAACGCTGGTTCGTCGTAACACTAGTCGGGACGTCGAGAGATAGCCACTCACTGAATAAACTGGGCACTCTGCAACACACTCAGGAACAAGAGTTGCAAGACAGGACGACCGGGAGAGCTTTCCCATTTGGCGAGGAGATCAACAAGGGTCGAAAACCTCGGGAAGAGGACTTGTTGAGAAGATGGAAGGCTTCCGAGGTACTGTCGAAGGTGGAAACCCACACGTACAAAGAAGTCTGCAAGATTGGTGTTGCTTTTCGAATGTAATAGTGCTTCAAGAGAGTCAAGGCACTCGGAGGTTGTGAGATCACCAAATGCAATAATCTCCGGCTCTTTCTGGACCATGTCTGGTGTCGTAGTCATCTTTTCCATGTCAGTCCAGCAACAAGACCACTTCAGAATGACAGCATGCTAGTGCCCGAACAGTCATGCACTAATGCCAAGTTGGTTTGACTTCTATTTCTCTCATGCTGCTTAAACAGCTTCACCGGAGCTTCTGGATTGCGATTTATACACTGGATCGCCCAGGACATATTGCCCTTTGGGAAATAACAAATGTCTCGTCGGAGCAAACCCGAATCCGCCCTGGCTGGTCGCCGAGCTAGTTTGCCAAGCAAAATTGCCCATGCAATGCAACCCCTGTCCCGCGTCATATCAGCCCGGGGTAGTTGATTCGTACGGACTTACAGCTAGGCTAGACAGGGCGACTTTCTTCGAAGTTTGGCAGTTCCTTATGCCGATGCTGATTGCTCAACTTGGGACATACGACGTTCTCCCAAGCACCTGATGATGGAAACTGAGGGCATCATCTGGTTCGATCCTCTGCGTTGAAGGGCAGACTAATGACGATAGACGTATAGTACCAACAGCCTTGTACGCACTCAGCAAGCCAGCTGTTGGAGCCTTTTGAGTGTCTCACATGTAGGTCTCAGGGATGCTGGAAAGGAAATCTGTGTTGCTACAGTCAAGGTCTGCCCAATTCCAAGACGAGGCTGAGGTCCATGGCAAACGGAACCAACAAACAGTAATGTGGCCAAGCCAGCGCAGACGGTTACAGTCCGAGGCATGGTACTACGTACATCCAAGTGTATACCAATATATGCCGCAGTATACAGTATAGACCGGGATGGCCCAGTGCCTTCCCTAGCCAGGGACTTTTGCCGCCGCTGTACATGTTGAGCCGCCAAGTTTGCGCTTGTGCTCATCTGCTTTAGTCAGGGCGTCTGCCGTCATCTCCGTGTAAGCTGTCACGGACTCACCGCAGCTACAACTATGGGGCTCATGCCGTGACAACATAAGCATAAGTGGTAAATGAAAGCCTGCCTTATCTCATATGCCGTTTGAAGCTTATGCGCAGCGGATTGAGGTTGCGTTACTGCTGTTGTGGAACTGTTCAATTTTTCTTTCTTTTTATCTGAAAGTTGTCCGGACAGCTTCAGTCGACAAATTACAAGGCTGTCTTCTGATCACAAATCATGTTGTACCAAGCCATGAACCAACAAGCCGGGTCAGCGGTATGGCCTTGGTCCAACCCTGGCTCTGAGACAACAGGACCTCGGTAAGGCTTCCATTGCGCACTCCAGTTTGATTCCCCCGCCATTGGGACCGTATTTGTGTAGCCCTTCCACAATATGTCCCGTCACAGGACCAGTTTTCCGTGGTGGAATGATGAAGCATGGGTGGGGCCACAAACGGACGGTCTTGCTGGGTGAGGCTTTTTGATTGACAAGTTACAACGACTGAACAATGTGTGACGGTGATTATTGAGGCTCTGCGGAGTACGCCGAGGCTGGCTTTTGAGCCTCTTTTGCTATCCAGAGGCTTCGTCGCCATGCAATGCGGCGCACCCTTATATCGGCCTGTTGCTTCGATCACGGTGTCGTGTCGTTGGCTCGTTGGCTCCGGGTTCACAAACTGCAAAACGAGCTATTGGCCTGTCAAATGACGTGTCTGGGGTTTTTTCCCCCTCTGTCTCCTTGGCATCAGCGGACTGCGCAGCTCCTGAGCCAGAACGACATCCATCTGTCAGATGTACGATGCGCTTCCTGCATGCCAATTCTCGTCGACCCCTAAATGGAGGGTCTGGTCCCCTTCAATTCTGCATGGACGACAAGGTTGCGAGGGGGGAGAAATCAAGAGATATGGCATGAACCAATGTAAGGTCTCGTCCCAAAGACATGCCCTTGCCAATGCCCGTCTAGCCTCAGTATCACCGCATCTGGTCCAAAGCAACAGTTTCTCAGGTTATTTCACCGTCTTCTTTGATGCTGCCCTCCAAGCGATGGATATACGACAACATCATTCGTCGCCACAAATGCATGTTGTGAAGATCAGCTCACCAGGCAGCCTCGGCGAAGTTACGGGCCGCGATGAGAATCACCATCAAGAATGTTTCAACGATACTACTGGGCGGAATATGGCAGAGCAGCTGCCCCGTGTTGGTCCACGCCATTGTACTCGCACCGACGACCAGCGCCATGGCGACTACCACGCCCCAGATGACGGCAAACTCGTGCGCACAGATGATGCCCATGGCGTTAGATAGCCGATTGACGGAGCTGAGGTTGACTGTGGCCTTCTCTGGCGCGGGTACGCCGATCTCGTCAGGCACGACTGCATCCTTTAGCTTGACGGTTTCCGGCGCAGCCCCCTCCCACTGACTGGTGTGGCCGCTGTTGGACGTTCCGGAGGACGAATCCGTCAACCAACCCAGTGAAACGGGCATAGGTGCCGATGAGAAGCCGTCCACACGCGATGCATATGGCAACGCAGACCCAACGCATGCAGATAGTGGGAAAGTGGCCGAGAAAGGCAGGGCAAGTGGTTGGAAGCCAGCCCGGCCCAGTAGACTTGCTCGCCGTATCGAGTTCCGGCGAAAGCCCAAGCCAGAAGGCCGGCAGCGAGAATGGGTAAGATAGGCTCGGATCCGGAGGCAGTGACGAGGGCGTCGAGGCATCGGTCGAGTCTACCGGGCTTTGTCGGAGTCATGTAGCCGGCGATGTTGACGGGAGACTCGGAATCTTCCTTGGGCTCGCCGACGACGGCCGCAATGTGCTTTTCCTCCGCGGCACCAGACCCGAGAGTGAAACGCTGTGACTTTTCCTTTTCGATGTCCTCGGCTTGCTAGGTGAGAACGAGTAAGCTGCCCGACGTACAGATAGATGCCAGCGGCTCAGCAAACCAGTCGATCCATTTCTCAAACCCCGGGTCTTGGGCATGTTTGCAACATGGCTTCAATCCGCCGGCCCATACAAACGTGAGTGGCACCTCATCTCTTTTACATGTATGTGAAGGATTTTCCCATTACGAAATCGGAGCGCGGCCAACTATGGCCGTGCCCAAGAAGATATTTCTCTTTTGGGATTTACCAACGAGACTTTCGGCACCGGCAGATGCGGAGCACCATTAATAGCCTCGTAGCACCCTTCCGTCTTCACAGCCCTTTTGGCACCGGTTGAGCTGTCCAAGGCGAGCTAAGCGATGTGGACAATATGATGCTCCAGATCGATTAAGGAAGTGCAGATGACGTCTCCGTCATGGACCCTGGTAGGTAGCTACGCGCCAGTGTTTTCGGCATTTAGCACAAAACACTGCGTCTTGAACGTGTTTTACATAGTAGGCGCGCTGCCTGCTTTTGTTGGTCAGTGCAAGGACATGTCCATAGAGCACCCATTCGTGGTGTTGACCTTGTATAATACCCAGAATATCTTGCAATACCGCGGATGTGACTGAATAAAACTCCAGGTTGCCCACGACAAGGGAACAAGTGGGAAGAAACCAAGCACTGATGCTTGCTCAGCTCTGCAGCAACGATGGCCATGACGAATCCGCGCGAGTCGCCCCACGGACGAGTCAAGACGAACCGCTTTGCTGAAGACATTCGTCAAGCATTATTGAGCATTGTATGCGAGAGAGCAGAAGTTGGTGTGGGGAGACGGCATGAGTCGTGCATGCTGTTCACCGCTTTGTGATTAGAGACATCTGCCCGGTTAGGGCCGTCACATTCAGACGGGCCGAGAAGAAGCTCTTTTCTGTTACTTTCAGACGCGAGTGTATGTGTTGGTTGGACATGAGTTGGTGATAGGTCCCTGGATTTGGGTGATTCGAGTCGGGCTGCACTGCGGAGACTGAGAGTGCGTGCAGCTTCCGCCATTTGCGTCCCCAGCCAGGTGACTGTCAGGAGGTACAGAGAGCAACTGATGACCATCAAAATTGACTCGTAAGAAATGTGGACTCGGCGAGCGCAGATGGGCCCTTTTATTCCGTGGTGGGTGAGGAGAGAAAAAGAGAGAGAGAAGGAAACCAGCACGGTGTTGCCATGCTAGCGGTACGGAGTACAATAGCTTAAAAAGGCTAGCACAGGCTACATGGATGTGGCCGCGTCGGTGTGAATGGGCGAATGGACCGCATGTGGGTCTGGTCTGTTAGTTCGTGTTCCTAAATCCCAACTGCCGATGCCGAGGGAGCTCTCTCCTCCCTCTCTCTCCGTCATCAACGCCCGTCTCCCTCTCTTCGTCTCTCTGTGTGTCATGAACGCCCGTCACAAGGGCACCTGTGCTGTCTGGCCACCTTTCACGTGTGTGAATATCCTCCATCTATAACTGGCGACATATCGTGAGACGCAGTTTTGCGTGCAATGATTGGTAATCCGCCTCCCGGACGACACGACGCCGGCCGCTTTGCCGCGCGGAGAGGCGCGACTCAAGAAGCCCGCAACGTCGGCTGCTTTGACGACCCATAATGAACTCGGCAAGGGTCAAGACTCAAGACACAACGCCTGTATTTTCCGACCCGGGGTCGTGTGGGATTCACGCTCTTCGTCGTGGATAATCGTCTAGTTGCTTCCACCGCCTCGTGTCGCACCAGCAGGCCCGCCCGCATTGCGAATCGGCAGAGGGCCAGACTGAAGACGACGCCACAGACATGGACGGGACTGATTGATAAATCGAGTACTCTAGCGTTGCAGACCTTCATGCGTGGCCCAGTTGCCGAGTATTTAAGGGCCAGCTTCTCCATAGCGGCCAACAGACTCACGACGCTGTACCGCATCTCTTCATCCGCCTCTCCGTCTATCCCCCGTCATCCAGCACAGAGCCACCAAACTGCACTGCCCACCCACTTAGCCAGTTAGCCGCCTCTAGAATGGCTCTCCCCGCTACTCAGAAAGCTATCGTCATCCAGGGCCCTGGAGTGGCCAAGCTTGTGGCTGACCGACCCATCCCCAAGCTTCGCGACGACTACATCCTCGTCAAAACCGTGGCGGTTGGCCTGAACCCCACGGACTGGAAGCACGTCGATTTCATCATCAAGGAGGCGGGTCCCCTACTCGGGTGCGACTACGCCGGCGTTGTCGAAGCTGTCGGGCCCAAAGTCACAAAGCCGTTGAAGAAGGGCGACCGGGTCTGCGGCTTCGTCCACGGCGCCAATTTCGCTCAGCACGAAGACGGCACCTTTGCCGAGTACATTGTCGCCAAGGGAGACATCCAGATCAAGATCCCCGACAGCCTCAGCTTCGAAGACGCGGCAACCCTGGGCGTGAGTGTCACGGCCGTCGGGCAGAGCTTGTACCAAAAGCTCGGTCTGAAGCTCCCGTCCGAGCCCGTCACGGACGCCACCCCGATCTTGATCTACGGAGGAAGCACCGCGTCGGGTATGCTCGCCATCCAGTACGCCAAGCTGTCCGGGTACAAGGTCATCACCACTTGCTCGCCGCGACACAACGACCTGGTCAGGTCTCTGGGCGCCGACGCCGTCTTTGACTACAGGGACCCCGAGTGCGCGGCCAAGATGCGCGCCTACACGGACGACTCGCTCGCCCTTGTCTTTGACCCAGTCTCCTTGCCGGCCTCGGCCGAGATTTGCGAGGCGGCATTGGCATCTCGCCCTCCCCCGGGGGCCACGCTGAGATACCAGTCGCTCCTTGCCTTTGCCACCTCGCGCAGCGACGTCACGTACACGCAGTCTGTGACTTACACCGCCATCGGGGAGGAGCTCATCTTCCCCGCGCTGTCCATGCCCGCGAGCGAAGAAGACTACCGGTTCGCCGTCGAGTTTTGGGAGTTGACGCGGGGGCTGCTCGAGGCCGGAAAGCTCAAGACGGCGCCTGTGCAGCTGGGTCAGGGCCTGGAGGGCGTGCTGGACGGCTTGCAGGCCATGAGGGAAAAGAAGGTCAGCGGCAAGAAGCTGGTCAATAAGCTCTAGACACTTTGCTTGTCGAACAGATTAGACAGGGATGAAGACCTAAACAGCAGTGGCGGTGTCAAATCGGTGACTTGGAACGTGCTCTCGAGTCAATCTTGCGACAAAGTGTCACGGCCAGACCCGGCCATTATAGACTGTGTGGACTCTACAAAATCCCTACATCACTTGAGGGGTCAGCTTTCAGCATGCTCATATTGCCTGTTGGCCATGCACGACAAGAGCATTCATTTGCTTGTGTCTAATTCACAGGCACGTCTCTACTTGAAGTGTGAAAAGAGAGGCGACCGTACAGAAAGTAAGAACAACGACGAGCCCCAAGTCCGAGTCCGAGCTGCAGCCACGGTGATGCCCTGCCATTACGGCTCGTAGACTTCCAAGAAACGTCGCACACGGCGCGAGCCCAAACCAACCACGGGAGTCGGGACGGCCTGCTTGCTCCCCGACGACTACCCGACGCCCCATCCACGACAGGCGTCCGTGCGGACGGCCCGTCACCACGCGTCCGCGCCGGAGCCGGAGTCGGAGTCGGAGCCCGTCGGGCACTGGCATTTCCTGCCTTTTCCAGGCCGCCGCCGCCGGCCGGTCCGCGTCGCCGTTACCGGCGGCTGCACCTGGTCGCCCGGCGCTTCTCCAGGCCCCTTCACGACGGGGTTGCGTCTGCCCTTCTGGCTGATGCACTCCCACATGGCGTCGTCCAGGGCGGGCCGACTGTGCGAGTTGTCCGCCCCCCCGTAGTGCATGCCGTAGCACTTCTTGACCGTCTGTCCGCACCGGGACCCCTCTTTGGCGATGCATTTCGGGTCCTTATTCTTGATGCACTCCGCGCTGCTGCCGTACTCGCCGTTGTGCGCCCTAAACTCGCAGCCGGTGTGCAGGGCGACGCATTGCGGCGATTTGACAATGCAGTGAGCTTCGCGGTAGAAGGTCATGTCCTTGACTGTGCGTGGGAGGGGGTTGGCAGCGGCCAGGACGGAGAGGGCAGCGAGAACGACGAAGGACTTCATGACGGCTGACGGCGCTGCTGGCGTGGCGGCGGGCTAGAAGTAGCGGCAGCAGCAGCAGTAGCAGCAGCAGTGGTAGCAGCGGTGGCAGTAGCAAGAAGTCTGTCCGTGTATGTCGTGTCCGACCTTTTGGTGTGAGCAGTCAAAGGCAGAGAGGCTGTCAAGAGTCAAGACAAAGGGCGCGAGGCAAGGTTAGGGTTGACGGTTTACGGTTGACGGTTGACTGGGACCAGATCAACGGCATCATTGTCAGCGCTCAACACAAGTCCGTTTATATAGAGCGAGCACAGGCATCGCTTGGGGTAGGGACATGGAGGCGGAATCAGCCGCCCGGACGGGGCGACGCTCCGTCGGCCAAGTTGAGCCTCCCCGACTGACAGGTCCACGTTCTATTTATGAGTTTTTTTCATGCAATCCTTCTCTGTGTCACAATCGGCCGTTTATTGGCGCTGCTAGTCAGCGCCGACGGACTACGCGTGGTTGTAAAACCTAAAGTCACGCCAAAATAAGCTACATAGTGCCATTGCTCTTTGCTTGATCAAGGCCTTACTTAAGAGTTACCTAAGACGGTTGTTCTCTCGACTAGAGTTGCAGCCTGCAAAGGTGTGGGCGGCATCTCCGTCTCCATCTTCGCAGCCGTGGCCCATGGGCCGGGCCGTGAGATGAGCGTGCCAAGGGCGGTGGTGACAGGACGTGGAGGGCGTGCTGGATGGCTCGCAGGCCATGAGGGAGGACGAGGTCAGCGGCAATAAGCTGGTCAATGAGCTCCAAGCAGTCTGCTAGATGACTGGTATGAATAGAGACCAAACAGCGGCGGCGGTCAGATTTGTGGCTTGGAACGTGCTGTCGAGTAAATCCCTACATCGCTTGGGGCGTTGGCGTTTAGCATACTCCGTACTCGTCTCGCTTGTCGGTCATGCCCGACAAGAGCATTTGCCCGTGTGATCTATCAGACACCTCTTGCTCGAAGCGTAACCACGTCACCGACAAAGAGGCACTTGTATGTAAAGGAAAGGATAACGACAAGTCGCAGGTTTGAGCTACAGCTACAGCTACAGCTACAGCTACAGGGGACAGCCTGCCGTCGAGGCTCGCGGAGAGCCATGGACGTCCTCGGACGACTTGATTCACTCCGTCCATCCATCCATCCATGACGGGCGTTGGTGAAGATGGCCCGTGGACTCGAGCACGCGACACCAGCGACTCTACATGCCGTGGCTCGTCTCGTTCCGGGGCTCGTCGAGCTTCGGTAACTCCTTCAAGAAGGCTTCGCAGGCTGGTCCTCGTCGCAATCTGCGCCTGTTGGCCGCCTGGGGCTTTTCGGATCCTTTTACGATTGGGATGCAATTGTTCAAGTTCTCGAGGCAGTCGAACATCTTTTCTTCCGAGTCCGACCATGTCCGCTTCTCCAAGTTCTCCGACTCCCCGTAATGTTCGCCATAGCATTTCTGGACCGTCTGTCCGCAGTAGGATTCCTTATCCGCGACGCAATTCGGGTCCTTGTTATATAGGCAGTCATGGACGTCGGGGTGTTTCCGATCGCAATCCGTCTGCAATCTATAACAGTGGTGCGACTGGACATGACAGTACCAAAGGCGAAAATAAGTCACATCCATGGCTGTGCGCGGAACAAGGGGGTCAGCAGCAGCCAGGACGGAGAGGGCAGCGAGAACGGCGAAAGACTTCATGATGACTGGTTGACGACGTTGTTTGCGCGGCGGCAGGCGAGTGGCGGCAGGCGAGGCGTCTATGTAGACTCTAGAGTATGTTGTGTGGGCAGTGAGGTGAGGAGCAGACAGAGTTGACTCGGATCAGATCAACGAAGCAGCACCACTCCTCGAGACACAAGTCTGGTTTTTATATCGAGCGAGAGCCCCAAGAGGCATCGGAGGCATCGGAGGCATCGCTCGCGACATGCACGAGGCGGAATCAGCCGCCCAGGGTTCCGGGACGCGAAGCCAAGGCAGGATTTTGTACTCGGTATACTCGGCAGTCGCCTGCACAAGGGAGGAATTCTCCGTTGCCAGGTGGAGTTTTTGCCCACTTGCAGGTCCACGTCCCATTTATGAGGTTATGCAGTGCCATCTCTGTGTCATAATCAGCCGTTTTCGTGGTGGAGAGAGATTGAATGGCGCTGCTGGTGAATGCCGACAGACTGTGCGTGACTGGGAAAACACGTAAAGACACGCCAGAATCAGACGCACAATGCCTGTTGCTGTCCGTTGAAAGTGAGGCCTTCCTTGCTTGAAAACTGCCCGACAGTTTGACTCCTGGCCGGATTGGCAGTCCACAAAGATGCGTGCGGCATCTTGGATCTGCCCTGCATTCGTTTAAGTAGCCGTGGACGGGGCCGTGAGTGTGCCAAGGGCTGTAGTAACAGGGCTTGGAGTAATTGCCGAGACCCGAATGCATGGCGAGGGGGCAATTGCGCAATAGCCGGCACATTTGCCGACGGAATACGTCTCGGTCGGCTGATGGATGGGTGCTCGTCGTGCCCGTCGTGCCGAGCAGTACGTGTTGGCGTAATTCCAAGTGTTGTGGCCTAGGGAACTGACAACTATTCAAACTATGCCTTCCGGTGTTTCAACAGTACGCACGTACGTCGATGTATGCCTTGCCAATTGGATCTCCTTGTACTGTAATGGCACGCCTCTGTGAGTAATGAAGAAAAAGGCCAGTCAGTACGGGCATCTGCGACTACAAGTCTGGAAACTTGTAACCATCCATCCCAAGTCGCCAGCTACCAACTTGGCCAACCATCTCTCAAGTAACGCGGAAACACGTCAACCTGATATGGCGAGCTGCCGGTAGAGTTCTCCCAGGAGTCGCGCGACGACAATCACTCGCATGTGGTCATTGGGTACACTCGGCGAGCATCACGTCGGCAGAACTATCGAGGTAGTTGCATCTACGCACTCAGATTGGCACTCGTTAGACGAAACCACAGGTCTTCCGTGCTGATTCGAGCTCTGTCTCGGCTTAAAATCTAACTTGTAGATGATAAGATGGACTGAACTATCAAGAAATAAAGATTGACTAGTGTTGTCCTTTATAGCAGATAAATGCTCAAGCCGCAACTAGAACTCTTGGACTGTACATTAAACAGTGGTACCAGCTAATGCCAAACTACTAACTTATGCTAGCGTCGTTTTCTCATTTCGTTTCGGTGTTGTTTCTTTGCATAGTCCTACAGCGTGTGCTCTAGAAAAAAACTCGCCTACATGACAATCAAAAGCGGCCACCGCTGCACTGTGCAGCACCAAGCTTGAGCAGCGTCACGCAGTAGTCAGGACTTGGCGTCATATATTTGCCTACACAGGTACACTGACTACACACCATATATATCCCCGCGGCACGTGTGCTTGGCTGCCTCGGTAAAGTGACAAGGCCTCTTTGCGTCCCCCCGCTGCGAGGCCGTTCAAGCCCCGGGCTCAGCGTCCGAGACTCGACTTTGCTCTGCTACATGCTACACCTGATGCTCACGCCACGCCTTGAACTCCTCTTCTGATACGTGTCTCAAGCTGTTCACCACAGCAGGCTTGCCCGTCAGCGTGCTCTGAGCCACCTCGACGGCCTGCATGATCTGCCCCTTGGCCGACAGGGCGTAGGTCGCAGTCTCGGCGGCGATCTTGACGATGCCAATCCGGGGGTCGTTTTCGGATGCGTCATGGACCCCGTCGCCCAGGTCTCCCAGCCACGCCTTGAGCACGGGGCTGTAGTACTTCTTGATGGCGTCGCGGTCCGTGATGATGGACGCGCGCCCCGACACCGAGGCCCACTCGCCCGCCGCGTTGAGGAAGGCCATGTTGGCGTGCGGGTCGCCGGCGACGTCGTCCGTCTTGCCGGACTCGGTGTTGGTGAAGAAGATCAAGTCGGCTCCGTTGTTCACCGTCCCGGCCAGCGCCATGCAGCGCGACACCAGGCGGTCCGAGCCTGCCGATCTTGTCGTCATCATGCCGTACTTGCATTTCGTGACAAAGTTCCCGAGGTCGGTCACCTTGGTGCGCACGTCGACTTCTTCCTTGTTCGCCTGGGAGTACGGGTCGGCCGGCTTGTCGCCCGTGGACGTGTTGGAGAATGACATGGTGGAATGTGATTTGGGGCAAGAGTGGTTTGGATTTCAGCGTGGGCTTGAGGTCCAGGTGAGAGGTCCCGGGTGCGCTGTCCTTAAGTAGGGACGGATGGTTGTGCATGACATCATGGAAACTTTCCAATGACGCAAATCATGCATCAGCAAGATACCAGATACAAGCGCGCCGGCAGATCTGCAACTCAGATCCCGCCTCGCGCAGATCGGGCCTGAAACTGCTCATCCCACTCATGGACGCTCAATTGACGTAGCCGCGCGGGCCGAGGCCTATTATTAGTGGTGAGTGTGCAACGGGACACGGGCAGCGTCGGCTTCATCCGCGTTGTGCATCGTCAGGGACGGAAATAACCCGCAACTGCAAAGGTGCGCTGCCCAAAATAAGTGATAGGTCTATTCTTGTTTGTTTAACTCCTTAATGGGCATCTCATGTTTATCCAACCATGCCTGTGCTGTGTATCCAAATGCTTGTTCGCCAACGATGACGTGTCTACACACGGCGTAAAACGTGGTCGCTGTCTATGCCGGTTTTCGCTTATATGTGTCAATAATGCAATCCGCCTCAGGCTGTACCACTATCCTTACGCTGGTGATCTGGGGGTGCAGAGATGCCTTCAGCAGCCTTCGAATCGACATCCTCAATGTGAGCAACTCCCTCGATCTCGTAGTTGCTGTCGGGCACATGGTAGAGAACCAAGGCGCAAAGCGGGAGAGAAATCAGGGTCAAGAGCCACGAAACGAGAACTTCGCCCAGATACGGCGTCTGGAAAGGTCAATACTGACAGCTTTGACGGGGCAAGATGGTGATTTGTGTGCCTACCTTGACAGCATCCATTCCAAACGACACGGCGGCACCTGCAGACTGAATTCCCTTGTAATATCCAGCCATACGGGCGAGCTTAAAAGGATCGTTGCTGATGGAGGACATGGTATAGTACGCCAAGCCTTGGTAAGCAGCATCGACGACATAATCTGTAGTCGTAGTCAGTCAAACAAACTCCTTCTACATGGTCAAGGCGAAATCTTACAGGCGAAGAGTAAAACAATAGGGCCAGCGGCCACTCCGACGGTCCAATCCCAAGGACGCCTTTGCCCGTCAACCGTCTTCTGGTCTCGAACGAATCTGGTCTGGAAGGCTACTCCCGAAGCCCATACAAGGCAGATCAAGAATGTGACAAAGGCACAAGACCAAAGGGCACGCTTTCGTCGGTTGAAAGGCAGGTTGTCAGTAACGAGACCAATAAGGATGGAACCGATGATGGATCCAAGACCAGTCAAGAGCGCAACCAAGGCGCGTGTGCGGCCATTGAATAAGAAGGCGGTGATGGCGCCTTGGTAAGCATAGAAGTAGTTGGAAGAGAAGAACATGGGGAAGAGAGCAATCATGCGCCAGTCCTTGAACATGCGAACAAACTCCATGAATTCTTGCTTGGGTGAGAGAGAGGCCGCAATGCGCACAATGGTTCCATCACCACGAACCACAGCCTGAGGGGGGAGAACCAGCCAACTGGTGGCAATGGCAGTTAACATGATGATCATGAATGCGACGTAGACACCGTCAGAAACGCCAGGCAGCGTGCTGTTGAATTCGATTCCAAGGGCAATGGCCGCTCCAATAAGTGTCCCCATCTGGAAAAGCGACCAGAAGATGGTAAAGGCACGTCCCTTGTCTTTTTCGAGCGGGTACGACATCATGATGGCACCTTGGGCTGCCCAGAAGAGAGCAGCAGAGACGCCCAGAACACCCCCAGCAAAGATAAGAAACCATCGCGTGCCGTGCAGTTGAAAGGCCCACAGCGAGCCCAGATACAAAGCGTAGCCTGTGGTGCCAATGGACATGGTCAATCGAGGACCGAGAATATTCTGCGTGGCTCATGTCAGCAATTGATAATGCGCCAGGCGGCCAGGGGAGAGAAGCAGCTTGGGGCCACGTACGTTGATGCTTCCGCCAAAGAAACCTCCCAAAAAGAACATGCCATACAAGACACTGTTGGCGATGTCGCTGAGCTGAACATCTTGCATGCCACCCGCACCCAGGTTGCTGATTGCGCTGAACATGCCGACGGAGCAAAAGGCTACAAAGCCTACAATGGACACCTGGGTCCATGGCGAGTTGTCTGTGCATCATCCAAGGTCAGCCAAAAAGACGGCGCTCCTCATCCTCACTCCGGGGGCTTCATCTCGACCATGTCGCTTGCCAGTAGCGTTTGATGCCTGACAAGCGCGTCGACGAGTTCCCGTGGCTGTGTGTACTTACAGCGAAGGCGGCCTGCCTGGAGCGTGGCGAGATTGACCATGGTGATGTAGCAATGGAGATTTTGCCGCGTCGATGAAGCTGTCAAGGAAGTCTGGATGATCTGAAAGGGAATAAAAGCACGGGAAAGCAAAGATGAAGACCGGAGAGGAGAGGAGGGCCCCCACACAATAGACCAGATAACTCTGCAGATCAAGTCCTGTCTCACTAGACCACAGGCTAAGTTGAGGTGAAGGAGAGAAATGGTCTCCAGAGAATTCGGGTGCCGGGCACCGGGTCATGATTTATGTAAAATAAGTAGATTAAAATGGCATCAAGTAAATTAAACTAAGGAGTACGGAGTACGGAGTACCAAGCCCACGGTACTCCGTAAAAACTGGCAGGACACCACCGGGGCAGTTGACAGACCACAGCCGTGGCACGAGGAAGGAGCGTGGGAGACCAGTTGCCCCATGCGTGATGCTACAATCGTTCAACTCGACACGACAACACCAACACCACGCCAGGCACACCGGATACCACACACAAAAACCAGGCGGGGTGGGCAACCAACATGCGCCATTCATCCATCCATTCATCGTGTTCCGTTGCCATTCCAATCATTCTCCCCTCCCCCCCGCTGCCGCCGCCGCCCCCCCGGCCGTCCGCAACCAACTGGCCCCTGGGTCTGGGGCAAACGACGGAACCACGCCAACGTGCCAAGGGAAGTGGTTCCTCCCCCACACTACTGACACACAGCCAAGACGATCCCCCGGGCCCCAATCGTTCGTCCAGGTGACGGTTTTGAGCGAGCCCCCAGGCGGCCAGCGCAGCAACGCCCGCCCAACAGTCATCTCGCACTATCCGCGTCGTCTTCAGCGAGCTCATTCAGGCTGAGCCGCCAGTGGCGGTAGGTTAGTCATGGATACATCACGTTGGTTGGTACTCCGTATCCACACCAAAATCCAGCCACCCGTCGAATACTCCGTGCGCAGCAGCGAGACGGAAGGCGCAGCGTGACAGACCCGTGGGCCGGGACCGTTCTTCACCTACTTACCCGAGTCTGTCTCTGCCAAGATGACATCCATCGGAAGCATCTCGCTCACCAACGTGCGGAGCTGGCGCCTGGCCTCTCTTCTCTTTTCGAGCAGTTATTTATCTGGGAAAGGGCGCGGAGTACGACGTGCCGAGCCGATTACTAGTGCAAGCAAACCAGGGCTCCCAACTGTCACACGATAACGGGGGCACCGAAGCTAGTTATCACGTACGGAGGAGATGATACGAAAAAGCCTTGAATTAAACTACAAAAGAGAGAATCGTGTGCGCCCTTAAGAAGCGGCGCTCGGGTCCAAGATTCGTATGTGTGTTATCCTATACGATTTGTCGACTAAGAATCTGGGGTGGCTTCCCGGCCAGCCGCCAACAATAAAAGCACGGCGCTTGTTGGCTACCGGGGCAGGAAAAGCCACGGCCAGTTCCTGGGCCGATATAACGTTACATCCCAACTTGAACAATGAAGCCTCATACGAGTACGTAGTAGCAGCAGAAATTTAGCCTCAGCCTGCTGCCCCATTAGGAAGTGCTCATCTGGGAGGACTAGCTATAGCCTAACTCACCGCCACGCCGACTCTCGTATTGTAACGTGTCGACAATTCTCTCGGGCTCTCCGTTCGTTCACATACTCTCAGGCTGCATGATTCTAAGCGGCTCTAACAATGGCCGCGCAGAGATTTCTTCAAGCCTTAAAGCACAAAATTTGACCACGACAATGAAAATAAGCCTGTGGCTTCCAACTCAAATCGCAATCGAAACACTGCCAGACGGCCGCGCCGTTTAATACCAGAGGCGCATACTTGTCTACATCGCTGCGCATCGTCTCAACGTCGACAGGATGTGATGTGCGCATCCGACGCCCCGGAACGCCCCACTTGCTTCACCACCAGACAATTTCACATCGGGGATTGGCGAGGCGACCTGTCACGGCCACGTAAAATCCCTGTATCAGGCTCCAGTCGGCCGTGAGGCGGCTGCAGGGGTGAGAGGAGCAGCGGCCCGATCCAAGTGTCGGCGAGTTCTAGTCTGTCTTCTCGAAAACGTGGAAAGACGACTTCGAGGCCCTCAAGTCGACGGCGGCGAATCTTCAAAGAGCCTGGCGTTTCCGCATTCCATGTCCGACCTGCTTGGTTAGCAGAGGACGCGGGCATCTAGATACGTTGGTTTGTGCATGACTAGTTTCAAAGGTTGCTTGACCCCTCGACAAACGAGGGCCGACTATTGATCTCCGCTCAAATAGGCAATTGGCATATAGATACGCTTCACAAATATATATCATACAACATCTACACCTGACGGTTCAAATACATCCAGCCATTCCGAATGACCGTCATACTTGTCGTCATGATAACAATCACAATCGGGATGCAAAGAAACTTCCCTGCGTATCCCGCGTCGTTCCCACTAGGCACCAATATGGTTGCCAGTCAGGAAAAAATTCAAGTCAGCGCCCCCGTCGTTGAAGCGTTGCTCATCTTCCGCAAGTTGCTCCAATAGGGTAAGAAATGGATCTTTTTCCTCGCTGTGTCCGGTGCCTGTACTTTCGCTCGTACTTTTCGTCCCAGGACTTGAAGTCACACCGCTTGGTGGAAAATTCATCTTGGTGCGCGGCTGGCTATCTTGACCATGCCAGCCATCAGGGCTGCTAAATGCGTTTTTCAGCGGCCCCGAAAACATCGGCTCAAAGCTCGTGTTGACGTCGCGCATGTTGGTGTTCATCACATTCGAACTCATGGCATAATCATACGCTGGACCGAATCCTGTCCCTCCCACTGGCACAATATCCTGACCAGGATTGCTCGTTGGGCGATCTGGCGCCACGGCATACCCGTGGATGGTTGGCGCCAACTCAAAATGAGGACAGCTGGATGGCCTAGACACGTATTGGTGCCCAGGTCCAGTTGCAACATGAGGCGGGCGCTGCGCCATATTTATCGAGTACTGCACGTTGTCTGCCCCTGTCGGCTGGTCCGTGGATGCAGCCTGGTCATAACCGACGTTCCTCCCCTCATGATTCCGTTTATTGTTCGATAGCGGAGCCGTATTTTTTTGCCCATGACTACATCGGTCGGTTTTGCATGCTACTGACGACATGCTGTATCGATCAGTGGTAAAATTTCCAACAATATCCGGCATGCTCAGGTTTGCTGGGTCGAATCGATACGATTTTCCTCCAGGCCCTCCAATGTTGCAATACCTGTCAAAAAAATCCTCAAGATGGAATCCCGGGCTGTGCCTTGTAGACGAGTTTACCGTAGCCTTGACTAGCTCCCCGTGAGCACCGTAAATTCCTTGCAATGTATCACTTTGGTGTTGGACATTGGCCCAGGCCATGTGAAGCTCGCTGAGGTGTTTCATTTCTCTGGAAAAGAAATCTGATGATTCGCTAAAGATCTTCATGTCTCCCTCGTAGGTATTGGGATTGGAGTAGTGAGCTCCGTGGATATGGACGGTTGCCGCGGTACAGATACAATAGCCAACAACCGCTGGCCATTCCACAGTTCCTGCATTCCTCGCTGCGTCAATCAGGTCACCGATAGCATTCGCATGCAAAAAGCACATGTTGGTCGCCTCAATCTGCCATGACTGATGTTGCCCATTGCCAGCCAGCTCTGTTAAGTCGACCGGGAGGAACGGTCGATACACAAGGCAATGTACCAAGTGATATATCAGCTTGCTCAGAAACAAAATGGTCCCTTCCGTTTGGTGAAAAAGTGTGTGAAGACTCGAGAGTGCGGGGCCAGCGCCGGATGCCCAAAAGTCGAGCTCCTGTCGAATTTTCGAGAGAGTGGATAGTGCATGCCAGGGGAAGTGGGAGTCACCCTTTACACCTCCAGCAGCTAAGTATCTGTTGGTGATGCCAAGGATACGTGTGATATCTATAAGCATTCCGGTGCTTCCTTGCGCCTTCTTCCCACTGCCTTGGTAGTACTGAAGATTGGAGCCCTGCTGGAAAAACTCGCCGTCGACTGCCAAGGATGAAGGACTAGGACACCATGATGGTAACCGCAGAGCAACGGAGTCGTCGCTTATGAGACATGGTCGTTTCGATCCGCATGAAGTAAAGCGATCCAACAAGTAACATGTCCAGAAAAGTCGTCGGCGTAACTCCCGTTCGACGGGTGCGGCGTGCGCGTGCGCGTCGATTTCACGGTGAAGTTCCAGCGCCATGGCCATGGCAATTGCCGATGCTAGATTAATATTAGCAAAGTCTGCTAGCTTCGGGCGGTGAGAAAACGGAAAAAACCAACCCATTAACATGTAGGCCTTCTTGCTATGGCCAGATGCCATGAATGCCAGAACCAACAGCAACAAGGCCTGCAAACAGTCTACTGATGGGTCATCCGTGTCAATACATCGCCTTGCCCGTTGCGCATAGCCTTCACTCAGTTGAACAGCAGCTCGGGGTCCTCCCGAATGCGGAGTGTGTCTGCACCAAGAGTCAGGCATGAAGATTTCAGACTCGCCATGGCCGGTTCTGACCACCTACCTTGAGGCTACCGACCAGATGGCGTAGGCTACGCTATCCGGCAACTGGTTGAGCTGTATACGATGACGGATAGATGGTTCATCCAGGATGTAGTATGGCTTTCTGTGGAATCGTGTGAAGTATGTGTGAAGGTAGGCGTCCGTTTCTACCGGAGAGGCAGGGTTGTCCCTGTTGAGAGTATCAGCCCAAATCGTTCAGAGAGCAAGACGAAATCAAATCAATCTCCCACCCGGCGGTCAGTTTTTCTTGGTCCGTGGCTATCTTTAGACTATCTTCATCAGACGCTTTGCTTGCTTCAGTTGCGAGTCTCTTTGGGGCCGGTTCCGCAATGTCAGTGTCATCCTCTTCATCGGCTTCCACGGTTGCAGTTTCTCCAACTTTGAATGTATCCTCCTCAGAATTCTTCTCCTTTAGCCTCGCCTCTAGTCCATCAACCCGTTTCAACAACGCCTCAAGCACATCCGTTTTCGGGCCACGCTTCTTGGGGACAGCATCTGTAGTGGACTCTGAGTAAGCAATCAAATGTTGTTGAACGTGCACTTTTGGCATCCCCTTGTTGACCGGAGTTGTCAACGAGGCTGGGTTCTGTCAATGAGACGAGTTGTGACACACCATAGATGCATTGACATTGAAAGATTTGGCATGCCTCGCACGACGGTCGCATACGATTGCATTTGATCTGGTGCCACCACAGTTAGCGACATTGGGTAGTAGTAGTATGGATTCGTCGGAGGCTGGCATTTGCTATTGAGAGTGAAACGTCATGTGTAGACGCACTTTTCGTTTCCGGCAGGACTTGCAGTTCATCGACTCGCGTGGCTCATTGGTTTGTCGCCTTGTTGGAAGACGCTCAATGCCAACCTGCGGTCTGGGAATAGCAATAGGAGCACCAGCATGAGCCGGCGGCAACGGTAGTGAAGACGAACTCATCGCATAACAGAAGAAGTCAATGAAGCGAGTCGCCCCGGCTATCGGCAGTCGTCTTGGTATTAATCGTCTCGTGGATCCAGCACCTTGCCACCGATGCCAAAGCAGCACACCCGAGCTTGGCCGCGTAAGGGTTGGTCAGGAAAGACGGCCCGAGGCTACCTTGGGTTGAGGGTGTAGGCCGTTCAAAGAATTGGCGGCACCCGGTAATGAGGGACAATACTCGCGCAGTCAATCAAGGTTGATAGTTTCTTGCTGCTGGTGAACCCCCGGATGCAAAGGAGACGGCCAAGGCCAGGCTGACCTTGGGGCAACAACAGCGCGGCCGGCGCCACGGAGGACAAAACGGGTTCACAATGGCAGCTGTGGCAAGATTGGAATTACGATGCTAGTCGAACATGTATGTTGTGTTGTACAGAAAAACCCATCGGCATCGGAGGGGAGACGAGACGCAGGTGTGAGATTTGGAGGAACACCCTGCCTTGATTTAGCGCCGGCGCTGGCACTGGTCGTGGCACGATTGAAGCGGCTCACGATGCCCGTCAGCCTTGCTTATCCTGCGCGGCAGATAGCGACTGGCAATGGCATCGGACGACCCGGCTCTAGCTATTTGACGGCTCGTTTTTGTTCTGCGGCAGACCGACTACCAAGACACCTGGGTGGAGGTGAACACTGAAGACCGGGGTCCAGGACAGGGTTCCCAATGTTGGAAATGGGATGGATTGCGTCAGGCCGGTTTGTCAGGTCTTGGCGAGGCGTGGAGCTTAGAATACGACAATGAGTTGGACATGATGATATGGAGCGTGAAGATGAAAGTGGCCAATGCAACTTGGAGAGGTCAAGTCATAATTCCACGCATCCAGAAGAAGGACAGAGCCAAGTCCCCCGGTACGTGGAGGTACAAGCCCAGATGGTTAGACCTTCCATCGTTTTGCCTTTGAACGACGGCCGCACTTGCTCTTGCTTTTCAGAAATTACTCTCAAGTACCTGGGTAATGTTAGTTACTAAGTACCTACTTAACTTAAGTACCTAGGTCCCTAGTACTTAGTAGGTTCTAGAGTGCGGAGTCATAAGTCCAGGCCCATGCAGGCCTTTCTCTCCTGGTCACGCTCCGCACATGTAACTAGGTACATGCGAAGATAACTGTCCAGATTTGAATCTAGTCGCCGCCGTGGCGAGAGAGCCGGAAACTGCGGCAAGGCCAATTGCCTCTCTGAATTTCGCATGCGCTGAACTTGACATCGGGAAGGAAGGTGCCATCCGTGCCCTCGCTCGCGCTCACGGTCAGCAACTGATGACACCGACGACTCCTTTTTTTGTTGGAACAACAAACAATGTCCAATTGCTTCGGCTTATTCACTAGCAATTACAGCTAGACATGTCCGCGTCGTCCGGACCAGACCGTCTCTGACCAGTGACCACAATCCAACCTACAAGGGGGCTAGACAATTCCCGACACGAATCGACGCCTCGAGACCAACACAGATCACTTGCGTCTTCACGTGCCATGCTTGTTGATCGTTTCCCTGCGTTTGGGCCGGGCCCTCCGCAGCTCTCGTTCGATACTGCTGATTCCTGATTCCCGGACGTTCGACACAGTTCCCAGGGCCTGGCTCCAGCCAAGTCCCGAGCGAGCGAGCGCGCATGCGGTGCGACGTCAACCTGGGGAGAAGTCGATGCTTTGTCAGTCGGTCCACTTCTCCACGGCTGCGATTAGGTCTCCAGTGAACGACTAGCTCGAATGGGTCGGAGATAGGGCTCTTTCTGCGGCAGATCAAGCCATGTGGGGAGGCGGCAAGGCTTGTCCGCGGAGAGGGGCGAGGGGATGTTGGCCACAAATTGCTGGGGTTGAAGCAACTTGTGGATGGATCGTGGTTGGGGAAGCTGTCTGGAATGCTTCCATACGGACCGCCAATTCCGTCGCCTTTTACTCTTGTCCAGAGGTCTTGGTCAGCGCTGAGCCTACCATCTATGCCACGAAATGCTCGAATAAGCATTACCAAAGACTCCTTTCAATCTGCTGACGCAAAAGCCTCATCGACTGAGCAGTGAGATTGAAAAATTTCTGTCTTTGCTTGGCAGCACCGAGATGCACATAGCCGGAAGAGGATGTAATGTGCGGAGCCACCCTGGCTTGCAGGGACCGGACAGCCAAATCAAGGCCAGGAATTCAAGACACATTGCATCACGGCCCCACTGTTCTGTCGTCGGAATAAGTCAAGTACGGAGTACGGAGTACGGAGTTGATTAATTGCTATTCATGCGTATCACGCTCCGTTCTGTGGCTTGCTGAAGAATCCACCCTTTCTGGCCGGTAGACGAGAGACGCAAGTTGCCAAGAACCGCCCAGCCGTAGACCTGGCGGATGCCAACTCCTTAGGTGCCATCGTGGTTAGTGAACTGCGGAGACTTGCCAAGTCATCGAGTGAATGAACGGGTGCTATTGAGCCTCAGCGGCCGCATTGGGCAAAAAGTCCTGGTGTCATCAGTGGACTGTGGCCGCCAAGGTCCAGTGCCGCGCGCCTCCTGATCTGGCAGTCAAGTCCGGTTTCTACTCGAGTACTCCGTCGGCGTCATTACTCTTGGCCAAGCGAGCTGCGGTATAATTTGCCCATTTTTGACAGAATCAAGCGCAATGCCCTATGTCTGCAAAGCATGTAACGAATTAGGCTCTGCTTAGTCCTGTGTTTGTACCAGGACAGGAGATGGATGCAGTCACCCTACTTAGTAGTCCGAAATAGAGACTTCTGGCTACGAAATATTGGATCAAGTACGCAGTATTCAGCGCCAATTTCCATCATCCTTCATATCTCGTCATGTATTCAATCGTGCCCTATCCGAATCATACGAAGAATTCGCCTGCTACCCACAGAACCATTCACCCACCTAAATTAATACCAAAAATGCCGGGAGTAGTTCACACCCTGTGCCACTGGGAAATGCCGGACAGAAGCACTCTTCCCTCCCCCCTCTGCAGGGGGCCCCTGTCGCCGGTAGTCGGCCCGTATAACTCCCCTTTTGTCAGTTCGGAAATACGTATGCTGGCACCCTAGCCAAAATTTCAACCCCGGCAAAGAGGGGAGCCATTCTCGAGTTGTGCAGTTTCGGATCCAATAAACTAGCCGCAGTGCACTGAGTCCCCAGCAATTTGAACTGGGAAAATGGACACACAGACAAGAGTGTAGGGCCCGCTGACAGTGGCGAGATCCGACGTATCATTCAGATGCCCATTGTCGTTCCTAATTCTCCTTCTAGGTCAAAGTTCCGTCTACGTCCAAGTCTACTTCCCTTGTCTTGCTATAGTAAGCCAATATAGAGCTCTCGACTGTTTTGCCACTTGTTATTCTTTGTCACATAGCTGTGTGACAGAAAATAATGCGACGTGATGCATTGGCTGAAGCGGACAAAGAATCGCCTGGTCGTGATTCCAGAACGACCAAAGCATGGTCGTGGATGAAAGTAATTCCACGTGCGGGCTGAGATGCAGGCTGCTCGTAAAGCCAGTGTTTCCTGTAGATGAAACTTCAAAAGAACTCTCAAAAGGGATGGTGTCTTCCGCTTGCCAGTCTCACAAAGCTATATGGCACATTTTGACCGACGAGCAATCTTAAACTTTCGACAATGGTGAATGCTGCCACGTCTGCGGCACCATAAGACGCAAATCCGCTCCTTTCTGCCGTCTCGTGAGGGTTGATTGTCTTGCGAGCTGCGACATCGGCCAGGTTCAAGAAGACCTTGTTGACGTTTGGCGCACCTTCTTGACCAGCAGCCGCAAACGCACGTAGCATCATACTCACGAGGTTTCCCTTGTCAGGCCCAAGAGCGGAGACGATCACGAACGGAGCCCGTTCATCTGACACGGACCTCGCACGTTGAAGGCTCTCCAAGCTGATGAACTGTTCAATCGGAGGAGCATGATGAGCGAGGGCAGTGGGGGTTCGGAAGCCAACAGTGTAGATCTTGGCAATCTTCAAGGCTTTCAATGCATAAAATGCCGGAGCGGCGTCATCAGAGGTAGATGCAAGAACAACAGCGGCTCTGCCGAAGTAGGCTGAGGGAGCTAGATCGTGCATCAGGGTATGCATAATGCCTCTCCAACCAGCATTGTCAAAAATAAGAGACGGGCTTGTTGATCCGGTTTGCCCACTTGAACCCGCCGACGTTTGTCCATGGGGACTGGATGGCATGGATGGCGGTGCTGACGTTGTGGAAGAGGCAGATTTGGCGACGATGGTGTCAGCGATTCCGATGACCCGGGCTGCTTCGGTGAGTGTAGGTCCTTGGCCATTATTCAGCCTGGCAAAGAACTTGTTGTGCTTTGACAACGTCTGGACAGAGATGCCAGGGTCAAGATACGCGCCTCCGAAGTCCCTGTGGTTACACCACGCTTCCATACCAGCAAAGTTATTTGGCTGTCGTTCGATAATGCCGAATCGATGAGGAAGACCTAACTCATTGAAACACTTCTCATAAAACGGTGCCTGCGGAATGGCGCTTCGAGACAGGGAGGAGATAACCCCATATATATTCTTCATCGGCAATTGTCCCAGCTGACATAATGCTTGGTGAATTTCAGCGGTGCTCATTTGTCCCGGGGCAGCAATGATGGGGAGAAGAGGGTGTGTAATTGGTGTGAAGACCTTGTTTTGAGTTCTTGTGAACTGGCCTGTCTCCTCCATATTTACGGCAGAAAGAGGTGGCGCATTGGGATATTCCGATTTTACCTTGCAGCGGAAATATTCCAATTCGAAATTCTCATTGGGCTCGTTGACAATCGCGATCATCTTGACAATGTCTGCATAAGGACAAGACCGTCGAAAAACGTCCTGTGCGTACTGGGAAGGCCACTTGAAAGTCCCAGAGAAGTCGTGGAATGCCGACATGATGCGAGAGTTGCCTTTCCGCTGCCACAAATCCCGGCGAATCTCCTCTGGAAGCCACAGCTCAATATCAATATACTCAATTCCCCACTGGATAGCTCTATACAGGTACTGGTGGTAGAGTCTTGGGTCATGCATCGGGAATCTGCCGTTTTCGTTGGTGCAACGCGTTGTAAAAATGATGGGTAACTCTGTCCGCTCTCGCAGCAGCATAACTTGCTCTCCAACATAACCTAAGCTCGGGACCTCGGAGAAGCCACCATTCGGAAGAGGCTCCCGGAGCAGGTCGACTCGAATTTCAATGGCATCAGATCCAACGGTGAGAATATCGAGATTGGGCAATGCAGCACGAACATCGGGAAATGTCGTTGACATGAACAAAGTCCTTGGCTTGGCCATGAGCTCTTCATGATGGCTGATTTGACCCAAGGTAAACGAAATAAATCGGGACAGGTAGCGGCGAAAGTATGGTGATTCCATGTATAAAAACTCATAGTCGCAATGTGTCGACAGCTGCTCATCCGGAGGCATTCCGAAAGTTACGCAGTGAGTATTGATGGCAACAAGCAGCTCTTGCTTTCGGCCCGCGATGTCACGTTTTGCGTCCCTGGCTGATATGCCGACGACAAATCCGTGATCGTCCCTTGTCACGTCCTTGAACGAGGTTTTCAACTTGAAAGGTTTACTAAGTACCTCAGCGACAATAGACACAACTCGCTCCTGGCCTTGACCAAAAATAATAACAGCAATTCGCTTGTCGCCTTCTTCCGGGGCTCCTCGCAAGGACCGGCCATGGAGCAGTACAGGACTTTGGCTGACTCTGTCCGTCGTGGTGGTGTCTGCGGATGTTTCGCCATTCAGTCCAGTTGTAGGAAGTGCCGTTCTCGGCGGTGGACTCGTCAGTAATTGTTGTACAGCGGCCATGGTTTTCTGCTACCCGTATATACACTAAACAGAAAGGCGGTACTCGGCTGGGCAACAATAATTAGATGCAGCGCCTGGGACAAGTCAATACCGTCGACTGGTCATCCAAGAGGCTGTCTCATCACAGTAATTGATACCTAGCAGCGGCGCAAGGAAGATGGGTGTCGGGTGAAACTGAACACGGCTCAAGATTGCTCCAGATGTTTGTGGATTGGGCTCGGAAAGGAACAGCGGCGTTTCGGTTCCTATCATTTATATGGCCTATTTGGTAGAAGACTGACGATGGTGAGGCACAAGCGGCAGAGCTCAGATGATGTCTTTGAGCTTCGTGTCACCTTGTGAGACCAGGCTTCTATTCGAAGCCTTTATTCTTGGTAGTCGCTACATAAATACGCAGCGGCTGAAACAGGAGTAAAAGGCTTGGTGAGAAGCGAGGAAACCCAGCCAGCAACCAGATCGTTCAGAGAGTCTGGCCCACAAGCCCCAATGGACTAGAAGCGTCGTCGTCGCAATGGAGACCAATTTCGATTCTCAGGCGCGACCGGAAAAATGTTGAAGCCGTCTTACAGGCTGCGGGAGGCCGATCCGTCCTGGCTCCTGGTTAGCAGAAGCCGCCAGAAACAAGACGGATTCTCCCACCAGGGGATATCTCGCTCCGCCAGCAAAAGTACAATTCCAAAATCGCGGTGGTTCTCGTAAGGCGGAAAGAAAGATAGCGTGGTCTGGAAGATGAGTACAGTTCCCACTGAATCAGCCACTGAATCAGGGGGACGAAGATGTATCGCAACCGGGCAGCCTTTCAGGAAAGGAACCAGATGCTTTGACGGCCCCTGTGAAGAAGAGAGAAGGGGCTTAAATGATGGTCCCCTTTGCGTGTGTAGGTACTAGGCGGTGCTAGGCCAGAATGGGAGCCGCAAAGGACGTGATACTCCAGTGGCACATGTATTGGGCGGTTTGAGTCGGACGTTACAGCGACGTGTAAGCAGCAATAACGTCGAGCAAGTCAAGCCGACTCTGGCAGCAGTGTCAACATCGAGGGGTTGCCGGCGTTGCTGGCGCTGTGTACCGACTCGGGGGAAACGGAGCAATAGATGGAATTGGCGAACCACACAATGTGTTCGCGCAACGCTGCTGGGAAGCACTACGTGACGGCGCCGGAGCCTTTGGTAGCAATATGCCGCTTTTGGGGATTGGGGGAGGTCGACGTTCGGGAGGACGATCGATAGACGATAGACTCATCAAAGCTAAGAAGTGGCAGCACGGCGGTGGGGTCGCAACTTGCTTGGGTGGCGGTCTGCAGCGTGTAGAGCTCGTTCACCTTCTCCTTTTGACCGGCATCAGACATCAGACCACACTAGCTCAACCCTGAAACTCTGAATCTTGGCCGCGTTGCTTCAGCTCCTGGGGACTTTTCTGCTGTCGGTAGCCCACAACCAGGGTGGTCAAGCAGCAGCTAGTGCATGAATGTGCCAATTCTTCCGCCAATGGTGTGCCGAGATGCTCGAGGGGCCAAGGTTTTGTCAATCGCAGTACGGAGCAGACAAGCAAAGCAAAGCCTTGCCCGGATTCGCGATTTGGTCCTCGGGCGTCGCAGTTGAAATGACACAGAGTGGCATATTGGAAGAGCTGCCCGGGAGGTCAGAGATGGTTTTGAGAATAAAAGCAAACGCGAAGATTGAAAGATGGATGGGACACAAGCTGACACATCGGGCCGTCATCGCAAACGGGCCAGGAAACTTCGGAATGCACTCCTGTCGCTCCTTCCCAGACCTCCTACACGCCTCCGGGGAAAAGGAACTTTGGAAGGAACAAGGGAATTGGTGCCCTGGAGACCAGGTTCACCTGCTCTCGGAGCAGCCGGGCCGCAAGTCATCATCGAGCAGGCAGTCCAATCGAATCGGTCCGTTCCAACCACGACTGCACATGCCACGTACCCTACATCTCGGCAACATCGCCATTATTCCCATCTCCGCCGGTGTCTTCTGGTCCAGTCATGTAGGCTCCGCGTGATTTGGCTTGTTTCTCGAGCCATCCCAGTACACTGGCCTCAAGAGGGCTCACCAACTGCTAACAGGGTATTGTGTGAAGTCCTACTCATATTCGAGGTGCAACCTGTCATGGCTTAGACGTGGCTTCGTGCATCTGTTGCCATTAGGTAACTGCACAGGTTTTTGACGCCGCTGGGCCACTTGAGGCTATGGCAGTTGTCTCTACACTACATAGCCTTAAGAGGGCTCATCAACTGCTAACAGGGTATTGTGTGAAGTCCTACTCATATTCAAGGTGCAACCCGTCACGGCTTAGACGTGGCTTCGTGCATCTGTTGCCATTAGGCAACTGCACAGGTTTTTAAACGCCGCTCGGCCACTTTAGGCTGTGGCAGTTGTCTCCGAGCCTGCTTCTTGGTGCATTTCTATGGGGTATATAAATGGGCGTTCCGTTCCATTGGCATCGTCTCGTTGATGAGCGCGTCATCTAAACGCAAAAACGATACTTGTCCGCTAGCACAGCATCCCAACCATAGCTCACGATGAGTAACGACGTCGGGAATCAGGTAAGCTCAAACCGCGGGCGACGCCGCGTGCATATTCTTACCCGCCGTTTTAGCCTGCCTTCGGCCAGATCTGCTGGCTCCAAATCGCCGTGTATGATGTCAAAAGAGCTTCGAAACTGTACTCGGAGATTTTCAGCTGGAAGGTCAATGAAGATGCCTTGCCCACGGACCAACATGGTATCAAGGCCATGCATATGTTTGAGTGCCCCGGGAAGAAGCTTGGCGGTGGTTTTCTTGTCATGGAGGAAGGTTACCAGATGACTCGATATGGAAAGCTTGAAAAGGAGGTGCTTCCTCCCCTGCCTACGTTTTGCGTCAAAGACTGCAACGAAACCTTGAAGCAGGTGGAGGGCTTAGGGGGCAGCACACAGGCGTAAGTCGCGTCATGCATTTGCATGTCGTACATACCCCCTTGTTCGTCACCGTTGTGCTAACCAGGCAAACAGGCCCAAGACGGCCATCGGCGGTGATATGGGCCACTACGCTCGCTTCACAGACTCGGAGGGGAACGTCATCGGTATCTGGTCGCAGGACTGAGACCGTCCGCAGGGTGCAAACCGCGGGGTCGAGAGTGCGCCGTTAGGCGATACGAATATATTTGGATTTGGAGCAAAGTCTTGGTCGTGACAAAGAAAGGCATGTCTCATTCCTGTCCCGATACATTAATCTTGAGGTTGCTGTACTCGCTATCTGCGCCACGTCCACCGACGGCTGTCAGCCCAGCTCTATGCATGTCTGTGCGTGAGCGACTTTGACAGAAGGTTCAGTGATGGCGACGGTGTTTTGACTTTGACTAAGTAACTAGAGGACGTAGTTAGGTTGTCCAATCAACTGTGAGCGGGCGAGGATGAAACAAGTCTGGTCCATTTCCATTTCCATTTCCATCTGAAGAGAAGCCGGATTCGCTCTTCGGGCGAGCGGTGCTCCGTCCAGTGGTCGGCCACTACTAGTAGTTACTATCATGTCGAAATTGCAATGCTGAGAATTGTGAGCAGGGAGGAGCTGCGGTTTGGACCTGAATTTGCTTGGGGCCCGGTGCCTCCTTGGTCTGCGGCTCTACCCTGATGAATAAGAGTGCGACACTGTCCCCGTTTCGTCGACGGATAGTAATGTAGTTAGTTAATACGGTTACTACTAATTCATTGAATCCTCGTCGTGGAATGAATGGCCTTTACGCTGTGGGCCGCCGTCCTGCCGAGGGACGAATCAAACGCGCAAATTTACATGCTGGCTGCGTCAAGCCTTGGCTGAACACCACACCATCAATCAAAAAGCTCGTGTCGCATGGCATCAAGGGCTCTCACTCTCTGCACTTCTATCAAACGGCGTATCCTGGCGTCGCGAGGAATTGACGAATTTGCACAGTTCGAGTCTCCTTCACAACTAATTTCCCCAATCGTGCTCCCTCCCTCGCCGACCCTCGACACGACATGTCAGAATCTGTTGCCGAGACGCGGCCTGCCGACGAAGGCACGTCCACTCCCGCCGTCACCGAAGGCACCCCGGCCGTCACGGAAGACGCCGCGACGCCCATCTCTCGCGACGAGGACCCCAAGTCCAGAAGGGTGTCTCTTGCCGACCTGAGCGCCAAGGGCACCGCGCTGTACGCCCACAAGCAGTACGAAGACGCCGCCGAGATCTTTTCCCGCGCCAGCGTGTTGCAGGCCGAACTGAACGGCGAGACGGCCCCAGAGAACGCCGAGATCCTGTTCCACTACGGCCGCAGCCTGTTCAAGGTCGGCCAAAGCAAGAGCGACGTGCTCGGCGGCTCCGCCGCGCCTGACAGGCAGAATGCTGCCACCGCCGCCGGCAGCTCGAGACCAGCTGCGCCCGCGGAGACGGGAGCCCAAAAGGTGACGCGAGAATGCGTCGCCGACACTGCTGGTGCTGGTGCGCAGGCTGTCGACGCCCCCGAGGACAAGGACGGCGACAGGGCCAAGGAGGGTGCACCCGACGAGAAGAAGCCGCTGTTCCAATTTACCGGCGATGAGAACTTTGACGACTCATCCGACGAAGAGGTAGGTTGGATCGCAGCGCTGGCTCCGCAGACCGTCTCGTCGGAGGAGACTCTAACAAACGGCAGCCGCAAGAAGAAGCACCCGAGGAAGAAGACGACGACCTGGCCACGGCCTTTGAAATCCTGGATCTCGCCCGCGTCTGCTACCAAAAGCAACTGGAGCAATTGGAAAAGGACGACGAGGCCGGCAAGGGGAAGGAAGCTGCCCAAGATTCCCCATCGGTCCGGCACATCAAAGAGCGCCTTGCCGACACGCATGACTGTCTGGCCGAAATCTCCCTCGAAAACGAGCGGTATGCTTTCAGTCGCGCTTCTTCTTTCTCTGTTTATTCCCCCCTTTGGCCCATCTGCTAACTGTTCTAGATACCCCAACGCCATCGAGGACGGCCGCACCTCGCTCAACTACAAATTACAACTCTACCCCGAGGACTCGGAAATCATCGCCGAGGCGCACTACAAGCTCTCCCTCGCGCTGGAGTTTGCGTCGGTGACCACGGCCGACGACGAGGGCAAAAACGCCAAGCGCGAAGCCATGGACCAGGGCCTCCGCGACGAGGCCATCGAGGAGATGGGCCTCGCCATCAAGAGCTTCAAGCTCAAGATGCAGAACAAGGAGGTCGAGGTGGCCGTCATGGCGTCGCCCGAGGACAACGACCTCGCGCGAAAGGCCATTGTCGAAATGAAGGAGGTCCTCGCCGATATGGAACAGCGGGCATGTCAAAGCTTCCCTCCTAGACGCGCCTGTGTCTGCTAGTGCTAACGCTCCTTGACACTAATCTACATATAGTTGGTCGATTTGAAAAAGGACCCCATCGACGCCTCCGACCTCCTCGGCGGGCCGCAAGCCAACGCCTTGGGGGGTCTTTTCGGCGCCGCCCTGGGCGAGACCGCCGCCGAGACGAGGGCCCGTGTCGAGGAGGCCAAGAAGACAGCAATCGACCTGACGGGCCTGGTGCGCAAGAAGAAGGTCAAGCAGGGAGAGGAGCCGGAGCCGGAGCCGGCGGCGCCCGCCACAAATGGGAAGCGAAAAGCAGAGGAGGCATCGGAGACCGCCGAGTCTCCTAAGAAGGCCAAGGTCGAGAATGAGCCCGACGAGGTAAAGGAGTGACGGGAAAGGTGTCCTTTTTTTATTTTTATTTTTGGAGTTTGCGGCGTCGGGCGGAGCCGGTCCGTGGATTGACCTCTGTATAGTATAGTATGCACATGGACGGACATTATCGGTGTAATGACGTCCGGCTTTCCCGCTGCGACATGTTATTTCGTGTATACCAAGTCCTGGTTTATAGTCCTCACTACGTCGCCGGGGGTGGGGACAGGTGTAACTGGACTACCGGCTGTGGAAAAATGACATCAATGAGACAAGACAACTACATCACACGCGTTTGCGCATGAAACTGTCAACGGCATCGCCATGCAAGTGAAGACGTCTACCCCCCAAACGCCACCAACGCCGTACCCCTCTGCTGGATTCTCATGTCTCCCTTCACAACTTGAAGCTCCCGCTGGTCACTGCCTTTTTGGCCTTGGCCTTGTTCCCGTCCACGTCGGTGACCTCCCCTCTGCGATTGATGACCTTGACGCCGCCCTTCTTCAGCTCGGCCATGGTGTCGCGCTGCATCTTGGCCCTCGTGCCCAGCTTCTTGTCGCTCTGGGTATGAGTGCCACCGGCATTGCGGACGCGTTCCTTTTGGCGTCTGCGGCGCCGGGCCCTGTCCTCGCGGGACATCTCTTGCCGGGCGACGGGCAGGCCGGACTTGGTGACAACCTCGCCCTTTGCGACCGAGTCCTTGTCCGTGCCGGCCCTGTAGATTTCCTGCGGGGCCATGCGCGACGATGCGCCGGCGACGCCCTGTGCCGTCGTTGGCTGGGCGTCTTCCATGGCGACCGTGGCCACGTCCGAGACGACGCTGAGCTGGGCGGCCGCCGGTTTCGGCTTGTAGTGCCAGCTGGAGAGGGCGTCGAGCCGTGCGGACACGTCTTTCCACATGGCTTCGACTTCCTTCTCCTCCTTCTGGAGCTTCTCATCTGACTTGCTGACGTACGTGTCTGGGTTGGCGTTCTTGATGTGCTCCTCCTCGTAGACCTCGGCGAGGCTCTTGCTGGGCTTGCTATCGTCGAGCTCAACGAGGCCGCGGCGCGTGTGGGCGGGGACGCTGCCTGCATCGGGGCGGCGGCGGACAACCTCGTCAAATTCCTGGGACAATATGCGCCGCTTTATGAGGTCTTCGATGGATTCGCTGATTTCGGGAGTGATGACGGGGACGGGCTTGCCGACGTGCTCAAAGTCTACGTCCTCTTCGAGAAGTGAGTTCGTCGGACGGTCGGCGGCGGCGGCTTCGCCTGACAGCGTCCATTCGCGCTTGGCTACGGACGCGGCCTCGAGTTTGCGGATTTCCTCGGCGAGCTTGGCCTGGCGACGTTGGTGGGCTGAGCGCCTTGATTTGGGGTCGCCGGCTGAGACGTCGGAGAGGTTGTCGTCCGAGTCTCCGTTTTCCGACTCGTCATCAAAAAGGTCACGCTTGACGTCAGCCATGGCCCTTTCCATGTCTTCTTCGTCGGGTTGCCGGGATTCGACGTGGACTGCCTTTTTTTTCGGAGGTTTGCCAGCCTTGTCTTTTCTTGAGGGGGGTGCGAAAAAATCCTTGTAGTATATTTCATTGGCATTCAAATCATTGGCCTCATCCTCATCGCCACCGTCTGCCATGTCTTCTCCATCGTCGCTGGCGCCTTCCGGCGCATCAAGTGCCATGTCTCCGAACGTGGGGCCATCGTCGTCCTCCGATTCCTCATCGTCGAGGGGACCGTTCTTGTGCCTCTTTGACGACCGTGCGGCGGGCTTCGGCGGCGCAAAGGGGTCAGCAGCCCAGTCTATATCCTCGTCATCGCTGGCGTGGTCCGTGTTTGGGTCTCCCCTGGCATCCTGGTCTTCAAACCACTGGGTCTGCTTGTTGAAGTCGTCGATGGAAAAGAAGCCGTCATTGAGACCATTGGGGTCTTGGACATATTCTCCAGCCTGTTCTTCCTCGTTTGATTTGTCCTCTCGCTCTTCCTCTTCACCATCCTCATCCCCCTCCAGTTCATCTTCAACAGCTGCGTCTGCAGTCTCAGCTTCGTCCTCTTCGTCGTCCTCCTCCTCCTCTTCATCCACGTCGTTCGCTTCATCTTTGCCCTCCTCCTCGGAGCTATCCTCGGAGCTAACCTCAAACCCATCCTCCCCAAACTTCAAACTCTTTATGCCAGCCTCCTCATCTTCAGAACCAGTGCCCATCGCCACGACCGCCTCATTCTCCTCCAGCTCATCCACTATGCCTTCCGAGAACTTCAACACCCCATTGATAATCTTTTTCGCTTGTTGCCACACCTGTTCCGTTTCGAACTTGTCCACATACACCTTTCTCAGCTTCAAGACATCGTCAACGACCTTGTCTCCACCCCTCTTCCTCTTCCTGTTCTCCCTTAATCGCTCCTGCTGCGCATCGCCGACTTGAGCAGCAAATGCTTCCAGTGTATGTTTGACAATGCTAAGCGAGTCGTTTGGAAGAGAGACATTCGGCTCAAGGAAAACGTGTCGGTTCGCGGGTTGCAAACTAGTCAAGAAGGCGGCCATGTCCGCAGCCGGATTGGAGTTGGCTCCTGATGCGGGTGCCATAATAGGCTGGCCGGTGAGCGTGTGTGACGTCGACGTGAGAGTCGGCGATGTGGCTGCAGCCATGCTCTGAGGGAGACGCCCGTAGTGTGATGGCCGGAACGTGGTTATGTTCCTTGCTGTAGTGTCGAATAATCGAAGTTGCAAAATGTTGGACTTATTCTGCCAACAGGGAAAATTTTTGGCTCACCGCCCCCGCGCGCGAGCCCCGCCGAAGCAGGCCGCGACGACGACATCAGCCTTCAAGACTCGCGGCGCCACTTCTCCCATCAACGACATTGCCTATTACATCACGTACCTAGTGATTCTGGCGGATTTAGACGTACGAATTGACCAATTGGATTCCCGATTCATTTCCATTCCGAGCGCATGCGAAATGCCTAGTCATGGTTATGTATGTGTATTGTCGGATGAAATACGAAATGCCATCCCGAGCCAAATCTACAAACTCCTTTCACTACAGGCTAGTCAATTGTCGCAGCTAGTTACGTAAATACTTGCCAAATAAGTGGCCGGTGAACTGCCAAACATTGATGCTGATTCAATGCCAACGGATTTCTTTTGTTTCTGAGGATCCCTAAATCATAGTGACATGTGACTAGATCCCCTGTGCGCCGGGAACTCCTGGTAACTGCTCGACCATCTATCAAAACAGTATCTTCCACAAATGGCTCACTGCCCTCTTCGGCCTCCTGTACTCATGAGTGTGATCTTTTGTTTCTTCTTTTTCTTCTTGCCGGCTCCGGCTCCGGCTCCGCCTTCACCGACGGTAGCCGCAGTACTTGCATCGCCACCCTTGACGCCTTCCATAGCTTCAATCGCCTCAATCTGCATCGCCAGGTCAGTCGTGCCTAGAAATTCTTCATCTCTAAGCCACCCGTCATCCACAGCAGGCGTGGTAGGCGCTAGATTGGGAGATGCCGGCACGACCCGCGTTCCCCAGACAGTCCGTTGCGTTGATGGGCTGGTAGACATCGAGGCAAGGGTCTCGAAACCTGGGCGCGGATCGGGCGGTGTCATGCCAGATTGGCCGGTCAGCGGTTGAAACTCAGACATATCCAAAGCAGGGGAATGATCTTCTTCTACGGATTCCAATGCGGTATGCCTGCGAGCAGTGACTCCGAGTGCGCCGCGGAGAGCTGCCGCCTCGAGACGTTCAGACTGGAGCCTCTCACGCTCTTCTCGAGCCGCCTTCTCTCTGTTTCTCTTCCTTCTCTTTTCAATATCGCCGGCAAATGACTCTAATATTTCTGCAGACACAATGTCTGTCCAGTCACACTCCAGGAAACTGATGATGCAGCCTTGTGGGAGATGTGCCAGATACTTTGTCCGCTTCCGAAGCACCTCATCAACCACATGTCCCGTAGAGATGTGCTCCACGCGAGGCAGCAGCGTTGACGGGAAAGCGGCAAACGACCCATACTTGGCCTTTAAGATCCGAATATCGAGCGGTGACAAATACAAATGTGGCGGCGCGCCGTAGAAATAGAAGTCGGCATGTGAGGATGGCTTCGCTACTGGAGAGCCTAGACGTGAAAGTAAAACACTGCCGTCTGGTGATTTCAAAGCGTCAGTTCTTTTCTTTGCTGTCTCAACAGCGTCTCTGGCTTTCCGAGTCCACTCCGGGTCTGAGCCAAAGAGCGTCTCGTCCTCCTTCTCCTGTTTCAACAAAGCGGCAATCTCTTCATGATACTGGGTGGCCATGTACTCTGCAGTACCCTTCATGATTCTGGAGTAGTCCAGGACATTGGCCGCAAAGTGCCATGGCACATCCTCTCCCGAGTTGAGAACCTCTGCACCACCCTCTCGTGGCAGGGCCAACGTAGAATCTGCTTTCCTTGCCATGAGTCGTAGTACGACATCATCACCCACTCGAGGTAGAGGACTCTCCTGTCCCGCGTAGAACCGCACAGGTTTTACCTCGTGGAGATACATTATGTCCTCGCAGATGGGGCATTTCTTCCACCGAGACCCCTTTGCTGATTTTGCGTCATCAATGTTCGAGTGCATAAATCGAATTATGCAAGGAAGACAGAAAATGTGCCCACATTTGGCCATACGAGGAGCAACGGGATCTGACAGGCAAATTGGGCAAGAAGCTGTCTGTGATTCCGAGGAGGCAATAACCTGCAAAACGTCTTCCCAGTCCAAGAAGACGTCGGCGTCGACTTCATGCTTCGTGTAGATTCCTTCCGGAGAGACTACAAAGCGGTAATTAGAATGCACATATCTCGATTTATCAGTGGCGTGATGACCGGATCCAGGACCCCAGTTAGGATTTCTGCGGTATGACCTCGGGTGGTAGCTATGGTCTTGGAGGTGTCGGGGGCTCGTGTAGTTTAGGAGATGGGTGATTGAAGTCTGGCCTCTCCTGCTCGATGGGTTCCGCACAGCTCGGAGCTCAGCCATGGCGTCATACTCATCAGGGTTGCTGTGATTCCTTTGATCTGCACCAGGCCTACGTTGATTCTTGTGTTGTTTTCGAGAGGCCTGTCCCTTTCTGGGGGTAGGATGTGCAGAAGGGCCTGGTTGACTTGGACGACGGGAGGATTCGAAGCTTGAAGTCGTCGAAACAGCTTGTGGCTGCGGCGGATAGCTCGTGGGCGTACAGAGGGTCTTGCCCGCGACGGCGTTCGAAAGACTCATGGCCGGCCTATGGAAGGCAGGCAGATTGTTCGAGAAGATATTTAGGAGGTAAGTAAAAGATGAGCCAGGATACTCGGGGGAGTGGGAGAAATGAGCTGTTAATCCTTGATTCCGAGGGCAATGGTCAACTTGCCCATCCTGACGCGAGTTCGCGTCTCGACAGAGCAGTTCTCTTCGCCGGGAAAGCCGCGATGCACGCTGATATTCGACAAGAGATGGGGCCAACCTTCTCTCTAGCCGCCGCTTGAGAAACGCGGAATAACAAACAGATAAAACAAATTGTCGGCCAGATAAGACAGGTGCGAAGTGATGAGTTTCTTGGGAGGGGTCCAACTTGGACGGACCCCGGCAAGTGGTGGTGGAGCAGGTCAAAGCAGAGTCATCGGGGCGAACAATTGACGAACGATGATGTTGCTTGCTGGCAGGAAGGCGCGACAGGTGGTTAGTCATCAGATTACACGTGACTGTTCATTTGACTCCATCCTAGTGCCTGTGTAAACACGCGGTGACCAACGATGCATAATTTGTTGATTGGCCTCGAGTCATTTTGTCAGCATCATTAACTTTGCGCGGGTGAGACTAGATCAACATGGTTCAGATGTGTGACCCTACCCAGCGGCTATGCTAGTACGCCTATAACTCATCCCGTGAACCCCAAAACTTCGACAGAAATGCCTTCCATAGCGGTCTCTTTCCACTCTGTGCCCGCTTCTCATCAAAGATAGGCTTCATAATCGGCACCAGATCCAGCACACCCAGCGTTCGCTCGGAGCGCTTCCACCCCAGCTCTTCCGGCAATCTCTCCTCTGTCAACCAGACCCTCACACGTTCCTTGGGCGCTTTCCAACTCTCTGCAGCGGGAAAACTAAACACAGACGGCACTTCACCCTCCTTCATTATCATCAGCAGTAGACTAGCCTCGATATATGCTAGCAGCTCTTCCCGGGTCGATAGTCTCTTGGGCTCAGATAACGCCTCCACGCGGAGGCGGCTCTTCGCGATTGAGACTACGTCAACATAGTCCGTCAGACTGTCGTCCAGCAGAGCGGCGACCCGTGGAGGATGTACAGCGATGTTCTTCTCTGTAGGCGTTATATCTTTACGAGACAAGGAGCTGATGTGCTGCAGGATCCCAGGCGTGTTGAGGTTCTCGAGATCAAAAGAGTCTTTGCCCCAGCCTTTGACGAACACGCTCGCAGGTCTAGTGCCGTATGCGGGGGCGGTATTGAGAGCTTGGACGACGGCATCGCCAAAGTGTTTAACCGAGAGGTTTCTGCCGTTGTGTGGTCTTGACCCGTTAGCTTTACGTAGCTCCCCTTCAACAGATTGCATGGGTTGGGGCATACAAGTAGCCGTGATTCGCGAGAGTGTTCAACATTGGACAAGGACCGCGAGAGTCGCCCGGGCCTGCGGCTTTCCATGGTCGAAGCGTGCCGTCTGTGCCGTCTGTCGAGGCGACAGCTGATGCGGCCAAGGAAATAACAGTAAACGTGTGCAGCATTGAAAGGTGCAGCCACGGTCACCGAATTGACAACCGTTGAGCTTGGCCTTCTGTTAAGTGTAAAGGAACCGGGAAATTTGTATGCCACTTTAAAAGTCCTAGTTTGACCGAAGCAAAATCCATAACAATCTAGTAATAGCGTGAAAGGGGTGCTGCTTTTGTGATCTGTTCGTCGTCTGTTCGTCTTCCCTGCGCCAGCGAACAAAGGCGCAACACCACGTGGTCTCGAGAAAACATGTCAGGAGGGACGGCTCCCGTGACTTTCCCCATGCCGGCTTACTATCTGTGCTTCAATTGGTGGCTTCACTTGGCACTCGCAACGCATCGATAGTACGAAAAGTTTGGTCAGGTTATAATTGGACGAGGCCATGCGTGAAGCGCTTCACCTGGTCGACGGCACGGCACTGGGCAGCTTAGAACAGTCAGTTTACAATGGTAGCAAGTAGGCAACCAAGTTGGAAACCAGTCACAGTGCCATCCAATTGTCTATGGAAAGACATATTATGTACATTTTTTTTTTCGTCGACATTATGTCGAGGTGTCCCCATCTCCAGTAATCATCTCGCATGTCGAGGCAATCTCATGACACTTCCAACAAGCCGATTGTACATGGGTTCCAATTGCAATTCCAATGCTGAAACAAACACATGAAACGGGCGGCATCGAAATGATCGTGAAAGAAGTAGGAAATGACGCTGCACCCTGAGGCATTGGACGTCAGGTCCATCCCCAGACCACTTTTTATCTGCAGAAATCCGAGGGGGAATCATTGACAATGGGTACAAACTGTTCTCAAGAAGCAGAAAAAAACAAAAAACACTGCACATAGTACCGTGACAAAATCACCTCCCAGCCATCATTATCTTGTTATGTTTCCACAACTCACAAGGAGAAAATCTATTTCAGCTTGGCCTTGAGTTTGCTGAACATGACGCTCAGGCGGCTCTTCTTCTTGTCGTGGGCGGCGCCAGCATCGCCAGCAGCGGGTCTGCTCTCGCTGCCATTGCCATTGGTGGCAAGTGTCGCGGCCGTAGGCTCAGAAGCCTTGATTTCGGCACCATGGGCTCCATTAGCCGCGGCGACAGTAGTTGGGGCCTGGTTGCTGGCTGCGGCGGGCGTGGCGGGCGTGGCCTTTGTCTTGGGGGACTCAGGTTTGGTAGCCTCGTCAAGAGCAGGCGCCTTCTTAACTTCTCTGAGAAGCTCGCTCTCAACTTCCTTCTTCTCCTGGACCGCAGAGGTGTTTACGGCAGCCTCAGGGCTCTTACTAGCCATCGCAATAGACTTCTTAACCTCCTGGGGAACTTCAGGCGAGATCTTCTTCAGGGGGCTGTCCTTGTTATCACTGGCAAGAGCGGACTGAACAGAGCCAGGCAGGTTGTCCTTGACGGTGTCAGGAAGCTTGTTGTTAATAGACTCGACAGTAGCCTTCTTGGCGTCGTTCATAGCGGGAGTGGCATCTCCAGAGAACTTGTTGGCTGCCGTCACAGCAGCTGCAACAGCGGCGCCGCCAGTAACGGCGGCAGCTCCAAGAATAGTGCCAGTCTTCTCCCTTTTCTCGCTTCCAATGCCAGAAGTGCCGACAGAGGTAGCAGGGGCCTCGGGGACCTTGTCTTTCAATTCCGCCTCGACCTTGGCTTTGTCCTTCACTTCCTCGGGTACATTAGATGCTTCGGGTGCGGCGCCAGCTTTCTCTTGGCTGGCCTTAACAACCTCTGGCACCTTGGGCTCCAGAGGGACCTGGCCAGCGAGGGCGGCAGTCGTAGAATCGGCACCAACCGAATTGCTGGCCTTAAAAACCTCTGGCACCTTGGGCTCCAGAGGGACCTGGCCAGCGAGAGCGGCAGTCGTCGAACCGGGACCAACCGAATTGACCGTAGGGTTGGTAACGTCGGCCTGTTCACCCATGGGGAGGCTAGATTCGGGGATCATGGTACCGGAGTTTGCAGGGAGCCCCGTGGTACTCAAAGGAGGGCCACCAGGAAGGGCGTCGCTCTGCTCGTACGACGCCTTGTCCAGCTTGACGTACTCATTGGTATTTTGAGCGGCGATTGAGTCGGGGATCTTCTCACCAGGAGCAAGCTTAATGGGGTTGCTGGTGCCAGGGGCTGTAGCTGGCAGAGGGTTGATACCGACGGTCTTATCGTCAAGGTCAGCAAGCTCGTTGGAGGGAGTCACAGGGAAGCCTCCAGGGACATCAGATGGAGTCTCGATAGCTTCTGCTGCGATAGGCATATCAATGACGGGCGCAGTCTCAGCGACGTTGGTCTCGAGCTGAGACTCAGAGGAGGCTGCTCCCGTGGCGGCAGCAGCAGCAGCGGGCTGCTTGCTGGTGGCCTTCTTCTTGTTGCCCTTCTTGGCCATATCGGTAACGGTGGTGGATTCAGGTGTGACGGTGTTGATAAAGGCGGCTGCAGCGAGTGCAGGCTCAGGCGCAGATTCAGAGTTAGAGACGTCGTCGGGGGTCAAGAAGTTATTGACGTTGCCCTCGTGGTCGGCTTCGTGCGGGTAGGACTCGTTGATGGTCCAATTGTTATCGACGACAAACTAACCGGTACAGAAAGAGTGAGCGGATACGGTTAGCCACTGTCTTTGACCTACAGACGACAGGTTGCGTGCCAATGGATAATTAAAAAGAGGACACAACTGGGAGGAATAATTTGTGCGAATGACAGGTGGACACAGCGCACGGGGCGGGCGTGACGTGAGATATATGCAGGCGGGGTGGCTGGCGCAAGTCAGAAGTGCGCAAAGTGCGAAAGCGAGCAAGGGGCTGACCCCATACTGGCTGGCTTGTGCGTCCGGTGGAGACGGCATGTTGTGTGTGAAGTGATCAATCGTATGTGGACAGCTGGCCAGAGCGATTCGATACAGCACAAGTCGCCGGGCCGGATGGGTCAGCTTGTAGCCAGCCTTACTCGGCATTATGCTGTGATGTTCTTTCAGGTCTTTCTCACTCAGCGGGCTTGCCCAATTGCGATGCGCAATCTTCGACTCTGCAGTGAATGCTTCTGGTTGGTGTCCCGGCCGTGCCGCGTGGCCAAGATGGCCGGTCAGCCTGCGTAATCCCCATCGACGGAACCAGCCAAACCACGTCAAGACGCTATCGGCCATTGTGTACCGTATTACCGCGGGCTCCATCCAGTTCAATACCAATCAGGACAGAGACATTCCTTGTGTCGTCTTCGCACCCAGTACATATGAGGGTACGGAGCATGGCAGCCTCTGGCAGTGTGGGCCACATCTAGGGCTCGAAATTCTGTCTCATTGTATATCGAATTGGATGGCTGTGGTTACAACGCCAACGCCTCGCCCCAACTCTAAGCCGTCGTGGCCGTGGTTTTTGCGAAGGCTGCATCTGACAGAACATACAGACGCCCAATGGAGCCAGAAATGCACGGCAGCCTTTGACCAGGGGATAATTCTGTCGGAGAGCTGCGGGCAGTTGGCCAATGTTGACATGTTCAATCAGCCCCTGCAGTGATTGAAACGGGGCGCCCGCCATCGTCACAATGTCGTGCTCTGTAATCGTATCAGAACATCTTTTCTTTTTTTAAAGGGACAGGCGAGGCAATTTTTCGATAGGCCACGTACAATTGCCAAGTCGCTGCTCTCCACGTACACCAGTCGCAGATGATGTCGCATTTAAAATTGGTCGTCGGAATTCTCCGCAAGTTGAACGAGGTGGGTGGTTGCTCTCGTCAATCATCGTCGGTTCATCGCCCAAGGCTTCCAGGCCGTATCCAGTCCTGATAGAAAGAAATGTGTATGGTTGCATTCGGAGGAACATCAAGGGGGAAGCAAAGCAAGACGACAGAACAACTCAAATTGACTCACCTTGTAGTATATCTTGCTCGAAGCATCTTTCTCCGCGAAAGTGACCGTCTTTTGGAAGCTGGTCCCCTTCTTCTCGAGCTTCACGGATTTGGTCCATCCGTCAAACGAACCGGTAACGAGGACATCGGATACATCACCAGTGGGATCTTCCCTACATCGCGCGAGATTGCACAGTTAGCCGTATTATCAGAGCGAATTTGAAAATGTTGGGGATTGTTAGAAATCATGAATAGCCTGACGGCCGTGGTCTCGTCTTCAAATTCAGCAAGTGTGAAGCAATCGAGGCGGGCGCATCCATCCAAAGCGGGGGGAGGGAACAATGGAAGGAGCTACGCAGGTCGCAAGCTCTCAAAGCTGGCAGGAATCATGATGGTACTTACCACGTGAAGGTATGACTGCTCATTGCGATTGATTTCAGCAGCAAGGACAACAATTTCCACGAAAAATGAATTCACGACCAACGCCAGCAGCACCGGGAGGGAAGCAAAAAGTAGTCGGGCGGTTTATTTTCCCCTTTGATGGGAGCCTGTTCACCTTTATTAATCAAAGCCGTGCTACGGTTGCTATCTGTGGCCGAACCAGTGGTGGCGGAGGTGGCTGGAATCAGGCGGTCTGCCTTTGTTGCGTGGTTCCCTCACAGATCCCTGACCGAGCGTCTCCGTTGCTGACGAGACACAGAGCACCAATAACGCAAATCATATTCCACAGCTGGGCGAATGCAGCCAGATGGGTATTCTCCCTCGCGCCGTAAGGTCGAAATAATGCGCATTTATAGCTCGTAACGCGCACAGAAGCAGCCGTGCCTCAAAAGGAGAGGCGGCTAGGAGGGGCTAACGGGGTTCGATGAGGTCATGGCAGCGACATGAGCAGCCCACAGGTTAGGTTATACAGCACAACTTTACTATCAAAACTTTTTCTTGCCGCCTGTGGCCGCTGGTCGCCACCGCAGACGCCGAAGCCTCAACGACTACAAGAGGAGCTCAACGACAAGGCCGTAGGCATTGCTCCAGAATGCCCACCAGCTCGGGTTTCGTCAGAGAACAGTCACGTGGATGGGGCGGTTGCGACGAACAAGAAATTCATCTAATAAATATCTTTCCTGCAGCCTTCAGTCAAGGGATTATCCTGCTTCACACTCAAGGCGCGGAAGACGCAGGGCTCGGTTGCGCAGTGGTCGCTTGAGCTTCTGAGACAGCAGCATTGTCTCTGCGAGTCGACTTTGCAGCTACTGCAAGGCTGTCCTGAGTCTGACTCCTGAGCCCTAGCAACATACGTAACTAACGCCCGGCGGAGGCAAAGCTTATCCCAATTTTCCACATGCTTCGGTGAGCCTGGGAACGATGAGCATGTCTCGTGGGACTTAAGCTCCGCCGCGGACGCTAGACCTAATATGGTTGTCAGCATCCGGTTTCGGTATATGAAGAAGCATGCTGGTCTCATCAAGGTGGTCTTCGAGATACTTGCGTGGAGTAACAGCCGAAGGTGTTGAAAGGACTGCAGCTTCCGCTGTTCCAGAAAGATTTCTATTGAATCAAGGAGTTTGTGCATGTATTGCTACTAAGCAGCATACTCTCCTCCGTCCAAGTGCAACGCTGAAAGGTTCCAGCTGCTTTGACTCGACTGTAAACTCTTCAGAACCCCCTACTCACCTATGCGCATTGCAGACTTCTTTTGACTTGCCGTAATGACAGGTGCAGCGTAAGCATGACGAGAGCTTGAATATCTGAGGAATCCAGACAACACGGACACAAACTCGAGGCGAAATCGTCAGTTATGCGATTCCCCCAACAACATCTGAGCTTCAGCCTGAAGACACGGCCTCTTGATGCTAACGGTGCACGATAACGACTTCTTTCTATCTAAGCACTCAATATCGCGCGACGCCTTTGCCATTTTATTACCATTATCGCTGGGCTATGGCATAGCTTATCAACGAGGACTTTTGATCAGCAATGAATGGCCCTGGTAAAGTTGAAACGTCGCAGACCAAGGCCAAGAGTTGTTGGTACCGAGATGGTTCCTGGGCTTTCCTTAGGGACGGCAGACTGCCAACGGGTGGCAGTCATTGGTTTCTTCGTTGGCATTTTCGCTATGCCTAAGCTGACCTGTTCGTCCCGCTTCCGACGTTACTCTGGAGATTGATTCACCTGAGGGTGTTGGCAACACCTGCTCCCCGACCCAGCCACTTGTCCATCGTTCCCCTCTTCATGTCGGCCATTGTTACGTTGTTCCTCAGCATCTGATCAGGGAAGGTATATCACCAAGTACTGGTTTGATTTCGCAGGTGCAACGCTGGCTGTCGCTCGTACGGTGTAACACTATCTAGGCACTTATCAACACCAGACTATGCGGGCTGCAAAATGGAGAGGATGAACAGCTGAAATACTCCGTACGGAGTGCGCATACAGAATCTATTCAGCCGATGAATAGACTACAAAGGAGCGCACAAATTGGACCTTGTTGCCACAGATGGTTCTTTAGGTCATCATGCGACATACTCCGTATTTGACTCGTCTATGCCGCGATACATGGTATACAACCTCGACCAGTCGAGGTTGGACCGAGTTACAGGCACATAACACCAAGCAAGCTTGAAGGATCTTTGCGATAGGTTTCAACACCCTTGGATGTCTGCGCAACTTGCCTGTTACGGGGGCCCGGGGCCGAAGGCGGAGTTTCGAAATCGCGACTTACCTTGGTGGACGTTAATAATTTGGAAACCGAAACCATCGGGAAGGACTCTCTTGAAATCGCAACTCTGACGAGCCAAATTTCGACTTGTATGTTGAGGCTCACGTCACTCAACTCCGCCACAACGCAACGTCAGACGAAGTGGCATTGCAATCAGTCTGGTAAATTCTTCATCGAGACACTAGCCACGACGCATTTTGTTCAATCGTCTGCCATAGTTGGCGCCTCTAATCAAGTGGACGACATGTCACAATAACTGCGACCCTGGGTTCGCTGCCGCCGGCACCTGGTGACGGGTCGTCGTTGCAGCCCCTTGTCATCCCCCGGCCCTTACTGTCCCGTCCTGATGGGCCGGACATTAGTTCCCTTCTAGTCAGGGTGAAGGCGCTTGTCAAGGTTGTTTATAAGGCTATTGGAGGCATGCTTAATCAACAAGTCTGTTTGCTGATGAGCGGCCGAATCATGGTATCCGTTGGGTCAAAAGATTATCAGTGGTTGAAGTGGGCTCTGATGAAGCTGGTAGTGATGCGAGCCTCGCGGTTTCATGGCCTCATCGCCCGGATCACGCACTCCACGCAGGCGGTTTGACTAATGGGAAAGTCCTCAGCAGCGGCTTCGTTGCTTTTGTTTTCTTTGTTTCTTTTAATCGCGGGGTAAGGGGGCTAGATATCCTCAGTCTCTCCTAAATCTGCTCGGATACTCTGTCAAGGTTGATGTGATGTATCGGTCTTTTAATGTGGAAAGGGGGAAGGGCATAGACAATGGCCAAGATATAAGGGACCCGTGTTTCTCTTGATGATGATGGTTTCTTTTTTTTTTTTTCAAGAAGAAAAAAAGATCAAGCATCACGCTCATCTCGACTCGCCGGCGCAACTCAGGATATTATATCACAATGCATCTCCAACTTTCGTCGCTCCTTTCCATGCTACCGCTGGTCCTGGCCATACCAACTGCCAAGCGGTCCGAGCCTGCGCCGCTTCTTGTTCCTCGCGGTGAGGCCTTCACCCTCATCCCTGACGAGTACATAGTCAAACTCAAAAAGGGCAGTGCCAGCGCCGCGCTAGAAGATGCCATCAAGATCATCCCCGGAGACGCCAACCACGTGTTTGAATCCATCTTCAGGGGTTTCACCGGCAAGCTGGACTCTTCCACGCTCGAGGCCCTGCGGTCTCATCCCGATGTAAGACGCCTGCGGAACCAGGACTGGCTCAGATCAGAGAATCCGGTGCTGACTTGCAGCAACAAAGGTCGACTACGTCGAGCAGAACGCCTTCTACGAGGCCTTCGGCGCTGTCACTCAATCACAAGCCCCCTGGGGCCTTGCTCGACTCTCCCACCTGCAGCCCGGCTCAGGCGACTACGTGTACGACTCGAGCGCCGGCGAGGGAACATGTGCCTACGTCGTCGACAGCGGCCTCTACGCCGCACACCCCGTAAGCACCACCTCAAGAGGAAGACGGAGAGGGGAGACCTAACCAAACGCCGGCCGCTAGGACTTTGAGGGCCGGGCCGAGTTCCTCGGGTCGTTCATCGGCGACTACAACGACAACTGCCTCCACGGCACACACGTGGCCGGCACCATCGGCAGCCGCACATTCGGCGTCGCCAAGAAGACCAGCATCTACGGCATCAAGGTGCTCGAGTACAGCGCCGAGGCGCGGACGTGCGGCTCTGACAACTCCATCATCATGGCCGGCATGGAGCACGTCGCGCGGGACGCGGCCGGGCGCAGCTGCCCCAACGGCGTCGTCGTCAACCTCAGCCTCGGGGGAGGCTGGTCGCAGTCCATCAACGACGCCGCCGCCGCCCTGGTCCGCCAGGGCTTCTTCGTGGCCGTCGCCGCCGGCAACGGCGACCGCAACCACTTCCCCATGGACGCGGCCGCCGTCTCGCCCGCTTCGGAGCCGTCCGTCTGCACCGTCGGCTCCGTCGACAGCGACGACCGGACCGCGCGCGACTCCAACTACGGCGACCTCGTCGACATCCACGCCCCCGGCGTCGACGTCGTGTCCACCCGCGTCGGCGGCGGCTACCTCGCCATGTCGGGCACCTCCATGGCCACGCCCCATATCACCGGCCTGGGCGCCTACTTCTTGGGGCTCGGCGTGGCCTCTGCCTCCGACATGTGCAGCTTCCTCCAGTACAACGCCCTGCAGGACTACATTGGGAACCTGCGCGGCCGTACCAAGAACCTGCTTGCTCAGAACGGCATTGGTGCTTGGGAACAGGGTCTGCGCGAGTAACGTCACGGCTGGGACATGAGTCCCTTGCCTTTTGTTTCTGAATACCGGGTCTGACTTTCTGGCAAAGTTGGTTTGGTTTGGCCGGGTTGAAGGGCATGCCCCCTGCTGTTTTCATTCTTTCATTCTTTCCCTTTCCTCCTCCTCCTCTTTTTTTTTCTTTTTTTTTCTACATGTAAATAGACTCCTTTCTTTTCCAACTTCGTCTTTGATAGACGGTCGAATCTATTTTTCTCTGTGAGTTGACTCGTCGTTTGCTTGTGAGAACGAACCCGGCTTCAAGTTCGCCCGTAGAGTGGTCGTGATGATGTGCAAGTGTCGAGAAGAGTTGGTGGCGCAAACATTTCCAGATTCCTTCCAGAATGGGCAGACGGATCAACTTGAAACTTTGCGCCTCCCATTGTCCCTTCAAATGCCGCAAAGGTTAGAGCCAGGCAGGGCTAGGAGCGCTGTCGTCTTCTCGTATTGCAATCAGATCTGTACCAAGACTCGCGGTATTCACCAAAACAAAAACTGCAGTGCAGCGTCTTCAGTATGCTCTTTCTTCTCGTTATACACAGCATCTTGCATGCAGTCGACTTGGTATATAATACATTGCATCCAATATCTTGAGACAGCTCAAGTCACAAGGGTAGTAATTCCTTGACGGCTAACCCGTCGCTATAAACTTTCCTCCGTCCTGCTTGAACAGCCAGTCGCTATTCGCATCCACCATGAAATTCGTAATGTTGAACTCATTCGCCGCCATTTGGGCCTGCCTATTCTGTGCATCCATGGCCGTGTCCGGATCCAGTGTTTGGGCACCCGCAAAGCTCTCGCCGCCAAACGGCAGACGGGGAACGTTGAAAAAGTCAAACACGTCCAGATACTCCAATTCATTCGCTGCCGGTGCTCTGGCCGGCGCAACGGCGGGTAGTCCGGTTGTTGTCGCAGAATTATGTTTCGGTTGTCGAGACATCAAAACATCAAGGTCGAATGCCGTTCGTCGCATGTCGGCCAGGATTTTGACAGAGCTCGGCGTTACACCATCACCCTTTTGCTCGCTGTCCCGGTGCTCATCAAGCACCCGCTGGAGTAGTTCGCAGTATCTCGCCGCCACCGGCCAGTATCGACCCATCTCTCGCAGCATATCCACGAAGAAGCCAATTTGCGGAGCGAGTTTGCGCTCGACCGTGGATCCGTGAACAAGCAAAAGCCTCGCCGAGACCCATATCGTCCATGCGAAGGGCGGCCCCAACTTGCTAAGAAGGCCATTCTGAACTACGAATTCTCCCAAAGCTGCAATGTTCTCAACAGCACTGTGACATCTTTGCGAAGCGCTGTACGATGGAGTGAATATCGGTGATCGCGTTGTGGGGTATGCTGCTGACGAATGAAGTCGGATGACGGCAGTATGATACGTGCCATGGAGCATCACCAGAATGCAGTTCATGTTCTTCTTTGGTGCCTGGAACAACTTGGACATGTCGCCGAACTCTGGAGGCAATCCAGATCTCCACGTTGTCAACAGGTTATCCAGCTCCTTGTAGCTCAGTTGCCATTTCTCGACGTCTCCAAGAGCACTGATATCCACGGGCTGTTTGAGGAACGTGTGTACCTTGGACAGGATGCCCAGGATTTCGATGTAGTAGGCAAAAGCCCCCAGATTTTCGGGCATGCAAATCTCCTGCGCAGATCCCTCGCCATGATGCTCTCTTGCCTTGAACCATTTGGTATCCACTCTCTGATTTCGCATCCACAGGTCGTCGCGACAAGGTAAGGTTCGGTCAATTTCCTTGTCTGCTAGGGCGAATTCGAAAGCCGTAGCGATAGTGGCATACCTGTCAAGAAGATAAATCATCCAGAAGAGTCGCCGCCGTGACTCGTCGTCGATGAAGTCCTTTGGTTCCGGGAGGAGCATGGCCCGCAAGGTGTATATTGACGTGTACCCCGGTGAGACCGTGAACGAGTTGCTCTCAACCGCCAGTCCCAGCTGTACTACCGAACGAGTGATGAGTGCCAAAATATTCCAGCCTGGTGGACCAATGCTTCTGCCGACAAGATCGAGTGCTACAATGACCAACGACTGGAGCGATTTGATAGAGGTGTGTTCCATGCCATAGAGCAGCACGCGCTCTTTGCATATCTTGTGGTAATGCTGCCGCCTTTCTTCGGTCAGCCTAGGGTCTGTGGAGTAGCGCATTGTGGTTGCCACAATTGCATGTAGGAGAATTCTATCAGTCTCTTGCAGTGTCGATGGCCCAAATAAGGAGTCGAGTGTGGTTTTTCGGTGAAGGATTGGGCACCACGTGTTTATGTGCTTGAAGTACAGGTCGACAAGAGAATACAGCAGATCATAAGGAGGCATGTCCTGATCTGTTGGACTCGATCCTGCTGTTTGGCTCAGCGTACCAGGTGACGAGTGAACTTTAGATTGGCTTTGATAGAAGGCATGTCCTGTAGACGTAGATGACGGAATTGGCGGCATCTGCGACGCCGTGGGCATGGTTCCCGCCGTGGGCATGGTTCCCAAGGGCCCTTGGTGGAATGTGTCAGACATGCCAGGGTGTTGCGGTGCACTAAAGTCAACGGTCTGCGATGTCGGCGTGAAACTTGATGTCTTTGGAACAAGCAAAGCGGTCTCTGCTCCCGTGGTTTCGGATGTTCGGTACATGTGAGATGAAGCATCCATTGGCGTACCGTGGTCACTTGGTATGCCGGGGTTGGTGTTTCGAATACCAGCCGCGGCACTGAGCTGTGGATTTGAAGCCAACACGTGATGGATAATATCAGAGTGAGACTGCAAGACAGCCTCAAGCTTGTCCATTCGATCCTGAAGCTCCTTACCAAAGCCTGCCCTCAGGCCGGGTCGCCTCCGCTCCTTGTATTCGCAAATTGCGCCATTGCGAGCGCACCATCCGCAGGATGGCTGTCCGCGGTCGCATTTGACCTATTTAACAGTGCGGTCAATACGCGCTCAGGACGGGATGTACGGCCGCCGTGAACAAAAAAAGATTGAAACCATGACACAATGGGATGGTTTGTGACACCTGCGGGGACGTCTTACTTTTCTCTGTTTGCATAGCTCGCATCTTGGAACGACAAGGTCAGTTTTTCAATTCCGTGGGCTGCTTGTATGGACAGGCGGACGAATGATGAATTCGAAGCACAACTATGGCGACGGGAATTGTGCAGCGCAAGGCTCAGGCGTGCAAAGGCAACCAGCGAAACAGAGGTGGAATGACATGAGGTCGAAGCGCGGTCCAGAGGCCAGACTTGAAATCGTGGGACTTGACGGAAGGCAGCAAAAAAAAAAAAAAAAAAAAAAAAAAGGGAAGGGCAAAGATACAGCCAAGATATCAGACGAAACATTGCGATGGTACATACGAGACTGAGGTCGGACGCTTGCGCTTCCCGCCGTGAGCAGAGCCATCGTTGTATTGTTCATCGTCGCTGTGAGAGTCGCTCTCGGGCTCGGGGGGTTGATGTGCCATGATGGAGGTGGGCCCAAATGCTGGGGCAGGAGCAGGAGCAGGAGCAGGAGCAGGAGCAGATGATGGTGCAGGTCCCTTGGATGCCGCAGGTCCGTGCTGCATTATGACGACGATGGGATAAGAATACTTGGATGACCACCGAGCCCGGCCCCTGGTAGATCAATTCCGTGAAACACAATAGCGGTTCCCGAGTCTGCTGTTCAGGCTATTGGGCCAAGATAGTTGCACGGGTTGTTGTTAAAGCGAGTCGGTGGGGGAGGAGATGTTGGAGTGAAACATTCGGGGCAAAGGTCAGCGACAGGACGAGATGCCTTTTTGCATTATGCCGAATGACAGGTCTGCGCTTCAGATTCTGCAATTGCCCAGCTCAGACCAGACGGTAGGATTGTTGGCTACTAACCAACTAATGGCTAGTTATTGTGTGGCTCGTAGTGGCAGCCGAACCAAAGGTTGGCCAACTTGTTTCGCCAGCCGGGGCCTCGGCTGAGTCCTGGAGTCGAGTGGTAAGTGGGAAAGGCAAACGACACCAGGCCGTCGCGATTGCTCGCCAAACTGCCAATAGTCGGCCGGTTCGGCCGGCAATGTGGAGGGGAGACCAGCCACCAGCAAGGCCTCGATAGGGTTTGACGGTGGGGGGAGAGAGAGCAGAGCTGCACCCGGCATGGCGATGGTGGCTTGCCGATCAGACGCGCGGCAGAGCATCGGCTAAACGAGAGAGAGTTGCCAGCCGACCGACGTTGATGGAAGGGGAAGGAGCGACCTTGCTTGCATGATGGCAAGCCCAGCTGAAGAGCACGACAGATTGTGCCTTTTGCGTATGAAGATACAGATTCTGATGTCTTGTCGGCAACACTAGCATCTCCAGTACGGCGGGAGTTGACAAGTAAACATGCGACGTCGTCTACTCAGTTTTGTTGGTGCGAAAGCCGGAACGTCTTCACGAAACCTGTCGCGGCTTACAGATCGACCCTCCACCCCTGCACCAGCGGGCAATAAATAACTAGAGCAAGGAAAAGAAAGCAAGAGGCCCAGACTACATGAATCAGGCCCCAAAGCAATCTCCCATCACTTGCGACTCGAGTACCAAGATAAGGTTTTGGCTTGTGGTGTCTGCCATCGAGGGCTGCGCTCAAGTCGGACGAGTCCCACCGCCAACGCTCCAAAACTCGAGGCGGCCCCGAGCAATGACCGTTCGCACCCCAGATTTCTCCAATTTGTCGCCTCCAACTACTTCACAGCTCGGGACATTTCATTCCAGGGCTCCAGAAATCGGCCTAGGACACTTTAGGCACCGCGCGTCTGCAGCCATGACGTCAAACCCGTCAGTTGACTTTTCGTTCGCGCCATCGGGGCATTTGTCGCCGAGGAGGAACAAACGCATGGCCCCTCGGCTCTCCGGTAACCCTGCTGGCTTTCACGACAATCGCATGGGCATCTACCGCATCTACGCAGGCGCTTAGTCGGGAGTCTGGTCGAATCGACCCCATTCCTGTGCCCAGTCTCCCTGCTTGTCCAGGCCGCCGACATATATATCACAAGAACACAGCCACTTTCTCCTGTTTTTGAATTTTCATCTCTCCTCCAGTACATGTTTAGTTTGACACTGAACGTAGCCATGGCGTCGGCGCTTCGTGGTTTTCCTGTCATCAAGGCCGTTCGATCATATGTCATTGGCGGCGTGGGCTCAGGTACGGCGCGAAAAACGGGGGATCAAGACGGGCCCCAAGTACTAATGTCGGAACGGCAGGCGGCGATTATCACAATGTCCAATACGGTCACTGGTGAGTTTTGCACTATTTCCCGCTCGGCGCCAACTGTCGCAACTGACAAACGTTGTTCCTTGCAGGCTGATTGACAGCGACATCTCCACTCCCTGCTCAACATGGGAGCAGTATCGAACGTCTCGAACAAGCTGGGGAATCAACGTGCTAGGGTCGTTCCTTGTCGAAGTCGAAGCATCTGATGGAACTGTTGGATTTGCTACTGGCTTTGGAGGCAAGTGCTTTGCCCAGGTTGATGTAAACGACATCACCAGTTCTGACGGGCTCTGAATCAGGTCCCCCTGGATGCTGGCTCATCCACCAACACTTTGAACGCTTCCTGATCGGCGCCGATCCCCGAAACACCAACCTCCTGTTTGAGCAAATGTACCGAGCCTCCATGTTCTACGGCCGCAAAGGCCTCCCAGTGGCCGTCATATCCGTCATCGACCTCGCCATCTGGGACCTGCTGGGCAAGCTGAGGAGCGAGCCCGTGTACAGGCTCATCGGCGGCGCCACAAAGGAACGCATCGACTTCTACTGCACCGGCCCTCAGCCGACTGCCGCTCGGGACATGGGCTTCTGGGGTGCAAAGGTGCCCCTGCCGCACTGCCCCGAAGAGGGCCGCGCCGGGCTTCGCAAGAACGTCGAGTTTCTCCGGAGGCACAGGGGATCCGTCGGCCCCGACTTCCCCATCATGGTGGACTGCTACATGAGCCTCAACGTGCCGTACACGATCCAACTTGTCGAGGCGTGCAAGGACCTCGACATCAACTGGTGGGAGGAATGCCTGTCGCCAGACGACACGGACGGCTTCCAGCAGATCAAGCGCGCACACCCGACCGCCAGGTTCACCACGGGCGAGCACGAATACTCGCGCTACGGATTCCGCAAGCTCATCGAGCCCCGAAACCTGGACATGATCCAACCCGACGTCATGTGGGTCGGCGGCATGACGGAACTGCTCAAAGTCGCCGCCATGGCCGCCGCATACGACCTGCCCGTCGTGCCGCACGCCAGCGGCCCGTACAGCTACCACTTTGTCGTTTCTCAGCCCAACGCTCCGTTCCAGGAATACCTGGCCAACTCGCCGGACGGGAAGAGCGTGCTGCCTGTCTTTGGGGACTTGTTCACCGACGAGCCGCTTCCGACAAAGGGTTATCTGGCGAGAGCGGACTTGGACAAGCCTGGCTTTGGACTGACTATCAATCCGGCCGTGCGGGCCAGATTGATACCGGCAAGTAACCTGCTCAACCCCTCGCCGGTGGCAATGCCTGCGCCAGAAGTTGGTGACGGCGTTGCCAGGGAGATTGGCTATGTGAAGCACGTAAAAATGAAGGGGGCGGGCAATCGTGATAAAAGGCTGGTGGGCATGATGGAAAGGTTGGCAGCTTGACTTGGGTTTCCTTGACCATGAGGATGATTTACGAAAAATAAAATGGCATACCATGTTGATTGGCCGTGAGGATTGTGCCTTGGCTTACGGAGTACAGAAACACAGAATCACGTCTCAAGGGCTTACTAGAGAGTCTCACCAGGATTAACGTACGTAGTGCCAAGCAAACAGTGACCGGTTGATGCAGATTGGTAGAATTCACAGCTGTTGGCGTGGATGCTATCCGGCAAGACAAGCCTCTGCGTGCAGGTGCAGGGCGCAGGTCCGCGTCGGGGAGCTTCTTGGTCCATTCCAAGTGCCAGTCAATTCATTGGTGGGTGTAAAATGGCGAGGCGGCCGATTCCAGTCGGACTCGTCGCAGCCGAGCTGCGCGGGGAAACCGTCGCGTCCCCAACAAAACGGGCCGGTTGCTGACCCCTACAAAACATCACAAAGCCCGGCGTGAGGCACACCACGACTCTCTGCGCTCCCGCACCATTCGCCCGCTCCCGTTTCCGTTGCCATCGACACCGGCCCATCCAAGATTCAAGAGGACCGACTGTGCTTGGATCCGAAAAGAGTCCACCGCCGTCTGCCCTGCCCAGGAGGCCGCCGCCATCGAGACGCGCGGCACAGCCAACCCAACGGCCGACAGGCAAAACAGCCGTGGACGAGGAGGTGGCCGCGGCATGACGACGATGACGCCGCCGGCCCGGCTGCTCGCGGGCAAGACGGCCATCATCACGGGGGGCACGACGGGCATCGGGCGCGCCATCTGCCTCGAGTTCCTGCGCCAGGGTGCCAACGTGGTGGTCAACCACCTCGGGCTAGAGCAGGACAGGCACCACGTCGAGTCGCTGGTCGCGGCGGCGGCGGCGGCGGCGGCGGCGGAAGAGGGAGGCGGCGCGCGAGGCAGGCTGGCCCACGAGGCCGGCGACGTCCGGGACCCCGAGACGGCGACGAGGCTCGTGGCGGCGGCGGTCGAGCACTCGGGCCCCGCGCGGCGGCTGGACATTTGCGTGTCCAACGCGGGCGTGTGCACCTTTGCCGACTTTCTGACGCTGCCGGCGGACCTGCTGAGGACGACGGTGCGCACGAACCTCGACGGCGCCTTCTACGTGGTCCAGGCGGCGGCGCGCCAGATGGCCCTGCGCCAGGCGCCGCCGGGCGGCAGCATCATTGGCGTGTCGTCGGTGTCGGCGCTCGTCGGCGGCGGCCGGCAGGCGCACTACACGCCCACCAAGGCCGGCGTGCTGAGCTTGATGCAGAGCACGGCCGTGGCGCTGGGCCGGTACGGCATCCGCTGCAACGCCCTGCTGCCCGGCACGATTCGCACCCGCCTGAACGAGGGGGACCTCGCCGACGACACCAAGAGGGCGTACGTGGAGGGCAGGATCCCCCTGGGCCGCACCGGCGAGCCGTCCGACCTGGCGGGCCCGGCTGTCTTTTTGGCGAGCGACGACCTGAGCGGCTACGTTAGCGGTGCGCAGCTGCTGGTCGACGGGGGGCTGTTTGTGAATTTGCAGTAGGCGTTGGCAAGGCATGTGGCCATGACACGACGGGGTGGTTTGGTTTGGTTTGGTTTGGGTTGGGTGGGCGCGCTCGAGCACGGCACGCCAATGCCCATGCTGAAGACGTCCGACACGCGAACTCGTCATTGTTCCAGCTTCTGTCGGTTCTCGCATAGCAAAAAGAGCAACTTGGCGGCGTGGGATGGATGGCCGGCAAGACCTTGCGAACGGTCACGTCCCGTCACGTCACCCCTGCTCCCCTGTTGACCTCTGTTACTCCGTACAGAGTACTCGAGACATGAGACAATCCGTACTCCGTACAACCATGTTGCCAACGGAGTTTGGCACCGTGACATGCAACCAATGGTAACACCCTCTGCACGAGGCACAAGAGGCAGCAGCCCGGCCACGCATCCTCACATGGAAACCCATTATGCATTATACACGTGCCATGGCGATTCAGCAGAGGCACTGATGGCGGTATGCATACCAGGCAGCCGAGTGCAAGAGTTGGGCTGCACCCTCTCCAGAGCCGTGGTACTGCCAGACGACTGCCGAGCGAGTGGTGGTGGTGATGATGCAGACGACATTTAATCTATTATTCCCCTCCATGACGCATCGTCAAGTCGACAAAGCCTAACCCACGGCCACCGCCTGCCACGCTGGCGACCGTTTCAGCTCTGCAACGAGGTGACGGGTACGGCGGACGTGGACGGCTGCGATGCCACCGTTTGCCGTCATGCCGCGGAGGTGCTTACTTCAGGAGGAGTACTTGAGTGCGTACCTACTCAAGTAGGTACTTAGTTACTCGTACTTCAGTGGGAGTCGGGACCGTGTCGGAGCCGCGGACCAGCTGGCCTGGGTACAAGGCTCGGAAGTATCTGACCTGCAGCATCGAGGTTCCCTGCCCCGCTCTTGGCGCAGCAACGGTGTGGCCCACCGCCGCCCTGCCGGTGCCCGAGTGTTCCCGGGCGGCGCTGGCGGTGCAAAAAGGGGCGCGCGGCGGTGGCCGAGTCAGAGGCCAGCCCCACTTCTCTGCGCTACCCAGCCGCAACCCCCTGGGCAACCGAGTCCGCTGTTGCATTTGCGCCGACGCTGATAAGCGCAATGTAGCTTTCAGTCAATCCGGAAGTGGCGGGCCCTCGTACCAAGATGCCAACTCCTGGGGCCCGCAGCAGCGGAGCCGAGCATGAGCACCGCGACTGATAGGCCTTTGCACCGAGAAAAACGGATCGGCTCTGACGTCACTGTGGACCGGTCCGACCGTGAGACGGCTGCGGCCTCGGTTATCTCGATGTTGAGCGAATTCTGGTCTTTGCCGTTCCGTGTGATGGTTCCCGCTGTGTACGTACGAGTACGTGCCCGGCATTGTCAGGTCCCGCGTACTGCCGGCGCAGCACGGGGTGACTTGCGTCCCATGCACGGCCGCTGGCGCTGGGAGCAGGAGTGTGCTGTGCCTCACTGCGCCCCGTGACACGACTCTGTATTCTCTTGTCCTTCCTCGTCCTGCCCTCTGGAACCGCCATCTACATCCCCTGCAGGGATTTTGGCTGTCCACGAAACGTCTCAGCCGGCGGGCATGTCGGCAAGACACCACATTTGCCTCGCCAGGGCGGACATGCGTCCAGTCCGAAGAGACGCTTGGTCCCACAACCGCCGCCATCAAAGTCTCTTTGATCCTTTGTTTTGTCGACAACTTACACCACACCCACGTTCTCCGAACCCGTGGGTGGAGATGGAGATGCCTGGTCTTCGAAGCCTCTGAGCAAATCTTGTCAGGTACGTCATTGTGCGGCAGCCACCAGCGTCGCCTTGGCGGCCGCGAACCTTGGACGCAAGTCGCTCTGCACCAGGGCCGCTGATCCGGTCATATCTCATTTCCAGATACGGCAATTATGTCCTGTCCCAGCAGAAAAGCCGCCCATGATACGCCAGCGGCCAAACAAGCCAAGCCGCCTCACACCGTGCTCGAATCTTGCCGTGCCAGGGGGGCCGAGATTTTTGACCATCCCGGCCGCAAGCCAATGCTCGGCACGAACGTACCACCGCTTATCGAACTTGATGGCGTCGGGCTACTGCAGAGACGATGGGAGGCTATCTTTCTTTCTTTTTTTTTTTCTTATTTTTTCTCACGTCGTAGGCATTTTGCACGCTTGGGCACAGGGCGTCACTGTTGACGTCTAATACGGTAGCTTCTCCGGATGGTGTCGTACGTATCAGTAATAAGATAAAGGGGGGCAGTACGTTATCGTCCCTACGGGGTGTGTCCCTGGATGCCGTCAACAAGGATGTCACGACTGTCCAGAGTTTCCCATCAAGTGGAACCGGCATGTGGATATTCAGGTCGACGCCGGTCCCCTTCGCCACAACCGTTGGCATGTTTCTGAATGGGCAGCCATCTCGTCCTGCGACTCGAATCACTCTCCGCAATGACTCGAGATGGAGCCAGCGGCAACCTTGAGACTTGTACAAGGGGGCCCCACGCCGAGACACACATGCCAGACTTCTTGGACCTGAAGAGCAGAATCTCCAGGGACTTGCTATAAAGGCCCTCGCATCCTCCCACCGTTCATGACGGTAGGTGACCTCTGCAGGAAACATCCATCTCCCGGTGCGCTGCTTCGGATTATTCCCCGAGAACCTTGTCACAACTACCGTAGCGTAGAACGCGTACGGCCTAGATTTTCCTTCCCCATCGTCACTCGAGGTGGCTTGACGTCCTGCCCACCACCACTTACACCCACCACAGACCGATCCATGATGGCGGCAACGCAACAACAAGAGGCCAAGTTCTACGAGAGCGTTGAACGGGCCAAGAAAGACCTTGACGCGGTTTCGGCGCCTTCGACCACACCTAGCTCGCCTGGGCTGTCGGCAGATAGTTCCGGAGCCAGCGTCGCCGGCATCGACAGTCCCTCGTCACCAGCAACTCCCGCCACGGTTGCCGACTCGTTCGTCTTTGCCTTTGACATTGACGGCGTCCTTGTGCGCGGCGGCAAGGCCATCCCCGAAGCGATCCAGGCCATGAAAGTGCTCAACGGCGAAAACGAATTCGGCATCCACGTGTGAGTCGGGTTCCATCCTCGCGAGACGGGTCGCGAGTCATGACGCCGGGCGTTGTGAAACCTACCGGGTGCAAGAAGCTGACCTGACGGCGCAGACCTCACATCTTCCTCACCAACGGCGGGGGCAAAAGCGAGGAGGAGCGATGCCGCGATCTCTCGCGGCAGCTCCAGCAGGACATCCGACCGGGGCAGTTCATCTGCGGACACACGCCGATGAGGGAAATGGCGGCCAAGTACGGCACGGTGCTCGTGATCGGCGGCGAGGGCGAAAAGTGCCGCGAGGTGGCCGAGGGCTACGGCTTCAAGGACGTGGTGACGCCGGGCGACATCATCAAACACGACTCGGCGACGACGCCGTTCCGCAGGCTCACGGCCGAGGAGCACGCCAACTCGCGGGTGCGCGACTTTGACGACGTCACGATAGACGCCGTCTTCGTGTTTGCCGACTCGCGCGACTGGGCCGGCGACATCCAAATCATGCTGGACCTGGCCATGTCGCAGGGCGGCCGCCTCTGCACGCGCAGCTCGACCTTTGACCAGGGACCTCCCTTCTACTTCTCCCACAACGACGTCGTCTGGTCGGCCGCCCACGAGCACGTCCGCCTCGGCATGGGCGCCCTCCGCCGCATGTTCGAGGTCACCTTTGACGACCTCACCCACGGCCGGGGGAAGCTCACCACCCACGCCTTTGGCAAGCCCCAGGTGCCGACGTTTGAGTTTGCCTCGCGCCTCATGACCCAGTGGCGACGCTCGCAGCACGGCATCGCCGACGCGCCCCAGACCGTCTACTTCGTCGGCGACACCCCCGAGAGCGACATCCGCGGCACAAACGCCGTCAACCAAAAGGCCGACAACGACTGGTACAGCATCCTCGTCAAGACGGGCGTCTACCAGGACGGCACCGAGCCCGCCTTCAAGCCCCGCGTCACCGTCGACAACGTCCTCGACGCCGTCAACCACGGCATCCAGCGCGAGATGCGCAAGAAGCTGGCTTCTTCGCTCAAGAACCGTCTCGAACACCAGGCTGCTGCTGCCGCCGCCATTGCCGACTCCGAGATTGAGCCCATGGCCGTCTAGCCGGCCAGCTGCAGCGCGTGAATGCCGTAGACGCGACTGCTTGGAGTTGCACGGCGACTGCTTGCGCGACTTCTCTTTTGCATTGGACCGGGAGCGTTGGGCTTTTTTTTTTTTTTTTTTTCCCCCATTGGCGCAATGTCATGAATGAAATCATGTCAGAGGCTCCTGTAGCATCTTCCCTGCACTGGTTTGCGGGAAATACGATAGAGACGATGTGATATGAGACGACTGGTCTCGGTCACGACCATTTTTTCCACACCTGATGCGCCGCCCTTATACCCTGATGAGCATCACATCCACCCAGGTTAGGAAATAGATTCTAGACCCGAAATAACTACTGTTTCGCGCGGTCAACTTGCTTTGATGCGACGCATGAAAGGGACCGGCGATGCGTCAAGACGTGCTGTGTTTTTCGTGTGTTATAACCATGTCCTGCTTGCCGCGGAACGGACTTCTCGGCCGGCCGAAAGAAAGCACCACCGACCCGTCCGTCGACTACACACACCCGAGGAACGAGCCAGCGGACGAGGGTGTCGCTTGTCGACGATCCAAGGCCTGATGACTCGCTGGATTTGATCGCCGTTCTTCCCCATGAAGAACATGGACTGTTTCCATGGATGCCTGCCTCCCTTGGCAAGCCCCAGATGTTGCGTTGGACACCGTGCCGTGCAATAATCGTAGACACTGCAGTAGCTGACCATGCCCGGAATCAACTTGCTCTTCCCTTCAGCTCTCCCCAACTCCCGGGCTTCTTGACTCCTGGGCAGCAAGCAACAGTCTGTCAAAACAAACACGTGAATGATTCCGACCTGAAAAGACGGCTGCATGTGGCTTGGAAGAAGGATTGAATGAACAAGGCGGCGCAAAAGACGACGAGAAGGACTTTGTTCGACCGCAGTAGCCCCCGAGTCGGGTGCCGGCGATGGCGCACAATGCCGGGCCGGTATTGACGGAAAATTTGGGCCAAGCCGCCGGTTACACGGCAAGCATCTGCAAGACGTCCGGGTGGTGAGTGAGACGACATCGTGTACGAGGAGCGCGTTGTCGAGGTCCAAGCCGGCAAGTGATGACCATCGCTGCATTACAATCTGCAAGTTTGAACGGCATGGCGTTGATTGAGTCAAAAATATCTTGGGCGACTGCATACCAATTCATCGATACTCCGTACCGCAACCTAGCACGGTGCGTTGCCGCCTCGGCGTTGATGCTTCCCGCATCGTTGGCCGCTGGCCCCCAACAAGACACGCCAAGATGATATCCAGCCCACACGTCGCCCTCGACCGAAATGAAACGATCGGGTTCCCCTCCAAGGCTGGTCAGCAGCACCCTAGCCCGGTGGTGAGGAGAGGAGTGGTGAGAAGCGAGGAGCCCGCGCGTACGAAACGCCATCTGTCCAGCCGCGTCAAACGTCAAACGTCAAACGTCAAACGTCAAACGTCAAACGTGGGCGTCGCCCTCGTCCCCGAACACGAAGCCTCCAAACGCGGAGCTCACGGCCCATCCTCCCTCCTCGACTGCTCTCTCCCTGACTGCCCTCTGCGCCAACGCTTCCTCGGCGCTCGTGCCCGGCGCAAACCCCGTGACGGCGGCCCTGTCGACCCTCGCCCAGCCCTTCCACCCGGCCGTCAAGTCGCCCGCTGCCAGGCCGCCCATCACGATCGTCCCCCACCACTCCCGCCCCCTGCTCGGCCTCGTGGCATCGTCGTACAGCATGAAGGCCTCCGCGCCGGCGACCAGACTGCGCAGGTGGTCGGGCGAGCTGTGCGCGGGCCGCTGCACATACACGTGCCGGAGGCTGGAGGCCTCCGTCTCCAAGCAGGTAGCATCGAAGCGGGCGTCCAGGTCGAGCACGAGCAGCGTGTAAGAGTGCGGCGCGGACACGAGCGTCGACACGATCTTGTAGAGAAGCGGCAGGCTACGGCCAGCGAGGGAGATGGTCCGGGACTGCGTGTGGCGGAGACTCGTCGCGGCGAGGGCATCGAGGGCCGGAATGTGCGTCTGCTTGATGGATCGGGGGGGCTGTATCTTGCCGCGGACAGCTTTGAGAACCTGTTGCGTTGCGTTGCATCTGCATTAGAGGGCGGTTCGCGACGGGCTTTGGGTTCGGACGAGCCGTGCTGTGGAGGATTGACAGAGGCATGTATGTAGACGAGGCTACGTGAAAGGTGAAGGGAAGATTGGGGGGGAAAAAAATATTTAAAAAAAATTAAAAAAAAAAGTTTTAAAAAAAAAGACGCTGGTGATGGCCCTCGGCCAGGCCGCACGCAACTCACCTCCTCCAAGGTCCCTTCCTGGATCCCCGCAAAGACCCTCGCCCCAATTGCCTCGTCCATCCCAACCACCGTGTCGCAACCTCGACGTCCCTCCGGTTTCTGATCCTGCGCCCCGACGAATGACGCCGCCGTGCCACTCGTTCCCGGCGTCCGAGCTGCCCGCCCGCATCCAGCTGGACGTCCAGGGCCGCCGGCGCAAACCGGCTCCCGGCGCAGACGCCAAGATGGACCTTTCGGCCTGTGAACTGCTCCGGATGCTGCAGTACAAATGCGAGGTGCGGCAGCCGCTGTCGCGAGAGAGCGCGGTGCAGTGTTTCCCGGTGGACAGACTCTTTCGGAGGTGCGTGCGTGTGCGGATTGCTCTCGGGCTCTTCCCCAGACCTGCCTTTGCGTGCGTGCAGTTTCGTGACGTGCGTGCTGACAAAGCAGCCAGGTGTGCGGACAGGAAGGGGAGTTTCATCGTCGAAACGACGGCCTGGGAAGGGCGGAGCGCACAGCCGGGACGGACGGGCGGCGCCGAGGGTGCCAGGAGGCCGTTTCAGTGGTCGGGGAGTTGGCATCACGGCGATGCCGCGACCTGAACTGGCATCGTCGTGTGCTGTCTTTGGCGTGGGCGGCCGCCGTGCGGGCTCGCAGGGCATCGCATCCGTGGGCGTTTACAGGACTCCTGCGGCCGGCATCGTGAAGAGTCTCGGTGAAGCCCTGTGGGCGAGGATGTGTCTTCCATGCGCAGATGCGTTGCTACGGCTGTCCACGGACGCAGCGACACACTGGCATGCACGACGTGGCGTGGAGAGAGTCGTTGGAGAGAGACGTGGAAAGCCCCGGAGGTATTCAGACCAATTCATAGGCTTGTTTTCCGACTCGTGCCGTCCATCACGGCGCGTCTCAAGACTGCCTGCACAACCTCACAAAAGGAACAGTAAAGCATCAATCGCCGGCTTCCTGGTCTACTGTACACTCCAAGCCAGCGAGCCAGCCAAGCACTTCCCACGCTCGTTCTATGCTTTGCGGCAGCGACGCCTGTGACCCATACTGGATATCCATCCACACAATCTACTTTTCTCCGCGCGCGCGCCTTAACAACACTTCCCCCTGTACTGGACTCCCCCCCCAACAGCACTTTTTACTGCTTGTTCTCGGCCCGCTCAGCCTCCAACTTGGTGTAGAAAGCATCGCGAGCGTTGGTTCGGGGCATGTGGAAGCCGTACCTGTCCCTCATTAGAACACAGTGCCTCAGAAGCTTCCGCCTTGCTCGGCTTCGTGTCGTCTCACCAGAAGAGATTGGCCATGGCGAAGCCGGCGCCTAAACCAGGTTAGCAACCGATCCGACGACGCCCTCCCCGATGCCCCGACGGCCACGTAGAACCGCCTCCCACAAGAAACACAGACATGTCTCGCCAGTCGACGAGCCGCACGGAAAGGAATTGAACGCACCCAGACCGATTCCAAGGTCAAGAATCAGGCGTCGCCGCAAAATCTATGCCGATCGGTCAGCATGCCGCAATTTCCAAGCTCCCCGCGGCCCTCCTCTTCCGCCCAATCCGAGCCATTGAGTCGCGAATAACGTACACCGGTGACAGGAGCAGCAGGCATTGCAAATAGTTTTGCTTTCCGAAGCAGACGACAAATTGATCTTGACAAGCGAGGCGAGGCGAGGACGGACGACTTGGCGAAGTGATCTAGCATAGGCAAAAGTAGTGGACGGACCAAGGAAAGCGCTGGCCCGGGTGATAATCGCGCGCCACACCAGTCACGTGCAAGCTCTGTCCTGACTCCTCGGGTAAATTCCGGACCCGCGACGAAAAGCTTCTGCTGCCGACCGCAACATCAACCACCAAGGAAAAACAGCCCATCTCAGGCTCCACGGGCGGTATATCGGCGTCAAAACACGACGCCCTGCGGCCATGAGTCTACGCCTAGCCAGCCGCCGGCTAGCACTCCCCGGTAGGTGACTCGCCCGACCCCAATCCGGGGCCGATGTCTGGCGCACTTCGTCCTAAACAGTCCCTCGTCACAGGCACCACGGCGCCCTCTCGCGCGCGGCCCGCGCTGACGCAGGTCCGCACCAAATGGTCCGTCAACATCTTCAAGGGCTGGGGCAAGTCCGGCACCAGGGACGCGCCGTCCTCCTCCAAGGCGCCGCACGACGCCACCTCGGAGCTCGACGACCCCAAGAAGCGAGCCGCCTTTCTCGAGCGCAGCATGCACGGCTCCGTGTCCGACAACATCTTCCAGGACGAGATTGACGCCGCCGCCGCCCGGCCCCCGTCGAGCCAGGGGCCCCCGCTCCCGCCGGACCAGCAGTCGCCGGAGCAGAAGACGCGGGAAAACATGGCCATGGTGACGGACCCCGATCCCAGGAGCAGGATACGCTGGCAGCGCAAAAAGGTGATCCAGATGGTGCGCGGGAACGGCGCCGTCTCGAGGGAGGAGCGGATCAGGGCGACGGAGCGGCAGCTCCTGCACAAGAGCCACTTCATGCCGACGAGCGTCAAGAAGCTCGTCATGCTGTCGAGGCAGATTGCCGGCAAGCCTGTCGACGAGGCCATTTCGCAAATGCAGTGGTCCAAGAAGAAGATGGCTGCCGAGGTCAGGTACTACTTGGAGGAGGCCAGGGACTTGGCCATTGCCCAGAGGGGCATGGGGCTGGGCAAGGTCAATGGGGAGGTGTTGGAGAAGCCGAGGAAGATAGTCACCAGGGAGGGCAAATGGATCGAGGTGACGGATCCCACGCGCATGTACGTTGCGCAGTCTTGGGTCGGGCGGGGACCTTGGAGAGGCAAGGAGATCGATTACAAAGGCCGTGGGAGAATGGGCGTTATTCAACACCCCAGCACAAGTTGGTCCAGACTCTTCCTCTAGCTGCTTGGCGGACTCTCGCTAACCGTCTGGTGTCTCACAGGCTTCACGGTCCTTTTGAAAGAGGAAAAGACGAGGATACGAGAGCATGAGGAACGGGAAGCCAAGAAGGCTGCCAAGGGGCCTTGGGTTCATCTCCCCAACCGTCCTATCCATGGACAGCGGCCCTACTACTCGTGGTAGCCGCCCTTACGCCCTACGCCACACTCCAAAACCTCAGAACCTCGCACCAAACGTGTGTCCTTTTGTGGATGCAACTTTTTGTAACAACAAATGTGCATTGATCATCCGGGTAGCTGTGTAAATGTGTTGAATCGGACTGGGATTTTTACCCCCAAATCCAACAGGCCATTCCGAAAGAATTAAAGCTTTCCTCAAGAACAACAGAAAATAAAGCGCTTTTCATTTGGGGCATACGCTAAGCCGGCTTTTGCCATGCGGTGCACAAAAAGATCCCAACGCATGCATGTGAATGTATGGAATACATACATACATAGGCAGGACCTTGATTCTGCTTCATCACTGCATGATTTTACTAATTTTAAACTTGTACTACAACCAAAGACGGCTCGTCAAAGAAACATGATGCGGCAGAAGTTTAGTTGCCATTCCGATCGACTGAACGGAGAGTACACTCGAAGAGGGAATGCGCAGCACACGGCCTCCTCGGAGAGCACTTGGCCATGTCGTCATCCAAGACATACAAGGCCGCCACGGTAATGTTTACTCACTCCCACGTCTCTCTACACCAAGGTTCTAGGCTGGGTCCGAGGCACCATGTCTTCATAGCGGTGCGACGTCATTTCAAGATCATTGCCGTACTTTTCCATAGAGCGATCTCCATCGCGCCTGAAGCCCATATCATGTTGAGGATACATCCTGTCAGGTCCCAGAGACGGCTTCGAAATGGCCCTGTGGTTGCCACTGGGGCTCGGCCTGCGTCTTCGGGACTTGAGCAACATGCAAATGACAATACCGGCAATGGCTATGTTAGCGGTGCCCACGCCCACGCAAATTCCAGCAATTGCCGCCTGAGGCAGGCCCTTGGAGGAAGAGCCTTGCGCAGCAGGATTAGATGAAGTAGCACTGCCTGAAGTGGAAGACGTCGAGGACGACGTCGAGGACGACGTCGTAGATGTGCGTGTTGTTTCAACGGCAGCAGATGTGGTGGTCGGCGTGACAGTCGCAGAAGTCGTCGTGGCCGGTGAAGTTGCTGGAGTAGTCTCGGCGGTGGTAGCGGGAGCTGAAGACGTTGGCGTTTGCGAAGCCGCGGAGGTCGGGGCAGCTGTGTCATCACTCTTGGGAAGTGGCTGGCCTTGACAGATTCAGTCTCCCGTCTGAACTTTCTGGGTCATGGAACTAGATGTGGACGTCAACCTACCAGTACAGAAATGCGTCGAGAGGTACGTGGAGACGTTGTCGGCTGTTGCTCCACATTGCGGCTTGCTGCACTCGAGAATGGCGGAATAGAATATCGGATTCGTGCAGAAGCAAGGGGCGGCACTGGCGTCTGGGCACTTTAGGTCTGCGAATTTATTTCGGACATTGTTCGTGCAAGTTTCCTGAGGACTAGAGTGAGTAGGGGGTTGTCGAATGGCCCGTCCCAAAATCGAGGGACAAGTAGAACGGGCAGGGCAGCCTTGAGGCTCGAGACTGATGGACTCACCACACACGCCGGGGCACTTTGAGCGGAAACGGCAAGAATACGCAGTGTACCAAAGACACCAAGGAAAAGTGGCAAAAGTCGACCCATGATATATCTTGTGCGTCGACTGGGGGACCTGACGTATGTGAGGAGTCTGAGTCGAAGCAATGATATGTCGAGACTCGGGGCACGCAAAAAGTTGGCGTAAAAGGGATCAAAGCGACGGTGGAAACCGGGTCAGCAGAGTCCTCGTCGTTTGTGATGAAAGAAGAGCCCAGTTGCAGGACAGCACAACACCAGTGGAAAAGAAAAGGCGGGTGTAGATGTGGCTGGAAATCAAGTCACTGGTCGAGGTGATGAGACAGTTTGGCCATCAGCGTCGGCTCCAGGCAGGAAAGAAGGCGTGTAGGGAGAGACGAACAGGGAAGTTGTGCTCCGTAGTCGCGGCAAAAGGAATGGACCGCAGGCGCCTGGGTTGGACGATGAGGCGAGCCTACTTAATGAGAGAATGAAAAGCAGGCCTGTGAAGTCGCCAAAGGCAAGACGGGGGAAGGAAGGCGCACGAGGGAAAGTAAAGTCAAAATGAGGCGAGAAATGAGTGACAAGGAGGGGAGGAATCGACGATGCGACACTTTGCTTGCGTGGGAGGACGGAGGAGGGAGTGGCTAAGCGAGTCTGCGAGTCTGCGAGTCTGCCAGTCCGGCACGACGCAGGTCAATGCCGTGCCGTGCCATGCCATTGCCATGCCATGCCATGCCATGCCATTGCCAAGAGCAGGCACACGCAAGCACAGGCACAGACAGGCACAGACACAGCCATCGGGTACTCCGTATCAGCGTTAAGCAACAAGCATCAAGCAGTCGGCATCAACATCAACCTCGACGTAAGATAACGTTACGACTTGTGCAATGTGTGATCCAAACATCGGCTGGGGAAGGAGCGATGGCCTCGGATTCGCCAGTGCTTTTCAGGAGCGGGCATGATGGCATGACACCGGCCACTCAAACGTGCATGCTCGTTTCTCAAATGAGAGTATTGTCGAGTGCGTCCACGCCGGCTCGCAAGACAACATGACACAACGGACGACGTTGGGAGAGGTTATTCACATTCTCACTCCCGGCAAGCTAGCAACAGATTTGTCATCTTCCAGGCGGTAAATCAAATCAACCCAAGCTACACCTACACTAAATCTGTGGAGCGTCCATCCGAATCCAGAATACGAGATGCGCCTTTGGTCGCTCATTACTCGACGCCTGCTTCAATCCACGGCCCTTGATCCATGATCCCGGCATCTCTTCTCTTTGACAGACAGGCCAATGCCAGCCAAGCCCTCAACCATCTCAACACCACGAATCGCAGCGGAATCCGCGGCACGGAGTGGTAATGCATGCCGCGGCCGGCATGACGAGGCGGAGGAAGCCGAATCCTTTGTCCGACAGGAGCGTCGCGCCAATGGGGACGGGCATACCTGTGCGAGGTTTGCGTCTGCGCGTGCAAAGGCATCGTGTCTGGAATGCTTTGCACGGCCAAGGTCTTGGTGTTTTCTCGACCAAACCGTGTCTATTCCTCCGTTGATGCTCGCGGCAAACCTGGCCGTCGGCTTGAGGGTATTCTATTCCGTGCTCCGTGCGGAGAACAAAACGGACGATTTTCCATTTTCCTAGTTCTAGTTCAAGCGCAATACGCAGCTCAGTCGTCAGGGGCGCGGGCAAGACGGGCAAGCTACCCCTGTGAGACGAATGAAAGATTGACCAGGGGCCAATCCTGGCCATGCAAATCAATGCGAGAAACCTGACGGAGGATGATGATGGCGGCATGCCTCGCAGCTCCGCAGCGCCGCGGATTCCCAAGCCAAGCGCGACTGCGTCTTCTCTGCGTCTTTTTCATCACCGCCTCGGCACGCACAGTCCGCCCACGGCCTCGAGGTCTGGAATGGGGGAAACTCGTGCGTCCCAGACCGGGCTGCATGATTGGGTTTCGAGCCTTGACGAGATTCACGCGCGCGCGCGCGCGTGTGTGTGTGTGTGCGACCTCCTGAGAAACATCGACGACGGGAGGGTTCGCGCAAAGGGTCAAGTCGAACGAAGAGATGACGTCTCCCTCGTCGATGCTCACCCACACACACACCCCGCGAACTTGAAACAACCAGCCGACTACTTGAGCATCGTGGCAGCAAATTAAATTTTCTACCGAGGACCGTCATTGGAGCGACGTGATGCCACCCACCCATCCCATCCAGACAGCCTCACACACATCCCAAGGCACGCTCAGCCATCTGACATGGACCCCGAGAATGGGTTGCACGAGCACCGTGTCCCTGACTCCGTACTAACGAGCGTCGGAACGCTGCGCGCTTCATGTAAGACGAGGCGTATCATGTAAACCTTGACACGGAGTATTTTCAGTCCCGCCTGTACACTCGTGACAAGTTTATCCAAGACCACGTGCTCGGCAGCTCCCTCGGAGCAGTCAAGTACGTACGTATCAGTATTACCGGGCAGCATGGGTACTGCGTTGCTCTTCTGCCTAGGTACCTACCGCATTCATGCCGACCCATCCTGTCTCGCTGTTCCACGTCACGACTTGTCAGCCACAATCTCTCCAGATTGCAAGATTCCACCGCACCGGTTTCCGAGGATCAGGGTTCTGCCAATTAATCAAGGCGTACTCCGTACGTACGTACCCCTACGCATGGCAGGGGTATCTTTGAGGTTCATAACGGGCGCAATAACGGCACATAAACAATCTGCAGGGACCAAACCAACCGCATAACTGACGCTGGTAACCAAGCATCCCGATGCCGTACAGCGGTATTGACGCGAGGTCGGTTAGCGCAGAAAGCGGCGACAAGAGCTCCGGGGCTACGTGGAGGCCAGTGGAAGTGGAGGCTCGATTCTCAACACCCTTCGTCTCTTCGTATTCACCGTGTTTACGAAAAGGCACGCACCCGGTGGCCAGGGACCGTGCTGCGGTCGCGGTGCCGTGGCGCCCACCTTCCAACGTGTGCTGATCATCGTCGTGTCTGTTGGAAAAGAGAAACCGACATGCAGGCCCTCGCAGACAGACAAGTGTCATCGTCAAGAAGAAAACGAATAGTATATTAGTGTTGCAGTCTGCACGACAGGTTCACACGTCCCCGTTGTTCGCCGACGCACCAACTCTACATCTGCAGATGCCGGATTAAACAAAGTGACAGTGACCAAGAGACCCAGACGTCCGTCCCAGCAACAAGCAAATATGTACATCGTACATCCGTGGTATCAATGCAGAAGGGGACCCTGCTGGTCCGCGTTTACCGGCCCGAAAAAATTTGATGCGACAAAGGAAATGGTAGTCGCCACGTCTCTACTTGGCGTTTGCGAGTAGAATGTCGACGCCCTCCTCCCACCGTCTTGACATGGCAATGTCGGTGACTGTTCTGCCCATCTCGTCCCTGACCTTGAGGTCGACGCCCGCCTTTTGCGCCAGCTTCTTGAGCATGCCTGCGTCTCCGTTCTCCAGGGCCTGCATGATCCCGTTCCAGTCTCTGTACATCTTGTTCGGGTCGGCGCCCTTTTCGAGCAGTATGTCGATGACCTCGGGCGCCTCGGTGGCGCAGCGGCGAAGCGCCTTGACAATGGGCAGGTGCTCGCCGGGGGCGTTGACGTCTGCCTTGCCCTCGTTGACGAGGAACACAAAGATCTCCTTGTGGAGCTCGCGGATGGACGAGGTCAGGGGCGAGAAGACGCCGACGTTCTTGTCCTCGACCGACACGCCCGCGGCCAGGAGGAGCTTGACGGACTCGAGCTGATTCGCGCAGACGGCCCGCTCGAGGACTCCCCTGAAGGCACGAGGTTCGGCCAGCACGGCCAGCAGGCGGCTCAGAATCTCGGGGTTGCGGACGGCCATGCACACGGGCCAGTCTTCTCCCCGGATGTTGGGGTTTGCGCCGCGCGCGAGCAGCGTGTCCACGAAGCCGACGTGGTTGTCGCGAATGGCACTGGTGAGCGCGGTGTGGCCCTTGGGCGTCTTCTCGTTGGGGTCAGTGCCCTGGTCAAGGAGCCACTTCAGGGCTGGGCCGTTCTTGGACGTTACGGCCGTTTCGAGGATGCCCTTGGGCGAGTTCAGGTTGCCGCCGGCGGCGACTAGAGCCGGCAGGAGATGCTCTCGGTGGTGAGTGACGCACTTGAAACAGGGGTATTCGCTCGCGGGGACGTTGGGATCAGCACCGCTTCGTAGGAGGAGGTCGAAAATGTCCTGGCGGTTGTCGCGGATCGACGTGCAGAGGGGAGTGTAGACGCCATCCTTTTTGGCGTTGGGGTCAACGCCCGCCTTCAGGAGGATTTTGATGACCTCGATGCTGTTGACGCTCGTGGCTAGTTCCATGAGACCAGGGGCCTTCTTGTAGTCTGCCTTGTTTGCGAGGAGCACCTGCAAGCATGCGGGTTGATGGATGGCTGGCCAGAGCATGTGCTTTGGCCCAGGGTTGTTGGGGTTGGCACCACGCTCGATGAGGATGGTGACGATGTCGGCTCTACCGCAGGTAATTGCTTCAAATAGAGGACTTTTACCTTCCTTGCTCTTCTCGTTGGCATCGGCGCCGTGGTTGAGAAGCAATTCGATCAGCGTCTTTGGGGTCTTCTTGTTGATGGACCCAATGAGAACGGTGTTACCGTTCGACATGAACTGCCTTGCTTTTCCGCCGTACATCAGGAGTAGATGGGTGAGGCTGACGTGGTTGGCGCCGGCAGCAATGGAAAGCGCCGAGTCCAAGTCAGAGCCGGCAGGCATGTTGGGATCCGCGCCGTACTTGACAAGCGCAATGGCAGCGTCTAGATATGACTTCTCAACCGCTGCGGCAAGAGGACTTACACCGTTCTTGTCGGTGGCATTGGGGTCTGCCCCGTACAGTAGCAACATGCGAATGCTCTCGGCGTCATGGGCGAGGATGGCCTCGTTGAGAGCGTGAGCGTCGATGCCGGTATCGGGAGAAACACCTCGGTCAAGAAGCTGCAGGAGAAGTTTATGATCCCTCGCATGGACCGCAGATACCAGAATCTGCTTGACGTTTGGCCTGTCTGCGTCCACATTGGTGCGAGGCTTTCGTCGGGGTACGCCAAATGGCTCGCTGTCTGGATGGAGAACTTTGGGGCTGTCTAGCTCGCGAGACTTCACACTGGCCACAAGTTCATCTAGTGCTGTGCTGTTTTCGATGCCTTCCTCAAAGGTACTCAGTTTTTCTTGGCCCGTCATTCGTCTTGACGGTTGCCCTTCGTAAGAGCTTGCCGCGGAGCTTGAGGTGTACCTCTTCATTCCGGGGCTGAGGCCACTGTAGTCTGACGCCGAGGTGAAGCCATTGCTTTCTGCATGGGGGTAGTCGTGGCCATAGTGAGGTGATAGCTCCGCCTTGGGGATAGGTGGCAGAAGAGGTAGCGGAGACGCCGTCATCATCGAACCGTTATTGACACTTCGGGGTTGAGACGGAAGCCTGACTGTGCTGTGGTAGACGGAGCTCTTTTCCTCAGAGACCAATGAGTCCGTGCGATGGCGTTGGAACTCTGTCCCGTCTAGGGCAGAGACAAGTCCAATGTATCCGATACCAAGCTCACTTTCCATCCTGCCGGCACCGAGCTTCCATTGGAACATGACGGCGCCAATCTTCAAATCTTCTCGCGTCTTGACTAGAGCAATGCTCATACGCTCGAGACTGTTATCTCCAAACATCTTGCCGAAGCCGCGGCGCATACGGCCCACGGCGCCTTTGGTTTCATGTTCAAGTAGTTTGACTATAACTTGGTCAAGAGCACGGAAGTTGATCTGTGCCGCTCGAAACTTCTTCTCCAGCACGGTGATCATATCAAGAGGAAGGGATTGATCGTTGCGAGCGGCGTCGTTGAGGCCCGCCTCGATGTAGAAGAGGACCTGGCAGGTATCGAGGAGATCGCGGGCCAAGGGGCCGAATCCGTGCGGGAATTGCTTGACAATGGCTGCGAACTCGGACATCTTTTCCGCAATCCTGTCACATGAAGTAGCGACTTCAGAGCAGAGGTGAAGACATTGCGCCTGGGCTTTGCTTGTGGAAGTCATGTTGAATCCCCTGTGAGGAGCGGTGAATCGCTCAGTATTCGAAGTGGATGATTGCAGGTGCGATGGGGCGAAGTGTTGTTGTTGTTGTTGTTGTTGTTGTTGTTGTTGTTGTTGTTGCTGTTGTTGATGCTGATGCTGATGCTGATGCTGATGATGGTATTGAAGCGATTGCGGAGGCCTACTGACGACCGCTGGCGGTCCACCCTCAAAGGATCTGTTCAATGTTGGAACAGAGATAGTAGAAGCAGACGGGGAGCTTGGAATGGACGGTGGAAGCTCAAGGGCTTCTTTAAGGTCAAAGGAGAAGGTGTCCTTGGGTGGCAGTAAAGGACCGTCCCGAAGACTATCAGAGCGGGCTAGTCTATCTGTAGACCATTCCAGACGCTGATAGCTCATCTTTTTTGCCCGCGGGGAGTGATGATGGTGGTCTTATGCCAAGGTCAAGATTTAAATTAACTGAAGGAAAGAAGACCAGGTCACGACGAGAGCAGCGAAACTGCTGTTAAAGAGAGACCGGCAGGGACTAAGATGGAGGAAGAGCGGAACCACTAGCTCTTGTTGATCAAATAGTTATGCCACCATTAGGTGCTAAGAACGAGCCACGAGCAAGCATGGGTCAGGTCGACGCACGCTTGGTTCAAAGTCTTCAGGTGCTGTACTTGTACTTGAGTTCGCAATCTTGTTGAACCACGACAGCCCGGCTGGCTGGTAGCCAAACAGGAAACTGGACAACTTCGTCTCTCTGCCCATGGGTTTCTGGCTTAGACTTGTCCCTCTGGGCTCTGGGCTCTGGGGGCCTCTGAATGCAATTTCGGATGGAACGGGTAGTATTATAAAGGGCTTCGGCGAATTAGGGCGTTCATGCATGATCAGCGGACCAAGGCAGGTTCTGCTTTGTTTGCTTCTATCCAGACTGAGCCCGAGGAGGTTGTGTACTAATTGTCCGGGAGTGGATCAACCCATCCGTCTTGTGCTTTCTGATGTGATGGCATCCCTGTCAAGGCTTTCCAGGGTGCTCTAGTCGCTAACAAATCTCAAAACAATCGGGGGGGGAGTGTTGCAGGGGGGAGACTCTAGAGCAGCGGATCGGTGTGTCATGGCCCTGCGATGCGGACATTGTCAACGGACGGCCCTGAGAAACAGCCAAAGACTCTGTACAATGCTGTATCTCTCGGCTCGAGGCTAGTATAGATGCGTACGGATGTATGGAGTGGCTATGGTATGTCGAACAAGTGGTCAGTACTAGACTAGCGGGCATCCTTGCTCGAGTCTGACTCGGTTGGTTCGGGAGGCGCTTTGATGAACCCGCATTTGATCGCCTCAGGCTACCCGAAATGGCTAGTATAATTCCGACGCAGGTTCCAACGCTGATCGCAGCAAGGCTGGCGAAGAGTGCCGTGGACAGAGTTTGTACACGTTCAGGTTCATTCTGGTTCTCGCCAGCCAGACGACACTCGAACAACCGCAATGTCGGGCTGCCCAGCATGTCTCGAGCCTCGTTCGATAACGATGCCTTCTGCAATGAAGACCATCACTTCTCTGGGACACACGCAAGCGATCCGGCTGTTGACGGTACAATTCCTCCAAAAGCCGCCCGAGAAGGTAGCGCAAAAGGCTCCGTCCAAGCCATGCGCCACTAAACAACTTCCAAATCGAAACCAAGTTTGCCAAGCGTTGTATACACCAAGTTTGCCACTTGTGGTAATGTGACTTGAGCATCGCAGAAACTAGCTGCCGTAGTTGAGCGATGCTGCTGAATTTCCATGAGACGGACCGTGTATTGGGAAGAGGGATTTCCGGGTTAAGACAAGGTGGCTAGGTCCTTCAAGCTCTTGAAGCCACCAGTTCCGGCGGTTTCACAAGCAACAGATTAATCGTACTGCGGGTATTCGCCGGAGGCTGAACAACGGCGCAGCCCACTCCGTAGTGCCTGTCGTAGCGCATGCTGTGAAGAAAAGTTGCGCAATGTGTGGGTTTGATCGACATCCCAAGCCAACTCTTAGCGGGCCTTGTCCACGGCGACAGGACTTCGAGGATGGAGTAGAACGGGAACACCGAGGCGAGAGGTAATGGCAACAGCAACGGCAACGGCAGCGGCATCGGAATATTCCCAACGTAACGGCTCAACGTTCGTTGACCGTCCGTGCCCAATGGCGTCGTCGGTAAGCGTCCAACATGTTCCCCGACGCCTTGTCCCTGCATTTTATTCTTCGCGGGGCGAGGTTCAGCAGACCCCTGCTCAAACTTGGGTTTGCCAGGCAAGCCCAGACCTTTTTTTTTTTTTTTTTTGTATATTCTCGCCTGTGGATATGGTGCACAAAGCACGCGCACGAGAAAGATCCAAGCTTTGTTCTTGTTCGTTGCGCCATCAAACCATTCCCAGACGACCAGAGAATGAGCAATAGCGAAGGAGCTTTTATGACAGGCTAATTTAGCTGTCCTGAGTCCTCGGCTTTCGTAAGCATCATTAGCCGGGCCCTAGCGGAGGCAAACAAGCCATAACCCGCGCCTTTTCGGTTTCGAGGGACAAGTCGAGACACCAATTCACCATATTGGGTTGGCAATTCTTGGCTGATGGAGCCAGGCACGGCCAGTTACTTCTGCTGCACTGATAGTGTCGATGTGTCAGCCCCGAAAGCTTTCGGGTGATCAAGGTCCATCATGGGTGTGGGGATCGCGCTTCGCTGCGGAAGGTGGGGATTTTGCGGCAAAGGACGTGCCTCAGTACGTATTGACAGTCTTGATGGGAACGCGATGAGTCTGGGATAAGAGACATGGACACCTGGATTTTCCAACGTTTGTCGGTGCCTCCGCCCGGATGTCTTTCGCCGCAACGACTGATTCTCCTTTGTGCAATTAAGCATTAGAATGATGGCCCTGCCAGATCCAATTGAGCACAAATATTGGCTTACCAGCGGGCGTACTAGCAAGGCCTTGCTTGACGAAGTCCATTCTGTTTCGTCTTTTTCTCGAGACTAACAAGAGTACATATCATATGTCCCGTTTTGCCGTTGGTCATTGTGCTGCGTTGCTTTTGAAACGAGTGCTGCCGCACGCCGTGTACGGCGCAACATGTTGAGCTGTGCTTTGGGGGGCAACGGTCATCATATGTGACGGTAATTTGAGAGAAAAAGGAGCTTGTCACAACTCTGCAATGTTGACAGGCGCCAAACTCGACGTATCATTCCGGTTGCACACTCTGTTCCCCGGGTTTCACTCATGTATGGCATATGTGTTGTCTGCCTAATCCCGGTCATAGAGCCGCGGAGGTCTGGTCGGTGTCAGTGTCATGGATGAAGTGACACAAAGGGGGGGCGGTTTGACCACATGCTCTCTCGAGTGTGGCGGTTCTCCATCGCGTAGGGACATGAGGTGTATGAAAGAAGCCACACTCCGCACTGGGTCGGTGTTAATAAATTTTGGATGACTGACTAGGCTCAGCTTGGAAGTGCCGGAGGTTTTGCGGGATGCTGGCTTGTGCACTGCCATAGCGGGATGCTTAATCCTTGTGGTCGTTAAAGACAAGGCTTCCTCTGAACAGAGACTGGCAAAGCGTACTAGCAGCGTATTTGTGTCGGCAACTGGTCTTCGTGATATCTGTTCTGCCGGTATCCCCGTCAACCGAAGCTGAGTTCAACTCACAAAGCCACTACCAAATCTCGAGAAGCAGACGTGTTGTTGGATGCTTACCATAATTGCGTTATTAACATCGCCCATGTTTCGGTATGCGATACGCAACTTACGGTGGCAACATTTGCACATCCCCATCCACCATTGCGAGTATGCTTTGGTCGGAGCTGACATAGTGAGCCATGCTGCATGAACAGACAAGGAAGCACGAGCAAGAGTAGTAAGTCGTCGACCGGCGTGGTCTCAGAAAACTCCAATCGCTCTGCGGACCAATCCTCGATGAATCCATGCGACGTAGGATAGAATCCTGTACATCCAGCCCTGACACACCCTTCTGCCGCGGCCGTCCGCACGTTTTTTGACATTCGGACATGAGCCAGAGCACACCGCATGCTTACTTAATAAAGTAATACTGCAGCAACTTACTTAAGTGCCATGGATGTGGTTAGCCACCGCTTGAACTGTTCAGAATTGGTGCCCACCTGGCCGCTGCTCGAGGCCCGTCCTGTTCCCGAGACATCTACACGCTGGGCGCACCCAAGCAAGATTAAAGTTTTCTAAATAAAATCCAACCTTGCAGGGTGTCATTTGTCTTAGTCGGCGTTGTACTCGAGTCAGATGTCAGATACCGTTATTGTTGAAGTCGTCTGTGCCTCCGGTCCGCGCACTGGCTAGGCACTCGCGAACCGAAGCTAGTCGGTGAAAGGGTGCGGGAAGGATGGCTTGTAAACGACAGACATGCTGTGTTGCATTGGGGCGGTGATCTTCACACGAGGACAGACATCGATACTCGGTGCAATGCTCGGGGAATATTATAACGACCACGTCTGGTTAATAATGGTGACGGAACTCGGCATTCCTCATTTCTCTACTTCATGCCCCACATCTCGCACCTCCAAGCGTGCTGTGATTGGACCAGGGGGTGCGCGGCTGAGTGCGCAAATCGGCAAGCTGGCAGCTCAAGCATCCTGAGCTTCAGAAAAGCTCGCGGCCCAAAGCCAAGCAAGCACGAGCAGCACCTTTCTCGTCGCCCACGACCACATCACCACATCACCACATCATCATATCACGATCCCGGCGCTGTCTGTCTCTCTAGCAGCCGGACGTCCTGTTAGCTTCCACCGTCGGGACATGTTCGCTGGCACTGTGCGAGTCCAGTCACGTCGACGACAATGGCCAACCCCGTCGGCGAAGACGCCTGGCTTGCCTACATCCAGGAGCATGCCCGGGTCGCCTCCAATCTCGAACAGCGGGTCGATGTTGTCGAACTGTACAAGCGCGCCGTCGGTGACGAGCCCGGGAGCATGCGCCTGTGGCTGGCCTATTGCAACTATTTCTGGCAGCTGTGGGAAAGCAGCAACTCAGGCGACGCCGGTTGGTCTGAAGAAGAACAAACGTTGGGTCGAGAGGTCTTCTCTTTCGGGGCCGCTCTGGACCTGTGGCAGCAAGGCTATGAGGCTGTACAATACAGGCTCAGCGACAGCCATGAGCTGTGGAATGTCTGGCTGTCATTCGAGATGGAACAGTTCGTCAAGAGCAAGACTCCAGAGGGCCTTCGTCGTATCACCCACCTTTATCGGCAGCGCTTAGCTACGCCGCATTTGACCTGGGACGAAACGTCACAAGCATTTTCAAGCTTCTTGTCGGAGTACAATCAACAGGAATGGGAAAGAACCATGCAGGATACCACTGCCAGTGCCCAAGTTGCGAAAAAAGCTATTCAAGTCCGCGATCCCTTCGAACTCAAACTCAGACAAGCCCAGCTCAACGGCGACGTCGAAGCAGAAAAGGCCCAACTGCGAGAATATCTTGATTGGGAGGTGCGTGGGATAAAGAGGCAGCAGGACGGTGCCCAATTAACTCGAAATATTTGCTCTGGATTATTTGATAGAGCGCTGACCGGCCTCTTCGCGAATGACGAGGACACTTGGCATGACTACCTTGTATTTATCTCCTCGTCAATGTCTGACTTCCAGTCTTCGGCTGATCGTTTGCTCGATGCGTCGCGCAGGTCCGTCCTTCATTGTCCGTGGTCGGGGGGGCTTTGGAGCAGATACATTCTGTGCGCCGAGGAGGCAAACCTGGCTTTTTCGGACATAGAGTCTATCAAGCACGCTGCGACAAGTGAAAACCAACTGTACAAGAACGGTATGACGAGCATGATTGAAATGTATGGTGCATGGTGCGCGTTCCTGAAGCGAACGGCACTCGAGCCGGCCGCATCCGATGAGGCTGCGGATGTCGCAGAGGTTGGATTGAGAGCTGCCATTGAAGATGTCGAGGTCACAGGGAGGAGGCTCTATGGCAAGAAATTCCAGGGCGACCCGAAGTATCGATTGGAGCACCTCTACATTCAATACCTGACCGAGAAGAAGGGTGCTGTTGAAGATGCTAGGGCGCAGTGGAAAAGGCTTGCGCAGAGAAGGGTCCACGCCGACAGCTACGACTTTTGGTTCAACTACTACATGTGGGAGATGCTCGTATTTTCCTCCAAGCAGAACAACGAGGAGGAGTCGTCACCACACAAGGGCCTGCATATCCCCACGACGGCAACCGCAGTGCTACGTTCTGCCGCAACCCGCAAAACCATCGACTGGCCGGAGAGAGTACTCGAAATGTATCAGCAACATTGCAATAATTATGAGCTGCCATCCTTGGTGCGTCAAGCGGACGACTTTGTCAATGAGACACGAAAGATTCTCGCATATCGCCGAAGAAAACAGGAGGAGCAGCAAGCTGCGCAACTCGCTGCTTACTACGAGACCCAGGCTCAGGTGCAAGGTGTGCAAGCCAACGAAGCGTCCGTGGCCACTGTGAATACTTCATCGCCGCCGAGCGGACCTAAGAGGAAGCGCGAATCCCTCACAGGCATCCAAGAAGACCACGCAGAGAATGCGACTAAACGCCAAAAAGACGGCGACGAAATCTCCGACGCCGCCGGACCGCCCCCCAAGAGAGATAGAGAACATTCAACAATCATCGTCACCCACCTGCCAGCTGACGCTACCCAGACTGCAGTTCGCAATTACTTCAAGCGCTATGGACACATCAAGAACATAACCGCCTTCATCAAAGAAGACAATGGTGAATCCACCACGGCTCTGATCGAATTCGGTTCGACAGAGGAAGCACAGTCCGCCCTTTTGAGAGACGCCAAGTACTTTGGCGAGTCTCAAATCACCGTCCAACCGGGCCACGACCTCACAGTCTACGTCGCCAACTACCCCCCCGCAGCCGACGACACTTTCATCCGCGACCTATTCAAGGACTGCGGTGACATCCTGAGCATTCGCCGGCCAAGCCTCAAGGTCAACACGCATCGCAGATTCTGCTATGTGTCGTTCCGCGACAGAGACGCCGCTGCTAAAGCTGTTGCCAAAGAAGGAAAGCTTCTAGAAGGCAAGTATCGCCTTTTGGCGAGGTACTCCGACCCTAACCGCAAAAAGCACCGCGAGGGCGCCGTTGCAGAAGGCCGTGAAGTCCACATCAGCAACTTGGATCCGTCAACCACAGAAGCCGACATGCGCTCTGTATTTGGGAAATTCGGAACCGTGAGGCGGGTGAATATCCCGCTGAGCATGACAGGAAAGAATCGCGGCTTCGCCTTCTTGGAATTTGAATCCAAGGACCAGGCTGAAAAGGCAGTCGCGGAACTGAACAACACCAAGTTCAAGGCTCGGATTCTGAGAGTCGAAATCTCAACGGAGAGCAAAGTGAAGCCATCTGCCAAAACAGACTTCCAGCGCACGTCAGCCTCTCCCGCCCCGTCTTCATTGAACAACGCTCAGGGCGACCAAGCAATGGGCGACGCCATGGTGGACGATTCTCCCAAGCCATCGTCTTCAGAAATAGCCGCCAAAACCATTGCTCTCATGGGCCTTCCCGACACCGTAAACGATGCGCGCGTCAAGGCTCTCGTCGAGCCTCTGGGCGCCATTGTCAAGCTTGTCCACCAGCCCGGCCATGGGGGCGCCATCATCGAATTTGCTGACGCTGCTTCCGCCGGCAAAGCGGCGCTGCAACTCAGCAACATGGAGTATGAAGGGCACAAGCTTCGTGCAGGATCGCCCGACGAACTGCGCAAGAACAGGCCCGATAATAAGCCTGCACAGCTAAGCAAGCCGAAGGGACTTATGGCTCCGCCGCAGGCTGCGAGACGGGCCTTTGGTAGGACCGGTCCAAAAAAGGGACTGGCGTTTGCGCCGAGGTCTGTGGCTGCCACGGCGTCCAAACCTGCTGACAAGGAAGCTGGGCCAAAGAGTAATGCTGACTTTAAAGCTATGTTTCTGGCGGGTAACAAGGAGGACGAGAAAGAATGAGCAGACGTCCTTCTTGCCGTGTACGATTTGTAGAGTAGCAATGGGTAGGGTACGAAGCCCTGGTAATGGCTTGGGCGTTGGAACTGCGTTTCGACATCATGGACCTGTCACACGCTCTGTGGACAAGTCTTTTCATGCGCAGTCAGGCACGCGTTAGGAACAGAATTTGATCGTGCACTGTGCGGTGCAGGCTTTTTGATTGTTAATCAAATGGCCTTTTGCCTCTGATGAGCCATTCATTGTCTACCTCTAGTCACTAGTTTTGCATGATATCCTACATGTCCCAATCGTGAAGAAATTGCTGTAGCCGTGGTGATTCCAGTGCACCAAAACCGAGCTACTTCGCAACCTATGCTTTTGCCACAGCCACAGACAGACCGCTACTTTTTCCCTCATCCCTCTGATCCTGCGTGAACAACTTCTGCCACACTTCCAGCCACTTCTCCTGCTGGGCCGTCGGTAATTTACCCGGCTGTCTGAACGACCGAGTAAGTAATTCGCGGAGTCGAGTACGGAGGACTTTGAGAACGAGCATAGTCTTCCAGTCCGGTAGTGCGAAGCGTCCTCTGTTACCGTCAAGGACAATCACACCCGAGAACATCTGATGCGGGTGAGATACTGAAGGTGTTTTGGGCAACTGTAAGCGGGAGGGGGTCTACACATACATCGCAGCGGACGTCGCCGCAAAGAAGGGCAATGGCAAATGCTTCAACTGCAGTGGTTTCGTGCGCGTGATAAACACTGTTGCTGTTAGTGGCTTCTTCGCATGGAAGTGGTATAGGGACACTCACGTCTTTGACTGCATGATGTGGTAATAGGATAACCATTTAATGTCCGGAAAGCCCCTATTCACGGAGGACGGGTGCAAGCTGATGTTCTGATTGTTGCCAATATTACGGAGACCCTTGGTACCAGGGGTATCGCGAACAAGAAGCTTGGGGTAGAAGCTCCATGCAATGACCGACGAGGAAATCAAGTCATTCCCACTATGGATGTTAACACGTCGGGGAACTTCGTAAAAGTTTTGCTGGCGTCGACGGCCCTGTGCGAATCGAAGTCGTGCGAGTGCACGGCGCTCTTCTTCTGTCAAGGAAAGGAAGCCCGAGTCTGCTAGAGATACAAGCAGTTGGCCCTTTAAGTCTTCGATATTGGCCAACGTCTGCTGACTCATGAAATTTTTGCGACAGAATTGAAATTCTTTGCTTGCGCCACTGTTGGCTTGGCACACTCGCTTCCAGGCAAGGTAGGCGTTGTATATGGTGAGAAGATCGGAATCGGCTCGACGGAAGGCCATTCGTGCATTGTCAGCTTGTGCTCGCTGACCCCAGGGTGCCGAGAACGGTGACTTGGATGAAAGAATAGCAGCAACGGTGATGGACATGTCGAGACATTTGAATACGGTGCCCAACAATATTAGCTTGCCCAGGAACACATCTAGAGGTAACCTCGCAAGCTGATGGCCTAAAGGAGTGAGCTCCTCGGCTGTTGTCAAGGCACGAACATCTACCAATGCATCAATAGCACGGCGAATATTCTTGGCGGATGGAGCATCCAGCGCGTCACCAAGTGTCTCCTCGATTCCGCCAATCTTGCAAATTTTGACGCGAATAGCCAGGTCCTGTAGGGATAAACGGAGCATTTCAGGTGTCTGCTGGTCACTCATAAGGGAGTCATGCCGAGATTTGGTGAACATGTGGAAACAGAGACCATTTTGGACACGACCAGCGCGACCCCGTCTTTGTTTCGCGTTGGCTCTAGAAATAAAGGTATCAATCAATCGAGAGAGCTGTTTCTTCTCGTCAAATCGCATCTCGCGATGCTTTCCGGTGTCGATAACACAAGTAACATCCGGAATAGTAATACCAGTCTCAGCGATGTTGGTAGCAAGCACAATCTTGCGCATTCCTGGCGGCGGCAAAAGGAAGGCCGACTCTTGGTCCTCGGTAGCAATGGAAGAATGGAGATGATATATCAACCAGTCTCTGACGAATCGTGGGTCTCCGAGGAGCATGTCATTGAGGGTTCGAATCTCAGCAATACCTGGTAAAAACACTAGAATTGCCTTGCTGTAAAATTCAAGGGACTCATCCGAGGCAATGTGCACCATCAGCTGCAGAATTAGATCGAAATCGATGCGGTATTCGTCTAATTGAGTTAATGTGTTTCTCGTCTGCGGAGAGTAGGCCGATAAGCTTGACGAGATTTCACTCTTCGGACCGTTGCTCTCTCCTTCCATAATATCATCATCAAGATCCACCATCTTCTCCTCGGAAGAGTCGCTCGGTCGGTATCCTGTGAGTTCAACGGCATCTTCGAGATACCGTACATCCACTGGGAATGTTCGGCCAGGGACATTCAGAACTGGCGCGCCACCCAAATATGCCGAGAAGCGTTCGGCGTCAACAGTGGCAGACATGAGCACAACCTTGAGGTCTTTCCTCTTCGTCAAGAGCCTCTTGAGGACTATGAGAAGAAAGTCGCTGTCGATTGATCGTTCATGGACTTCATCTAGAATCAGGTGTGTTACCTCACGAAGATCATTGGATCCCTCTAACATTCGCATGACCACACCGGTCGTTGCAAAGACCAGTCTAGTCTCCCGAGATGTGTTGGCCTCGAGACGAATAGAGTAGCCCACAAGAGATTTGTTGGTACCAAGATCACTCTTATTTTCGCCAAGTTCATCGCTTACACGCCTCGCCAGCGAGATTGCCGAGATTCTGCGAGGTTCTGTACAGTATATTTTGCAGTGTCTGCCTTGAGACAGTTCATGTTCCAGCAAAAACGCAGGCACTTGGGTGCTCTTGCCGCTGGATCTTCAATGTTAGTCAGTCTTCATCGTATCGCATTTCACGGTCGCATACCATCCTGTCTCTCCACAGACAATAACCACCTGGTTACCATCGACTGCCGCAAGGACTTGGGGTCGGAACTGCCACATGGGGAGCTGCATGCGGAATTGCTATGATATCGTTAGTATGTAATTGAACTTGAAGGCGTGGGAATTCGATGGACAAGCGAGTGCTTACCAACATATCTCGAAACTTTTTAGTACTGGCCTTGTCAATCCAAATTTTCTGCAACGATTCTGCTCCAGCTGTGCTTGTCTTTGAGCGATCCAAGGATCCATTCTGCGTCGAATCAGGTGGGCTTCTGGCTACTCCACGACCTCGGAAAGCAATAACACCATCTTCTAGCTCTTGATCTTGTCGTTGGCGAACCATGGTCCTCAATAACCTCACTGCTTCGCGATCCTGAGTATCCACATGGTTTTTCTTTGCCTCTGCCATTTCTGACCAAAGATCCTTCCAAACAGGCGGTAGTCTTAGACTAACTTTCTCATCTTTCGAATTACCATTGAATATGTGGAAAAGAGCGGCTGTAGATATGTAAGCCTCGGATTGCTTGGAATCAGACGCGGCAACACTGTTCATGGTGAAAGTGAAGTGTGTCGTGTCAGCGGCGACTTCGACATCAGAATTGGGTAAGATATGAGGAAGTTCCTGGGGCTTCGTCCACAAAATATCGACAGATTGCCGGCTGATAAATGCGGCTTCCGAAACTACATTGTATGTAAACCTGACAGATGCGTCTCTAAACATGGTATAAGTTAAAGTCAGGAAAAAATGATGGGGAATTGCACAGTACTCACCTGGAACGGCACGAGTCCTCCAAAACTCTTCTAGGGCCTAATCCGGTCCATTTTCCGAAGTCCCGAAGGACAAGTTTAGTACCATCCGCAGCATTGATAACCGTCTGAGTTTTGCCCGTGTTCGGATCCACCTCATTCTGTGGGAGGGATGCAAATAGTCCAGCAATATCGTCGCCATCTCCATCTTCCTCAGCAAGGATTTCCGCGGCAGTACGCTCCGCCTCATCGTTCACACCATTGTCGGCCTTGGCTTCCGGTGATTGCTCTGCCTTTGGTCTGGCTTCCTCTGCCACAGCTTGTGCTTCCTTCTTGGCAGAAGCCAACTGTCTTTCCATAATAATTCTCTCCGATTTCCACTTGAGGTCAGCACTGAACTTGTCGAAAAGAACATCCGTCTCAATCTTTCTGATTTTAGCTTCGAGTTTGGCAATCTCTAGTGGTGCCTTGTCGTCGTTGTCGGTTGGTCTAATGCTACGGCTGAGCTCAAGATGCTTTGCTTTTGCGGAAACGTATTCGGGTATCAGATCCTCAGGTTCTATGTCTAGATCGTATGTTACAGTAAGCTTTTTAGTTGGCGATGCAGACTTGCCGCCTCGCGGATTTGCTTTATTCTTGCCGGAGCTGAGTGGCTGGGGCTTGGGAGTAACGGGGCGTGACGCGTTTGGGGTATCTGTGGGAGTGTCTGTGAATTGTATTAGTGCTGGGACTTTGGAGGCCTTGTCATAGTCAAAAATTTCAGATGGCAATGGAAGAATACCTCTGGAGAGGGGCTTGCCCTTGAATTCGTATGAGGGTAGTTCGTCGGCTGAGCATTCTCGGGCAAGCCACTCCAAGGACTCATCCAGGCCCCAGATGGAGTCTTTGACGGGAGACGAAACATTTGTAGCGATATCCAAAATGTGTTTGAGAACAGCTTCTACTCGTGTGTCGGGGAATCCAGCGGCGGTCAAGGTCTGGCGCAAGGTCCACAGCCGAACAATCATATCCTCCTCGGACGGAAGCTTTCCTGTGACCGCATTTTCGGACGACAGGCTTGACCCGGCAAACCTCATCTCCGCCTTGATAAGGTCGAGAATATGTTCTACCTGATCTGGAGGCAACCATTTCGGAGCGTTGACCAGATCGGCCTGGCCACGGAGCAGTCGTCGGTCCGTCTCGAGGCGGGTTCGTTGTCGCTGGGCATCACGCTTAGTTTTCTGGGCGTGCTTCTCGACGAAAAGCTGTAGCTCGGATTCCTGTAGTTGTTTTTCAAATTCTTCGGGGCTCAAAGGCTTGTCCTCGTTGTTCGGCCGGCCAGCACTACGGCCATGATCATCACCAGAGGTCGGTTTGGCGGATGGCGGGGCAATTTCTTTGGATGGAGGGGCAGAAGCTCCAGAAACACCATCAACCGAGGGCCTTGCTTCTGAGTCGGATACATCTGGCCGAGGCTTGGAGGCAATTGAGGTAGTGGCAAAGCCGCGTGCCGGGTTGGCGGCGGGCTTCTTCTTTTTCTTGTTGCCAGCCATTGCCCTCGGGACTGGCACCAGGAAAGCGAGGAGGAAGCTGGGAAGGAAGTCGGGCCCAGTACTAGTGGTGAGGTTGATTTGAGTGGGAACAATTGGGAGAGTACCAGACACACATGGCTGCGACTGCTACTTGTTGAGTAAGTACCTAGGTAGGTGCCTACAATGTGCTCCATACTGCCTACCTCCTAGGTACTTCTTAAGTACTTTCTTAAGTATCCCAGGTAGGTCCTGCCAGGTCGCTAAATTGGTCAAAGCCGGCGTGCTGAATAACTAGGGCCACCGTGAAAGAAAGCAAAGCAGAATATGGGACATTCCCTGAGATGATGGCCGATTGTTCATAGAAGCGGCAGATAAATAACTAGCGGTCGACGTCTTGAGTGCTTGACGACTTCTCACTCTGTACGATTGGCGGGACCTCGAACTTAAACCGTAGTCCCATTTTGCTTTTCCAGTATTTTCATTGCAAAATACGCTCCTGATTTGCACCAACAATAGATCCAACTCATGCCACCATGAATCGTATCAAATGCTGTACCGACAGCCAATGTCCTACATGTTCTCACATCGCGTGCCCTGACGCGGGCGGTGAGAATGTTCCCACACCAACAATTGCAAGGCGGGGCCAGATTTTGCCGTGGGTTGCAGAATCCGAGATTGGATGGACCAAAGTCGAGCTGCAGACAATCAGCCAAAGCTTTCAACGTCGAGACTTAGACGTCAATAATTGGCTCCCAACGCCTTTCTTATAGGGTCATCTTTGCCTCTAAGTCCCCTTTCTCCTGAACTACTTCCTTGTCACTCCATCGGCGTCACCCCATCCCCGCCAATTTTCGAACAGCCGGGGTGAGAATCGAGAAGCCCTTGTAGCCCCAGATGATTTCGTCACTCCATCGGTTTCGTTTCGCTCCTCGACATGTCTGAATCGTCGGGTAATGCCCATGGCTCTTCCACAGCCGCTGCTGTTCTCGATGTAGCTGCGGTTGATCAAGCCTTGGGCTCTCCCTCCACTTCCATCCGAATCGCCAAGCTTCACCAATTGGACGGATACCTTCGACATAAAGGTAGCTCCGAATCCTGACTGCTGCGTTTTCAAAGATATGTGCGGCTGACTTTGTGAAACAGTATCCGACGATGCAGCTATTTCCGGGGTTTTGGGCATGCTCTTCGCTACCCACCCAATCTACAGAGACCGAGAATCCAGACTCGCGGTTCAAAATTGCTTCATCACCATAATATCGGCTGGAGCCAGCCCAAAGGTCCTCGATTCCGTGGTTCAAGCCATGCACCAGGAGATGCAGAGACCAGGAATTGCTATATCCAATGCCTTTGTCATCATCGAATGGTGTAGTCTGTTCATGCAGCACGTCTCAGTCGCGATTTGGGAACAGCTGGGCGATGAGATTCTTGTTACCGCCGCGAGCGCTGTAGAGAAATGTCTACAGTCAAATTCCAAGAGTGGTATGGCTCGATCAGCAACTGTCGTGACGAGACGTGGTATCCGCAGGCTATTTTCTTCGCCTGATACTCGAGAAAAGCTCATGACCTCGGCCGTCGAGACTCTCACCGCCAAAGCTGCCCAGCCAGTAGCCAAAAACGCCGTTGCTTTGGGTATTATTGCCGGAGTCTCAGCTCGTCAGGCGCCCTTGAAACCAATCCTAGCAAGTCTTAAACCAAAGTACTACGAGTTCTATTCGCGAGAAATTGTTGGATCACGAACTTGCTTACCAGAGCACGTGGCACTGGGCCTTGCCGATTTCTTTTTCAACTTCGTCAGCCTCGAGGATGTCGAAAAAGATCTGGTACCTGCTATTGAGAAAGGCCTCCTACTTGCTCCTGAAGTCGTTCTGGGAGGGGTCCTGAAGTCTTTAGTCACGTCATTGCCTGACCATTTCGATCTTTCAAGGACATTGAATGAGAAGCTCTTGAAACCTCTTTTGTCCAATATCAAGTCCAGCAATTCATCCATCCGCAGTGGAGCTATCGAAACCTTCCGCGCAATTGTAGCAAATTGCTATGATCTCAAGACATTGGATCATGTTGTCGACGAACTTGCCAATCCCTTGGCGACAGGCAAGCTCCCCGCCGCGGAGCAGAGGGTCCTACATTCTGAAATGCTAGAAGCCACTCCCCTGTCGTCACAGAGTACCACAAAGGTCCTAACTTGTCTTTCGAGCATATCCACAAAAGAGGGAAACGAAGCTGCGCTTGCGGCCGAGACTTCAGCACTAGCTCACGCCGCCGTTCTAGCCCTCAAAGAAGGAACGAACCTCCCCAAAGCAGCCATCGACGCTTTTGTTAAAGGGCTGGCAGATAAGAAGCCTGGGCCAAGAAAAATATGGCTGCTACGGGTAGCTAATATCTTGCAGACCCTCGGGACCACCAGCGCGAATGCCAGTCTCACTACGTTCGTCGATGCAGTGATTCCCAACCTCATTGCAAACTTCCAGGAAGTCACCGTCAATTCTGCCAAGTCAGCACAGTCTGGACTAGTTGTTGGAGCTTACATTCTCACTGCATTAAACCCGGCATTGTCTCGTCAGTTCCCTGACTCCTCAATAACTACAGACTTGGCCAAGGCGTCTATTCCAACCCAAGCCTTGTCTTTGACCGCAAAAAATTCTTTCTTGTTAAACATCAAAGTCTACAGAAAACTCAATACTGAAGAAGATCTTCAGTGGCTCAGTAGAGCCCTGACATCCGTGGCAGAGAGTCTCGACGACAAGACTGACGAGAGCGTTGCCCTTGCCTGGGCAGAGGCGCTTATCTATCTGATTGCAGCACCTTCCATTCCACCAAAGGTACAACGAGAGACTCTAAGGTCCCTCTCAAAACTCTACGTCGATCGGGCCGAGTTAGTATCTAAGCTTGTGATTGCCGGGTTGTGGGACAATTTTGACCTTGATGAAGCCAAAGAGAAAGATTTGAAAATTCGCAAATCCAATTTTGTTCATGTTTTGCGGTCAATATGTATGGGTCCTGATGAAATCGCTGAACTTGGGGGTGATGTACCGCAAGAGCAGTTGAAATCCCAGGCGTGTTCGATTTTGGTTCTATCGAGACCAGAACTTATCCCCCGATCAAGCTGGATTGACATCTGCCTTCGTATGGGACTTGACCCTGGTTCTCTCTCCAAGGAGTACACCAATCGACTTCTCGGGGAAATCAACAGACGGTCAAGTATTGAGCAAAAGGTGTGTCCACTATTGATTGACAAATATGCATCAGAAAATCCTTAATGGTATTACGACGCTAACGTAAGCATCCCAGATTAATGTGATCAAGCAGGCTGCTTACAACGCAGCCGCTGAATTGGCATTCGTCGCCCCTGATGTCGTAACTCCACGGCTAATGGAACTTATCACCGGGGATCTCGACCCAAGTCAGCTGCAGGACATCGGCCCTGTTGAAGCAGCTATTTACAGAACTCCGGAGGGGACTTGCTTCGTAGATGTTCTAGCTAAGAAGGCGCAGAATACGGCACCCAACAAAAACACCAAGGACTATGACATATTGAAATGGGAAGAAGAACTAAGAGGTCAGCTTGAGCAAAAGAAAGGTCAGCAACGAAAGTTAACGTCAGAGGAGACTGCAAAGGTAACCGCACAGTTGAACAAGGAGTCGGGCATCAGAAGCTCAATCAGGGCGATCGAGGCAAGGCTGTTACGCGGCATTGGAATTATCAAATCGCTCGCAACTGGCCCACTGACGGATGCCGCACTTTGGCTTTCTTCCTCTACCGGTCTAATCCTTGACATTATTGATGCAGGAGCCGGTCTAATTATTGGCGATATTGCGGCATTGGCCTATATCCTGTGCTCTGGGAAGGTATCACCAAGACTAGGGGCTATTCGACAGTTCATCGGGGTTGCTACTCTACGACTTCGAGGCATTACCTTTTCAGAAAATTACGATGAGGAGAAACTGGAAGACCTCGTTACCAGAGTTCTTTACCGGCTTCGATTCGCAGGTGAACAGCGTCCGTTTGATTCTGTCTCACTGATGTATATTTTGCCTCTTATGCTGGACGTTCTCCAAAGGGGGGGTGTTGGAGAAGATGGTGACGATCGAGATGCTCAACTTGTTTTGACTGTGGAATTCCTTTCCTTCCACACTGGTGTTTTCTCCGACGATGCAATTCCGCGCACCGAGCTTCTTACTATCCTCATCCAGTCCATGCTTCGACACACTCAGCATTACAAGCTAATAAGGGACTGCTTCGCTGACATGTGCCGTTGTATCGCGCCAAACATGAGTCAGCCAGAGATGCAGGTACTTGCTAAAGGTGCAATTGTAGCCCAATCGAGTGTCAGAACCAGCGTGTTACAGTCAATTAGCTCCGAGGTAGATATGAGCGACCTCGGCTATTCCGACGAAATCTGGTTAGCATGCCACGATGATGAACAAGAAAACCGAGAGCTTGGAGCCGAGATTTGGGAAGAGAGCAGATTCGCAGTTGACGCCACTGTTGTTATGCGTATGGTTCCATATCTGGAAAACAAAGACTCCCAGCTCCGCCGAGCTGCAGCTCGGTCGCTTGCCGAAGCTGCCCAGAGACATAAGGAGACATTACGTGAAGTAATTCCCAAGTTGCAGTCATTATATGTCGAATTATCGAAGCCCAAGGTTCAGCTCTTGGACGAGTTCGGAATGCCCAAGAAGATGGATTTATCTGATCCTTGGGAGGCGAGGCAGGGCATTGCGTCTGCATTCAAGGAAATGGCGCCTGTAATAAGCAGACAACAAACTGAAGAACTCTTCAACTTTCTTATCGAGTCAGGGCCACTTGGAGATCGGAGCGATAATGTCAGAAGAGAGATGTTGGACGCTGCCCTTGCGGCAATTGAAGTTCGCGGCCAGAGCATGATTGACGAGTTGATGAAAAAGTTTGAGCACACTCTGGAGCAGCCAGACAAGAACAGCACTGCAGCTGACCGCGTTGATGAAGCGGTTATCATCATGTACGGTGCTCTGGCCAGTCATCTATCTCCTGGCGACTCCAAGATTCCGATTGTTATCGAACGTCTCCTTGCTACTCTTCGAACTCCATCGGAGACTGTGCAATTCGCCATTGCTGAGTGCTTGCCACCACTGGTCAGGGCCTGCTCAGATCAATCTTCGAAGTACTTCGGCCAGGTCCTTGATGAGCTGCTCAATTCGAAGAAGTACGCGAACCAACGTGGCTCCGCATATGGCCTGGCTGGTCTCGTTCTTGGTAGAGGCATCGGGTCGCTAAGGGAGTATCGCATCATGTCTACTCTGAAGAGCGCCATGGAAAATAAAAAGGAGGCACACCAGCGTGAGGCTTCTCTTCTGGCATTTGAACTTTTCGCCACAGTCCTTGGCCGTCTTTTTGAACCATATGTCCTTCAGATTGTTCCACAGCTCCTCAGTGGCTTCAGCGACAGTAATGCTGATGTCCGTGAGGCTTGCCTCGCTGCTGCCAAGGCTTGCTTTGGTCGGTTGAGTTCCTATGGTGTCAAGAAAATTATGCCTACTCTTCTTGACGGATTAGATGACCAACAATGGCGTAGCAAGCGTGGAGCCTGCGAGTTGCTCGGTGCCATGGCCTATCTCGACCCCAACCAACTAGCAAATAGCTTGCCGGAAATTATTCCACCCCTGACGGGTGTTTTGAATGACAGTCACAAAGAAGTCCGGGCTGCTGCTAACCGAAGTTTGAAGCGATTTGGAGAAGTCATTAATAACCCGGAAATCAAGAGTCTGGCTGATATTCTCCTCAAGGCTCTAAGTGATCCCACCAAGTACACAGACGACGCCCTGGACTCCCTCATCAAAGTTCAATTTTTGCATTATCTCGATGCGCCTTCCCTGGCACTGGTCACACGCATCCTTCAGCGTGGTCTGGCTGATCGTTCAAATACCAAGCGTAAGGCTGCCCAGGTTATCGGTAGCCTGGCACACTTGACAGAAAAGAAAGACATCATTACACATCTTCCCGTCCTCGTTGCTGGTCTTAAGATTGCCGCCGTGGATCCTGTGCCTACAACCCGCGCTACTGCTTCTCGAGCTTTGGGATCTCTTGTCGAGAAACTTGGCGAGGAAGCTATGCCCGATCTCATCCCCGGATTGATGGAAACCCTCAAATCTGACACTGGTGCTGGAGACCGTCTTGGATCCGCTCAAGCTTTGAGCGAGGTTCTCGCCGGCTTGGGCACGGCCAGGCTCGAGGAGACTCTTCCGACCATTTTGCAGAATGTCGACTCGTCCAAACCGGCCGTTAGGGAAGGTTTTATGTCACTCTTTATTTTCCTTCCTGTATGCTTCGGAAATAGCTTCTCCAACTATCTTGGTCGTATTATTCCTTCTATCTTGGCTGGGCTTGCTGACGACATTGAATCGATTCGCGAAACTGCACTTCGAGCCGGAAGGCTTCTAGTCAAGAACTTTGCAGTCCGCGCTGTGGATCTTTTGTTGCCCGAACTTGAGCGTGGTCTGGCAGATGATAGTTATAGAATTCGCCTCAGCTCGGTTGAGCTAGTTGGCGACCTTCTATTCAACCTTACCGGTGTCAAGGCAAACTCTGAGCCAGGAGATGAGGACGACGAGGAAGCTGTCAAGGAGGCTGGTGTTTCGCTCAAGGAGGTTCTTGGAGAGGAGAAACGAAACAAGATCTTGTCTGCACTATATGTATGCCGTTGCGATACTGCAGGCGCAGTGCGGTCAGCTGCTATTGCCGTCTGGAAAGTTCTCGTGCACAGTCCAAAAATTCTCAAGGAACTTGTGCCCACTCTCACTCAGTTACTCATTAGGAGACTCGGCAGTTCAAATATGGAGCACAAAGTCATTGCAAGCAACGCACTTGGAGAACTCATTCGCAAAGCTGGAGATGGAGTTCTCTCAAGTCTCCTTCCCACTTTGGAGGAAGGTTTGCAAACGTCCACGGATTCAGACGCCAAGCAAGGCATTTGCTTGGCTCTGCGAGAACTCATCTCCTCTGCTTCTCCCGAAGCCATGGAGGATCACGAAAAGACACTCATATCTGTGGTCCGCACGGCACTCACCGACTCTGACGAAGAGGTCAGAGAAGCCGCCGCAGAAGCATTCGACTCGCTCCAGCAGATCCTGGGCAAGAGAGCCGTTGACCAAGTCCTGCCTTTCCTCCTGAACCTCCTGCGATCCGAGGATGATGCAGAGAATGCCCTGTCCGCTCTTTTGACCCTCCTTACAGAGACTACTCGCTCCAATATCATTCTGCCAAACCTGATTCCCACGCTTATCACTCCTCCGATTTCAGCATTTGATGCCAAGGCGCTAGCATCTCTGTCAAAGGTTGCTGGTGTCGCCATGAACCGTCGCCTGCCTGGTATTATTAACTCTCTTTTGGACAATGAGATCAGCTGCAAGGAAGAAAGTCTTCGTGTCGACTTGGAGAGCTCATTTGATGCTGTCCTTCAGTCTATCGACGAGTACGATGGCTTGAATACAGTCATGAACGTTCTTTTGGGCCTCATCAAGCACGAGGACCATCGGCGGAGAGCGGCCACTGCACGCCACATTGGGCACTTTTTTTCCGCCGCCGCAGTCGATTATTCACGATACAACCAGGACATTATTCGGTCGTTGCTCAACGCCTTCGACGACAGCGATTCCGATGTCGTCAAAGCCGCTTGGGCAGCTCTGAACGAATTTACAAAGAAGCTTAGAAAGGAAGAAATGGAATCTCTCGTCACATCCACTAGACAGACTCTACTTCGAGTCGGTGTTGCTGGCTCTAACCTGCGTGGCTTCGAGCTTCCCAAGGGCATCAATGCAATTCTGCCTATTTTCCTTCAGGGGTTGATGAATGGCACTGCCGATCAAAGAGTCCAGGCTGCCCTTGGTATTTCAGATATTGTCGACAGAACAAGCGAAGCTTCTCTGAAACCCTTTGTAACACAAATCACTGGTCCTCTCATTCGCGTTGTGTCTGAGCGGGCTATCGAGGTCAAGGCTGCCATTTTGCTGACGCTGAATAACCTTCTGGATAAGATACCTACGGCATTGAAGCCGTTCTTGCCTCAGTTGCAACGAACTTTTGCAAAATCACTGGCTGATGCTTCTAGCGACGTTCTCCGAAGCAGGGCAGCCAAGGCGCTTGGCACTCTGATCAAATATACCCCCCGTATCGACCCATTGATCGCTGAACTGGTCACTGGATCCAAAACCAGTGATCCAGGTGTCAAGACTGCCATGCTCAAAGCGCTTTACGAGGTGATCAGCCGAGCTGGTGCAAACATGGGCGAGACCTCCAGGACCGCAGTCTTGTCTTTGATTGACATGGATACTGATGAGCGTGACGAGACCATGACTGTTACCAATGCCAAACTGTTAGGTGCTCTTGTCAAGAATGTGCCTGAGGAAGCTGCAACATCCCTGCTCAAAAGTCGGGTGATGACGTCTCATTTCAGCAGCTCATCAGTGCTGGCCCTGAACTCCGTGCTCGTTGAGTCACCAGATACCCTGTTGCAGAGTGCATTGGCCGATGAATTGCCCGACTTGCTGTGCCAGGGCATGGCCAACAAGAATGTAAGTAATTTCGTAACTCTTGAAACATCTTATACTAACTTTCTCCAAGCCATTTATAGCCGAAAATTTAATTCTGGCCACGGGCAAGGTGCTCCTTTCATCTCCCCCCAAGAACTTTGATAACAGCAAGAAGATCTTTGAGGTTCTAGCCGAAGCCATCCAACCCGGAAAAACCACCGACTCCAGAAGATTAGCGCTTGTGGTCGTACGTACCCTCAGCAGAACAAACATGGATCTTGTTCGACCTCACGTTTCCCTGCTGGCAGGGCCCATATTCGCCAGTGTGAGAGACCCTGTGATCCCTGTTAAACTGGCTGCCGAGGCGGCCTTCGTGGAGCTGTTCAATATTGTAGATGAAGACAGCAGGGTGTTTGACAAGTTTATGGCTGGCCCAGGGGCTGATATGCCAGGTGGTACAAAGAGAAGCATGACCGACTACTTCAAGCGGGTAGCCATGAGGTTGGGCGCTCAGGCTAGAGAGAGACGAGAAGCTGAAGGTGGGCAGGGTGGATTGGGTCTGTCGAATGACGAGCAAGAAGATGAGAAGGAAATATGGAGTGTCGGCAAGCTCGAAGTTGCTGGTGAATCATCTGCATGAACATAGATAACTAGAAGGAAAAGTATATCACAAGCTGTGCGCCTAAATTCCTCATATTCCAAAGGAAGCATTGTTCGTGTTTGATAAACTGCCCCTAGTTCATATTTCTGGCTAAATTGCAGTCACCAAGCGTCTTGAATCAAGCGCTGTTCCGCAACGTTGGTTAACATACTCGAGATAAAGAGGGCCAGATTGGACGGGTTTTGGGTCATCACGTGACCCGACTAATCAAAACTATTCGTCTCTTTTGACGGTTTCAGCTGACTCATCATAGCCCTCGCTTAGCGCCTTCTCTTCGAAGTCTTGTGCACGTGAACCCACAAACTCGTAGTGAGTTTGTGCGTACCCCAAGAAATTCTGGCCATCGAAACCCCTCTCAGCCACTCCATCCAACCCTCACACCAATCGAGGACCGGCCATCACACCGAACGATAATCAAGATGTAAGTACCAATATGCCAGCGAAAGCGAAAAGAACATGATGCGTGAGAAAGCGAGACTATTACCGACTCAGTAATGTACTTCTCTGGAATGGCGTTGGACGGTTACGCGGCAATGGTTGATGAAATACTGAAAGCTTGTCACGGTGTGCGATGGCACAACGTACCGGCCCACCAGAAAAACCAGTAGAATTTGGAGGATAGTCGCAGCATGAAGAGCAGGGAAGATCAATCACGATGGAGACCGCATCGTGAAAGCAGAAATGCAGAATTTCCCGGATGTACGGGACTAGTGTGTCCAGTGGGCTGACGTGGTCTGCTTTTTTTTCTTATAGGGTCAACCTGCGAACTCAGAAACGCCTTGCCGCGTCGGTCATCGGCTGCGGCAAGCGCAAGATCTGGCTGGATCCCAACGAGGCAAGCGAGATCTCCAATGCCAACTCTCGGCAGACGATTCGAAAGCTCGTCGCCGATGGCCTCATTATCCGGAAGCCCGTCACGATGCACTCGCGAAGCCGTGCCCGTGAGCTGAACCTCGCCCGAAGAGAAGGCCGACACCGTGGCTACGGTAAGAGAAAGGGTACTGCCGACGCCCGTATGCCCACCCAGGTCCTCTGGATGCGACGCATGCGCGTCCTCCGCCGCCTGCTCGTCAAGTACCGCGCCTCTGGAAAGATCGACAAGCACCTGTACCACGAGCTTTACCACCTGAGCAAGGGTAACACTTTCAAGCACAAGCGTGCTCTGGTTGAACACGTACGTTTCTATTCTTTGACACCGTTCCGTCACATGTGGCAGGGGCGATGTCGCTTCAGATGAGTCCCAGCACCGGATGACTGTTTCGAGGCTGACAGAGATGTGCAGATTCACCGTGCCAAGGCTGAAAAGGCCCGTGAGCAGGCTATCAAGGATGAGATGGATGCTAAGCGTGCGAAGACCAAGGCGGCCCGTGAGCGCAAGTTGGAGCGGGTGACTGCGAAGCGAAATGCTCTGATGGCTGAGGAGTAAAGAACCAAAAAGACCACCGATGATGGTGCTGTTATTTCGGTCTTGAGGGAATGCCGCTGCATTCGGAGTCTACGGGTTGGGTCTTTTCATTACGCCCTTCTGGTTTCTAGTCGTACCGGTGGGGCTTCTGGCTGTAGCATTGAAGAAAACGAGGCTCTAGGTGCACAATACGCTGTCGATTTGAAATGTAAAGGACTTTATTTTTTTCAATTACTTTTTGAGGTGTCGTCGGCTAGAACTGTGTATGGGTGTCCTGGCGGCGTCTCGCTGATTGGATGCGAAGCAGCGGCAATTACCTCACCCACGATGAAAAACTTGCAAGGATCAATGCTCATAAAAGAGTGCCAACCATTATGCTCTTTTACTAGTCGGTATAATCAGCAAGGCGTACCAATTTTCAAGATTCGAATAGCCCGGCGGAGATTCCAGTGGGCTCAGCGTCTGGCTCAACGCTCCATCAGTGTGGACCAGCCAATCACGGTTCGGGGCATTCTGTCAACACCAAAAAAAAAAAAAAAAAAAAAAAAAAACAAGTCGCAAGGTATGGCAAGGGACACGCTTGTGCCCAAGTCACAACCAGGCGTGTCCGGTAGGCCAAACTGCAGCCAGGTCGTTTACTGGGTGAATACTCTGTACTCTGTACTCCGTACGTGGCCACCACCTTCCCACCCGGTACTTCTGCCTGGCATGGTGCGTGCCACAGAGAAAAATCATTCGTCAAAACGCAAGAAATGCAAGATCAACCAAACCATGGATCAGGTTCCGTCATTGCCCCGTCAAGGTGGTGATTGTGTGCCGGGGCATTTCAGCACACTCCCGTTCCCCCTTTTTCTCGACGTCCGAGAAGGTAGGGGCGGAATGCTATGGCTGTGCAGAGCAGGTCTCGTCACGCCCATATTTAGTTGATACAGAAGAAAGGAGGGAAAAGAAGGGGGAAAGAGAGGCTCGACATGGCGAAATGGAACTGCTGGGCCGGCGGATGCGGGCGCAAAATCACTTTTTCCAGGCGCCGTCGGGGAGGGGCCGGTACCGTGTAGTTATGTAGCCTGTACGGAGTACCACGACAGACGTTTAGGTAATGAGAACGTGCTGGGGACTCACTGGAGCGCCGCCGGAGCGCCGCCGGAGCAAAGACCTGTGACCTGTTGGCCTCCAGGCTGCAGCGCAGACTCCACCGGCGAACTGCTGGGGGCGAGGCAAGGAGGCGGGTACGTACCGGCTCTCGGAGCCCATCGGACAACCGACTCGAGACTCGAGACGCCAATCCATGTGTTTGCGCCGTCAGCCAACGGCCGAGGCCAGCCGTGGTCGAGTCGAGCCGCTCCAAGCCCGTCGTCGCTGCTCCGAATCCGGCCGCTCCGTCGTCTTTCTCAACTTCTCTCTTCCTCCATCGAGGCATTCATCACCTCCCCAGGTACTTGAGCAACTGAGTCACTTGCAGAGTATTTTGAGCAGGTAGTTATTTGGGGGCTGCGTCATCCGAGCCTCTCCCCTCGAGCTCTCCTCGCTCTCTTCCGCCCTCACGCCACGCGCTGGCTCCCTCCTGCGTCGACAAATCTTACACACAGCACTCACTCGCCACCTTTGCCCATCGCAGCCATGTCTCTGCCCGGCCTGCGAGGCGCTTCGCGCGCCCTTCGTGGCCTCGTCAAGCCAATCGCCACCGCTCAACGAGCCAGGTCCTCCATAGCCTTGGATGGACAGCAGCAGGTGGGTGGCGCAACCAACCCTCGCATCGCGTCACGCGCTGACTCTTCTGTTCCTTCGTCTTGTGACAACTCCAGCTCCTTGCCGCTCATCTGCAGCAGGCCGACCCGGCTGTATTCGACCTCGTCGAAAATGTGCGTCTTGCGGCTCGGCATCTCGTGGCCTGATGCTCTTGGACTGCTGACAAGTCAACAGGAGAAAAGGCGCCAGAAGCACTTCATCAACCTCATTCCCTCTGAGAACTTTACTTCCCAGGCCGTTCTGGATGCTCTCGGCAGTGTCATGCAGAGTGAGCCGACTTCTGCTGGAGGGGAACGACCCGGGCGATACTAATTCGACATGGCAGACAAATACTCCGAAGGCTACCCTGGCGCTCGATACTATGGCGGCAACGAGTTTATTGACCAGTCAGAACGTCTCTGCCAGCAGCGAGCTCTGGAAGCTTTCGATCTTGACGCCGAGAACTGGGGCGTCAACGTCCAAGGTACGGCATAGCAGGTGCCGCGTCGCTGCGCAGACCGCACATGGCTACTAACACGACGATTGCTCCATCCAGCTCTTTCTGGCGCTCCCGCCAACCTGTACGTCTACTCCGCGCTCATGAACACCCACGATCGCCTCATGGGGCTTGACCTCCCTCACGGCGGCCATCTGTCCCACGGCTACCAGACCCCCACCAAGAAGATCTCCTTCATATCCAAGTACTTCGAGACGCTCCCGTACCGGCTGGACGAGTCGACCGGCCTGATCGACTACGACAAGCTCGAGGAGCTTGCGCTCGTCTACCGCCCCAAGATCATCGTCGCCGGCGCCAGCGCCTACAGCCGCCTGATCGACTACAAGCGCATGCGCGACATCTGCGACAAGGCCAACGCCTACCTGCTGGCGGACATGGCTCACATCTCGGGCCTCGTCGCCGCCAAGGTCCTCCCCGGGCCCTTCCCCTACGCCGACGTCGTCACCACCACCTCCCACAAGAGCCTGAGGGGCCCGCGCGGAGCCCTGATCTTCTTTCGCAAGGGCGTCCGTCGCACGAACCCCAAGACCAAGGCTGACGAGATGTACAACCTCGAAGGCCCCATCAACACCTCCGTCTTCCCGGGCCACCAGGGCGGTCCTCACAACCACACCATCGCGGCCCTCTCCGTCGCCCTCAAGCAGGCCCAGGCTCCCGACTTCCACGCCTACCAGTCTCAGGTCCTCGCCAACGCCAAGGCCTTCGCCAGGCGCCTCGGTGAGGACAAGGACAAGGGCGGCCTCGGATACAGCCTCGTCAGCGGCGGAACAGACAACCACCTCGTCCTCGCGGACCTCAAGCCCCACGGCGTCGACGGCGGCCGAGTCGAGCGCATCCTCGAACTTGTCGGCGTGGCCGCCAACAAAAACACCGTCCCCGGCGACCGCTCCGCCCTCGTCCCCGGCGGCCTCCGAATGGGCACCCCGGCCATGACCACGCGCGGCTTCACCGAGAACGACTTTGTCCTCGTCGCCGACATTGTCGACCGCGCTGTCACCATCGCGGTCCGCATCGACAAGGCCGTCAAGGCCGCCGCTAGAGAGCGCGGAGAGAAGAGCCCTGCCAGGCTCAAGCTGTTCCTCGACCACGTCGGCAACGGCGACTCGGAGTCCGAAATCGTCCAGCTGCGAAAAGAGGTTCAGGATTGGGCTGGTACCTTTCCCTTGCCTTGGGATGCTTCCAAGTAGCTTTGCCCAGGCCAGATGGAGCCGACGGCTTGAAGAAAGGTTCATGTACTTTTGGATGGTCTTTCTTTGGAGAGGGGAACGCAGGCAGCTTGCGTTTTGTGCATGCTGGGTGGGAAGGCATAAATGTAATTTAACTTACGTGTACATGTCGGTCTGACTGGAGGGCTATGTGAACATTATGAGGATCAACTCCGCGACTCGCCGTCACTTATCACCGCAATCTCACCACCAAAAAATCTCTCAACGACACTCATCTCAACAGTTAACGGCAGAATGTATCCTTGAATAGTATTCATTTACCCAAGGCCACGAGCCGCTGCAGACGCTGAGACAAATTGTATGAGATCTACCCAACCGCACGCATCACTTCCCAATCACCTTCTTCGTTGCGTCGCTCTTCCCAATCCGCTCATAGTATCCCCTCAAAGTCCCTATTCCATCGAGCACCTCCACACCATACTGTTCCACGATAGCATGCAGGACAGGCCACGCCGCAAAATCGGCTATACCAGGCGTCGAGTCAGTCGTCCCCCTTTCAGGGGGGTTCGCGGCGACTTCATCCCATGTAGCTAGTTCTCGGCGGAGGGTCTTGCTCAGAGGCGCAGATTTATCGTGTTGCCTCCACAACTCGCCTAGCGTCAGCGCTCGTTGAAATCTTGTAAACCGGACGGCCACGTCGGCTTCACTCTGCTTGTCGGGGCCATACACGGCATTCAGATAGAGCATGATGGCTACGTCTCCGTCCACAATAGACTTGCTTGCATCATTGTCGACAAAGCGAATTGGTGTTTGTGCCGTGTCACTGCTCCTTGGATCTGGCGCCATACTGCCTTTAGCAAAGTTGATGCCGTACTCAGCGAGCATGAGATGAACGCGCATGTCACATATCGTATCAGCAGAGGCAAAGAAGCGCGGGGAGTTGCTGATATGTAGGACGTCGAAGCCTTTGCCGTACCGGGCTTCCCAGTCGAACATCGAAGAGTTGTTCTCTGCACCGAAGGCCTTTAACATTTCAACAGCCTCGGGGCTTTGCCCATTGATGACTGGTTGAGCTGTCTCGCGCGACTTTCCAGTGGCGCCCTGGCCCCAGATGATGGTTTCATTTTTATCCAAGAAAGTACCGATTTGTCGGAACGTCAAAGAGATCCTGCCACCTTTGAACGCTAGTTCCTCTGGTGACTTGTCCCTCGCCGCGCGCTTGTCTTGACGAATAGAGTGAAGCCATTTCATATTTGTCTTCAGACCCATGCGGCATAGAGAATTATGAGGCAGCTGTGTGCGTTGAACCTGGCGTCCTGTGTCTTCCGGGCAGGCAGTATCATTGTGAGACGGGTCCTTACCGTGCCTCTTTGTTCTGAATACCATGGTTCGCTCTGCGCCTAGACTGACATTGGCAATGTACGAGCCCTTGACAATGTCTATGGTCTTGTCACTGTGTTCAGATATGTAGTCCTTGCCGTCGCGGTAGAATTGTATTAGCACGTGGTTTAGAGCGTGCCCTAGATGTTTCTCGGTTTCGGCTTTGATGGCCAGGACGGTAGGAGAAAAAGGCAGCAGTGGTGGTGATTCGTCTGATGGATGGCGGTAAACTGGCATGCTTCCATCATCTGATATCTCGCCTTGCACGGCTACCAGGCGGGGAACCTCGCTGCCTTGGTGCAACATTCGTTGCCACTGCACTTCATCGCGTAGTTTTTCATAAGCGTCTTTAGCTAGGCCTTCAGGTAGGACATTTTCAATGACCTCCGTGTCGCCTTCGCATAAGCTTTTTGGCAGGACTTGTTCCTCATCCTTGTTGGAAGTGCCTGGTGGTGGGCTGGGTACGATTGTCGTTGGATGTAGTTTAGAGTTGGTGATGGATGAAGCCTCTCGGTCTTTGTTAGTGGCTCCTGCGATCGATAAACCAAGGCTACCCTCTTTTTCAACTGATTTGCGAGGTTCCACATCAGTGGGCATCGGTTTTCCTTCTTCCCCAATGGTCTCCTCTTGTTTCAGCTGAGCAGACTGCGAATCAGCCTTGCTGGCTGGTGACGGGGCTGCGCCATTGGCAGTCTTGGCAGCCGCTGGGGATTCAGCATCAAGCTGAAGGCCCGCCATGTGTCGCACAAGGTCAGGGGAATCAGTGTCCGCAATGCGATTGCCTGGCCTTTTACCTGCTGAAACGGAAGATTTTGTGGCTCTCTCAGGCTGAAGACTTTCCAGTATTTCTGCCGAAGACGCAATCTCACAACCTGTGAGTTCAATCAGACTCCGCACTGCCGCGAACTGTCGCTGTTCGTTACGGTAGCCACAACAGTCTTCGACGATGGTGATTGACAATCCGTGGCCCGCGGCGTCCAATGCAGTGGCGTGGACTCCTACATTGACCAGCGACCCGCATATGTAGACATCCATGACCATCTTCGCCCGGAGTAACAAAAGGAGTTGGGTTTCTTTGAAACCAGAGTATTGAGACTTGGACAGAACAGTGTCTCCCTTTTGCACGGCAATTTCAACGGCTGGGCTCATCTGAGCTCCCCATGATGACGGCTTTACACAGGTAGCTTCTGGGTGGCTCAGGAAGGCTTCGGGATCCAATGGCTCATCTGGGTTCGCAGGCACGGGAGGAGGAGCATTTCGTCCTCGACGTCGACGTCCTTGGCGCCTAGTCACCGGCGGTGCGTCGGAGACGATGATAGTCTCGTGGTCCACTAGTACCGGGCTTTCGAACTGCGACTGAAGCCAAACGACATCGCCGTTTCCACGAAATTTGGTCACTAGTTCAACGGCGCGACTTATGAAGCCGTCAGGATCCGAAGATGGCAGGGCTCCACCAGGATCGAGGAAATCGTTTTGAAAATCAACCAGGATCAAAGCTTTCCTAGTGGTGATCTTGGGCAGAAGGGCCTCATCAAATGAAAACATGCTGCGAGTTTGGCGGTCTGAGACTCCGAAACAACAGTTCCCCAGTGAAGACGATTAACGGCTTTTGATTTGAAATATTTCATGTGGGTGGGAATCTGAGGGGTGCGGTGTGCAGCTGACAGCAAGATACGAAAAGTGTAGAGGCTGTGCTCCGTATGGTGACTGGCTTCCGGTGCTAGCAATCCCAGCTCGTCGTCGGTGTTGATGGCTTCCGGACAAAGACAGCTTTTATTCGAGTTGATGTTGACGCCGGGGAAAAGACAAACGCCCTACAAACAGCATCGTGCTGTTCCGCAGGGTGCCTGGGAGATTATTGTATTATACCGGGGTCGGGCAGTTGAATAGGAAGAACAAGAGTATTATAAGTACAGAGTAGTAGTCCTTTGCAGGCATAGTGCCGAGATAATTTGTGACAGAATAGGCCATGAGCACAATTCGACGCCATGAAGTGGAGACCTGAGCCACCAGTCTTGGAGGACTCGGTCGTTCTGTCTGTCACCAGAGCCAAATAGGACGACGGCTTCAAAGGTCCCTAGTTCCTTGGGTATGCGTCGACCTTGCATCCGGTTGCGTCTGGACGTTGGCTACCGAGACATGGGAGGCGGTCTGGCTGAGAGGAGGGAGGATATTAAGTTCGATGGCACAGTGGGCGTTGGACTTGTGGCAGCCACCCTGGGTTGAACCCGCAAAATAATGATGCAGATAGTGCGACGTGATTAGCGGCTTGGAGCAGGCATGTCTCTCGAGCGATGGAGTTGGGTTCCAGGGGCCACCAAGGCGACAGGACTTGTGCCACCCGTTTCGATCTCGTGGTGGGTGATGATGTCCGTACTGGTCAAACACTGCCGAGACTGTTTTCCGGTTTCCGATGGGCAGCAGACAAACACGCACTGTGTGGTCGGCACTCGTACACCCGGGTGGCTGCTTGTATTGGTGGCTTCCTCTCACAACGCGAAAGAAGGAGCCACTGACGCCGGTCGGCGCGGCAGTAACAACAGCAACAGCAACAGCAACAGCATCATTGTAACCGAGGATTTGAATACCAGTCGCATCGACATTGAAAGTGCCTGGCTAGGCGTGGCCTTGGCTTTGGTATCAAGTATTCACTATAATCGTACATGGGCATATATCCAGACTTGCGGGCTGTACGACATCAAACCGACGGCTTGGAAGTTGATTCGATTCGCTTGGTTCAGGGTAGCAAACAATGCAAGGACGCGGCACAGCCTAACGCGCACGAGGCGCTACGCCACGCACTTGGCCAACCTCGCCTGACTGGCAAGGCATCCGGTGTCGTCTCCGGAACCTGGTGCGTTGCGGCCGTCTGTCATGTCCACGCCAATTGATGTACGCATCCACCAGACGACAAGCCGAGCATTTGCCATCGCAGCCTCACCACTTCGAAGGCATGAAACGTCCACCCATCCGTTCAACCCTCCGGTGAGAGTCAGCACGGCGTCTGATTACTGTTTGACGTTTTGCTTTTTTTCCCTCCCGCAGATGCACCGATTCCAGCAGGCCCACACACTCTCGGCTTAAGAGTCGGGTAGCTTCTGGGAAATCCAACTCTGGCGCTGCATCCTTGTTCGTCGCATCCATCTCAAGATTCTCTAAATCCCGGATCATGTCATCGAAACGCAGTCTCTCTCCGTCAGACTCGGATGGATACTCCAAACGCCGCAGGCTCGGCGGGACACAGCACAAGGATACTTCAGATGGCACTGTCTCTGTCGACATGCTCGAGGACCAGGACGACGAGGCCGTGGCTGTCAAATCTCTTGCGCCTACACATCACGCCAACGCAAGGGCCGGCATTCAACGGTCAATAGCTTTGGTTTTGAAACATGACGGCTTTTTGTCCGCGACGCCCGACGCCATGGAGAGCTTCACAGCCCTTGTCGAGACATGTTCGTTTTCTCTCATTCAACGCAGATCACCTTGATACCAAGCTAATCCAAGCTCAGATCTTGTGTCTGTCATCGAGGAGACCAAAAGAATGGCTCTCTCTTCCCGCCGTGACCACCCCGTTCCCAAGGACTTCGAAGCTGTTTTACGGAGATTTAACCTGCCAATTTCATCACTCAAACCCCATCTCAAGAATCCACTGCCAGCCGAAGCCTACACACCAAGGTACAAAAGCGTCCACGTGGCCGACGACGATGCATATACAACTCTCCCTCTCCTTGGTCCCGAGCTCAGTGGCCAACCCGACAAACAAGCAAAGAGTTACATTCCATCAAACTTCCCTGACTTTCCTAGCCGCCACACCTACAAGTTTACGCCACAAGAGGACACGAATGCGAGAGACGCCCAGAAGATCCGAGAAGAAGCGGCCAGAACAGCGCAGCAAGGCGAAGACGCCCTGCGTCGGTTAGTTCGGGCCTCCAAGATGCGCAAGCAGAAGGAGGCCAAGAATTTGGTTGAGAAGGATGTACAAGGCAAGGAACGGTTTCGGCTCTGGGAATTAACCATGAAACGCTTTATGGGAGCTGACAATCGTGGGGAAAACACGGACAATGTTGATATTGCTGATCATAGCATGATCGTCAATGGAGACGCTGTGTTTTCGCGAAAGGAGGTTTCTCGGATGGGCAAGCGATTGACGGTATTGTCTTCCAAAGGGAATTAATTGATGTGATGTGCTGCCTTCACCGTCATGATACCCGAAGTGTTGATCAATCGGGAATGGGATGTGCATTGGGTTTAGCACTGGCGGCTGGCTTGGAGTTTGGAGTTGCATTTGCATGGTAGTTATGGGGGAAAGCAGTCACTTGAAGCCTAAAGCAGTTAAATGCGCTAATTTTTCGGGTCATGGGCCACTTGTCTAATTGTGCTGTAATATGATGGCATGGTTTTTGCAGAGTAAGTTAAACACGCGACAGCACGTCAGTGCATCTCACAGCTCCGACTTGTGGATAGCACCAAGACAAGCTCAGTATTAAGTTACATGTTTGAGCCGGCCAGAGAAGCTCTGAAACAATGCACGAGAAGCGTCTGAAGAAGTTCTTGTCATCCCAAACCACAGAGTACATAACGTTACGGAGTAGTTATAGCGTACTTAAGTAAGCAGTACTCGGTAGTCTGTGGTCCATACTACCTCTAAGTACCTAGGTACTTACCCAGGCAGGTACCTACCAGGGTTCTTACTCTAGGTACTCCGTAGAGAGTACGTTCAAAAAGTGTCAGCATTCACCGTGCCCGGGAAAACGGCTCATTGGCCAAAGCACCCACGGGCCACAAGGCCACAACGTACCTGCGGGACCCCTGGCAATGCGGCGGCCCTAATTTTTCACCCACACAAAAATTATCGCATTTTCAGCCGAGCCACCGAGACCACTTGCAAGCGACCCAGTCCAGTCCGGTTTTGCAGAACAGCCAGCCCTCGCGAAGCCCTTCAGACATCCATCTTCCCTCCGCCTCCCACTGCAACTCCCAAATTTCGTTGCATCGCCTTCGTCTTCGTCGCCATGGCTGAACAATTGATCCTCAAGGGCACTCTGGAGGGCCACGTACGTTTTGACTCCCACATACACTGCCTCCCGCCGCATTGACGCAGAATTTGTGTGTCGGTTTTGGGACCATCAACGTGCTCCAATTCTGGCCCTATCAACATGGAGAGATGCAACAGTCACAGTTTGCGACGATTTCGACTAAATTTCGGAAATGCTGACTTTGTATAATAGAACGGCTGGGTCACCTCTCTGGCTACCTCCATGGAAAAGTACGTGCGATGCTTCCGTGTCGAAGACGAATACATCTACATCTATATTGATTTTGCCGTGGAACCAAATACTAACGCCGGCCGTGTTGCAGCCCCAACATGCTCTTGTCCGCCTCCCGCGACAAGACCCTGATTATCTGGAACCTCACTCGCGATGAGACCCAGTACGGATACCCGAAGCGATCCCTGACGGGCCACTCCCACATCGTCTCGGACTGCGTATGTTACTGTCATGCCTCAAGCTATTGCCCGAGCTGCGATGAGCTACGTGACGGACCCTTGGCTGATGCGTTGACAACAGGTCATCTCCTCCGACGGCGCTTACGCCCTGTCCGCCTCTTGGGACAAGACCCTTCGCCTGTGGGAGCTCGCCACCGGCACCACCACTCGACGATTCGTCGGCCACACCAACGACGTCCTCTCCGTCTCTTTCTCTGCCGACAACCGTCAGATCGTCTCTGGTTCCCGGGACCGGACCATCAAGCTGTGGAATACCCTCGGTGACTGCAAGTTCACCATCTCCGAAAAGGGCCACACTGAGTGGGTTTCTTGCGTGCGATTCAGCCCCAACCCCCAGAACCCCGTCATTGTCTCCTCCGGCTGGGACAAGCTTGTCAAGGTATGTTGCCGCAACTGTTGCCTAGAGAATGCTAGCCGGGTCGTGGCCAAACGCAAAAGAGAACATGCCCTTGTTTCCACATGATGTTTCTGCAAAATTATAAAAGTATTTGCTACTTCAGAGCCTTTTTGGGCCATGAGACAAACTAATCATCTTTGCCTGATTTCTTTCAATGCGAAATACCTACGTATTTTGGGGATGGGAGGCGGGGAGCATTACACAAACCTCACCACTATTTGCGTCTTGGTCCGGCCGATTAGCACAACCACGCGCCGCAAACTCGCTAACGAATGGTTTGAAACAAAACAGGTCTGGGAGCTCTCGAGCTGCAAGTTGCAGACCGACCACATCGGCCACACCGGATACATCAACACCGTCACCATCTCCCCCGACGGCTCCCTCTGCGCCTCTGGTGGCAAGGACGGCACCACCATGCTCTGGGATCTTAACGAGTCCAAGCACCTGTACTCCCTCAACGCCAACGACGAGATCCACGCCCTCGTCTTCTCGCCCAACCGATACTGGCTGTGCGCCGCCACCGCCAGCAGCATCATCATCTTCGACCTCGAGAAGAAGTCCAAGGTCGACGAGCTCAAGCCCGAGTTCACCGCCGTCGGCAAGAAGAGCCGGGAGCCCGAATGTGTCTCCCTCGCTTGGTCTGCCGACGGCCAGACTCTGTTCGCCGGTTACACTGACAACATCATCCGTGCTTGGGGCGTCATGTCGAGGGCATAAATTTCTCGAGTCAAAAAAACAAAAGAGAGAAGGCTTTCGTCACAACTACCCCTCACCCGCTTTGTAACTAAAGAAATAGGTCTAAGAGAGAGCCAAGAACAAAAACGAGAAAAAAAATGCAAGAAATATTTCAGCAAACAAAATCACAGTGAACGTTTGCGCACGATATGAGATCGAGAGACACAAAAGGGCGCGCAAGACAAAACAGGGACACGTACGCTTTTGGGACGAGTTGAACGGCGGACAAGACCGGGAAGATGGGGATGGGGCATCATGGAGTGGAAAGAACAGTAGATCATGGGGGGGGGGCGTCATATGGCTGGCTTCATCCTCGCTTAGCTTTTCTTTTTCTTTTTTTTTCTTGTCTTCCCTCTCTTGTTTGATAGGTCAAGTGAAAGAAAGAAGATGCAAGTATCAGCGGGGAATAATAACACGGTGAATTCATCTGACGAGGCGTATGACGCATCACTTGCACGCTTGGTAGACAGCCTCTGAAGGCAGGGTGGACGTGGCACGTTGTGTTCTTTCGAGAGAAGTCGAATTTATTTCGCCTCCCCAACACTGGGCGATGGTTGGGCGTGAGGTGAAGAGGGGACAAGGGACAAGGAAACAAAAAGGGGGAAAAGAAAAGAGGGCGAGTTGTTATTGCTAAATCTAGTCTGTAAAAAGGTCTCCTTGCAGAAGGAGGAGAAGGAGAAGGAGAAGGAGGAGAAGGAGAAGGAGAAGGAGAAGGAGAAGGAGAAGGAGAAGAAGAAGAAGAAGAAGAAGAAGAAGAAGAAAAAGAAAAGCATTCTAGTGATAGGAGCCGGGTCTGTTGCTGCCCACTTGGCTTGTATCTCTCGTTGCGCAATTTCCTCAACTTGTGGTTTCCACCACGTCCCAAGCGGCTTTGCATATCAGTCATTACTCATGTCGCGTTGCCTCTTCAACTCGTGGTCTCCGCTTCCTCCCAAGCGCTTTGCCTCCAGATATGCACATGCAATACACGCTCGGTCTCTACATTTCCGTCGGACCATCGCTCAAGCCGTACGACACGCCCACTTGATCCCCCCGTATCGAAGGCAACAACCCAAAGAGTCAATTCTTGCCGACAGCATTCAAAAGGGGTTATTTTGCAAGACTCGTCGGCGAAGAAACGGTCTCGGCTCCAGTCGGCGCCTACATCGGCGCGGTGTCCCCGGGAGAATCTGCTTCGCGCATCTTCATGTCGAAATCCGGCTGGGTTAGTAGCATATTGACGTAGGGGGTTTCCGTTTGTCTGACGGCTGTTAACAGAACATTTTTTCGAAATTGCGGATCCTGCCAGATCGGGCCGGCTCGGCAAACATCATGCAATAGCTTTATGGCATCGTGTGCCAGGTACACGTCCTCGTTCAGCAGCATGTCTGCAGCGGTTGCTTCCATCTGTTCTACCGGGCCGTGCCTTAGCAGCTCTTGGATAATGCGTGGTTTGCGAGCATACCACAGCGGTTGACGGCCAAATTCGTCCTTGCCGAGTATGTCAATGCCGGGCTGTGATAGCAGAAACTTTACCATATCTCGGTGGTGCTTTCGGACGGCCTCAAACAGCACCGTATGTCCGAATGGGTCTCGGACGTTGACATCCACACGCTTCTCTCGTAAGAGCCTTTCGAAGAGCTGGGGGCAGTCGTGGGCAGCAGACAATAGTAACGTTTTCGAGTCTAAGTCACGATCCTCGATTAGCAGGTCTGCTACTCGAGCACGCTGCTTGATGGCACAAACTAGTGCCTCGTATTTTGAGTTTCCTGAGCAGCGTGGCAGTAGCAGCTTGACTATTTCCTCGTCATCTCTCCCAACGGCCAGAAGTAGCGGCGTTGGGATGTGCGAATCAGAACCATCGGAGTCTGTGTCGACATTAGATCGCGAATTAGAACCATTGGAGTCTGTGTCGTCATTAGATTGCGAATCAGAACTCTCGGAGTCTGTGTCGTCATTAGATTGCGAATCAGAACTCTCGGAGTCTGAGCTGACATCAAATTTCGATTCAGCATCGCGGGAGTCTGAGTCGACATCAGATTTCGAATGAGCATCAGCGGGGTCTGCGACGACATCAGGCTGCGAGAGAAGTAGCTCTACCACCGATGCAGAGCCATCCTCAATAGCCGCGAGTAGCGCCTTTTGCTTTGCCTCGGCTGGGGAGCCTGCTAGTAGCAGCTCAACTAGATCGCGGCGACCCATCTCAGCAGCCTGGATCAGTGGCTTTGAAAAGTAGTCGTGTTGGTCGCCGGCGTAAAGATCAGGATCTGCTAGCTGCTTTACCAGTTTTGCATTCCCAGCCGAAACGGCATGGGAAAGTGGCGAACGGCCCCAAGAATCTCTATGAGTTGCCATAGCATTAGCCCGGGATAGAAGAAACTCTACAGCTTCTTCATGCCCAGCATCGACCGCCCGTGTCAAGGCCGCATTCCTGTAACGTGCAACGTATTCCTCGACGCCAGGTTGCGATAGTATGCACTCCAAGAATTCTACATCTCCACGCGAGGCAGCAGATGCTAGCCGGCCTTCGATGCTACCTTCTTTGTCATCGGGGTCCCACGAAAGCAGGAATCCCAAGATTTGTGAATAGTTCTCCGTGGTGACATCCCCTTTTGGCGAATCGAGCCCCTGATCTTCGCCACTGCCGTTGCCTCGCTGCGCAGAAAGCAGGCGCGTGAAGAGTTTTCCTTGCCACCTCCGAGCAGCCCTGAATACATCGTCAGAGCTTATCTCAACGCCGGGATGGCGTAGCAAAAGCTCAACGACGTCAATTCCCCCCCGGTCAGCAGCAAATGACAATGGCGATCGATGCCATATGTCCCTGGTGCTTACAGAAGCTCCAGACCGCAAAAGGTGCTGGACGACTTGTGTATGCCCTTTGTCAACAGCATGCATCAACGGCGTCGTCTTTGTGTTGTCCTGTCCCAAGTCTGCAATGACTCCAGGCGCCGATAGCAAACGTTCGACGACTTTGCCATGTCCACGCTCGGCAGCGTACGACAGTGGCGTTCGAGCTGCCTTGTCTAGAGAGTTTACATCAACCCCAGCCTTGGATAGCAAACGTTCGACGACTTCGACGTGTCCCTGCTCAGCAGCGTATGATAGTGGTGTTAGACCTTGGTCGTCTTTGACGTCTGCATCGAAATCAGACCGCGATGCGAGCAGGTCGAAGATCTTCACATGCCCATACTGGGCAGCAAACGACAATAGCGTCCGATTGGTGCTGATTCGTCCGAGGTCCATCCCGTCGCGAGGCGGCGATAGCAAAAACTCGACGACTTCCGAGTGCTCATTGGCAAGTTGCGTGAGTGGTGCGTCGTAATCCGCCAACTTCGTTGCGTCATAGGACAGCAGTCGTCTCCAAACCTCGTCGCTGTTCATGGCCGCACACAGCGGCTGTGCCTCAGCGCATGTGTTGATTAACAAACTAATGTCTCTCCGAACGAGCAGCGCGCGAGCAAGTCCTAGTTGCTTTTCTTGGACGGCATATTTCAACGGACATAAGCCTTGGAGACAAGGGCATTTAGTGTTCACGTAGACGCGCTGGTCTTGTAGCAATGCCATGATTGCCGCTTCATTCCTCCGTGATATCGCATGAGATAAGAGATTGTCTTTGCATTTTTTCGCTCTCCGGATCCACAGGTTGACATGGTCACTCCGCGCGAGGAGTGCCCTGAACAGGCTGCGATGGGACCCGGCTTCCAACGGGTCCCCCTCGTCAGGCTCCAGAAGCAAATGTAGGATCGTTAAGCCTTCACGGGTTCTCTTTGAAATGCTGTTCGGCAGGACTACCGCTGCAAGGAATGGCTGCCATCGTAGGAGAGACAACAAGGCCCGGGGTTCTACCTTCTGAACAATCTCCTCCAAGTCCTCACGACGAGCGTCTGACGACGTCGAAGACCTCGACGAAGACATCGACGAAGACATCGACGACATGATGGGAGCTTCCTGGCAGAAATGAATGTCACCAAGATTCAGCGTTGAAGAGACTGCGATGATGTATCAGCGTGCTGCAGCAACATTGTATGACGGGGCGAGATGCCAGTGCTTACTCGATCGCGACGAGCACGTCCTGCTGGAGACGGTAGTTTGTCTTCACGACCAGTCGGTGGGGTGGTGAGGAAGACTGGTGGTGGTTTGAAGTCAGCTCCGAGGCAGAAGACCTCGGGACTACTTATGATTGTTGCTGTCGAGTCCCGTCCTCACGCCCGTTCTGCGTTTGCCTTGGTTGCCAATACATTCGAACCACACACGCAGCCTTTGGACTTGCAACAAACCACATGAGCGTGGGATGTGACCGAGGAGCCGCATGACAGCTTCTTGTCCCTCACCTGTATGGCCTCGTTCGCCTCCATGGCCAACATGACTTCAGTCGAGCTATGCAAATAGCCTGCAGACAGACAGGAAACGGACATGAAAAGCATGGGGATGTGACCGAAGAGCCGCGTGCCAACTTCTTCTTCATAACCTGTATGGCCTCATTTGCCTCTCGTCGCCAACACAACTTCAGTTGCATCATACATATAGCCTTTAGACACGCAGCAAACAGACATTGAAGCATGGGACTATGACTGAAGAGCTGAATAACAACTTCTTTATTCATTACCTGATGGCCTTGTTCGCCTTTGTCGTCAACACAACTTCGGTTGGACCACACATACAGCCTTTAGAAACGCAGGAAACAGACATGAGACCATGGGAAAGTCGCCCAAGAGCTGAGTGACAATTTGTTTATTCATCACCTGCATGGCCCTGCATAGCCATCATGCGGTTCGCTTGGGCACTCATGATGAATATGCTGAATACAATCGTAGTAGCTTTTGGCCCTAATCTATGCTCTGCATCTATCATCTCGGGGCAAGGAACTTGTCGCTGGCAACATCATGTTGACTCTGGTTGAACAACTTCCGGTCGTAGGCAGTGAAGCGGGTCGCCTTCTGGTCTTGGCGCTCACATGAACGGTGGCAATGAGAATGGGTAGCTTGAGTTCTTGACACGAAAGACGCTGAGCAGGAAGCCGTAGATGAAGAACATGGCGCCGCCCCAGACCAGCACAAGAACAGACTGCGACTTGGGGCTGGTCATGCGTGGGACCTTGGTTGCAAGCGCAATGGTGCAGAAGCTCAGGACACCGTCTGCGGAAGAAATCGTCAGCACATGGTCCCACCCCGACTTTTGGAGACATCTGCAGTTAGAACTTACAAATTGCGGCAACAATCTGAACTTCAAGCCCGAGTTGGTTTTGGAATCCACCAGTAAAGTAGGTGATGCCTCCTTTGCCGTCTCCCGTCACATAAGGGACCTTTCGAATGTGATTAAACATGTGACCGCTAATAAAGAGGAGAATAGCAATCATGCTGCCTGCGGCCCAGAGATTCCGGTTCTGCAAAATGGGCAGAATGTATGGTGACGCGGAGACCATGGCAGTGACGGCGCCGGCAACAAAAGTGAAGAGGGATGCCCACTTCAACCAGTTGATGGGGCGCTTGATCTCGGGATGAGGGCGGCCAGAAAGATGGCGGACCAGCCAGTTTCGAACGTGCTCGGCGGTGGGAGATCTGCAATATTGATTTATTAGCCTGTCCTAGAAGCGTTTCACCCCATTGGCGTCGTTTCTCACCCAGTGGTAAAGTCGTATCGCAAAGGCTCAACCGAGGCGACGGCGTGGGGTCCTGTTGTTGGAGGGAAGAACATCAAGACGGGAGCTGTTTGAAGACCAAGCTGTGCAAACACCCTGTTAGCATCGTGTACCAAGATTTCCAATCGGCCGTCGCCCATACCGATAAAAAGGTATCTCTGCCCTCAGAAAAATCCAAGACACCAAAGAACAGCCGAGACTCTTGTCGTTTATCACCACGAGCCCAGCTCTGGGCAACCAAATCCCACTCTGGTTTGAAGTCCCGGCAAAGCTGGCATCCGAATCGAGAATCCTGCGCCGTAAAGATAACTGCGACGGAATAGTCGCGTGGAGCGCTTGTCAATGACTTGTACGAAACATCGTTGAGTTGGAGAGGAGTCGAGACGCGAGCGAGACGGCTGAACTTGATGAATCTCTCCTCGGAAGATTGCTGCGCGGCAAAGACACCAGCGGCTAACGCGCTAGCTGAAGCTATAAGAGAAAGGACGCGCATCGTGAACAATAGAAAAAATGTCGTTGTTGCCAATTGCCTTGGTTATAGAACGATGATGATTGGGGAGGGAGTGAGAACTCATAGAGCTCTGTGAAACATCGAACTTGAAAGATGAGGTGGCCTCACGGTGCGCGCACACAGAGGTAAATAGTGGCTTGGCCAGAGGTTCAGCCACATGAGCGCCACACATCTGCGCGTTGAGGGTCCCTGGGCTTAGTCAGCCAGCAATGCCTGCTGAGACATCGACTGAACAACGGCTCCACGGTTACGCTAAGCCCAAAGCAGCAAGATGTTTACTCTTCCACGACGGGATTGCCCAAGCAAAACACGGACCACCAACAAGTTGTCAAGGTCGCTGACAGCTGGCTTCGCCACCCACCGCGACTCTTGATATATGAAGGCAGACGGCTGTACCTGGAATATCTGAATCGAACCCATCTGACCGAGGCTGCGTTGGAACTGCATCAACTGGCACCCATTCTCGCGTGCAACCCTTCAATTCCCGGGTTCCTCGCTCGGCCGGTCTGGCGTGTCTGAGAGACCTCGCAAGATAGCAATCATGGGCGACAACTTGGATGAGGTATGGTATTTTACCAGCAACTTTTTTTTGTCTCGCTTGGGTGATTGAGATTGCCAATGCTAACTTGTTCAAGCGCATGGCCCGCATTCATGAACTTGAATTGCTCAGGCAAGATGCTCTGCACAAGACTGAATCCATCACTCGCGACGAAGAAGCTCGACTGTTACAATTACGATTATTAACAATGAGAGATGAGAACGCCAGTCTGCGCGACAAAATCGGCCAGAAGGACTTCAAGATCAGCTCACTTACCAGAGACTCTGATCAAACTAAGCTCGACTTGGATGACAGTAGACAGAGAATCCGTGCGCAAGAGGCACGACTGAAGAAGCAAGACGTTGATATGGCCAGCCTCAAGGTATGGCGAGACGACGATGGCTCCGGAATCCAAGTCACACTGACATTCTTCAGGCTGAGATTGAAGCATTGAACGGCACAATGCAGGATTCTGGGAAGGCAATGCAAGAGAAGTTCGCATTGGCGAGGGAACTGAACCGAATCAAGCCAGAGCTGGAGCATTTGCAGTCACAAGTTACCAGCTTCCAGGCAATGGTGGCCGAGAGAAACGATCTTCGTCGACAACTAGACTCTCTCGAGGTGGAGCTGGAGAATGAAAAGCGGTCAAGATTGCGGCTGCAATCCAAGGATGACGACACAGCAACGGCAGAGCTTAAGTTGCGGCTGGAAAAGGTCGAACAAAAGCTCGTTGCAGAAAGAAGGGAGCGTGAGAAGATCAAGAAGGAACACGAACGAGAGTTGGCCTCGGCAAATGCCGAAAACGAAAGACTGGAACAGCGCATCTCTAGCCTCAAGGAGAAGTCCAAGACGTTACAATCCGAGCTCAAGGGAGTAAAGGAGCAGCTGGAGGACGCGCAGTCCGAGTTGATCAGTGACAAGACACGTCATCCCCCTTGCGGTGGAGAGGAGAAGCCAAGGAAGGCTGTCGCGTCAACAGACGACCTTGGCAAGAAACGTCGAGCCCCAGCAGAGATGGACTTTGAGTCAATTACGATTCAAACACCAGGCAATGATATTGTCGCGCGCGAGAGGCCAACGAGGAAACGCGGCGCAGAAAAGTCTACCGTTGGCGAGAAGTCGGCCTTCTCGGTCACGCCGTTCTTGAATCGAAACAAGTCACTCACAGACGATCCTGGCCAGGAGTCATCCAACAATGTATCTGCAGACGCTGATCCAGATCCTACGTCAGATGAGCCAGCCGACCAAGGGCCACCATCAGAGTCAGAGGGCGAGCAGGAGCCCGCTCCCAAGCCCAAAGTCTCATTTAAATCGGCTGTCTCGTTCAAATCCCCCGGCAAACCCGCAAAGCCCCGTGGGAGACGACCAAAGGCAACATCAGTGCCTCTCGGCGATTCCACTCCCGCAAAGACAAATCGCGTTATGAGGTCCCGTGGAACGCCCAAGGTGAAGTCACTACCAGACATTTCTGCCGAAAAGACTGCCGACCATCCAACTACCACAGACCAGGAAAACGTTCCTATCGCCGCCTCTAAGAAGACGTCCTCCGTTTTGCAGTCTAAGGCACCGGAAGGGGAGGCCAAGAAGAAGAAGCGAAAGTTACTTGGTGCCGCAAATACGACGTTGTTTGACGATGATGACGGCGAAGCGGTTGTCAAGCCCAAGCCTCAACCTGCCACTGGCAGGAGGACGCGAGCCGTCCTCGGGGGCGGCGTCAGGAATGCGTTTACCGCAGGTACTTCGTTTTCACCTTTGAAGAGGGATCGCAGAGGTGTGAATGCTAGTTTCTTGGCTTGAGTGTAACCTGATGGCCATGATGACTGGATGATACAAGAGCGAGCTTGGAGTGATTGGTTATATATATTGGGTTTGCATTAAGTGGTGTTAATTTGGGTTTCAAGGGTTTGTGAACATGGATTTGAGTTTCAGTAGGCGTATTGTAGCATTATTGAGCAGTCATTTGTTTGAATCGTCATGTTCAACCCCTCATATTGCTTGGGTATATTTGATTGTTGTATTGACGATTGTGATTATATGTTGTTTAGGGTAGTGACTTTGGAGTTTGCGCAGTTGGACCGACCCACTTTAATTGTTTATTTGAAATCCATGAGTTCACCACCTGGAGACGAATGTTCAACCTCACGCCATCAAAGGTTGCATACGATGAGCTGAACCCGGAATACGGGGAGCTGAAAGCCGGGCAGCACTTCCAGTCGTCTCACAATGACCACTCGACTACTCCTCCGAATACAAAGTCCTCTCTGCTCTTACTCGTGCAGAGGCTCACACCTTGTCGCACCTACATTCACTGCAAAGGCTGACATCCGATGGTCATCATCCAACTCGCGGTGGAAGCAGCGCCGAGCAAAGGACACGTTTTCGAGAGAAGCAAAAGTGCAGGGCTTAAAGAGCAGAGCTGCCTTTAAGCTCCTCGAGGTACTGTTTCCCCTTTACCCTTTCGCCAGCAAGGGCATACCTAATGAGTTGTAGATGGATTCGAAGTATCGATTTTTCAGGCCTGGACAGACTGTTGTCGACTTGGTATGGCGGGCTCACTTCGCCATGCCCACCTCTGCTATGTAACTGACGGGGAGCAGGGATACGCGCCGGGGAGCTGGTCACAAGTATGACACGACCCCGCCCTTTCTTCTCGTGACTGAAGACACGTTCTGAGGACGGGACGGTCGTGTTGATTGGTAACGCAGGTCGCTCAGGAGCGGACCAGGCCGCATGGCAGCGTTGTCGGGATAGACCTCATACCTGCGCAGCCGCCGCGCGGGGTGGCCACCTTCCAGGGGGACTTCTTGTCGCCGGGTGTGCAGAGGCTTGTGAAGGAGTTCATCGCCCGGATGGGGAGACCTGCCGAGAGGGGCCAGGGGGAAGGGGAGGCGATCAGCTACATTGATCGCGAGAGACGGGCTTCCGAGGAGCGGGAGGGCAATGGGACGTCGGCGCTGGTGGATGTGAGTCTTTGGCGAGGCGGGCCTGTGCCCTGTTGCGATGCGATGCGATGCTGACTGTGCTTTTTTGTCGTGTCTCATAGGTGGTTTTGAGTGACATGTCAGCACCCTGGGATCGAAGCTCCGGCTATATGGCCAACACGTTGACCAACCCGTATCGCAGGCTGATGAACACGAGTGGCGTTGCGTTTCGAGACCACGCGGGCAGCATGGTATGGGCCTGCTTTTGAGTCCTGCGTTGCCGACTATGATTTCTGTTTCCCCTCTTTTCTTTCTTTTGCAGCGGCCGTCGGTTTTTTTGCCGTCATTCTGGCTTCGACGTGGAGGAGCTGACAGGAATAGGATCTATGTGCGGCCGCGCTCCAGTTCGCAAGCGATACTCTTAGGCCGGGTGGGCATTTCGTGTGCAAGTTTTACCAGGGCGGCGAGGATAAGAAGTTCGAGGCGAGGTTGACTAGGATGTTTGCAAAGGTGTTCAGGGAGAAGCCTGAGTCTTCTAGAAGCGTGAGTTTTCTTTGTCCGTGGACCATGCATGGCCTGCTGCTTTTCGTTTTGGGTGGGTGTGTTGACGGGCGCTGATGTTTTGCAGGAGAGCAAGGAGGCTTATTTTGTTGCGTTGAGGCGGAGGGCGGGTGTCGTCGTTGACTTTCAAGACGCTGTATAACATGTGTATGATAGCTGGTGTGGCAGTGTAAAAAATGGACTGTATATAGGGGCATCGGTCGTGTATCGATATTGACCGGACTGTGTCACGCTTCACAAGGGGAACAGAGCATATGAAGCATTTTATACCATATCACGGCGACAGAAAGGGAAAAGACACTAATCGAGATGCATCGTGCGCAAATTCATATATTTTGTCGTGAGATACCGAGCCGCGCTTGTTCCATGCAAAGACCCATTTACCAAGCCTAACCGGGGTCGAATCCCTTTCGCCTTCGCCGCCGCATGCCTCCCCCGGTGCAGACCACAGGATATTGTCACCTTCGCTCCGTCTACCTAGCCGCTTTAAACCTTGAAGCCGCGAGAGCGTCTTCGGCCACGAGCACGCTCGAACTTGCGGCCCTTGGAGACGACGTGGGGCTTCTGTAAGGGGAGTCAGTCACTGTTTTTTTTACACTGGCAATTTGGACCACAGGTAACGGTAACGAATGTCCCGTGGCAGTCGCAAAAGAAACGAAAACCAGGTATACACAGAATCGAAGGACCCAAAAAAAAACTGACCTTGTGCTTGTGAGGACCCATGCCAAAGTGCTTGACAGCCTCGCGAGAGTTCTTGGGTCCACGCAGGATGAGAGTGTTGCTGCCTGTGGGAGCACGAAGAGCAAGCTGATCCAGGGTGATGGCCTCACCGCCGGCCTTGAGGATGCGGGCGCGAGCGGTGGCGGTGAATCGCAGAGCAGCGACAGTGACCTTGGGGAAGGTCAGAAGGCGGTTGTCGTCGGTGACGGTGCCGACAACGACGACGGTGCGCTTCTCCCCCTCCTTGTTGATGTTGCCGACGATGCGGGACAGCGAGACGGGGGGCCGGTTGATCTTGGACATGAAGAGGCGTCGGAGAACGACCTTGTTGAAGCTGGCATCCGTGCGGCCTGCAAAAAAAACAAAAGAATTGTCAGATGTGTTCCCTGCGATCTGGAGGAAGTCGACTTTCTTGATGGACCATGGAAGGGATACTCACGTGCAAGAAAGCGGTAGAGCTTCACCAAGAGCTTGAGGTAGACATTGTCGCTCTTGGGGTTCTCGCGATGAGTGCCCTTGACGTGGTGGCGGTTAAGATCGATACCTGAAGGTGACAAAAGTGTTCCATCGTCAGCCGTGTTTTCTAAGCATGCTCTGAAAAGAAAGCCGTCTTCTCCCGGCCGGCAAGAAAACTTCCAAATCGTCTTTTTCTCTTCTCCGTCAGTCCATTGCGCACCCAGTATCGGGAGGACGCAGCAGACAGAGATGATTTGACGATATTGTGGTGGAAATCCTCTCGACCGGGAGGCGCTTTCGACCGCAAGAAGAGGCACGTAGTCAAATTTCCGGCAGTCCTTTGCTTTAGCAAGTCAAAGGGTGCAATTGACGCGGTGACCTCTCTCACTCGCATACGCGGGCTAATCGAATGGTTTTCTGTTCACGTACCCATGGCGGCGGTGGTCGTTGGTGTTCAGTTGGCGATGGGGATCTTCGATGGGAGTGTTCAGCGGGCGGGATGACCGTGAGGTATTTCGAAAACAAAATTTCAGGGCTTCGGGGTGGTGCGGGACTGTGATTGGCCGAGGAAATGCCAGGTGGTTGGCGGTGAGCACAGGCAGTTAGGGCTTGCGGCGAGCTCTTGGAAACTAGTTAGTTTCGAGTCGCGTGGAGCCATCCAGATTACGTATTATGCCGGGTCAGCTTGACGAGTTTTTCCACACATAAACCCAGAGGTTGGGACGGAAAAATGAACGCCAATTCTCCCCATTGTCTTTGAGCATCACCTGAACACACATCGTCTTCACGACCAGTATTAGAGTCATAATATGAGCAAGTTGCTCGTCTATTCCAGGCTCCGTCTATCCATGCCAGATTCCGCCCGTACTCGCGTAAAGCCCCTCATCACGCTTTCCCTTACGGGCCTTCGGTCTAGATATCTAGATCGATTCTGAGTCTGATTTTTTTTCTCTTCAGTGGCAAACAGCCTTCTTTATCCCTCGTGATGTTCCATCCATGATCCCATAGATTTTCTTTCTATTGTGAAATATCCGCCCAAACAAAATGCTAGCTTATCAAAAAGGGGTGTTGAATGAAAAAGACAATGGACTGAACAAAATGAACAACCAAAATGATAAAATTTTAGATAATGTAGGGGCCAAGCCAACGTGAGATAATTGAAGTAGAAAGAAAGGATATATGCATGAGACGACACCAATGAAAATGCAGTGGTTTTGTTTCCGTTCTCGCAGGAATTTATACATGCTTTATTACAAGGCCGCCGGGCTCACTTCCGGCTTTAAGCCGGTCAGGAAGTCGCGCGTCATTTCGAAGCTCAGCCAGCTTGACGCCATGCTGGGAGCAACCTTGAGCAAGTTGGGCACGATGCCTTTGTAGAGGCCGCGGAGGCCTTCTTGGCCAACAATGACGCGGATGGCGTCAAGTACGCCCTTGTATTGGTATCCCATGCCGGACATGGTGTTGATCTGGAAGCGTCTTCGGAGTACGTCACTAGTTAGGTCAGCAAACGCACTGTCACTTACAACACAGTATTTTAGTTAGACATACAACGGATAGGTGAATGTTTGAGCAACAGCTCCGGATATGGCACCTGCCAACAATTTTCTTGATGCGCTGGGGTTCTGCTCGCCATCGTACGTCAAGTATTTTCTGACAGATTCATAGACCATAAAGTTTAGGCCGACCTACAGGCGCCTGGTTAGTGCTCTGCGAGTGACGAGTTTCAGGAATTAGTGCGAGGACATACATATGGGGCAACACCAGTAACAGTCGGGACGATACCACGATACAATGCTGCTATACCGCCCTCGGTCCTATACATCTGAACCATGGTGGCCCACATGCCGGGCATATGTGCAGGTTTTGATCCCAACTCGGCGAAGCTGGCCGTCTGAATAGACAGTCTCGTTCGAACGATGTCGAGTGGGTATGTGAAAAAGACGGAGGTAATGCCGGCGATACCACCACATATCAGCCGGGTAAAGGGAGCAAGCTCCTGTCCTGGATATGATTCGAAGATATTCTGCCGCCCAAAACATGTTAGTTTCCGAGGACTCTGTCCGTTTATCTCCTCCTGCCGCCATTATGATTGCTTACCCGTTTATAAAAATTATAACTGCTAAACTGAACAGCAGAATAGGGCACAATACGAATGCAATTCGTTCCGTTCCCGCGCATGAACCCCCTCCATCCTTCCTCCTTCCACATCTTACCCAAAGCCTGCCCAACAGACAGTTTGTAGGCATCCCGCCCTGCACTTTGGACCTGCAACAGGATTTTCAACCGTTCAAGCGGTGAGACCACTGTTCTCGAAACGGCACCAGCAATACCACCCGCGCAAAATGCCGCGAGAACAGGCTGTGAGATCTTCTCCCTGAATCCAATAAATCGATCAGGAGCTGGCACGGCCTCAGGTCGGGCAAGACTGGTATCGGACGGCTGCATCTGAGCGTTGTGCGGAGTCGACGATGGTGATTGCAACTGAGATCCCTTTACCACAGACATTGTGTGACACAGGCGATGGTCAAGGAGTTGCCCTTGGGAAGAAAATCGAAAGCGGCTGCAAAATCGAGTTCTTGTCAAACCCAATTGGGCATCACACACCCTTCCCCAAATCACTGAGCCTGAGTCCCCGTGCCACCGGGCAAGCTTGCATCGACTGCGATCGAAGAGCCGGGGGACGCTTCCGAGGCGATGTGTTTCAGTCGGTCAAGAGGCTAGATGTGTCACGTTTCGGCGAGAGCGAGGACGGAGCCTGAAGAGTTGATCGCTGCGAGAAGGACGCGAAATAGCAACAGAAAACGGATCGCTATGGTCTTGAAGTTGAGAGCATCGAGGATATCCCACGGATTCCAGGAGCACAAGTCGTTGGAGGGTTTTTTCGTCGCGGTAGAGTGGAGAGTGCCAGAAGCGGGTATCGTCGAGTGTGTTGGTTCTCGTGGGCGGTGGGCAAGGGGTCGGCTACTTTTGATTCCGCGGACGAGGCAGGCAGCAATGCGCCGATGCTGCGACGCTGGTGACGATGATATATCCAGGTGGAAGGCTCTGTACAATAGGGTGTGAAGCAATCGTGTTTGGGGGCAAAAATGTTGCCGAAGAATACTGAGGCAATCGGCAGGAGAAAGAATGGGAAGAGACGCCCAAGTCCGAGAAAGCGAGAGCACTCGACGGAGGCTAGACGGAGGCTAGACGAAGGCCAGGAAGGAGGCTGAGGGCGGCGTGAGCACTGGGCTGGGCAGATGACAGTGCCGGACCTCCAGCGGTTAGACAATGCTGCGTGCGGCCGTGGGCTATTTTAGTGGACATGGAGGAGCCAGCAGGGCCCTGTGATGGCGGCAGCTCAGCAACAAGTCCCCTCCAGACTGCACTGGGCTTGTCCAGGTGCCGCTGAAAGTGGATCCCGGTCAAATGAGCCAGTTGACCACTCCGTGTCAGCATTGTATAACATGGAAACCACTTGACGCCATCCCTCCAAATGCACCTCGCGTGTCTGGGCTTCCCAAACGGCATTGTTTACTAGTACGGAGTAACTTATTATGAGACAATCGCTCTCCAAAGGCGGGGGGGGGGGGGTCGAACAAGGACCCCGTCGATTTGAAAGAACAGTGCTACGTTAAGCTTTGGGAGCGATCCACAGGGCTGGCACAATGGGCGCGGCGCCCAGACCAGTCAAATCTAGCAAATCAAGACTAGAGACTGAGAGCACCTGTGTCAGGCTTGGGCACTCTCTGAAGCCGTCGATGGAAATGGCTTACAGGGCCACCAACCTTTGTCTCGCGCCGGCACCGCCATTTCGGCCAGTACGGGACACGCAGTTGTTTATCACGGGAATCTTCAAGTGAGCAAGCCCCACGGCCCGGTCTGGATGTCCGTAGCATTTGATATGGGCAAGTAGCGCTGTTTCAGGTGCGCGCCTGTGAGCGATTGATGAGACGTCATCCTACGGCGTCGGCGTATGAACAGAAAGCATCTTCGCGGCTGCCACACTGGATTGTGCACGGAAACTCCAACGGACTACAATACAATCAAGGAGCTGGAAAAGGAGACGCCCCCTCATATACGCCGTTCGGATCCGTCACACTTTAGATATCGCAGTCTGGTCAATTAAATTCATTGTCCGGTATAAACCCACCCGTACAAACCATTTTCTAACTAGCTTGAGATGCGCCTACGAGCATCGATCTTGCTCTTACACTATTTAGTTGAACAAGCATCTCGTGGGAGGCATTACCAAGATGCCACTGCACCAACAAACTTCTACGACGCTGTATTTCCATCTCGATCGACCGACTGGTAACTAGAACAATATCGGACCATAAGTGAGGAAAAACGGGAGAAAGAACAACAATCGTGTCGCAGTGCCAAGGCAACACGAGGATACCATCAAAATACCCGGCGATAAAAAGACCCAAAACTGAGGTTAGACAGACTGTTACTAAGCTGCTTCTGTTTACTCCTCCACATCGACATCATCGTCGCGAGCGGTAGGAGGGCTGTCATCGCCTACGTTGCATTAGCTAATCGTCAATTAGCCCCAGGGCGATCCATCATCGCTTGTGCTTACCCTTTCTGTCATCGCCGTTAGTCCCGTTTTCACGGCGGTCACGGTCGTCACGGTCGTCCTTGGCATCGCGATCACGATCGCTGGAAGAAAGAATTAGCCAGTTGAGCTTAATGTCTCAACAGACGTACTTGACGCTTACCGAGTATCAGGGCTTCGAGAACGGTCGCGATCCCGACGGCTGTCGCGGTCATAGTCACGGTCACGGTCACGGTCACGGTCACGGCGGTCATCCTTGCGAGGAGAGTAGTCTCGTGTGCTGCGTCGAGGAGACCGAGATCGTCCACGACAAGGAGAACGGCCGCCGCCACTGCCACTACCGCTACCACCAGGACGACGGTCACGGTCACGACCAGACTCGAATCGCCATGATGCTGAAGGAGGAGTTCTCGCCCACTACGCCGTGTTAGGACTTGATATAAGGCGATGACCATGGAAAACATACCTCAATCTTCAGGGTAGCGTCGCGAGTGATACGCTTGTTATGCATCTCATAGTAAGCATCATCAGCGTCCCGCCGGTCCTCGTACTCGACGAAGGCGAAGCTGGCGCAAAAGGTTAGCATGTGTACGGCGTATTCGGAAAAAAATAAAATAAAAACAAACGTCAAACTTACAGCCGACTAGAAGAAGACCTTGGAGCTGGAATGTCGCAACGGACTAGACGTCCATAGCTATAGTAACATCATGTCAGTACTTTCTTTTAGTAGAAAAACGTACGTGTATACACTCCGGCTGATGAATTTCGATATCGACGTTTGGCCGCCGAGGGCTGATATCAGAAAACGTATCACTTGCACGCGCCGAGGTGCAGGCTAAAAATCGACCCGAACGAAGAGCGCTTGTCGAGGCGAGCTAGCATACCGACGACCGACGTGAAGGAGGTGGGAGGGAGCATGGGGAGGGACAATCAGGGCGGGTAGGCGGCTGCGACGAAGACGAAGGCACGACGAGACGACGGGGGCTGATCTGGAGCGACACCGAGCCTAGGTAGGAGGACAAGATGCCGGGAGGATCTATCTCTCGTCGGCGAGACAGGACGGGGTGGTGGGCGGAGAGGCGAGGCGCGGAGGACGGCAACGAAGGCGAAGAGCGTGAGCGTGAGCGTAGTTGACATACCGTTCGAACTCGTAGGCAAGATCGCGAGCGCGGGTGCCGTGGGTGAAGCCGGTAACGTAGAGGGTGTTGCCGCCGCGAGACATGATTGCGGTGTGCTGCGGCTGAGGCGGTAAGAGAATTGGACTACAGAGCTAGAGGTAGAATGGCAGGTCTGACGGAACAGCTCTTGACAACAACGACTGGATAGGAAGCAGCTGATGATAATTAACCGCTGATGAGGCTGGCAGGTTATGAGGTTCAGCCGTGGTTGGCGGAGTTGTGAAGCCAAGCATCTGTATGGACTAGACTGGCTGTAAAGTTTTGTCTGCTGACATAAGCATCGAGGCGAGCGAAAAGTGGAGAGGTTCGCCTGACTGGTTGCCAAGCCTTCCAAGCCGTCACGTTGATGTCATTGTCGAGAGCGTCACAGGGGGTGGGAGGTGACTTTGGCAGTCAAGACTGAAGAGCGATGCATCTAGGTACAGCGTCGCAAATTAAGTGATTGTATTGTTTAGTTATGTTCTTGCGCAAATGCAGAAACCACTTTACTGTACTCCGTACATGGTCTGCCAGTGCTTCCAGCGTTTGCGAGTAACAGCCACAGCTCCAATCCGCAAGTGATCCACAGAAACGTTGAAGGATTGTACTTGCCAGCAATGTCTAACCTTAACAGCAGCAACATTGAATCATGATTTACAGAGACTCAGCCAAGGGATTACGGACTTGTAATAAGTCCGACGGACACGAACAAGGTATCCGCGACCGTGGATTTTATTCACAGGGATTGTGAATGATCGGGCATAGATGCCAGCTTCCGGGTCGTACGAAGCTTATTTATCAGTTGACGTTGCCGTCATGCCAACTTTGGCTACTTTGGTTCCGTCAACTTGTCCAGCTCACGGATTGCTCGGATCCCAGGCTCCAGTTCGGACACCAGAATGCCACAACCTCCGACGGCCGCCTAGACCGCGAGACGCTAAATTATCATCATTTGAGAAGAGTGCCTGCGTTTCCCATCAGCACATCCCGCACCTTCCGCAACAGGCTGTTGCTGACTGACATTTGACGGCAATGTCATGCAAGACATAAGCCAAGCCCTAACTGGCGACATTGAGATCGGAATAGATGGCAGGCACGACCTGCAGTCCAAGCTGCAATATCATCACGCACGTAAACGTGAAACTACACCCTTTTCGGATTCCCTTTCTCCCAATGTTTTCGCTTGTACTGGCTGCAGAGTCGAGCTTTGCATAGCCACTTGTCTTCAATCATCTCTTCCACTTTCCCAGTACCTTTTGACGACAAGATCAATATGAATAGGATTGGAGCTATGCACAGCACCTTGACGAGGACTCTAGATGAGCGGCCTCCCAGCAATCCGCCAAATCGGCATGTGGATGGTGTCAACGGCAGTCTCTCGCATCACAGTGCTCGTCAGACACAGCCAAGATCTCTCGGCGAAGCTTTGCGCGAGGCAGGAATGTCGCTGGAAAGCCCCGGGCCCACGTCTGAAACCCCCAGTGAAGAAGATTACGATGAAAATGTTCGCCCAGCATATGCCCTCGGGGGACGGGACTATCAGCATCAGCATCCGCAACATGACCATGGTCATCAACAACAACAAGGACGACAACTTTTGCAGAGGAGAAAGGCGAAGAAGCGCATGAGCGAAACAGAGTTACTCTCTGCAAAAGTTGACTCCAACATAGTCCGCGATGACTTCGGCGGAGTACGAATATATCCTGGAGACGACCAGGCTCTCCAAGAGCTGCTTCGACGGACTTCGGAGTCCGCAAAATACCCAGACAAGGCAGCTAAACAGAAGCGCAAGTTTCGTGACCATTTTTTCACCCACCAATTTTCGGCCTTTGATCCGCACAACTCGGCCGCGGCAAACAGTCCGTTCCACGGCTTTTATACTCTCTTTTGGCTGGCTGTGGCCCTGTTTGTTCTCAAGATTTCCGTGAACAACTGGAGAGCGCATGGCACTCCGTTGGGGTCGAATGAGATCATGAAGACCATGTTTCATCGGGATGGTAGGCAAACGAGTAAACCGTTTCAACTTCGTGTTTATGCTAAGTAGGCTTTGCAAATAGTACTCGTGCTCTTGCTCTCAGACGGAGTCATGTGCGGGCTTACTGGTGTAAGCTGGCTCATCCAAAAATTGGTATTCCACCGCGTCGTCGATTGGGATCGAAGTGGATGGATAGTTCAAAACGTAGGGATTTGCAGACATGAAGCCTTCCATTGTACTCAACTAACAGAAGCCACAGATCTGGCAAACGCACTTTATTACTGGCATCATTGCTTGGACCCATGTCCGCGACTGGCCGTGGACTCATACTGTCTTTTTCGTGCTACATGGTATTATCATGCTTATGAAGCAGCATTCTTATGCCTTTTACAACGGACACCTCTCGACAGTGTACCTACAACGCCTATTTCTTCTTTTCAAGTTGAAGCAGCTGGAGCTTGTCCACCCATCTAAGGAATCGTCATCTGCTGTGCCGCCGGTCTCTAGCTTATCAATCGACCATCTCCGAGCTCCTCCAACTGCCGTGGAACGCCGTCACTCCCTCTCACAAGTACCCAAATCGAAGGAGACCGACATTGACAAAATCGCAAAGGCAATTGCATCACGCGAGCCTTTGAACGACGAGCAAATTGCAGCATTCGAACAAATCATCAAGTGGGAAGTAGATGCGTTGGCCGACGAACTCAGAGGAACATTCAGAGGAACATCTAGTGATCCCAACATGGCATATCCGAACAACTTGACATTTCGGGGTCACTACGAATGGATACCCTTACCAACGCTGGTATATGAACTGGAGTATCCACGATCTCAAGATGTTAGTTGGAAGTATGTCGTAGAAAAGCTGGTCGCCATGGTGGGGGTGCTTTTTGTGATGAACCAGGTTGCACAGTACTCCATATGTAAAGGCTCCCAAACTGTCTTGCTACCATTGAAGAACTAACTTCTGTGCAGACCCCGTGGTCATGAAGACGGTCCAGATGAAGGAGAGTGGACTTCCGCTCGCCACTCGATTTCAAGAATTTCCGCTGCTTTTGCTTGATCTCATTTTCCCATTTATGATGGAGTATCTGGTGCGTTCAGCTCCCACGCAATATCCTATTGCACATTCACCTGCAACTTCCTTGTTCGCGACTAAACCCTGACAGCTCGTCTGGTATCTCATTTGGGAAACTATTCTGAACATCCTTGCCGAACTCACGCATTTTGCTGATCGCAGTTTCTACGACGCCTGGTGGAACAGTGGTATGTTTGCACATCTATACATGCTTCACACGAACGCATCATCTTGTCCTGGGTCGAAAGAGTGTTACCCAGCTAACGGGTGCAGTATCCTGGGACCAATTCGCACGAGACTGGAACCGTCCCGTACACGTCTTTCTCCTCCGCCACGTGTATCACTCGTCTATCTCGTCCATGAAGATTGACAAACATACTGCTACGCTGATAACCTTTTTTTTGTCCGCATGTATCCATGAGCTAGTCATGTGGTGTTTGTTTAATAAACTGAGGGGTTACTTGCTCGATTTGCAAATGTGTCAGCTACCGGTACGTATGGGCATGTCTGTTTGTCCTTCAGTACAAAGCTAACACAAGGCCACAGCTGGTCCGATTAAGCCGCACAAAATGGCTCAAAGGTCAGAAAACGCTGGGTAACCTATTTTTCTGGCTGGGCATATTCACAGGTCCAAGTCTGCTGTGCAGCTTGTATTTGATCTTGTAAACCTTGACTTGGCGCATGCACGGGGACATGAACAAAAAATGAATCAGCAATAGTTTTCTTCTTCTTTTTTTCTTCTCTATATGTATTGAGTTGGCGTAAAGAAAGAACATGCGGAAAAATTGAAACTGTGCAATATATTAATACATAATGTCACTTAAACTGCGCTTTGCTTTTGAGCATATCCCGTAACCGTCGCGGCCCGATAAATACCATTTACAACTTTTCATGTGTCGCCATCAGAGAAGCTACGCATAATCAGCCACACTCTAAACATGTCGCAGGTATCACCAAGGAGGCGATTTCTGACTTACCAACGAAAGAAGTCACCAATTTATAACGGACTTGGCAAATATCCTCGGGGACCAACCAAATGGTCGCCCCCATCTTTCTGGCAATGCTGATACTCAACTTGGCGTTCATGTAGGCCCTCTCGTCATTGTCACCTGCCGTGACAAGTTCGTCATCGACGTAGCTGCTCTCCATGCCTTTGAGCACATTCAGCAGAAACACGCCGGATGAGATGGACCGGTCCTTGAAGCTGCGTATGGACGATTTTTGGCCGCCCTTGTGAGCCATCTTGTTTGCCCAGTCAACCATGATCTCATCGGTCATTTCCTTCTTACCGAGCTTCTGAGCGAGTGAAGAGAGTGTCACGTTGATGTCCTTTCGCATAAGCTGCCATACGAATCCCAAGGTAAGTGTTCTGTCACCTCTTGTAATATTGGAGCCTTCAGTGTTTTGGAGGCTCATGCCATGCTGTTTACCGAGATCGATGACTTTGTTTGTATTCTGCAGAGCCTGGAAGAGCTCCATGTCGAGGATTCTCTCCAAGTGCTCGCTTTCTGACTCGTCGTCATCGGGATTGACAATCTGTGGACTGTTGTTCTTGGTGGGGTCATTGTCGAGAGACCTGGGTTTGCGCACACCGCGCCAGTTTACACTACCTTTGATGATTTTGTCGAAGGCTTGCAGGAGCACATATCCATTGCCGACGTCGTTGAAGAAGGATACGACGGGGGGTCGTACGTCAAGGCTGTTGAGCCAGAGGGTGAATACGCGGGCTTCGCGATCGCCTTCGGCATCGAAATCTTCCACTTTGACCTTGACCTTTTCTTCTTCTGTGATGGGTTCGAGAGCAGGATGGTTGTTGAAGAGGTTGGCGACGAAGGCGAGGTTGAGCTTGGAGTTACCACTAATAAGAGATTTTGGGGTCAAGAATTTACGGCAGCCAAGTTTGTCAGCTTCTTGAAGGACTTGTTCGGCACGTTGGAGATTGTCTGTGGTATTGAGGGGGGCACGGGTGCATCCGTACTCGCGACCGATTTGGCTGAGGAGGACAGTATAATTTTCACCATCTTTGATGTCATCGGAGAAGTTACCAACACTAAAGAGATGAAAAGTTAGATGATTTCCAGATTGAAGTCAAAGCCGGCACGTGGACAAACCTCCTGGGCCAGTTGGCGGCCTTGAGATGGTAGTTGAACCATCGCAACAGGATCTGCTCGGGAGGCAGACGAAGGAACTTCTCAAGCTCCTCGCCTTTTCTCAAGAGGCGATACAGTTCAGGATGGAGTTTGATGTCGATTTTACTAAGAAGACCTCGTCGAATAATCTGCCAGATGAGACCGAGGATGAGGTGCTCACGGACCTCGATGATGTCTCCTGCACCAATGTTGACGACAGAACAGCCAATACCCTTGGCTGATTCAATGACGAGGTTGTTGTTCTCGGTCATTTGAAACGCATTGAGAGACTTGGTCTTGCGGCCGGCTATGTTGAGAATTCGCTCGTCAATGGTGTCAGGCACGCTGTCGTTGATCAGCTTGGCGAGGACCAAGCCATCCTTGCACTCATCAAACATTTGGAAGGTATCGGTCGGGAAGGGAAGACGGTTGCCGATATCAGCGTCACCATCCAGGACGGCGTTGATGTGGCGAGTGAACTCGGTCCTTTCATCCTCATCAATCGTGTGGGTGACATTTGCACTGGACCCTTGGACCTGAATCTTGCCGCCGACGCTGCTCTTGGATACGTGTCCTTGCCCGAGTCCGCCAGTGCGTTGAGCTACAACGCCGCTGGGGCTGGCTGGCTGGAGGCCCGTGGAAAGTCGTTTCTGAGCTGGCGAGGAGTCGCGAAGTTTGGTAATGAGCTGGAGTTTGTGATTAGCCGGTGCTGCATCATAGCAACATGGAAGCAGACAACGGATTTGTGTGGCAGCAGCCGAGTGTCGGGGCGACAGGACAAGACGTACTCCGAGGTAATCTTCAAGCTCTACGCGTCGCGAAGAGTCCAGCTCAACTTCCCTGAGAGCCTGTCGCACGACATCGTACGGCTGATTCTCACTCTGCTGAGTGGCCTTGATGGCGGTAGCTTCGTCCAAGTATCCCTTGCCGTCGATGTCGAGACGTTGGAAGTTGCCGGATAGCGAGGTGACTTCATCTGCCAGCTGAGGAAATTTTCTGGATTAAACAACGGCTGTCAGCACAGCGCATAGGGACGGCAGGTGGGCGGGGATCGAAACGCACCTTCGCAATTGGAGGACATTCATGGTGGGGGTTGAAGAGCTGAGGGGTTGCGATGGATGGATGGGCAAGCGGGGGAACTAATAATCTGTGACTGTGAGAAGCCTGGAAGGGGGGACGTGAGGAACGAGACGGAGACGGCTTGGTTTCTGCGCGCCGTCGTGTGTTTTCGTTTTCCTGGTAAGCTGGGAGTGTGACGGAGGAGGATGACGAGGGAGGGAGGGAGGGTAAGGTGGCGTGGTGGGGATGACGACGGATTCGTGAATCGTTGCGAGACACAAAGGCTTGGCTTGACGTCTTTTCATCCTTGCGCGGGAGCTGCGCGGAGGACAGAGCGGGGGGCATGTGGTGGTGCACACGCGCAGCATGTACGTAACATACGGAGTACCCCACCAGACGCAGCTGCTGGTGACCACGCCTCTTGTCCCTTTGCAGAGGCGAAGGCAGAGAAGAGATTCCCCACTCCCCAGTCTGATGGAACCTGAATTTATCAACAGTGTTTGATCCAACTACGCAGATAATCCAGGAGCATGAGCCTTATCAACGGTGCTTGGATCAGACGACCGATTCATTGCCCCGAGGTGATCCTCTGGATTCAGATCTCGCAAATCCCAGTCCATCGGGTATCCATCTATTGACGGATATCTTTGGGTCGCATACTGGTCTCGCATCACTGCGAGCGGATATCCTTGCTTTGAATGCTGAAATCGCTGCCTTTGTCCAGCAGCACTGCACAGAGTGTTTGTCTCTAGACGTACTCTGTATGGAACCTTCTAACTTGTCCTGTGAAGTTGCTTGTCGTCTATAGCGCAAGGCTGTTGAGCCTCTTGGGAGTAGCAAAAAGCAACGCCGATTAATATCCAATGCGTCAATCTCAAGTCGCAATGGTGCCTAACGCCAAGTCTTAAGCAGGTTGCCGGCCCCAAAGTTTATCGTATTCCGAGTAATGCGAGGGCATTAGCCACAGCTTATCATTCCAACCACTGCATATCCAGTAACTGAGCGCTCGTCCAGTCGATCCACTTGTCGGCAACGACTTTAGAAAGCGTCCAGTGACCGGAGTATCCATCTCATACACGAGGTCATGGCCCCCCAGAGAGTAATCATCTCGGAATAGCAAAAGCCATACCCCACCAGGAACCGTCAAGTTGAATTCACCCCCAGGGTCCAGGCGACGCAGCATGTCTTCAAAGGGGCCCAAAACGTTGCGCTGAAAATACGGAAGACGGTCGTGCTCGGCATGCTCTTCCCCGGAGGGTGTCACCCAGAACTGTATGACGATGTGTAGCTTCTGAACGTCCGGGCAAGCTTCCAGGATGGCTCGACACAGCCTACGCAGTGTCCCATCCTCTCCCTGCCCGGCAGGAGATGGATTTCACAGCTCCCGGGCCAGAGGGTGCTGTCCAAGGAGACGCTCGTGATCGCCCCAGAGAAGCTCCAGGCTGATAATTCGGGCGCAGCAAGCGAGGATATATCAGTCTAGGGAGATGGAGCTGGAGGTCCAGGCCGGAGAATTGAAATGTGCTGGTAGAGAAGAGAGCCTCGAGGCCCTCGACGCAAGCACTGCGGAATGACAAAAGCCAGCCCATGATGCCGAGGAAGCACGAGTCACCCCCGACGCCTTGGGACGCCTCTGTACCGCACCAGCAGACAGTGCCCTTGATACATTCGTCGTCGTGCAGTCCAATCGCGCGACCAAGGTCCTGCCAGTTGTCCTTTCGCTCTGCGGCCGTCCACTCTGCGCCTCGGTGGCACACGCAGGCGAACCATTGCCATTGCTTCGGTTGACTTTTGTCCGGGACCAAGCTGATACCAAGACCGCAGTGCCGGGATTTGTCTGGCGAGCTGCCGGATGAAGCTGCGAGACTTGGCTGTCTTACCAGCGGGTTGTCAAAGGCAAGGTCGATGTGGACGGTGCGGTAGCCGGACGCCTCAGCAAGAATCATGTGGCGGATTTCCAGAGGCAGCCGGTGAAACAAGCCGTAACTACTTGTCGAAACAGCGAGCTTTTCAAAACGGCCATCTTCGGTTGTGAGAAGTGGAAGTGGAAGAAGTGGCCTTGATCGCGGTCGTACAGCTTGGCGCGGCTGCTGAGGGCGGCGCGTTTTCTCCCTGCTCAGAAACGCCCTGCGGACCAGGTTGCGGAGATGGTCGTGCATGGAAGCAGACGACAAGGATGATTGATGAATAAACTTCAGGCGTGGGCGGTGGTGGATGGAGCGGCAGTCTGCAGTCTGCAGTCTGCTGGGCGTCCCCGTCCCCCCGCGCAGCCGCGCCTGACATCAGCTCGGTGGTTGCTGTTCCATCAGCAGCTTCCGTCTGGAGTCCACTTCTACGGGTCAAAGTCAGAAACATTGAACCTGGATCCCCCCCAAAAATTTAACTTGGTTGCACCGTTTCATTACTTCATCGATTACGGAGGAGACTCAGCCGCCTCCCAAAATAGACAATTTTCATTTGGAACTAGCCGTGCTGATTGGATGCGGACCAACGGCCAGACCAACTATTTTAACTGGTCAACCGTGCTCAAAATATCTCGACTCCAGTCCGACTTGCTTCCCGGATATTTCCTTTCGATAATGTCAAGCTGCAACATTTGCAACGAGCCACTCGTTCTCAGGCTGGACGACGATGCCGACGATGACGACACCGAGACTGCGAGGACCGTGCCCGACGATTTGGAACTCGGCTGCGGATGCCATTTTCACTGGTAAGTACGGAGTACTCCGTAGAAGCCCGCGCATCATTGCCCATTCTATCGTTTATGGCATAGGCATAGCTGACTCTTTGTCCCAGGGAATGCCTCATGGAGGAAGCGCCCTCATTGGTCGAATCTCTGAAATGCCCCAGCTGTGATACATATCTGCCTAAAGACGAGGCCAGCGCCTCATCTGCGAACCAGTCTTGCGACGCTCCTCCTCCTGCCATCCTAGCCCAGTATACAAATGAAGGCGGCGTGCAAAAGGACCTCGACATCATGGATTCCATAACTGAAGAGGCGCATGTTCAGAAACACCCCGAGGTGCGTCCCGCCAGAGCATTACACATCATGTGTACCGAGGGTGACATTACCGGCCTAATCGAATTGTTGAGAGTCGCGAGTGACCAAGGCATGGACATTGGAAACATTATTCGCTACCAAGACCCTTTGGCAGGAATGCAAAGTGGACTTCATTTGGCTGTTGAGAATCAGCGAGAGGAGATTGTGTGGGCGTTGCTGTGGCTGTCGTCTGCCGTTTCTACCGACGTTTTCCCCGGTATGGTGCGGGAGACTGCCGAGCGCGTCGGCTTGGGGCGTCTCAATGTCGATGCTAGCGGGGACATTCGGTGCCTGAAGGACGCCCAGGACCGCCTGGCGGGGACTATAGCCCAGCAGAACCCGGGTATGTGGTCGGCGTTGCTAGATGCGGGAATTTTAAACCCGTGAAGGATAGCTACAGAAGGCGTACAGGAATTGCCGCGAATTACGGACTTGATGCCTAACTTCAAGGAAGGCAATGGGACAATGGAAAGACACGGGCTGGCTGGTGGCTGCAACGGAGGCACGTCGGTCCACCCCGAGTTCTGTGGTTTTTATTGAAAACAGCAAATGAAGCGGCATGGTGAAAACGAAGACCAATGTGGCGTTGATATTTGGGATGATGCACATAGCACAGCTGGCATTTGGCGGGCTGATGTTGGAGCAGGCGGCATTGTTGGCCTCTTTGTTTGCATCTCTAAATTGGCGTTGAGGCACTAGACAATATTATAAGTCAAACCTTAAACTGCATACGCAAAGATTGAAGGGGTGTTTCTTCTCTTACGAATCTTCAACTAACTTGGCAACCTTGATGCGGCTTTTGAGGTTGAGGCTCAAGAAGAGCTATAAAACCGCTTCCAGCCAGGCAGCTATGATGTAGCATCTGGAGTTGCGGGGGTGTATCAACTGATGTCGCAGAGCTTGTTCGAGGGTTTCGGGCGCGAGGCCGTATTGTTGGCACCGGCGATGATGACGCTATTGGACGTCTGATGCCATTCCAATTCCTCGCCCACCCATACCCTCTGTGACCGGAGCGCTTTGGTCTTGACAATAGTTTGATGGTCGAAGCGATGCTCACCTGTTGTTGTTGATATTTTTTTTGTCTTCTTTATCAGATATTGAAAGCGTGAAGTGTGTTGGAATAAGCGCCGAATTACGAGTGGATAATGTTGTGGAGCTAGCTATACAAGGGCTGAAAATGTATTGATACTGAGAATATCCCCCAACGTGAGTGAGTGTTGTGGGTTAAGGAATGAACAGCCATTGAAACTACTTCTTCTATTTAACAAAGTGATCTAATCGATGCATGGTTATTCAATACTACACAGCACTATGCCAAGGGTTGCACGGAACTTGCGGTCAAGAGCCTCAACCACATGATTTGCTGCCATGCACAAAGGCTGCAGCTATCACGATACCCTCATTGGCCGCACGCCGGCCCGGGCATCTAGGCACAAAGACCCAACAAGGACACGAGGCATCAACCCCACATGCCTCAGTCAGCCGGGTCAGGTCACAATGGGCATCTTCTTATATATAGCCCTTGTTGGCCGGGGCCGTTCGTAGATGAACCCAGCACCTCAGAACCGTACGGTATGATGGGTGAATTGAGTCGTTTGCTCCAGCCACACTCCTGTGACTGAGCCCTCGTTACACCAACGGACTCTGTCATGCCCCTGTGATTACCTCGTGGTATCGTTTGACAGACCAATTCTTGTTTCACCTGAGCAGGTTTATACTTTGCCAAGACCTAGAGCGGCGATGCGAAATAAGTTGAAGCAACCAATCGCCTGTGCGGGAGCCAGGCGGCGGGCCCACTCGCTGCTTTTGGATGTTCTTATATTGGAGGCAGGCCGAACACATGCCGGCTGTAATTTGCACTTGCCGGCCCGGCCAGGTGTTGTTGTCCAACTGCCAGTCAGGTCGATTGACCTTAAACTTAAACGGCTTCACCACGGGGCTTCCTTATCGCCCTTCGACCTCGGAATAAACTCAAATTATCCAGATACTCGTCAAATACCGTAGTTCCGGTCCCGTTCTCGGGCAGCAAGCTTCGCCACGTTGGCTCTACGCGTTGGGGCCAGATGCGCTTTGCGCTCGCGGTACCGGCACCGCCCCTTCTTTGCCTCTCGTCTCACTGCGTGGTCGACTTTGCAACCCGTCGTATGGCTATCTTTTGGAGCCCGCCCGCCGAAGATGACTCCCGGAACCGGCGACAAGAAACTCGACAAGTCGTACTTGAGCTCCGCGGTCGATGTCATCTATCCGTGGTCGAGTAGTCGCACGGCTACGCCCACACCGGATAACACAGCGAGCATAGCCGCGTTTGATGGGGCTGCTGCGCCCAAGGCAACTGCTTCGGCCGACCATGCAATCACGCCGTTTTATGGACAGAGCTTTAGGACGTACCCCAAGGATTGTCCGACGTTAAACGTGCAGTGGTTTCATGCGGCCGATGTGAGTATGCGGACCCCCACGACAAAGTCTTGGAAGTAACGTGATTCAGGTGCCGAAACGAAAACCGAGGTTGACCAAGGGACCACAGAAGCAAGAGAAGGAAATAAAGCCGCCTGTTCGGCCGAAGAAGTTTGCAGCATTCTCCGAGTCTGATTCGCGGAGGACGGAAGCACGGTATCAGAAGCTTTTGGAAGCAGCAGAGGATAAAAACAATTCAACGAGAGACTCTCAAAACCGCCCTTCAAAACGATCCAAATTCGAGAATGCTGGCGCCCTTGACGATTCATATCGGGGCCATACGCGGGTTGCTGTCAATGAGGACTACTTGTTCGATATCAACATTGAGGAGAGGGAGCTTACCCCTGTGTATTGGCTTGGGCCAAGTTACGAAGGTTGGCAAGTCGCTCAGCCTACACCATTAAGTATTCGTGTGCTAACGATTGTGGCTAGTGCGGCGTGGCACCTGGTTCTTCCAAGAGGGCTCAGGTCTAAGACCTTGCGAAGAAAACCTTGCAGCCCAGCTAGAAGAGGTAGGCATTCGCGCCGTTTTGCAGGTGCAGTGGCGTGTGTCCTAATGAAACCAGGGCTATCTGAAAACCAAGCCATGGCTACTTCCTGGTGGGTAGTGGACAAAATGCATTGTTGCCAAATCATGCTGACGGTCATCTCAGGTCGTCTCCGAAGCAAGTCTGAAGTCAAGGATACCGCAGGGTCTGTTAAAGCAGAAGAGCCTCAAGCAGCAGATCAGGAGCCCCCAGAGGCTACTACTAGCGCTCAAAAGCCACCGGCGGGTACTGCCCAGTCGCCGCAACCGCAACTGCCAACGTATCGTCTATTTGGCGCTTACATGAACAATGTTGCTACCTATCAGGATGAAAAAACCGCTTGGATGACTACTGATGGTATGCTCTCATGGGTAGCTGCCTCGGTGTATGAGCGGTTCGCCGGTGGTGGATATATGAGCGGCGTTAAGTTGATTAGAGGATATTCTGAACCGAAAAAAGCCCAGGACACCAAGGCCGCGAAGGAAAACCCCAGTACTCTGGGCCTGCATGAACGACAAAAGCTCGTAAATAGAAGATCAGCCCCTCCCACCACAGGAGACCCCTTGGAAGACTTGGGGTATAGCCAAATTGTACAGAAGGAGACCCAAGAACGGGATGCAGAGCTGCAACGGCGATTGTCTTCTTTTATGGAGAGCGAGGGTCGCATTACTGGGAAAACCGAGGAACAAATCAGACAACGCGAAGAAGAGGAAATAGAAGACGACTACAATGCACGGGATGGAGAAGCTCAGGGCCGAGAAATTGAGCATTTGGTTCTTGTAACTCACGGCATTGGACAACGACTAGGTTTACGGTAAGTTTCTTGATGAAATGCGTCTTGGATGGTGCGCTGACTTCATTGCTCAATAGCATGGAAAGCTTAAACTTTGTTCACGATGTAAACGTGTTGCGCAAGAATATGAAATCTGTCTACAGCAATTCAGCGGATTTGAAGGCGCTTAACTCTGAACTTGGTGCTGGTCAGGGGAACTGCAGAGTGCAAGTACTTCCGGTTTGCTGGAGGCACTTCATTGAGTTCCCAAGGCAACGGCAGAAGAAAGGCGAACACGATTTAGGCGATGTTACAGATGAGGATGATAATTGTGAGCCTTCCGACTTTGAGCCGGTTGTCAAACGCTATATTGACCACCACCAATTAGACCCATCACTCGAAGACATAACCGTCGAGGGAGTTACTTTTGCCCGATCCCTAATCTCAGACCTCGCGCTCGACATCTTGCTCTATCAAAGCTCATACAGAGAAGAAATTTCCAGAGCCGTTGTGGCAGAGACTAACCGAATTCTGAAACTCTTCCAAGAGAGGAACCCTGAGTTTAAAGGAAAAGTGCACCTTATGGGCCACTCATTAGGCTCTGCCATTTTCTTTGACGTTCTCTGTCGTCAGAGGGAGACGGATCCTGATGATACCCGCCGCCCGCTTCGATTCTGGCCCTCGCACAACCGGCCTGATATCAGACCAAAGGACGAAGAGCTGGAGTTCGACTTCGACGCCTCAAATTTCTTCTGCCTTGGGTCTCCCGTCGGCTTGTTCCAGATGCTCAAGGGAAGGTAGGTCGCATGGTTTTCCTCAACGTTGTTGATGGACCAGTTACTAATGGCTTCAGGACTATTGCTGCCCGCCCATCGCCACATGGCTTGGCTTCAAAAAGCTTGCCGAACGCTGAGTACACCGATGACCCGTTCTTGACAACCCCCGCAGGTACAGGTCTGGATAGCATTTCTCCAGTCAGTGGTCTATCGACGTCAGTTTCGTGTCCCAAGGCGGAGCAGCTCTTCAACATCTTCCACCCGTCCGATCCCATCAGTTACAGAATGGAACCGCTGATTTCCCCTGCCATGGCCTCACTGAAACCACAAGCCCTTCCCTACACCAAGAAGGGAATTTTTGGCAATGTCGCACCGCAAGGATTAACCGGCATTGGAGCCAAAGTCGGCCAGAGTGTCAGCGGCATATGGTCCAGCCTAAGCGCTGGACTCGCCAGCAATATACTGAATCGCAGTCTCGGGATCACCAGCGAGGAGGTTGCGCGTCTTGGCACAGAGGAGCAGCGCCATGGAGACAAGAAGGGCGAGGCGACCGGCAGTCAGGAGGCGGCAGAACAATCAGCTGAAAGAAAGAGGCAACTGGCTGAAGCGGCGGTCAGAGGGCGACGTGTGAGCGACAACGGCAACTCGGTCACGCTCATTGACGATGAGCTGGAGACGCTGTATTCAACGTTCCAGAAGCGGCACGACACGGCACATGGGAACGAGGCGATGAGCCACCTCAATGACGAGTCGCGCAAAGCTCGAAAGCTGCGGGCGGAGGAGGCCAAGGTGCGGGCGCTCAACAGAAACGGCCGTGTCGACTACAACATCCAGGAGTAAGTATGCCGTCAATGACCAACGAAGACGTGCTAACCTCGGTACAGGAGCGCTTTGGACTTTAACCCAATCAACACGATTGCATCACACATGAGCTACTGGGGAGATGAAGACGTCACACATTTTGTTTTGTCTCAGCTGTTGTCCGGAAAGCCGGTGGGCAGAAATACAAAAGGAAACTAGGCACTTGCACCGAGTCACGATGGCGACAGCCTGAGATGGCTCATCTAGGCCGCATGTGCCAGTTGCCCGAGTGGCAGGCCGTGTCTGGCCCCTCTGTATAGAGCCTCTTAGCTGCCGAAGATAATGTGACACATGGGCATGACTACTTGCAAGCCTTGTCGGAAGCCTCCCGGCCTGCCTCCCAGCAATCTCCAGAGCAGCGTGATTGTATCACGTTTAGCACGGCGCTTGAAGTTGACACTCGGGGGAAACGCTTCCGCGGCTGCCGCCATGGAGGCCATGCACGCAGCGCACGTCCTTGTCGCCAAGGGTGACGGCAAGAAACTGATATCAAAGACTCGGCTCCGCAGTCTGACGTGGTCTGTTGTGCCAAGTCTACAAAGGTTTTCGCGGGCATCCCGCACGGGACGTGGACGGCCTCGACTTGGGCAACGACGCCAAGGACCCTCCCTGCATCCTCTCTTCCAACGCATAGGAGACGCCGCACGAGAAATGGCCGCCGTGGTCTGAAATGCCGCAGCATGGAGGCGACGAATCAGCACGGACGAGACGGTCTTGATTCCTGTGCGTACAGACGCGGGACACATCCACCATGTGCCATGTGCGCGAGCAGTCTGGTGCGCCAGCCGACGCAGGCAGGATGGTCATCTCATCTCGACGCCAGATGGATGTATGCGACAGCCGCGTCTCCCGCCGGATCTGAAACGAGGGGTCCCCTACCACCGCTATATTTGACCCGGTGGCGGCTACCTGCACCCCATTGTGTATTTTCATACACCCACCCGCGTGGCCGCCGCGCCTTTCAAAAAAAAGCAATGGGCAGTGTGACGCTGCGCCATGCCCAACGGGTAGATGCAACACGCGCGAACCTGTACAGTGCCAGATTGCCCTCCCAGCCCAACGGTCAGGTCAAGGGGTCAAGGGGTCCAGCACACCGCCGGGGCCCAAAATCAGCGGGGCGTCGTCACCGTCCACGGATACTGACGGGGCACGAGACTGGCCCAGCTCGGAATTACGAGCCCGAGCCGCCAGACGCACGTACTCCATGGATGGACGGCAAGGGTCGTGCGACGGCAGCGTCGGCGGGCTGGCCGGCCGGTGGGCTCGCGAGGAACGGTGGGCGTTGGGAGACGTTTTGATCCTTGGCTGCTCTGGCCCAGGCTCCTTGGCTCGGGGATCCGGTCTTGCACCGTGGGAGTGGCGGTCTTGTGTATCGGGATGATCGGCCTGCGGTGCGTGTGGTGTGGCTTCTTTATCAGAGGATCTGATAAGATTGCGAATCGGGGGGTCAGCTGTGCCACGTGCATGCATGCGGCCACGCCCCTGGGTGGGGGTGGGGGCGTCCCCGACGACCACCGCCAGAGCCAGAGATGTCGTCTCGTCGGATTGGACCTGTGACGGATAATCTTTCTTCTTGAACTTTCCTTCTTTTCCTTCTTCTTCTCTCAAAAACCCTCTCTTTCTTTTTTCGGTGTGCATGCCTTGAAGAACTCGTTTCCCCGTTTGACACATACCTACCTACTCCGTACGTCTACGTACGTCTACGTACGTGCCCAAGTAGATGCCGTGCAAACGAGCCTTTTCAGCACTTATTACGCACGGAATTAAACATCAACGTGGCCAGGGGAGCAGATGGGTCGATGAATGAGGCTTGTCCTCTCAAGGGAAACACAAATTTACAAAACATTCACGCTTCGTGAAGAACGGGCAGTTTCAACCGCAATGATGGACGAGTGATTAAATGATTGCATATTACACTATGAACCTTGGCTGGCGCGCTCAGGGGCTCAAGGTCTTGAAACCCTCTCAGCTGCGGTACAAGGCAAGCACCCGCTGCCACAGAGACACAGGCTCGGGCTTGGAAGCGGTCAACTCGCCCCTGTCCCCACGCTGATCCGGCACATCAACGACCTGGCCATCCAGACCCTTGTTGTTTACGGCGTTCTGCTGCTTGCCGAGGTAGTAGTTGGGCATGAAGAAGGAGGCAATGAGAGGGATACCGGCCAGGCAGACGGAAGCAACGGTGATGTGACCGTTGACAATGGCATAGGCACGGATGGAACCCTGGCGAATGGGGTCCATGAAACCGTACTTGGTGCGAAGCGTCTTGATGTTCCCGTAAATCTTGAGGATAGTCTTGTCAGGGACGCCGGGAAGCTCCTCGCGCATCTGGTCAAGCATCTGGTTGGTCCACACGACGGAAGCTACGGCGCTGCCGATGCTGGATCCCAGGGTGGACCACAGGGTGATGATGGAAATAATGGTGGCGACATCCTCGTGGGGAACGGAGGCTTGGACACCAACCCGGGCACCGACGATGTTGAGGGAGGCGAGGCAGAAGATGAGCTGCGCGGAAACAAGGCGGGCAGTGTCCTGAGTCATGTTCCCGTTGGACTGAACGAGGATGCCGTAGCCAACAATCTTGGCAGCGGCACCAATGACCATGAGGGTCTTGTAGCGGTGAGAGACGCGGTGGACCAGACCCACGACGGGGCCGACCAAGCAGAGGCCCATGGTGGTGATGCCCAGGAAAATGGTCCACTGGTAGACTGTCCAATCCTTGATGATGAAGATGTAGGACGAGAAGTAGGTGTTGCGGACGGAAGAGGCCATCTGGTTAAAGGTGTGAATAACGACGCCGGCGACGAAGGCGCGATTCTGGAGAATGCGCCTCGTCATGATGGGTTTGGGGGCCAGGAAGACTTCGAAGAGCACAAAGATGACGAGGCAGACAAAACCCGTGACCAACATGGCAATCATGCTGGAGTCGCCCCAGCCGCCTGGAGACTTCTTGGCCAGGGTAAAGGGCAGGAGAATCAGGGAGAAGGCCAGACCGAGAATGACGAGACCAACAATGTCAATGTCGATGAGGCCCTGGTAGGCCAGCCTGGCCCAATATCGGAAGCTCTTGGGCGAGGCACGGGCGGCGCCGGTGCGAACATCCTTGGAGTCGGCCATGGTGACCATGCCAGCCTTCTCGCCGCGGCGCTGCATCGAGTAAAGAGTCATGATGGCGGGGATGAGGAGAGCGGGAACGAGGATGGCGAACATGCCCAGGCCCCATCGCCAGTTGTCGACGAAGCCCTCGGCAATGAAGCCGTTGACGGGCACCGTGACGACAAAGGGAAGGGACAGGCAGGCGCTGAAGAAGCCTCGCCACTCGAGAGGCGTCAAGTCGGCGACGATGATGTCGCTGAGAAGATCGAGACCCGACTTGCCGACCGAGGTGAAGCAGATGCCCACCGTGTAGGCTGCAAAGTCGCGGGCGCTGGCGGCGACGGCAAAGCCGACGGCATAGAAGGCGAGGATGACGATGTAGGTCGTCGGCCGCGAGGTGATGTCGGCCAACTTGCCAATGAAGGGCTTGCTGACGGCACGGATGATTTGGCTGGCGGTGCTGACGGCGCCGAGCTCGCTGTGGACGCCAAAGCTGGACGTGGCCAAGGTGCTGAAGATGCCCGTGGTGATGCCCATGTCGAGGGCGTAGGCAAACATGGTCAGCCCGATGGAGATGGCGAGCAGCCAGAGCAGCAGCTTTCCCCTCTTTCCGGACTGGTACAGCTGCCTGTTGAAGGCCTCGACCCTGTTGACGCCGATTTCCTCGTGACTGTCCGGGTCGGAGCCGGAGTTGTCGGCAGGCTTGGCCGAGTATCGTCGCGAGTTGGCCTCATTGGACGAGGAGTCGTCGAGGGCTTCACCCGGCTTGTTCGTCCGCTGGAACATGTTCTCGGAAACGGCAGTCTTGGTGGACTCGCCAGCGTCTTTGGCATCGAGCTGTTTGTGGCCGGGGGGCGTCGGCATGTTTGGCTATATCTCCTGATGTCGCGAGGTCAAGGGTTGTGGATAGAAGAAGGAAGACGGAGATCGAGCATGGCGGTCGCGTGGGTATTTCAACGGGACGCCGGGGCTCTGGTGAAAAACCAAGACATGTGAACGTGTGAAGTGGTCAGGCAGTATGTGGTGTTCCCACCACATGGACTCCTGGGGGCAATCCGACGCAACGTTGAGCCCTTGCAGTGTCGACACCAAAATGGAAGAAACTACGGTGCCACGGTGTAGCCCCAGACATGATGGCTTGGATCCTTGGCGCGGCAAGGCAAAAAAAAAAAAAAAAAAAAAAAAAACCTTTGCGGCATGACGAGGATCGGATGCTCCTGCCTTGCGCGGTCAAGTGTCTGGCATCGTGTTCGGGCAACCAGACTCGACTCCACCTTAGTTAGCCGCATCTGATAAGCTGTGGGGCCGTTGGGGGGGGTGTGCGGGGGCGCATCTCGACGCTCGGCCAACCCTCCTTCCTGTGCCGCGGAATGCGGGACGAACGTGTTCAGCGCGCCAACTGGTGATCTCCCACAAGGTGGTCAAACGACTCGGAGCATTTGGCTCACATCAAGAGGGCGCTTCCTGAGATTGTTACTACGCTCACACCGGCTCTTGCCCCACGCCTCGCTTCGAATCTGATAAACGCATGGGCCACCACCGACACCCACCAATGTCCGGTTCGCCCAACAACTAAAATGCCAAGTTCCCAACAGAAGAGAATCCATCAGGCCAAATGCCAACCAGCCCTAGATGATGGGCAGTTGTCACGTCTGGACAAGTTCTCGATGCGAGATGCGAGGTTGCATCACCGTGCGTATCTGCGTCATCATGTCGTGTGCGACGTAACGAGTTAACGTCCGGCGGCGCCGTAACAACACACTACGTATACATGAGACGAGCGGTCTCATGCCCACAAAGGGCTTATTGACATGACATGCGTTTAAGCTTCTTAAAATTTTCTCCCCCCATGACCAAGATTAGTCAACGGCATGGCCGCGGATACGCTCGTGGGGCCTCAAAATGGCAGTACATGACGTTATGTTCCGGGTGCATGCAAGCAAGGAGGCTTCTGACCTGCTTTTTTTTTTCCTTGGCTTCGGTTCGGGATGCATCCCCTGGTGGCGGGGAGAGCTCAATTCACCACCGCTCTGACAACCATTCGGACACGCACGGCATATTATTTCACACAACATGATATCCCACAGCTAGCCCCGATTCTCATCCCTAGCCGTAACCAGCTCCAGCCAAGGCGGGATCCTCCCGAGCCCCGGCCTTCTTCCAAGAAGCCATCAAGATCCTTCATCCGCACACTCTGCAAGTCAAGCCCTCCTAGCCAGGGTCGGTGTTTTGCAGGATTGTCGTGACATGCATGCATTCATGACCCATGCCTTGCTTGGCTGCGTTGCGTCTCTTTGCTTGAAACGCAACAACTCCGGAATGTGAAAATGTCGTCTGTGCCCGTGAATATGCTCGGACTAATAAAACAATCATTTGATCAAAATCCTTGCTACCGCAGGCACATGTTCGATTTTGGAGGGTATCTGGACATCATGTCATCAGGAAAACAGTCGCCAAGTATCTATCAGGACATTGGTCTCATGCTTCAGTTCTAATGATTCCATCTATACGTGCAGCTGGAACGCAAAGCTCCGTAATCAACTCTTCTCCTCCGCCACCGTCATCTTGGCGGCATCGCACAACGCCCTGAACAAGCCGTCCGGCCTGGCGTACAGATTCGGTGCGCTGTCGAACTCGGCGACTCGGCCGCGGTCCATTACCAGGACCCGGTCACAGGAGTCAATGATGGTCTCGAGTCGATGCGCTACGGTAAAGACTGTGGCATCCGCCATGATCTCGGTCAGCATCGCCTGAAGCTGCTTATCGGCTCGGCCGTCAATTGAGGCTGTTGCCTCGTCGAGGATGACCACTCTGGATCGTCTGACGAGGGCGCGAGCGATGGAGATGAGCGACCGTTGACCGTGGGATACGTTCGCTCCGTTCTCTTTGACTTCGAAGTCAAGGTCGAGGATGGAGCCGTCGTGAATGCGCTTCTTTCCAGTATCGCTCGACTCGCTTACCACCCCGCCAGTCGACTTGATGGCTTTGGTGTCACTCTGCTCGCCGCCGAGTCCAACCGTGCGCAGGCACTTTGCCAGCCAGACGTCGTCGTATTGCTGGAATGGATCGAGGTTATATCTTATCGTGCCGGCTAGAAGCACCGCGTCTTGGCTGATGACGGACAAGCGTGATCGCAACAGATGCAGACCGACCGTATGGATGTCCGTGCCGTCAATAATGATTCGTCCGTTTGTGGGCTCGCAAAGCCTGAGAAGAGAGGTAATCACTGAAGACAGTTTGTTAGTATCGACCCATCACGGATCTGTGTACATGCATGTATTTTCGTCGCCAAAGACTTACACGTTGTCTTGCCTGCACCGGTCCTCCCCACAATGCCAATTTTTTCACCAGGCCCGACGTCAAGCGTCACGCCTCTGAGCGCTGGATCCAGGCCGGGGCGATGGCTGAGAGTGACTGACTGGAACCGTACATGTCCCTTTCTTGGCCATTCCTGTTCCTTGAGGCGCTTGTCTACGCTCTTGACATCATGCGCAGGCTCCTGCTGAATGCCATACGCGTAATGAAGCATCCTCTCGACCGAGTTCATGTTACTCTCAATCTCGGCGCTGAAGCGAATCATGTTACCGAACGCAGCCTGGGCAGTGACCATGTACGACAACACTGCGCCCCCAGAGGAGGCATCAATGGTGTCGCGAAGCCCAACAACCAACAGACCTACTCCCAGCACGAGGATGGCACCAGAAAGATCGAGACGAAGGTTGAGCCAGCGCATGGCGGCAATAGAGAGCCAGTAGGCTTTGTTCTCCGTGTCAATCTTGGCAGCATTGTCATCAACGAAACGCTCCACAACGCCAAAGGCCTTGAGGGTGGGCAGTCCAGACAAGGACTCGCCAAAGTGTTCGTAAACACGGCTTCGAAGAAGGTTGTTGAGACGGCGTAGCTCTCGTGAGGAAGGACGATAGTACATGCCGGTCCAGATATACATGAGCAGGACACCGCCGGCAATAGCCAAGAAGACGGGCAGGATAATGCTGACGACAATAATGGTGCCCATAACCTGTACCAGTGTTGAGATGAAGATTCGCAACTGCTCGCCGACAACGTTATCCACGGCATCCATGTCCTTGCTGAAGCGATGCGTAATACGTCCTTGAGGTGTTGTGTCGAAGAAGGCCATGGGGGCAAATAGTACGCCAGAGAGAGCCGCGGCGTGGAGTTGGTTGGAGCACCAGAAGCAAAAGATGGCAAACACGCTGCTTGTGAGGAACAGGCCGAGAGACTGTCCGATACCCAACGCAGCGAAACCTCCCATGTATGCGCTCTCCGATATGCTCGGGAACTTATTAGTCTGCCACCAACTAAGCCATAGGGGGGAGACAACGCTGGTTCCTTGGAACATGGCTATGGCTGCCAAGAGTAAGGGCACCGTGAGCCATGCGTTTCCAAGCCCCATGTAACGCAGGTATGTCTTTCCGCTGACCGTGCCGATCAGTCGCTCCTCGTGTTGCATAATTTCTTTGCCTCTTTCTTCTAGGGTGCCTGGCTTTTTTGAGCCTGTCGGGGCAGAGGTGGCCTTTTCTTCCTCGTTGTTTTTGTCTGGCGGTTTTGCGTGGCTTGCTTCGTCTTCGCCCTCCGGAGGGACCTCCGCGTTTCTGTCAGCGTCAGCAGGTTGTTTGGTCTCTGGAGATTGATGCAAGCTCGAGTCTTGCGCCATTGATGACCCAATGTAGTCGTGGAATGGTCCGCGTAGGCTGTCAAGATGGTCGAACGACCCCTGTTCCACAGTGCGTCCCTTATCCATGTATACAATATGATCGGCCTGGCGGGCTAAAGCCATGGAGTGTGTTATAAAAACAATCGTACACTCGTTGTTTCTGCGCGCCTGATTGACAACGCTGTCGAATACACGAGCGCCCACATGAGCGTCGAGCGCCGAGAAGCAATCATCCAGTAATAAGAGTTGGCTTTGACCGTATACAGCCCTGGCAAGGCTGATTCGTTGCTTCTGGCCCCCTGAGAGAGAAACTCCCTTCTCGCCCACAACAGTCATGTCGCCGTCAGACAGCATGTGGAGGTCCTGGTGCAAGCAACACCGACGGAGGACCTCGTCGTACCAGCCTGCATCAAACGGCCGGCCGAAGACGATGTTCTCCCTCACGGTTTCACTAAGCAGCCAGGCCACCTGCGGTGCCAAGGCCAGCTGCCGGGCCACGGAGAGGTCGAGGTTGATGGAGCATGAAAGTGCCTCGACGAGATGCATGTCGCCTAGAAGTGCCCTAAAGACTGAAGATTTCCCAGAAGCCACAGGGCCAACAATGGCGACCAGTTGGTGTTTTCTGACCTTGAGCGAGTCAATGTACAGTCTCTGAGATGGAACGGCAGGGGGCTTTTCGCCAATGACGCTGTCGCTGTCGCTGTCATCCGCCAGGAACTGTTCATCATCGTGGTAGGCGAACACGGCATCTTCAACCTCAATAACACAACCACTCCCTGCTTCCCGGCTCTTCTGAGCGAGCTCCTTGCGCAACGCAGCATCGCATGCAGCGGCCTCGTCAGAGGCAACCATGAACATGGATAGACGCTCCAACGCTGCTCGCGCGTCAGCAATTGCAGAAATGGCGATAGGCAAGGCACCAAGGGGAGCCCTCATGAGTAGAAAGAAGGCTAGACCCGAGAATACTACACCGGCTTGCATGTCACTTCCAGTGACGACCCCGTAGCACACGATGCTGACCACGGATGCAAGAGTAGGCGCCGTGAATGAGACGGCAATATTGAGGGCCCGCAGCAACATTCTCTTGCGGATGTAAACGACCTCATCAGAACGCAGTTTTCCAATTTTGGATAGCAGGCTCTTCTCATATGCATTCGTCTTGACGAGACGAATGGCCGACACGGCCTCGACGACGGCCTTGACACGAGCGTCGGTAAAAGGCATGCTGTGTCGACGGAGTCGGAAGAGATTATTCATCATGAGCGACTGCAGAGGGTAAAGCAACGCCAACAAGCCGAAGCCAGGCAGTGCGCTGTATCCCAATGTCCAGATGGCAAGGCCCAGACAGAGGATGATCTGGAGAATGCTTGTCCACGCAGAGTGCAAGTAGCTGCAGCAAAAATCCACACGTGTCACATCGGCGCTCATCAAGCTCATCAGTTTTCCTGCGCCCAGGTCGTCCTTCAACCTTGCTCGCTCGGTGAGTTGAGTTGTTGACCTGCGGTAGATTACGTGCATAAGAGCTGCTCGTAGCAAAAGTCCGGTCGAAGCAGATCGGTAGAAGCCGTGTACATTGGAGACAATAGAAAGGGCCAGGACCGCAAATAAGCCAACGGCAAAGCCAAAGCCTGATCGATATGCTTGCCGAGACGGATCATTAAGCGAGTTGATGAGGAAGCGGATGAGCAGTGGTGACACCATCTGCGTCAAGTCGCCCAACATCTTGAGCAGCCCCCCCGACCAGAACCATCGGAAGCAGATGTCGTTTAGAGAAAGTGTCAGGATAGTCGCGTCTGTCGTCCTTCTTGTCCAGCAGTGTATCCAGGAGAGCCAACGCGCAGGAAGACGACGTTGTTTGTTCGCCGCGCGCCTCGCGGCCCACGACTCCTCGAGGCGACGGGCGTGGTCGATGACCAACCTGGTGCTGGGAAGGTCGTAAAGGTCGTCAGTTTGAAGGGGTCTACTATATCCCGTCCGCAGTAGTGTGCCCAGCCAGTTGAATGTGATGACGGACAGCAGGTCGGCCCTCGATTCTGGCGTTTCGGTCTCATGTGCATGGCTGTCGGTGCCCTCTCCATTTTCCGCCCTACTCGAAGAGAATGCTGGCTTTGAATCGACATGCCGTTGCGTGAGCCTCGTCTCGATTGGTTTCTGTGACAAGAAAGGGACCCTCCTGTACCACTTCCTGGGGGGAAACGTCTTCCCGTCGACGCTTGCCATGGCGTTGTTGGCATTGATTGGAATTGGCGAGGATTGGCGAATGCAAATGTACAGAATTTTTTCAGCGTACGGTCATGTTCACGGTCAGTCCCGACACAAGAGTCCACTCACATACGGCACATGCACCCGAGTCCAGACAAAACGGAGGATCGAGAGGCGACACGAACCACTCGGTACGGAGTCCCGGGCTGAGGCACTCACCGGTTGCGGAGCCAAAACTTGGATGAAGACTGCAGTCTAGACTCCAGCCGACATTGCAGCTCGGCATCACTTGCCTCATTGGTTGTCATGTTTGAAAGGTCCTGCGAGATAACGCGCTCCCAGCCATGCAATGCAATCCATGCCACCAAGGAAGGCGGATGATGACGAGAGCACAGTGCGAGCATGACATTTGGTTTAACAAACGATTGGTGGGCTCTTCTACATGGGAGCAGCTAGCCATTGTCGTAATTATCCAATAGAACTACGTGTTGACACAGACAAGGGAATTGATCGACTTCGCATGAGTCAAAAGAGGTTAACTGTTTTTCTGGTACGTACATCCATGCGAACCGCCAATAGTCGTTCAGGATCATCAACATTCAGACTCGTGCTTATTCCCACCCATGTCGGCGTAGAAAAGTTTGTTCCAAGTTATTCCAACCCTCGCATCCAACAAGCGATATCTGCCGCCCCTCCTTCTCTCTTTTTCTTTCTTTCTATGCTACAATTCTTTCGTTGGGAGCTTGCAGATACTCATCCCTCCCTGCCTTGTGACGTGCTTGCAGTGAGTGATGCTACCAACTCGCTCTCCATCACACTCCCAGACATTCTACATATCTTCTCTCCTTTTTCTTTCTTTTCGAGCACCTGGCTGGCAAATACATCAACCGGTTCCTCATTCAGGTGATTGACCGCACTTAAGTGAGCAACCCACCTTGAAGTCCCTGATAATCCGACCAACATCATAACCTCCAGTAACTAGCCATGGGCAGCGTAAACAAAGAGCCGGAATCTGCGCCGCCGCAAGAGCAAACCAAGATCTCCTTTAAACTGCCCGATGGCAAATATGAATTGTGGATTGACGCAACTGCGTCAGGCAAGTCGGTCGCGTATGAAGTCGGCCAAGCAAATTTTCCAATGCCCTTGGCTCGCTGGACGACAGCCGACACAAAAGTCAGAGTATCGCCGGCGATGGTCAATGACAATGTGAGCGAGTATGACAGCCTACTGCAGTTTGACATTGTCAACAATGACGCATCGCTAGTCTCATTTGGAGGCAAAGCCGGACAGGAGGACCCGGCACTTCTATGGGCTGCCGTGTACGCTCTATGGCTTCACCCTCAGCTCAGAGAGAAGGACCTTGTTGCCATTGCCGTCAACAGTCAGCTGCTCGGGGAGTATTTGCGATGTACTGGCTTGGGAGTCATCTCTCCCTTCTCCCAGAACGGCTCCACGACGACCGTGGTTCCGAAAGACGCCATCTTCTGGGTTCACCGTGAGGCCTTCTGGCAAGGCGCCGGAGCACCAGACTCCCAGAACTGGATTCGCAGCCGCCCCGAGGTCACGCAGTTCCCCGGCTTCAATGGCACGAATGGCAGCTTTCCCAGCCAAATTGGCTTCACACGCAAGGGCAATGTCTGCACCGTTCACCCTGTGCGGCCGCCCAAGCCTGCTCCTGGGACCCTGATTTACTCTCGCTACATTGTTGACCTCGGTGAGCACCTGCGCATTTACCACATCGATGCCAGTAACCCTGTGCACTTTGAAGCCTACGCGAGGTGGCAGAACTCGGATCGCGTGAACGCCGGATGGAGGGAGCGTGGTCCCGACGACCACCATCGCAGATACCTCGCGTCGCAGCTCGAAGATCCGCATACCATGTCGTGCGTCTTTGAGTGGGATGGCCAGCTTGCCGGCTACACGGAGATTGGCTTCGTCATGGAGGACAATGTGACTTGCTTTATCGGTTCCAACTGCAACATTGTGGTCGGTGAACACGACCAGAACGTTCATTTCCTGGTCGGAGAGGAGAGATTCCGCGGTGGGAAGCGTTATCAAGCCGCCAATTGTTCAATCATGCACTTCGCGTTCTTGCGGGACCCGCGTACAAAGCAGATTATTCGCGAGCCCCAGCACGACCAGCCAAACGTCAAGATCCTAGAGAGGTTCGCCCCGTTGGAGAAGAAAAAGCGGTTCCATCTGCCACACAAAACGTCCATGCTGGTTGCCTTGCAGCGGGACCGCTTCTTCCAAGCAGGTCACTTTCTATAGCGTAGTCTTGTGAAGCAGCGCCAAGGAAAGCCGCCATCCATGCTGCATACTACAAACCAAAACATACAACGTGAAGTTTGTGGGTACTGTCGGGTATATCTCTGGAAACAATCTTTTAAAAGAAGCTCTGTTGCTTACCTTGCCCGTACCAAAGCCTACCAGGCCCAAATGAAGCTATATTTTGCCCATGGACAACCCATTTTGCACCGTGCTTTGAACAAACGTGCACCCGCTGAACGTCCTGTTCGCGCTCCCAGCAGTCCACCGCCGGCAGTAGCCGATGGCGGTACTGCAGTGCGGTGTCGGATCAAAGTCCACGTCTCGATCTCTAATCTGATTAGATGGTGTGTGGAGGGTGTGTGGCATGTGCCTTGGTGGTCACAGTCTGTACACTGTGCGGAGGTGCTTGTGGGTGTGTTCCACTTCCCGCTGCGAAATCTTATCAATCAGATAGCCAAGGCAGTGACTCCAACTCGACGACCAGGGATGAGGTGTTGATCTCAACCCATCGTATTTCCGGCAAACTTTTTGCAAGCAGCCTCAGCGGCGCAGGCGAACTTTGTCGATTTCGCTAGAAATTCGAGCTCTCTCCTTGTTGTCCTTATGTTTTTCTTATTTTCATGATTATTCGAGCCGTGCCTAATCGTTTGTGGCTGGACGCTGCGCTTTGAGTAGTACAACGTGACATCCCGTGGAGGCTACCAACTTTAGAACCAACTTGTGGGTGAGGGATTTAATTTCCAGACGAGATTGCGGGTCTTGAAGCTAGTCCGAATGGGGCTAAATTAGCCCAAACTGCAAGTTTTGCGGTCTGAATGACGATCAACGCCATCCGTAGGACGATCAACGCCATCCGTAGCTTCACTCTTTCCTTGTTTCCCGGCCCAGAACTCTTATTTCCTGTTCACTGGTGCGGAGAGAATTCTGAAACGATGTGGGCTCTGGGGCCGGCACCGGATGTTTGCCCCGCGAAGTGATGATGATGATGATGGATGCACCCTGCCAGTCCATGGGGGCGATTTTATTCCCACGCTCCTTGGCCGAGAGGTCGTTGCGTGTACAATGCGCCAATAGCAACAGCCATCGTGACATATTGGCGGACGTTGAAAAACAGTCATGGACACAATCAATGTTGCCTGATATTCACGCATGTCACAGTTACATCAGTTGGTTTGAGAAACAAGCCTCCCAACAGACACCTGGCCTGCCAACAGGCCATTCATGCCATATCATCTCAAGAGTCAAGACGCCATTGTGGCAACTTCACACGATATTCGCATGCGGGACACAATTCCTCTACAGCCACCACCGGCTACGCAGCTTCGGCCGCTGCATACCCTCCACGAGGTCGATAAAACATCATGCGATGAACTGAGCTGGACGGCCTCGTTTGGGTCGCGACCAAGCGAGGGGACGGTTCTTCGAGCCTTCATCAGCCTTGTCTCTCGAGTTATAGTCGCCGAGCTCGACGAGGTGTTTTATGTTAAACATGATTCACGCGGCGGCTTCATCAGGGCTCGCGCCGGCGACAGCGCTCAGGCTGGCAGGTATTCCTTCATACGTCACGGGGAGGAACAAGGTGACTTTTCTACCGACTTCTCCATCGGCCCAGGAACAGTGCGTCACTCCAACCGGGCTCGGGGTTTTCGATGCTAACAGTGTGTTTAGGGCCTGCAGCTTCACGCGGCGGAGGGCCCCATACGGCTCATCGCGCCGGCAAGCATCATCACACAACCAGCCCTTGACGCCTTGGGTCAAATGTTGGTAGATATCGTCCTGAATCTAGAGAATGGCGGCGGCGGCGGTGTCATTGAATGGACGCAACCCTCCGTGTTAAACTACCCTCCCACAGACAGACCCGTGCCGTTGTGGCCTGGCGAAGGGCAGCCTACGCAGCCGGCGCTGCTCCACGGATGGTTTGAGCAGAGGGCTCGAGACCATCCTCAGCGGGTTGCCCTGGACTTTCTCACGGACCTTGCAACCGGGAAGAGGAAACAATTCACCTATAAACAGGTCTCAAACGCCGCCGCCGCCTTGGCAAGCAAGCTTAATCAAGCCAGCTCCCAGTCGGGCGCAGCAGTGAGGACAGTGGCCGTGTCCATGGGCCCGTGTCCCGAACTATACATCAGCTATCTTGCTGCTCTGAAAGCTGGCCTGGCTTTCTGTCCAATAGCTGTGGATGCCCCCGATGAGAGAAGAGACGCACTACTGGCTGACTTGAAGCCGGTGGCAGTTCTGGTAGACGGATCGGGCGAGCTCGACGCAGCCGTGGAGAGCATCAGCGTGGCTACATTTCTCGAGACGTGCGACGTTGAGCCTCAACAACAACGTCCGCCTCCGCTCTTCCACCCCTGTGAAACCGACGCAGCCTACGTTTTGTACACGTCAGGCACGACTGGTCTACCCAAAGGCGTCATCGTGAGCCACATCTCTGCAGCCTGCACGGTCACCGCTTTGAGCAATCACTATGGGCTTTGTCGCGCCGACACACCAACACGCGACCGACCAGTTCGATGGTTCCAGGGCGCGGCGCCAACATTCGATATTTCAATCTTTGAGATCTTCTGGACGCTCAGCACGGGCTCAACGCTCTGCTGCGCTCCCAGGAGCCTCACCATGCAGAATGTGGACAAGGTAATCACCGCGTTGGAGGTCGACATGACAAACGTCACGCCCAGCTTCGCTAGCCTTATTGATCCATCCTCAATACGCGGCCTCGTGGTAGGTGGCGAGACGCTCAACACTCGACTCCTACGAGACTTTGCTCGCCACAACCCCCCGGGCAAAGACGCTCCATCGGTGCCGCAGGGCATCTACAATGGGTATGGTCCTACGGAAGTGACCATCTACTCCGTTGCCCAAGCCCATGTTCCAGCAACCCAGCGAGGCTCTGTTATCGGCACGCCGCTGACGACTTGCGGCCTTCTCATCGTCGACGACCACGTTCAGGGGCTGGAACCCGTGGCCATGGGCGCGACTGGTGAGCTGGTTCTCACAGGGCCGCAGGTCAGCAATGCCGGCTACCTCAACCGACCCGAGGAGACGGCCAAAGTGTTCGTCGAGGATGCCAGATGGGGTCGTGCGTACAGGACTGGTGACCGCGCCAGGATTGTATGGAATGATCAGGGCGAGCTCCTCGTCGAGTTCTTGGGCCGAATGTCCGACGGCCAGGTGAAGCTGAGTGGGCGGCGTGTCGAGCTCGGGGAGATTGAGAGTGTCTTGGCAAACAATGCCGAGGGCGTACGGCAGACGCTCGCGTGCGTCTGGAAGCCTCGACGTGATGCGTCGGGCTCCGAAAAGGTCATGAGTCTGGTGGTCGTAGATCCAAAGAGCACGCTGAGCTTCGAGGCTGTTCAGTCACGATGCGCGGAAGCAGCGCGACGTCATCTGCCGGACTATATGAGGCCTGCTCGAATCCTCCAGGTCGACGAGCTGCCTCGATCGGCCTCTGGCAAGGTCGACCGCAAAGCAGCGGCAGCATACGTGCAAAGAATGCTGCCGCAATCAGAAAAAGTGGAATCCCAGGAAACAAAGCACGGGGCCCTGGAGAGCGCAGAGGATGCCCAACTCGAGAAGGAGATCCTTGAGATGCTGTCCATCATCGTCAGCAATGACTTCAGCACCGGGCCCGCGTTGACGGCCACCACATTGCTCGTCGAGGCTGGAGTAGACAGTCTTCGCGCAATGAGGCTCCTGCGTGAAATCAGGAACCGGTGGCCAGACTCGACGGATCTACAACCATCATTGGGCTTGCTGCTCGACCCCAAGGCCAGCATTCGATCCGTCTTCTTCACCTCAGCGTCAAACGCCGACGCCTCTTGGGGATCAGCCGTGGACGAGGCCAGAGCCAAAGCCAGGGCAGAACGACGGATCGCCGACTTTGCTTCCCGCCACGCGGTCGAGTCGCTCGCCAAGATTGGTTCCATTGAACAGTCCGATGTTGAAATGGTGTTGCCTGCGACAAGTACGCAAAGCCAGCTGGCCGTGAGCTTTGCCATGGACCGACGGAATTATGTCAGTCACACAATCTTGCCGCTGGAGCCAGGCGTCTCTCTTGAGGCGCTCGAGAAAGCCATTCATGACGTCCTCGATCGACATGCCATCTACAGGTGTGCCATCGTTTCGTGTGACGATGACCTATCGCCATTTGCTCAGGTCGTCTTGAAGCCGGACGCCTGGCGTAGATGGATAGGCAACGACATAAGAGTTGTGCGGAGACGGGGCAATACCGCCGGGGATGCTCGCGAATGGCTCGATTCAGCCCATCAACACCTGGACTTTGAGTCACAAAAGCTGTATTACGCGCAGATCGTCCAAGCTTGCGCCGAGGATGTGTCCGACGGCGGCAATGGGCTGCTCGTAATCAGCATGGCACATTGCATCTGTGACGGTGCATCACTAGAAGTGTTGCTCGGCGATATTTCCAGAGAGTACGCAGGCCTCGATCCTCTTCCGCGGCTCGGTATCAAAGAAGCCGTTTTGGACTGGGCCTCTGGCGTAGACGCCGAAACTGACAAGCAATGGAAAGAGGCTCTTTCAGGCTGGGAAGTCGAAAGTTTCCACGCCTTGAGCGGCAATAATGTGAAATCATCCGCACCAGGAGCTGCGGGCGACTACGGCCATGGCGTGATCGAGTTTACCAGCGGCTTAGAATGGCAGACGCTCGAAGCAAGGAGCAGGGCCTTGGGGGCTTCGCCGCTCTCCATCTTGCAGGCATCTTGGTCCTTGCTCCTTCGGGTCTTCTCGGAAGCAAACACTGGAAGTGTCGTGTTTGGTAGTGTCATCTCTGGACAGCACGAGGCTATTCACGCACCCAGCTTCTCCGTGGTGCCGTGCCGCGTTTCTCTACCTGACCGTCAGACTGTGCGTGAGCTGGTGGAGGGACTCGCAAACCGCTCCAGATTCGCCCAGGGTCACCGAAATATGTCTTTTGGCATATTCGAGACCTTGCCGTACAACACTGCTTTGGCCCTTCAGGCATACTCTCCTCCCGGGGCCAGCCCCAGCACAGCCCAGGACATGGCAGCAGCGGCGCCCTGGACTGAGATACGTAGCCCGGCAATTCGCTATGATTTCGACATCTTCGCCGAGGTGTTCCCAGCTGGTCGTCGCGCCGGTAGTTGCCAGACCAGAACCATCTCATTCAAGCTCACATATCGCGACGACGCCCTGTCGCAAACGTCAGCCGAGGTTATCGTGAAGCAATTTGCAGAATTGACCGGGGTGCTGCTCAGTTCCGAGGCCGAAAGTCTAGTACAGACTCTGCCAGCTCGCCTGCCCAGGGGCTTGCTGTCGGCAGAGGGCGCCGTTCCCATGTCAACGAAAGACACGGCGGAAGAGGAACGTCTGAGACGGGATCGCGCCGAGATTCTCCACGCTCAGTTTGAAAACCAGGCTGCAGAAACACCAGATCTGCTGGCCCTGAGCTTCTACACGGCTCTGGACGCCTCACCTGTTGACGTGACCTACGCAGAGCTCGACGCCCGGGCTAATTGGCTGGCGAACATCCTGCGCGAAGAAGACGTTGATATTATTCCCATCTGCATGCAGCGTAGTGTTGAGCTCTATGTCTGTATTCTGGCCGTTCTCAAGGCTGGATCTGCCTGGTCTCCAATCGACGAAACCTCGCCCGTCCAGAGACGAACGTCGTTGATTGCCAGGACGAAGAGCAAGATCCTGCTAACAACCACCGAGTCCTTCCCTCTGGCTGAGCCATGTCTGGCCCACGAGAGTCTGACTGGTGTACGCGCAATCCTCGTCGACAAATTCGCAAACAACACGACATCTGTGCGGGCCGAGCCGCGCCGCAGCGTCCAAGCCTCACGATCTGCTATCGATGGACAAGACCTTGCTTACCTCCTCTGGACCTCGGGCACGACTGGCGAGCCCAAGGGTGTCATGATTCAGCACTGTGCCGCCGCGAATGCCATGCGCGACCTCCAGGTCCAGGTCGGGCACGGCGCGAAAGACCAGGTGCGCACGCTGCAGCTATCAGCCTACAGCTTCGACGTATTCGTGCAAGATCTTTTCTTCACATGGGGTCTGGCCGGTAGTGTGATTAGCGGAACACGGGAGCTGGTGCTGGGCACATTCACCGAGTTTGTAAATAAGTCACGCCCGACCCACGCTCATCTCACCCCATCTTTCGGCGCCAGCATCGACGTCGAAGAGATCAGGGGCTCGACTCTGCAGTTCGTCACCTTCATCGGCGAGAAACTGACGGAAGACGTCGCTGAGGCCTGGGCTGCGCCAGGGATCACCACCAAGGCGTACAACACCTATGGCCCGGCCGAGAACGCTGTCGTATCAACCATGAGACAGTTTTTTGGAAAGAGCCGCGATCAAGCCAAAGCTGCCAACGTTGGCTTCCCGTTGACACCTTGTACGGCGTACGTTGTGCGTGAAGTCGAGAACCCCGATGAGGAGCAGAAGAAGCAGTGGGAACTCGTGCCTCGATATGGCGTTGGTGAGCTGGCACTCGGCGGTGCGCAGGTCGGGAAGGGGTATCTCGGCGACGAGGCCAAGACCATCAAGGCTTTCATCCAAGGAGGCCCGGGTATCGATGAGCGTATCTATCTAACCGGAGACATGGTGCGTCTGAACGATCACGGTTTTGAATTCCTTGGCCGCAACGACGATCTGGTCAAGATCACGGGTATTCGAATCGAGCTGAGCGAGATCAGCGCGGCTTGTGCCACCGTCAAGGATGAGCTGCCCGCCGTCGAGCACGTCGAGACACTCTACCTGCCGCGCCCAGGAGTCGGCGGCGGCAGCAGCGATGCCGACCACAAGGTTGTGGTCACCTTTGTGTCCGTCAAGAAGGCGAACTATGAGACGGCTGTGATCCGAGCCAAGGTTTTCCAGAGGGCGAGGGAGATGCTGCCAACGTACATGGTGCCTGGGCACATAGTCGTGCTGGACGCCACCATGCCGCGTACAGCTTCCAACAAGGTCGATCGAAGAGCCCTGCAGAACATTTACAATAGTGCCGATCTCAATATTCTCGCGGGACGCGACGCGACGGCCGGTAACGGCTCAGTTGTCAAGGTCGACTGGCCGGAGCATCAGCTTCGCGTCGTCGTGGCCATTGCGGAGAACTTCAAAGTGCCCATCGAGCCCCTTTCCCCAGATGACAGCTTGGCGAGCCTGGGATTCAGCTCGCTGCAAGTCACCAAGTTGGCCTGGGCATTGCGGCGCCAGATGGGGTGTGCTGTTGGTGTCCTTGACCTCATGCGATGCCAGACCCTGGGCGAATTGGTCGAGGTCGTCCTGGACTCCATGAAGACGATCCGTGGACCTGACTCGAAGGCCAAGCCCGCTCCGGAGACCTCGTGGATGGCTCCCATTAAAGAACATCTGACAAAGTGTCTTCAAGGAGAAGTACGACCAAAGGACACTGCCTACATACTGCCTGCCACACCGGTCCAGGAATCACTTCTCGTCGAAACCATGATCGACCAAGGAGCATACTGGTCACACCGCATCTTTGACCTCGATCATCTCCCCCGAATCGATCCTTCTCGTCTAGAAAGCGCATGGACTGCTGCTGCCACTCAACTCGACATTCTTCGGACAGTCTTTGTGTCACTGTCGCAATTTTCGGTGTACGACGAAGAGGCCAAGGGCGCGGACAATGCACAATGGGCGCGCCAGAAAGGCGTCTGCGCTACCATTCTCCAGGTGATCCTTGAAAAGACGCGTCTTCACTGGACCACGATTCGCAACGCAGACACAAAAAGCTTGGCTCGACTCGCTGAGAAGATACAGATGAAGCTTACGCCTCTGGGGACCGGAGAGTGTCATCCTCCGTGGGCGGTCACTTTCTCCGAGGGCAACAACAAGATGATGTTGAGCATGCATCACGCCCTCCATGACGAAACGGCCTCCAGAATGCTTCTAGACATCGTTGCCAAACTGTATCGCAGCCCGAAGCAAGCTTCCGGACCCGACAGTGCAGTTCTGCAAATGGAACGGGGCATGGAGCTGGGCCTGTTGCCATCCATTTCCCAACGAGACGAGGCTTTGGCTGCGTGGACTCGACGACTAAGTGGCATAGTAGAGGCCGATGGTGCCCTGAACGGACTATTCCCCGATCTTACAGAGTCCCGTGTGAAACAAGAAAGAAGGATTCTTCCCGCCAAGCGCACCATCCCCAACCAGCTGCGTGAGCGTAGAGCCGGTGCGCCAGACCTGCCTCGTCTTGTGCAATCTGCTTTTGGCTGTGTTCTGGCTGCTGTCCTTGAGCTGAAAACCGTCGTCTTTGGCCAGACGGTCTCGCAGCGTATCTTACATCCAGACCTTGCCCGAGTCGCAGGGCCTGCCATGGCCACCTTGCCGGTCATTGTTCGCGCGCATGCCTCGAGCGCCCTGGAGCTCTGGGCCGCGATGGAACGCGATGCTTCTTCGTCTTTGAGCCAAAGCGCCCACAGGCTGCACCCGGTGGACATGAAGAAGATGATCAATGAGGGTAGCGGACAACGCCATGCCCCCTTTCCAGCCCTGTTTGTCTTCCACCCTGCTGCTGCCCTTGACGACGAGGCTCATTTTGACATCGGGCTTGGAATGTTTCACGAAGTTGGTCAGGCTCTGTCACTGAATGTCGAGCACCCTATGGCCTTGAATATCTTCGAGGCCGACAACGTCATTGAGTTGACAGGGAACGCCCGTCATGTCTCTCAGCCGATGCTGGAGCTCATGCTTGACCAGACTCTGGACCAAGCTCGCGCGATGTTGGACCAGCCCCAGGTACCACTAGACCGACTGAGCAACTACATGCGCCGCGAGCTCGTCTCTCTTGTTGGTGACCATGCCACCCTTGTGGGCACAGATATTGTCAAGAATCCAGCGGACCTGATCACTAAGCAGGCGATTGAGCACCCGGATTGGATTGCCGCAGAGGAAGTATTCTTGGAAGAGGGCGAAGACGGAGAAGGCGGCGAAGAAAAGATCATTACCAAGACCCTCACGTATCTTGAGCTAGAAGTGCTTGTTGATGCAATTGCTTCCATGCTGACCAGCCACAGACCGGACCTTCAGCCCGACGACGTGGTTGCTCTGTACCTCGGGAGAGACACCAAATCCTTGGCTGCCATCTTGGCCATTTTCAGGTGCGGCTGCATATACCTTCCCATCGACGGGGATCTTCCCGCGGCCAGAAAGCAGCTCCTGCTCCGTGATGCGAACGCCAAGCTCGTTCTCACTACGAAGATCTGGGCTGGACATCTGAATCTGAATCCGGACAGTGACCCTCCGGCCGTTTTCCTCCCCGAAGGCGACGACGAGCTGGACGTGATTCGAACCTGGCCTAGGACCTTTTCCAAGCATGACGCCAGGCTTGGTGACGGAGGCTACCTCCTTTACACGTCCGGCTCAACAGGCCGTCCCAAGGGGGTCCGGGTCACAAACGAAAACCTGCTTCACTTTGTTTCTGCCATGACAAAACGCCTGGTTGAAGCCAATGCGGATACTGCCAATCTCGGAGGCGTTGGCAAATACCTCAACGTCGCATCTCGGGCCTTTGATACCCATCTCACATCCATGTTTGCTCCGTGGCACCTGGGTTTCCGTTCTGTCATTGGCAAGGACCGCAACGGTATCTTTGCCAGCTTACAACAGGTCATTAACGAGGTCGAGATTACGCACATGGGATCCGTACCCTCTGTGCTCACCCAGCTGGGCTTTCGTCTTGCGGATGTGCCTTCAGTGAGAGTCCTGACAATCGGTGGCGAGAAGGCGTCTCACGAGCTTTTTGAACAGTTGAACGCCGGAAGCCCCAAGGCGGCACTTGTGAACTTTTACGGACCGACCGAGGCCACCATTGGGTGCTTGAGCCACATTGTCGGTCCCGGATCCAACGCACGCAACCTGGGTGTGCCGCTGCTTGGTCTGGAGGCCATCCTCCTTGTTCCCGGGGATGGCGACGAGCAGGTGGTCGCCCGTAAAGGGCAGCCAGGCGAGTTCTGCATCGCCGGTCCGCAGGTGGCCGTGGGATATCTGAACAGACCGGAAGAGAATAAGAAGGGCTTCCAGCACACCAGATTACTGGGAGGTGGTGTGAAGCGCATCTACAGGACGGGCGACATGATGAGGATGATGCACGACGGCACTTTGGAGTTTCTCGGCAGAAAGGACCAACAGACCAAGATCAGGGGCCAGCGCTTCGAGATTGGCGAGGTCGAGGCGTTCATCAAGAAGACTGTTGCCGATCAAGGAGCCATAGACGTCGCCGCCGCGGTTTTCGACCAGAGACTGATGGGCTTCCTGGCACGCAGGGTGAATACACTACTCAGGGCAGAGCTCGATGCCGAGCCTGAGCTGCTCCCGCGGCAGAGCCAGGCGCTGCAAGCCGTGCTCTCGGCCGTGGAGCAAGCGTGTCGAGAAGGGCTCCCGGCCTTTATGGTCCCGGACATGATGTGGGTGTCCAGGATTCCGTACCTGGCTGCGTCCGGCAAAGTCGACAGCAGGTCCCTCATCAAGTTGGCAAAGGACTTTGTGACGCTCCAGCAAAGTCCTCAAGTTGCCTGCATGTCGTCCGCGGGAGCTGCCTCGCCCCTGAACGGGGCAGAGTTGGGGGTTGTCGCTGCGATCCAAGAGGTCGTGGGCAAAAAGGTCGTTGCCGCCTCGGCGAGCGATATCCGTAGCCTGGGAATTGACAGCCTTTCAAGTGTAAACCTGTTGTCAGCCCTCAAGAGGCGAGGCTTTGACAAGGTGACCCTAGTAGACGTACTTTCGCCTTCCTGCACAGTCGGCTCGCTGGCCCTCGCGGGCAGTACAAATTCCAGCCCCGATAGATCGGTAACTACACGTCGTACGAGCCCAGCGAAGAAGCTGAGCTTGGACGACCTCGGTCCCGGCGCCACGAGGTTGGACAGAGCAAAGGCTGCCGCAGTCCTCCCTTGCTTGCCTCTCCAGGCGTCTCTAATCGCCCTGTCCCTCAACTGGCTCAACTCGTCTGAAGGGATGGAGCCCGCGGACGTCCCCTACGTGACACAGTTCAACTATCAACTTGCGCCCGGAACAGACGTTGCTCGATGGAAGAAGACGGCGGCCCAAGTCATCTCTTCGGAAGCCATGCTGCGAACTTGCTTCGTCCAGCGGGACGAGGACGGCCAGATCTTCCAGGTCGTGCTAGAATCACCACCATCACCCTTTGACGGCCAGGACGACGCTGCCGCTCTCGTAGCCCAAATGAGCTTCCGCCCGCCTATTCGCCTGCAGGTTCAAGATGACGAAGCGTCCTCCAGGACGGTGGTGTCGTTGAAGGTGCACCACGCCTTGTATGATGGTGCCGCTATCGCGTGGCTCAGGAATAAGATGGAGCAAGCTTACGCCAAGGGGGACCAAGCCGTGGCGTTGGATAACCGGAGCCTCTCGACTCTGCAGAGCCTAGCTAACCACTGCGACCTCACCGTTGAAGATACCCAGTCCCTCAAGAACGCATGGCAGGCCAAGTTGCGCGGTATTCGGCCCTGCCGCATCGGCCGCGACACGGACGAACTCAACAAGGACACAATGGTCCGCTCGATCCGCCATCTCGCCTACACAACGGCGGAGCTCAAGGCGATGCTGCATCAGGGGGGGTCTGTGTCCATGTCCACTGCCTTCCAAGTCGCCACTACCCTCTGCCTCGCATACCTTACCAAGAGATCGTCCATTGTCTACGGATTCACCATGTCCCTCCGACCCCTGTTGAGCAACGTCTCCGAACACGTCAACGGCTTTGTAGGGCCGTGCCTGAACACCATAGTTCATGCAATCAAGCTCGAAGGCGGGACGGAGACGCTGCCTCACCTGGCCGAGAGGGTTCGTCAAGGCCACGCCGATGCTTGCCGGGGCAAGATGCCGCTTGTGGCCGCAGACAAGATCCAACGCTGGGCCGGCCTTGAGGAGAAGCTCTTTGACAGCCTCCTGACCATCAACGTTGTCTCAGCAGATGAAGACTCACCTGATGGAAAGCCTGCGCCGGGCCACATGACGCCTCTGCCTGGCAAGTCCAAGGGCGATCTGGCCCTGGCAATCGACGTTGACATGCGTGCCGATGGCAAGATTGTCGTGTCGCTTTCTTCCGCAGGCGTCTTGACCGAAGCACAGCTTCAGGATGTTGGGGTTGTGTTGGAGAAGATTGTTGCTTCCTCTGCGGACAATAGTGCCACGATCGAGCAGTTCGCGCCTTTGACCTACGAAGCTGCTGGCCTTTCTCGAAACAGCATCGTCAATGATTCGTCCGCCCGGTCCGCATCTCGACTCTCAAGCGAGGGATTTGATGAGGCCCTGGCTTGCGTGGTGTCTACTGCATGTCGCCTCTTGAGCCTGGACGAGGCTGATATCAAGGCCCGGAACCCGGAGATGACGTCACTGTACCAGCTTGGAATTGATTCTGTCAATGTTCTGCCCTTTGTCAAACGTGTCAACAAGTCCGAGGGGATCAAGATCACGCCCAACGCTGTCATCCGGGCTCGTACTGTACAAGGCGTCGCAGCGCTCGTTTACCAGGCCAGGAGCAAGCGCCGCGCGCCTAGCAGCATCGACGGGGCTGAAAGGGGGAATACGAACGGGGGGCGAGAAAAGTCTGCTGCCGGTCAGGCTGACTATGAGCAGATCATGCGGCAGCTAGCCGGCGATGTTCTCTTCATCGCCACACCACTCCAAGAGGGCATGCTGAGCGCCTCCATGGCCATTGAAGACCAGGCATACATGTACACCCACGCAATGCAGCTATCTGAGACGGCGCGTGAGCGGGACACTCCAAGCTTTGGGTGCTTCTTCGCTGCCGTCAACGACACCGTGCAGACATGCGAGATCTTGAGGACTCGCTTCATCTTCACGCAGAATGATGACGCGCCGTGGGTCGGTGTAGTCTCGCCCTCGGAGCAGAGTGACCTTGTCCAGTGGGACGTTGCAAAGTCGGGCCTGGTCCGGTTGAGAATTCACCACGCCCTGTATGACGCAAGATCCATCCAGGCTGTGTTGCGACTCTTGAATGAAGACTACGCCAGACGTCTTGCCGGCCATGGGGGGGAGGACAGAGGAGGCCACACTGACGTGAAGTACCTATTCCGTCCCTTTGCCAAGGCGTCTGCTCTGGCGCAGAAGCGTGCCGTGGCATTCTGGACGGATACGGTGCGAGACTACGCGTATAGTCCTGTTGAGATATCCGGCGAGTCGCTGCACGCTTCCTCTTGCTTCTACTTCACCCTGGGCAGCTTGGAGCTGGCGAGCCTTCAGAGCAAATGCAGAGCGGCAAGCGTGACTTCCAAGGCGGCCATGCAGCTCGCCTGGGCCAAGGTCCTCTGCGAGTCGGTCTACAAACAGCCAGATATTGTCTTTGGGGAGGTGATTATGGCAGGCGACGATGACAGCGGCGATATCATAATGGGGCCGACCATCAACACGCTTCCTCTGCGTATCAAGTTGGCTCATCAGTCGGGGGCCATCAGCATCGGTCAGGCTTTATCTCAACTACAAGCACTGGGCGACAATGCCAGGGACGCAAAGGGAATGGCGTCCTTGAGGGCCATCCAGACAGCATGGAGATCGTCCAGGGCTGAAGGTGTCAACACAGCCGCCGGCCTCTTCCAGAGCTTGTTCGTATTCGACGGCGTCATCGGCTCCGAAAGCGACAGGCCACGGACGGATCTTGTCGTGCCGGCCCGTGCCGCGACGCCGGATGATACGAAGACTGGTGAGAAGGGACCTGCGTACGATGACTACCCTTACATCGTCAGCTTCCGTATCAAAGATGGCGCCTTGCACGGCGCCCTGCGAACCAAAGCGGGCGACGAGGAGGCGAATCGCCTGGGCCAGCGGTTGGAAGCTGCCTTGCGATACGTTGGGGCGGAGAATCTGGAAAATTCGGCGCTCGATCCCGCCCACGTACCTCGGGCGGATAGTTGGGACAAAGAACGAGTACCCAAGAAGGGGGCGAGCGGGGATGCTGATTGTCTAGCATCAGATGGACTGACGGGAAAGGCTGAGGCCGTTCTGGACCTCGTAAAGCAGGTGGTCGGGGACAAGATCAGAGGGGAAGACATACGGTGCAACACCAAGTTGGTGAACATTGGAGTGGACTCCATCTCGGCCATCCGCTTGTCCAAGATGCTGAAGAACAAGATGGGCATTCGTGCGAGCGTTTTTGAAATCGTCAGAGGCGCCAGCATCCAAGATGTTGTCAGGAAGCTGGCGTCGACGGAAAGCACCATCCCCAAGCATCCGAGGGAGCAACCCCTTTTGCAACGCAGCGGTCTCAAGGGACTGGTGGCCGACAAGCTTGGTCTATCACAGGAGCAGATCAGGTCCATATCTCCTGTTCTCCCAGGGCAGCGAGAGACTTTGCGGCAGTGGCTACACAGCGGAAAGAGGTTCTTCGAGCCCCCCTGGGCGTACCGGGTCGACGATTCTACTGACGCAAACAAGGTGGCGGCTCACTGGGCGGCACTTTGTCAGGCACACGAGATTCTGCGGACGACCTTTGTCCACATAGACGAACCTTCAGAGGTGGTGCAGGTTACTCTGGATGAGAGCATTTCTGCGGCCAAGCGCTTCACAGTGGCCCAGGACCTCACTCTCACGATCCAGGGGCTGGTTCACAAGGACGTCGGCGAGGGCAACGTCAAGCCGTCTGACCTTAAAGAAGCGCCGGCTCGTCTTTCTCTCCTGCAGGCGTCTGACGGACAGGCGCTCATTCTTCGGGTACACCATGCCCTGTACGACGCATGGAGCATCAAAATGATCGAGAAGGACCTCGCTGGTCTGTTCGCATCCACGCCGTTGCCATCCTACCCGTCTGTTCGGTCCGCAGTCCGGGAGATCGTCCACCTCAGGCATCCCGAAGCAGAGCAAAACTACTGGAGGCAGCACCTAGCCAAGGCACAAGACACAATCATCCAGCCGGGAGCCGTGGCAGCCAAGGACAGCAACCCGCGCCTGGGACCGCACTTCAAGGCAGCCTACGCAGACGTTCTGCCGCAAGGCGTCGCCGATGCCCTCGGCAGCGCCGTCAACGGCAAGGCCTACACCTCGGCCGCAGTCATCATCGCCTATGCTCGCGTGCTTGGCCGCGTGACGGGCCGGACGAGGCCCACGTTCGGCTTGAACCATTCCTCGCGCTCCTTGTCTTCCGCTGACGGCGTGCACACGCTCGACCTCACGGGCACGAGTATTCCCACCATGACCGTGACGCCACTTAGCGTGGACTTGGAGGTCCGACCAGAGCAGCTACGGCTCGATGCTGTTCAGGATCATGTAGCGCAGCTCACCAAGTTCGCGCAGGCCGACAATCTGGACAAGCTGTCACCCAAGTTCAACTCCTTCCTCAACATTCTCTACTCGGCGGGAGAGGATGTCGAGTCGCGACCGGACGGCATCGGGCAGAGACAGGTGCTGCGCCGTCTCAAACTCGGCGAGCCTCTGGCTTCCGAGTACTTCACAAGGACTGCGCCGTCGTCGGTTGTTTCGACCGTCGACGCTCTGGATACATCCTCCATGCCCGACCAGAAGCTCTACTTCAACGTCCTCGTGCACCAGAACGGAAACATGAGCGTCAATGTGAGCGGCAACGAGCTCCTTTTGCACGGTGACCGTGATTTTGTCACCAAGTTCCTGGAAAAATTCAGCGCCGAGTTGATTCGGTTCGTTGAGGAGACATAGGTTCCATTACGAGGACGGGAGGGTTGTTTCCGTAGTCTTCTATAAATTCTTTTGCTTGTTTGTTTTCACTGTCATTCAGTATATATGTCTTGTACACACACACACATACATATATATATACGGGTGTTTCGGGGCATGACACTTATATTCAGGATGAATCCTTCATCCGGGTAGAGCATTAGACCGAGGCTGTAGAATGCTTTTCTAAAAAGGTGCTTCGCTTCGCCTCATGAGCTAGCAACCACGCGCTCAGCTACATCTGTCCATGAATGACGGCGATGGAACGAACGAACCCCCTCAACTCGGCTCAGTGTCAGTGTCACGGTCCCGAAATCAGGGCCAACAACGGCAACAAGACGGCTGCGGCTGTACCAGCAGGAAAGCCTCCGAGCCCTCGGCCTGACGGCAGCTCACGTGTAGTCACTGAAGGGACAATCTTGGACATGCACGGGGTGCGGATGTCGCAACGCCCCGTACAGCACCGCAGCCACGCCATGCAGCCGTGTCCATAAAGAATGCGACTTTGCGACGGCGGGACCTCTATTTGGCAATAGATGCAGCGTGCAACTAACCGTATCGCAAGACAGGTCTCTGGCTGAGTCAATATTGCGGCACGTCGATGCCAGTGCTGCGCCTGGCATTGGCTGCTTGCCACGAAAGCTTCGACCTTTTGTCTCCTCTTCTTCTCTGCGCCAGTCTTGTAGTCTTGTAGTCTTGTATCGGCGTCTAAATGCTCCCGTCGCCGGGGACGATGTCATGCCGTCAGAAGTAGTCCTTCTCGGGGCAGCCAACCTGCTGATTTGTTGTATAATGCTACCGGCCTTCTTCTCACCACTGTCACGGCTCACGGCTCCTCACTGGCCATGCCCCATTTCAGATGTACGCACTGATCAGGCTGGAAACGGCACGGCGGGAGAGGAACTTGTCAAAGAGCAGGTGAGGTAGGTTATATTATTCGAGTTGCCCCAGTACTCCCAGTATCAATGGTGTGTGCCGTATATGAGGGGAGCTCGTCAAGCTAAACTTCCACTGATCTCCGTGTCTCGGCTTCCTTCAGAAAATATCCAAACAGGAGGCGCATGATTTTCAGGTCGTACAACAACAGCAACAAGAGTCATGTTCACTCTCCGGGAGCGGTCGCCGATCAGCTTGCCAGGGGTTTCTCTCCGCACGACACTTCCCGCTGCTGAAAGCCGCATGACAATATCGTGCGTATCCGCGTGGCCGAGCTGCAACTCCGACTTGCAAGGCGACAACTGCGTCCCAACGCCTCCCCCGCGGCCATAAGTCCGGCGCCTCGCGTGGCAGCCCGTCGCGGTCAGTCGCAGCTTGGGATCCTGTGCATCCAGCTTTCGTGGTTGACTTTGCCTTTGGTGCAGACGTCGGCAATGCCGATGTTTCCGATCACGTCTCCCTGTAGTTGTTCGCACGTCGCGTCAGCCTCGCGGCGACATTCTGACCCGTCGTAAACGGTGCCATGGGGTGCCATGGGCCACGTACCTCATCTGATGCGTAGTTGCAGCCCAGTTGGGATGTTCTGGCACCGAAGCAGAGCTGGTTCTCGGTCTCGTGTAGCGGCTCGCCAAGCGCACTGGCTCGAGGCAGTGTCGCGAGAAGGCTGAAAAGGGGTACCGACGACTTCATCTTGGTGCGGCGCCCGTGGAAAGGAGAGCTCCGCGCGAGAACAACTGCGACTTGGCCTTGATGGTTTACCTACGCAAGATACGCAGGGGAAAGACGATTGCAACCTGTGGGACGTAGCGTCCCGTCCCGACGGAAGTCCGACGGCTTTATATCTCTGGACATGGCTCCTCTTGCCAGGATGTCCAGAAGCCCGTCATCGGCTGCTCGTCTCCTCGTCTCCTCGTCTTTACTCCGTACGTCGAGCCCCGGAGTGGAGTCGCCTTGGAAATGAGAAGCAAATGATGGGGTCCTGCCCGGATTTTTGGCTGCCTCAACAGATGCCATCCATGGTCAACATCAACGCCCAGGAAATGGCCCATGCCCATGGCCGCAACAGCTGCGCCATCCGATCAAGGCCTCAGCTCTGCGACACCTTGCATGTACATGCCAAGGGTGATGGCGAGGCTTCCCTCAGTTCACGTGTATAAAGGTGCCTGGGCATACTCGATGATCCCGAGTTACTTGTTATGTTGTCGTTCTGCCAGCAGTCTTTGCGGCAGCAATCACTGAAAGAGGAGACCAGGCGTAAAATGTTTCATAATGCATATTCTTGTAACACGGGGTGACCAACACGAATAAAATTTACGTGACGGAGCGACAAGGAAGAGGAAAAAAAAAAAATGTTTAGCTTCTCTTTGATTAAACGTGTCATCCTTAGTGCAGGGGCCATGCTAATCTTCTCTGTGAGGTTGTCAGCTACAGGGTTCGAACTAAGCTTCTCTTCAGATGTGCGCGCACTAACCTGTATCGTTTCAAATAAACCAAATGCCCGAAGGCGTGAGGTCGAATACTAATCTCCATTATATAGCCTTGGGTGTGGGGCTCTGTTGAACAGTTGACCAGTTAAAATACGACAAAGGCGGAGCATGACCACATTACTCCGTACTGCAGGGTAGCAATGTTAAGATGTAATGGTACTCCGTAGAATTCATGTAATTGTATGCGCCTTGTTTTCCAACAATTGTCCCTCTGCAAGTACGGGAGAAGACACAGCAAGTCCGTCTATACTTTTTGTTCCCAATATCGAAAGTCACCGTGAGTTTGGGTTGCGGCGGCCCTGGTACCCGCAAAGGAAACTAATCTTGAAAATTGGCACGAATTCACACTTTTACTTTCCTACACTTGAGCGTCTTTTTGTAGCTAGCCATCTTTTCGCTTCTGCCAGCTTCGCGTAGACACGTGCGACATCAGAGCACCTAAGGGCTAGTTTATCTTCCAATATGGATTACGTACAACTCCCACGTAACTTTATACAAACTAGGCTTCTGCATCTCTGTGCATCTCTGTGCAGAGCTTCTCGGCATGTTATTCTCCTTGGTCTATTTAGTGGCTCGGTTCGCCAGCCAGAGATAATCTCAAGGGTCAGACGACCGCCCGTCCCCTGCCTTGGCGAGCCGACTGCGCTTTGATGCTTATGCTTGCGTCAAAGAGCTCGAGTCTCTTGATGGTGAGCCGGCTTGGTGATGCCGTTTCTTCTTTTTGGCGCTCCGCTCCTGCGCCTTGTCATCACCACCATCACCACCATCATCCCCTAGTGTTCGCTTGTTCGTTCTCGCACTTGAGCTACCTTCAGACACCTGGGCCTCTTTCAACTCGGCTTCCAATGGAGGCATCTGCTCCCGAATCCACTGGAGACGAACACCCTGAATCCTTATATTTTCCTTGATTTTATAGTACTTCGAAGTTGCCCCCATAAACTCCGAGATAAGTTTGCATCGCCTTTTGACGGCTTTGAGCGATGCTTCAGCTGCGTCTATCCTAGACTGGGCTTCCCTCATCATTCGAACCTGCACTGAATCAGGAAGGCTTGTATTCGAATCTTTCAAGGCTTTCTCCCGAACTGCCTCAGCATCCATCTTGGCGTGCACTGTTGCCTTTCTAGCTGCATCTAGTTCACTACCGAGCCGCAGTGTTGTTTCAAAAGACCACGGTCCCGACTAATTCTCGTCATCCCGCAAGGCCCCCGAGTCCAGAAGCTTTTGCCAGCTTTTATTATGATCTGGCTCGAGGCGTGCGAGGGCTCGCGTGTCCTTGTCGAGGCGCGAGTACTCGTAATTGAGGTATTCGATCCACGTCGTCCGTCCGTCTTGTTTGGCCGCGTCTTTGTCGAAAGCGAATGCTTTCGTGAAGCCATGCCGAGCGAGCCGACGCTTGGCTTCTGCAACGTATTCAGGAAACCCGCCGCGGCCATGGTCCTCCCGTAGCCAGTAGAAATTCTGCCGGTAGCGGCGGTCTTTTTCCTGATTGAACGCTTTCCTGAGCATCTGAAGATACTCATCCTCCGTCATCCCCGGCCACGTGCGTCCACGCTCCATGGCTCGTCGCTGCGTCTCTGCGACAAACGCGGCGAACCCTCCATCCCCATCATCGATGCCCTCTTTAGTCTGCTTGTCTTTAAATTGAGTCTCAAGCATCTGCACATATTCATGTTCGGACATTCCCGGCCACGGGCCGTCGACTCGAAATTGCCGTTGATTCTTCTCCTCCACATAGGCGGCAAACTCCTCCTCTCCGTCATCAAGGCCGTAATGACGTTGCTTCCTCTGGAACAAATTTCTGAGTTGTTCGAGGTACTGACTCGCTGTCGGACGCGTTTTTGTACCTTCAGCTCTCTGGCGCTTTTGCTCCTCCACGTAAGCAGCAAACTCCTTTTCCTCGTCCATCTCTCTGTTGTCTTGCCGCCAACAACGAAACATGTCCCACCTGTGCAACTGCGTCCGGAACGCTTGACACCGATCCGGCGGATAGGTCAGCCAAGGCTGCAAAATGTCGTCAAATTCCTCCAGTCCGTTGAAAACCTCTTCTAGGCGACTGATGGGGTATAATGGTCGGCAGCCGTCACTGACAAGAGAGTTGTAGGCGTTGGTCTCGTTTCGCTTCTCCTCTGTACGGTCGTCCAGATCTTCCGTGGGTGTTCTGTAACAGCGGGATTGTCTGGGCTTGGCTTGTGGCATGGCGTCTTGATTGTCCACGACCTCGCAAAGTCGTGCGGCAAGCTGATCGGCATCAATAGGGCGAGACTGCACGGCATCATTCACTTTTTGTTGTCCGATCCTATCTCGCCTGTCAGCAATGGAAACCATACTGGTTGGCGTAGAAACCTTACTTTAACTTCTCAACGAGCGCGTCCCGCTGGTCCTCTGGCAGCTCTTCCCAACCATCAAACTCGAGTTCAAACCCGCCGTCGGGACGTTGATTTGGCATCATGTACTGGACCAGCTCCACATCATCGAATGACATAATGTCATCAACACATAATTTGTGAGACCCAAGCCCTGGCATCGTCATTTTGAGGAGGCGTCGGGGAGAGAGAGGCACCCGGGGTGAATGGCAGTGGAACGTTTGGTCTGATGTTTGATGTGAGCAGTTTTTGGGACTAAAATAGTACCATCTCCCTCAAGTAAACCTGCCAAGTATGAAGCCAAGAGAAAAGGCTACTTAAGTACGTAGTAACTATTGCAGCGGTTCCACTTTTTTTTGTGCAACCCGTCTTGTCGCACGGCACAGCAAGCCCACTGAAACGGGACGATAAGAACACTTGAAACGTGAAAAAAGAGAAATGATGTGTATTAAAGAGGAAGCAACCAGACCTCCTACGATTGATCGAATGAAATGAAAAACCCCTTGAATTTTATCCCTGTGCGTGTTGTTTCCTTCCGATGTACGCGCCTAAGCCGCCACACAGTACCTTATTTATTGCCAAGTACTTCAAGTACCTATCTGCCAGAGTGAAGAATGCACAGCCAAATTCTGAACGGTTGAGAGCAGAGGATGAGATTGATACAGACATCGGACATTTATGTCACGACCCTTGCAACTCATTGTGCCTAGGCTCATCTTTAGCTGTGACAGCCTTACAGCCTGAGAGTCTATCGGAATGGTATCAATCTGCAGGTTAGACATAGACAGTCCTAGTCTGGAACAATTCCGCGAAGGGAAGGAACATCTAGTGTCGGCAAGGGGGGATTGTGTGAGAGCTGAGCGCAGGCCAATAGCTACGAGTCCTAGACTTTTAAAAGTATTGTATTTTTTGTAATTTTAATTACACTATATTTTATTATATCACAATATAGTATAATAAATCATGTTATGTTTTAGTCTGAGCTATGCTCGACCTAGATGGATGCACTAGAATGGGACATACTAACGTTACCTCTTCGTTGACAACCTGTATAGTGCTAGATAAACGGGCCAAGGGCGGCTTGTTCGTTACGTACCCAGGGGTCCGGCACACCACCGGGATGACTGCGGCTAGCACCTGCTATTGCTCCATAGAGCTAGCCCATCACATTGCAGAGCGAGCATTAGAAGGCTAGCGCCGCGGCTGCAGTTATTCATATCGCAATAATTGTAGTATTACAATAAAGAGCTTCTTAGGCAGCTGCAGCTAAATTTTTAATGTTAAAGAATATTTTTGTAATAACTTCTTATATAGATATATAGATGAACTGGGCAGGGCGTGGCAGGTCGGGAGTGGGCCTAAAATCAGTGTGGGGCGGTAGCGCGAATAGCACGACTCAGCGCAAGTCATAACCCGTCACTCGTCGCCAACCACAGTTCGAGTTTGACGCCAGCATTTGAAGCTCTCGTCGAAAAGTCATTGCCCGTAACACCCCTTCGAAGCGCGCCTCTTCGTTGTCTTGTCTCCTTTTTTTTCCCCAATAGCTGCTGTCATGTTCGGACTTGTCCTGCCATCGCAAACTGCGGCTACCTCGTGAGACCGTCCGAGTCCGGGTCTCAACAACCCCGCCATCATCAGCTCGACATCGAGGCCAGGCCCCGAAAGGCTCACTCATCTCGCACGGCGCGACACCAGCCGACGCTCTACGCCTTCAGGATGATACATTCGACCGAGGGCCCTGTCAAGCAGCAGCTTGAAGACAAGCTTCCCAAGCGCTTCAAGGGCATCAAGTTCGGCATCCAGTCGAACCAAGACATTGCCAACCAAGCCGTTCTCGAAGTGTCGGACCGATTACTGTACGATATTGAGAATAACCGAGCGCCGTATCGTCATGGACCTTTAGATCCAAGGCTAGGAACCTCAAGCAAGAGCGGGAAATGCGACACTTGCCATGACTCTCTGCAGAACTGCATTGGACACTTTGGCCATGTCAGATTACCTCTGCCGGCGTTTCACATTGGCTACTTGAGGTTCATCATGTCCATTCTGCAGGAGATTTGCAAGGACTGTGGAAGAGTATTGCTTGAAGAGCCCGAGCGGCGGTCCTTCCTCAAGGAGCTGAGACGGCCCATGGATAACCTTCGCCGCACGCAGATTTGCAAAAGAATCAACGAACAGTGTCGCAAGGCCAAGACGTGCCCTTACTGCGCATCAGTGAATGGCCAGATCCGAAAGATTGGCGTTCTGAAACTGACACACGACAAATTTTCCTTTTACAATAAATCTACCGCCGCGAAAAAGGTCCCCCCTGAAAGCAAAGTCAAGTTTGACGGCTCGTTCTCCGAGGCAAAGCGCGAAAATCCCGAACTTGAGAAGCACCTTCGCAAGGCCATGGAAGATCTCAACCCTCTTAGAGTTTTAAACCTCTTTAAAATGATTAGCCCAACAGACTGCGAACTACTTGGTCTTGATCCAGTTGAAGGGCGTCCAGAAATGTTCATATGGCAATTTGTGCCTGCTCCCCCAGTGTGTATCAGACCTTCAGTAGCACAGGATAATGCGAGCAACGAAGATGATCTCACGACAAAATTAGCTGATATTGTTTGGGTGAGTGGTATGATCCGATCAGCCCTGCAAAAGGGCTCTCCCATCCAAACTATCATGGAACAGTGGGAGTACTTGCAAACTCAGATAGCCATGTACGTCAATAGTGATGTGCCGGGTCTGCAACAGCCAGGATTTGGGAAGTCTACCAGAGGTTTTTGCCAGCGCCTCAAGGGAAAACAAGGCCGGTTCAGAGGAAATCTATCAGGCAAGCGGGTCGATTTCTCCGGCCGCACAGTTATTTCGCCTGATCCCAACTTGGGGATCGACCAAGTTGCTGTCCCCCAGCTTGTTGCCAAGAACTTGACATATCCCGAAAAAGTCAATCGGCAAAACATCGCAAAGCTACGTCAATGTGTCCGGAACGGCTGCGATGTCTGGCCTGGCGCCCAGGGAATCTTGAAGAAAGAAGACGACAGTTACTACAAGTTCAACTTGCGGTTTGGTAATAGAGACTTGGCAGCCAAGCAACTGAGTTACGGCGATATTGTCGAACGCCACCTCGAGGACGGCGATGTGGTGCTGTTCAACCGTCAACCTTCACTCCACAAGCTCAGTATTATGAGCCACCTGGCCAAGATTCGACCCTGGAGGACATTTCGTCTCAATGAGTGTGTGTGCAACCCTTATAACGCTGACTTTGATGGCGATGAAATGAACCTTCACGTTCCTCAGACAGAGGAGGCAAGAGCAGAGGCCATCAACCTCATGGGTGTGAAGTACAATTTAGCTACACCCAAGAACGGAGAGCCAATTATTGCTGCGACGCAGGATTTCATCACGGCTGCTTTCTTGCTAAGTAGCAAGGATCGATTCTTCGATCGCAAGTCGTTTTCATACATTTGCATGCACATGATGGAGCAGGGCACCAAAATAGAAGTCCCTGCTCCTGCCATTGTGGCACCAAAGGCCCTATGGACTGGAAAACAAATATTCAGCGTCATGATGAGACCAAACAGGAATTGTTCTGTCAAGATCAACCTTGACGCAAAGTGTCGAGCGTACAAAGCGCGCCCCGGCCAGTGCCCTGATATGGACCCAAACGATGGCTGGCTTGTTGTTCGCAATTCAGAGGTCATGTGTGGCCGTATGGACAAGTCGACTGTCGGATCGGGAAAGAAGGATTCTATCTTCTACGTGATTCTTCGAGATTTTGGCCCGGACGAGGCAGTTGTCGCCATGAATCGTTTAGCGAAGCTTTGTGCCAGAGCGCTCACTAATCGCGGATTTTCCATCGGCGTTGGTGACGTCTTCCCGACGGAGACTTTAAACGTCGAGAAAGAAAACCTAGTGTCGACCGCCTACAAGATGTGTGACGATCTTATCGAGACTTTTAAGCAGGGCAAACTAGACAAGGCTCCAGGTTGTAACATGGAGCAGACTCTAGAAAACTCAATTTCTGGTATCCTCAGCAAGGTTCGACAGCAGGCTGGTTCTTACTGTATTGACACTCTGTCTCGAAATAATGCCCCCCTTATCATGGCTCAGTCTGGCTCCAAGGGCTCCGACATTAATGTCGCACAAATGGTGGCAGTTGTCGGTCAACAAATTATCGGTGGACAGCGAGTTCCTGATGGATTTCAAGACAGAAGTTTGCCTCATTTCCACAAGAACGCCCGCCAGCCCCCATCAAAAGGTTTCGTCAAGAACAGTTTCTACACGGGTCTTCTCCCCACAGAATTCTTATTCCACGCTATCTCTGGTCGTGAAGGTCTGGTTGATACTGCTGTTAAGACTGCTGAAACCGGTTACATGTCGCGGCGACTAATGAAGTCATTGGAGGACTTGTCGACTCAGTATGACGACACAGTTAGAACTTCAGGAGGCGGAATTGTTCAGTTCCAGTTTGGTGCTGATAAGCTTGACCCTGTTGACATGGAGGGCTCAGCTGAGCCTGTTAATTTTAAGCGAACTTGGAGTCATGCCGAGACGCTTACCTGGGATAATGAAGAGGCCGCCATGACCCCTGGCGAAATCAGAGCGTTTTGCGATTCCATGCTTGCTGTGGAGCGAAGGCGGTTTCCCAGGCACGGCTTGGCATATGGCGAAAAGCTCGATTACGACGACACAACCGATTACGGCATTGATGAGCACGAGGGTGCCCGACGCTTCCTGAAGACGATTGAAAGCCATGTGGAAGGGTTGGCCTCCAAGCTTGAAAAGGTCCGAGAGCTGGCTGGATTCGATGGCGATAGGATGCTCAAGGCCACCGCTCAAGACCATGCTGACCGCACTGCAAAGGTGACAACAACAACGCTGCGTCTCTTCATCAAGATGTGTCTCGAAAAGTACAAAAAAGCTCACGTGGAGCCCGGCCACGCCGTCGGAGCCGTCGGAGCCCAGTCGATCGGTGAACCTGGTACGCAGATGACGCTGAAAACTTTCCATTTTGCCGGTGTCGCCGGCATGAGCATCACACAGGGTGTGCCGCGTATCAAAGAAATCATCAACGCCTCCAAGAATATCAGCACGCCGGTGATTACGTGCCCCCTGATGAACGATCAACAAATCGAGGCTGCAAGAGTCGTCAAGGGCCGCATCGAAAAGACGTACATCTCAGACGTGCTGCACTTCGTGGAGGATGAATGGCGTCCCGACGAGGGCAACGTGGTGCTGCAGATTGACCGAAGCGCTCTGTCCGACCTCCACCTGGGCATTGGTGTTCACGACATTGCCGAATCTATTTGCAAGCAGCGAAAGCTCAAGATTCTCCGTGAGGACCTGTCCGTCTTCGGCGACAGACTCGTCATCCGAGTACGAGATGCAAGCGACATGCCGGCCAGAAAGACGACGCGCACCAAGCCAGCCCTCGAGGACAGCGGCGACATGCTACTACGCGCCAACTTCTTGCGCCGGGCGCTTCCGCTCGTCCCTATCTCGGGGTATTCGGAGGCCACTCGTGCCATTATTCAGACGTCAGAGCAGAACACGCACAAGGTGCTGGTCGAGGGTTATGGACTACGCGAGTGTATGACCACAGAAGGTGTCATTGGCACCAAGACCCGGTCCAACAATGTCATGGAGTGTCGCGACGTTCTTGGCATCGAAGCTGCACGAACCACCATCGCCGACGAGATCAGCCAGGTCATGGGCGACATGGGCATCGATCCTCGGCACATGCAACTTCTGGCTGACGTCATGACGTACAAAGGCGAGGTGCTGGGCATCACACGATTCGGTCTGTCCAAGATGCGAGATAGTGTGCTGCAGTTGGCATCCTTTGAAAAGACGCCAGACCACTTATTCGAGGCTGCGGCGGGCATGAAGACGGACCAGATTGAGGGTGTAAGTGAGTGTATCATCATGGGACAGACGATGGCCGTGGGCACGGGTGCATTCCAAGTTGTACGGCGGCTGGGGATTCGGCCTGGAGATGTGGCGCAGAAGAAGACGTTGTTTGAGGATGCGTGGAATTCAGCGGTGACGAGCAAAAGGAAGGCAAGGAAACGGGCGTAGGCGTTCCATGGGAGGCATGTCGAAAATCAAAAAGCGCTTTGCATCAATGCAGTTGTGACATGACGCCTGGCGAGTACAGCCTATACCGAGCGTGATGTCCCGCAACGCAGCAATCACCGCCCTGTCTTGTCTCTTTCTTTCTTTTTTTCTTTTTTTCCAGTGAGCTCTTTACATCTATCACGTCGTCTCCTCGTCCCCTGCTCGCCGTTGTTCTCGCTCCTTGAAAACTACTAGTAGTCCCAAATCATAGCAGACCTTCAAGGAGCCGGCACACACAAAACTGACCCAGAACAAGTGATGATTTGCCAAGACGCCGGTGATGAGAGGTCCCAAGCTCTGCGCACTCGTCTTGACGACATTGACTAGCCCCATTACAGCGGTCCGTTCAGAGGGCAAGAATATGGCGGCGAGAAAGGCGGAGCGGGGGGCCACGTCCATTGATTGCGTGCACGCGCGGAGGGCCAGCAGACTGAGGGACAAGAAGAGGTTTGAAGGAACGGGGATGAGGGCGAGGAACATGGACGACGGGAGGTGAGTGAAGACCATTGTCTGAGGGATCGTCAACTAGATCCCTTGCCACGGCGTTTCTACGAGCCGAATCCACCCACGGCGTCATCCTCGAGTGAATTGGCCAGTTGGGATGGGGCATGGGATGGCAGTGAAGGGACTCACCTTGACATTTCCGAGGCGTTTGGAAATGGACGAGGCAACGACGACGGAAGCAGCTGAGATCAGAGACGTGGCGAAGAATATGGAGCCCAGGCGACCCTCCTCGATATCGAACCGCGAGCGAAAGTAAAATGTCACCCAGGACCTGAGCAATCAGCCGCTGAACTTGAGACTGCGTCGGAAGAGAAGAGATGCAGAAGTCAGGACCTACAGGGGCGCCAGGCCGGATGCAAACGCGTCCAGGCCAAACAGCAGACACAAGGTCGCGGCAATGGCCCTACTCTCAGCCGTGACATGCGGCACCAAAGAAGCCCATGTCGGCCGCGCATTCGCCGGGACCTCCTCGGGAGCAGCCGTCTGCCCGTTCAACAGGGGCTCCGACTCGGAGCGTGGCCCATTCCTCTTCGTCCTGTCTGCCTCGACGGCCGGGGACAGTGCCAGCGTCAACAACAACTTGACGACGCCGAGAAGCGCATAGCCCGCAAAGAGGAGGCGGTAGGCCTCTCCCAGACCTCGGCCGGCCGCAACTAGAGCGTGGGTGGCCCAGCCACAGGCCATGATGCCAAAGGCGGTGCCGGCGGTGCCGAGCAGGGTGTACCACGCGTAGACGTCGCTCCGCTGGTCGTGGGTGGTCAGGTGGGCGACGATGCTCTCCTCGACGGCGCGGAAGGGCCCGATCTCGTTTCCACTGGGGGAGATGACGCCAAAGACGGCGGCGGCCAGCAGGAGCCAGTAGTTTTGCAAGAGGGCGAAGGCGACGCCGCTGAGGGCCATGAGGACGGCACCGGCCGCGAGGGTGGCCTTGCGGCCAATCTTGTCGGCGGTCAGGGTGAGGAAGAAACTGATGAGGATGTCGCCGGCGAGGGTGAGCGTCATGAACAGGCCGGAGCGGGTGCGGCTGTGGCCCAGCGACTCGAGGTAGCTGACGAGGATGAGGGTGGAAGCGCCATAGGCAAAGAGGCGGGTGAAACGCTGGAGAATGAGGAGGTGGATGTCGAGGGGGCACGAGGCGAGCGTCGTGAGGCCCAGCTCGGTGAGGATGAGGATGCGGCGAGGTGTGGCTTGGGGCATTGTCGTTGCGGGGAGGTGCAGTTGTTGAAGGGTTGGATGTGATTCATGGTGTTGACGGCGGCGATGGACGTAGATGATGGGATTAAGTCCATGTCCATCCACGTCGCTTTGGGTGATTGCTCGGAGCTAGCTTTCCAGGTCCGAGATATTTCCGCGCTCATGTGGGACTAGGGGAAATGGCACGGCCGCAACAACGGACTTGCAAGAAGATGGCGATATCGACATCGCCGCGCTTCGTGAGCGCGAGAAGCTACCGGTCGTCGGCATGTGACATGGTGCGAGGCGTGCACTTTAGTTGCGGTTGCTCATGCTGGCGTTGCCACGGAAAACTCACCCACCAGTACAAAAGGAGTTGCCGTACTCTCCATGTCCTCTGGTGGACGTCAACAAGGCAGCGTCCAAGGGTAGTAGTTTCGTGATCCCGAATCAAGGAGCTCAAGCGTGGACATCGACTGAACATGGTGGCAAGGCACCGGCACGCCCTCACCTATTCAATAGCAGGCATCGGCACCCATCGTCGCAAATCATTCATGTCTTTGGATGGACCGTCACGCTTTTGATTACATTGAATCATCCCATGCTACCACAAGGGCACACCAGGGATCTATGGCCATAACCTTTTTCTGCCGCGACATCTAACCAAAAGGAAAATTCACATGATTATTTCACCTGTTTTGGCGCCCCATTTTACTCATCTGCCTCTTCCTCTTCTTCCGCCTCCGCCTCCGCCTCCGCCTTCTCTTGCTCCTCCGTCTCGGCTTCGTCTTGCTCGCCCTTCGTTTCTACTGCATTATCCGCTGCGGAGCCGGAGCCGCCTTCCGTCTCAGCCTTCAACCATGCATCCCATTCGGGGAACAAGTCGTCGTCATCCTCGGGGACACCAATCAGTTTGGCTACTCGACCCTTTTTGGACTTTTCCAGACTGTCTTTCCAGTCCTTTACGATGCTCTTGGTCAAACTCGGCTTATATGTTTGTGAGAATAGGGCGGCCTCGGCCAGTCGTCCCGTCTTGCGCAAGATCTCGACGCAGTTGTCGACGTCGCCCAAGAGCCATGAGCAAGAAAAGGCAATGTTGTGAGAGTTTGCTTCCTGGGCTTGCCTGGCCAGGGCTTCCAGGCCTTCCCTGTCGCCAGTAGATGAGTGGAGGAGTAGCAATGAACCCAGATCCTTGGCGTGGGTGAAGCACTCAGCAGCCAAAGCCACGTCCCATGCAGCCAGGGCAGAGTCTCCAACCGTCTTCCACTTGTGCTCGACATCAGCAGCGCGGGCCAGCTCGAGGGCCGTGGCCAGCTGGTTCAACGCCAGTGCAAGATCAAATTTGTGCTCGGGGTCGGTAGCAACCTCCAGAGCCAACTCTTTGTGACCCTGTCCCTCCAGGAATCTCGCAATCTTGCTAAGCTGGTCGTTGGGGATGGTAGGTAGTAGCTCGGCAGCTGTTTCCATGTCTTCTCGGAGAACCAGAGTCTGGTACTCAAGAACGGGGAGTGAGAGACCCAACGATGTGACATTGACATCTTTGTCGGCCAAGTAGATCTTTGAGTCGCGCTGGATGTAGCCCAGAATATACATAGGCTTGTCAAAATGTGACACAGTGTACGTCTGGTCGCCAACCAAATAATTCAAGCGGTTAGTGCTGTTGGTGTAGAGGAAGCAGTCCCCGATCCATTCACCAGTTCGAACACTGTAATTGCATCATTAGCCATCTTGGTCTCTTCGCCGACGCCAGAAATATCAGATTCACACCTACCTTTCGCTGATGTCAGTAATTACCTCGAAAGCGGCCTCAACCCCGTCGTCATCGACCTGACCGGACTGGACAGCTTCAATGTAGTTCTCTCGAGAAAATCTCAGGACATAAAAGCTGTCCTCGCAGGCAATGGCAACCAGTTCTCCACTTTCTGACCAGTAGACCTGTTTTGGCTCGACTTCAATTCTTCGCACCAGGCCCCCAGTAGCCCAGTCAAAGAATGAGATACCACCCTGACCAGTGACACCCAGAAGAACGCCACCTGTAAGACCATCAGCCTGGAAACCAACATCGAGACCGTTACTCTTTTCGACAAAATTCTTATAGACCTTGACGCTCATTGCTGACTCGCGAATGGCAAAGTCGTTACTGTTCTCCTTGGAACCCCAGACAAAGTCCAACGCTGACCCGAACGCCTTGTTACGCCATGCCAAAGCCGTGTAGATGATGTACTCGCCATCGCCGCAAACTGCGACGAATCGACCGTTGGGTGAATGAATCAACGTCTGAGGGTATACCTCACAGGTTCCCAGGTCTTTGATCGGGAGTGAGATGGGGTCATTGTCCTTGAGGGAGGCATCTCCCTTGATGATGGAAGACACGACCTCGTTATGCCGGGCCCAAATCAGCTTGCCAGAAGCATCCATAGAAACGGCGGGCTCCTCTCGTCCCAGCTTGACCACGACAGCACCATCGTCGTAGCCGACAGCAATTCCTTGCTTGCCCTTCTGATAAGACACACACCAAGCGCGCTCCAGACTGTAATTCAGAGATTGCTCGAATCTGTAGGTGTTGGCGTGCCAAATTCTAATAGTGCCGTCCTCGGAACCGGACACAATGACGGGAAGTTCTGGGTGGTAGCAAGCGAACGAGACATTGTTGGTGTGGCCCTCGAGCGTGGCAATCAGGGACTTTGTGGTGTAATCCCAGACCTTTACAGTTCGATCGTCAGAAGTAGTGAGAAGATAGGGCTTGTCGGAGTGGGGATAATAGTCGACGTGGTTCACACCCTTGCTCTCGTGAGCTTCCAATGTGAAGTTGGCGGTAGACGAGCCCAGGCTCCAAATTTTGACAGTTCGGTCCAAGCACGCAGAGGCAAACGTATTTGTGTCTTTGGGGTTGATGGCAATGCCCATGACGTAGTGGCTGTGACCCTCAAAAACTTGCACACACTTCCAGCCCTTGTCCCAATCCCAGAGCTTGATCGTCATATCGTCAGAAGCGGTCAAGATGAAGGGAAGCGTTGGGTGTACCGCGATTGCGCGAATGTAATCAGGATGTGCTTCGAATTGGGCCACTTTTTCGGAGGTGTTGTAGTTGTAGACGCGTATTTGGAAATCATCTGAGCCGCAGACAATCCAATTCTTGCGAGCGACGAATCGTCCAGCCCGAACAGGTACCTCGGTGAGCTCGAAAGTCTTGACCGTTTGTTGGGTCTCATACGACCAAATGTAGACATGGCCTTAAGGTTTGGAGAAGAATGAGTATACGCAACTTTTCCGAGGGTTGCTCTGCCGGGATGAGAAATAACTGCCTACCGCTGTAGAGTGTAGTGAGGATCCATGGCTCGTGAGGATGGAAGTCGACGCCTTTCACTCGCTCGCTGCGAGCATACAGCTGACGCTATAAAGACAAAATTCAAGGTCAACAATCTTTTCTTCTGCGTTCATCGTGTATTTCGACAGTATAACGTCTGGCCAGGAAAGGCGGCGGGAAGCTCAAAGCCCTGTGTCGTTGGAATACACAGAAACATTGCAGTGTTTAAACAGGCCACTAACCTTGACGTCGAGCTTCATGATGCCAATAATTGTCTCGCGCGATCAATGACTGTCGCCAAGACCGTAGCAGACGGCAAGAAAGAAGGTGGTAGGTGGTAGGTATGTCGTTGGGGAGCTGGAAAGGACGGAAGTTATTGATATCGTGGCAGCCACCATGCGTGGGTACAGAGTCTGCGTGATGGGAACCGTCGGCGCAAGTTCAAAGGGTATAATAGCAGAGCTCCCGCGGGAAAAACGAAATGACGCTGCAGCACCGACAGGATGGCAGGTTGGCAATTGGCTGCGGGTGCAGGCGATGCTCGAGACGGCGGCAAGATTACTTTTTGACTCGTAGACGACAGCCGGACGAGGGAGCTTCATCGAAAATGTGTCCAAAGTGTGCAAGAGCCGCTGTCACACTGACCGATTCAATGCCTGCCCCTCATCGCCGCGGTCGTGCCAGGCTGGCACCGTGCATGAACTGACCAATGAGAGCTGGGCTTCTGCGCCTGGAATGTCAGGTATCAACCAACCCATTGACCCCCTTTCCGGCGCACGGCGACCTTCAACCATACTCCGTAATGCTGCGTAGCTACAACGTACTACTGAGGACTCATTGCAGACGCGTGTAGTTGCAGGAGACCCTCTACTGGAATATCGATGGCATTGATGAAATTTTCTGTTGCAGTTTGTTGTCAGCTACATTCCGAAGGCTGCTGAATCAACTGATGCCAGGGTGGCTGCCCACGCCCATCCGCAGTTAGGGTACCACTGCCCACCGGTCGACGTCGACTATCGAAGGGGATAATTACAGGATGAAAATCGGTCAGCACTGATTCAACCCGTCTGCGGCAGTCACGAATGACGACGCCTGTGAGTGGTCTAGCATGCATGCTTTACTCCGTGCAATGGTTGCCCGTGTACTCCGTAGATCATGTGTCTACGGACCACTTGAGCATCGCTCGCGGTCCCCGATTAGCCCAGGAGCCACTACCGTGTTTGCACAGGACCTTGGACAAAGCTAAACGCACTGTGCTGCTAGGCCACAGGGCAGGCAAGCTCCATGGAAGATAGCCACGAATCACTGTGTGAACAGTGTATATAAATGTAGTTCTGTATCCACATGCTGCGCCATCTTCTGCACATTGACCATGGCGCTCTGACAATGATAACGACCAGTCAATTCTCGAGTTGGCCCGGCTGCCGTATTGGGTCGGTCGCCTGTCACTGCCCCAAGCGTTACGAACCACGGCAGGCCTCGCCTCTCAACTCGTCTTGCGACAATTAAGGTTTTGCTTCTCATCGTGCTGCACCATCTATCTTTCTCTCTTCTCTCTGCATTATTGTACGGCATACCCTTCTCGGACTGCATGCTGCATGTGTGTCCCCCGCTCTCCAGTGCAGTAGAACTACCACTCTCGGCGTCCAATACAAACATCTCCAGTCTGGTCTGGTGGCTTTGCCCAGGCCAAGCCAGAGCAGAGAGCATTCAGTCTTGTCCGAGTGCTCTGGTGTGCCCTCCAGCGACCCGTCCGGCGACCATCTTGAGCAAGGGCCGCGCTGGCGTCTGCGGGGTTGCGGGAGCCTCTCCGTCTCTGCCTCTGTCTCTACTAGTCTGCCTCCAGTACGGAGTACAGCAGACGGACATCTGGGCCGTCCGCCAAACCACTCTTCTAGTCCACTTCAACATCAGTCCTTCTTTATTCCACGCACGCCTTCGCCTCCGGCTCCCGCCATCAGCAACCCGACTTGTCTTCGGGTCCTTGGCCGTATCCCTTCAGCTGGTGGCTGAAGATTGACTCTCCCCGTTTCTGCGCCCAGGGCTCCTGAATAAGCATACCTGTGCCACAGGACCAACTTCCACATCCTGTCTTACATTCTCAACATCACGAGACAGACCCTGTTCGATCCCGTCGAGCGTCGATATCCGCGCTGCGATTACTGCCATGTCTTGGAAGCTCACAAAGAGTCAGTATTCCCTCTTGTCTGTTTACTGCTTGCGCAATTGGGCCGCTACCCCTGTGCTCGCCATGCAACACGTTCCGACGCCACTCCTCTAGATCCATTTCATTTCGGACCAAACACTTACCATTGCTTAAACCAGAGCTCAAGGAGACCCATCTAGGGACTCTGAGCGCCTTTGCTCGATCGCCGTCCACCTCGACCATCACGGACAAGGACGACAAGACCCCATCAGCCTCCGGCGCTGTCACTCCGACCACAGAGAACGCCATCGGTAAGCAGTGACAAGCCGCTTCCTTTAGGCATGACTTCTTCTCTCTAACACACACCTGATCCAGCCGCCTCGGAAGCCATGGCTCAGGCACCCGTCGTCACACCGCCAAAGCCCGGCATCCTAGTTGTAACACTTCACGAGGGCCAAGGATTTTCGTTGCCGGAATCGCATCGAAACGTCTTCACCTCACAGCACCAAGGGTCGTTGTCTACTAGCAACGCGGCGTCCAGCGTTTCCGGTTCTGTTCGGCCCTCATCCTCTCAGCGAGTCGCCGGGTCATTTATAAATGGATCTTCCCGACCACACTCGTCAGCGGGAGGCTTTGGAGGTATTCCCACTAATCACGGGCGTATTTCTGGCAAGTACATGCCATATGCTCTTCTCGATTTCGACAAGGTTCAGGTGTTTGTAAATTCGGTCGACGGCGACCCCGAGAATCCCCTCTGGGCAGGCGGAAATACCCAGTACAAATTTGACGTTTCACGAGTAACAGAGCTCGTCATTCACCTCTACTTGAGAAACCCAACCGCAGGCCCCGGGGCCGGTCGCAGTCAAGATATTTTCTTGGGTGTTGCCAGGATCAACCCGAAATTCGAAGAGAGGCACCCCTTCGTTGAGGACCCCAAGGCCAGCAAGAAAGATCGGGAGAAGGCGGCCGCTGAACACGCACAACGTCAAAAAGGCGATGGCCACAGCGGTGTCGAGTGGGTCGATATTCAATTTGGCACCGGAAAGATCAAGGTCGGCGTCGAATACGTCGAAACCCGCGCCGGCAAGCTCAAGATTGAAGACTTTGAGCTGCTCAAGGTGGTCGGCAAGGGCAGCTTTGGCAAGGTCATGCAGGTTCGCAAAAAAGACACCAGTCGTATCTATGCTCTCAAGACTATTCGAAAGGCACACATCATTTCCCGATCTGAAGTTGCTCACACTTTAGCGGAGCGATCTGTGCTGGCGCAGATCAACAATCCTTTCATTGTACCTCTCAAATTCAGTTTTCAGTCACCCGAGAAGCTGTATTTTGTTCTTGCTTTTGTCAATGGTGGAGAACTATTCTATCATTTGCAAAAGGAACATCGTTTTGATGTAAACAGAGCTAGGTTCTACACGGCGGAGTTGCTTTGCGCCCTGGAATGTTTGCATGGATTCAGTGTTATCTACCGCGACCTTAAGCCAGAGAATATCTTGCTCGACTACCAAGGTCACATTGCACTCTGCGATTTTGGTCTTTGCAAGCTTGATATGAAAGATGAGGACCGTACTAACACCTTTTGTGGTACTCCTGAATACCTGGCCCCAGAATTGCTCATGGGCAAGGGATACAAGAAGACAGTCGACTGGTGGACGCTCGGTGTGCTGCTGTACGAGATGTTGACAGGTCTGCCGCCTTTCTACGACGAGAACACCAACGAGATGTACCGGAAGATTCTATCAGAGCCGCTCCACTTCTCTGACGTTGTGCCTCCAGCTGCCAAAGATCTTCTTACGAAACTCCTGAACCGAGACCCTGAAGAGCGGCTGGGTGCCAACGGCTCTGCTGAGATCAAAGCACACCCCTTCTTCCATGCTATCGACTGGCGCAAGCTGCTGCAGCGCAAGTACGAGCCGACATTTAAGCCCAGTGTTGTAAGCGACCTCCCTCCCCCCCCCCCCCCCCAGCATTCCAATTTCTCTGTGCCCTTGCCCGTGAATCACTCGTAATCCTGACTAATTACTTGCAGGCTGACGCCTTGGACACTGTCAACTTTGATCCTGATTTCACCAGGCAGGCACCCCAGGACTCATTTGTGGATGGCCCAATGTTGTCACAAACCATGCAAAACCAATTTCAAGGCTTCAGCTACAATCGACCAATTGCTGGACTTGGAGACGCGGGTGGCAGTGTGAGCGATCCGTCGTTTGTGGGCAATATTCAAGATCAACGATGAAGAATGAAGTTCGATACATTCGAATTAAGCGAGCATATAGCGGGAACGCAATGTTTCATCACGGCTTCGAATGATGTTGACACTCTGTCAAGAGTAAATACACAGACGATTGGAAAAGCCTGGAGTTACATACACAGGTTAGAGCGAGAAGACGGCCTAGAAAAGGGTGAAGGGGGACCGAAGTTGCCAGATACTTTTTTGGCATAGGACTGAAAGATGAAGAATTTTACCCCCCTTTTTTTAAGGACCTCGTTTTGTTTCAGCAAAAAAAGGTATCATGACGATGCATTCGGAGTTTGGCGGACAATATGCGTACAGTCCGTTTTAGAAAAGAGGAGTTGTTTTGTCACGATGCCTTTGAATTGTCCGTTACTGTTCACATGACTTTGGTCACTCGGGTTTCTTTTTCACACTTGTTATTTCATACTACCACCAATGGAAAAAAGAGCATGTTATGATGAGCCAATACAAGACGTAGTTAGATTAGTTTAGCATGACTACATTGGAAATCAGGACACATCAGCCAGGACATATTGAGTGTTGTAAAGGGTGAAATGGACGACCTCATTGATGGCTTGATTCATCAGGGGCGCATGGAATCAATCACGGCAAACGTCGCGGCCCGCAGCCCGTCAGCCGCGCCCCTGGTACCGCTGGATGTTTGTTGCCTTGTTGCCTTGTTGCCCCGCTCCCTCCGTGTTGATCTAGGTCAAAGACGTAATAACGGAAAGCACGACCGCCTTGACTTTATTAGTTACCCCTCCCCCTCCACACATCACATCACACATGTACAGGCTTATGCAAGAATCCAGTCACTGACTCTCAGCACCAAAGCAAGCATTCGTCAGCGCAGGCAGATGAGACGAGAGCTCCACAGAAGCTTGATTTCCGACTTCCTAGTGCCGTCATGTTCGTTTTCACTTTGCGTTGCAACAAGTTGAACAGTTGCAGCTGCAGCCCCGCTCCTTGTTCCGGTCTCCACTGAACAGCCTCACCATTGTCGACCCCTCCTGGTGAGTTATAAATCTATTGTCTGTATGTATGTATCTCCTCCTCTTGGACCCGCTCGAGTTGTAAAAGCGACAGTGTCTGGTGATGCCGAGACTTCCGCCGGATCCGTCGTCACAGCTCCCATCTTCCATCTCTCTGGTTTCCCCTTGTGCGTCACAGGCAAGACGATGGGTCTGCTTCGTTCATGCAACAATTAGTACCCGGCTGAACGCACTCTGGACCTTTCACCGCATTTCTTTGACCTTGACTGCGCACTCGTTGCACACCAACAGGGTTCCGCTTGGCTAATCACCATTTTGTCCATTCTATCTAGACTCTAGCGTCTCTCATTTTCCTCACCAAGCCTTCAACGACGACCGGCATGGCCCCCGCTAATACGCTGCCCGCTTGGGCTGAGCTTCAAGCTCATCGTGACAATGTTGGCAAAAATTTCATCCTCAAAGAGGCCTTCGCTTCAGACCCGGATCGATTCTCTCGATTCACTCGTACCTTCGACTCTAGCGGGGTTTCGGCCGAGATTCTTTTCGATTTCAGCAAGAACTTCCTGACTGATGAGACCCTCGACCTCCTGGTCAAGCTTGCCGAGCAGGCTGGCCTGGAGAAGAAACGAGATGCCATGTTTGCCGGCGAGAAGATCAACTTTACTGAGAAGCGTGCTGTTTATCACACTGCTCTGCGAAATGTCGGCGGCTGGGACATGAAGGTTGATGGTGTGGACGTCATGAACGCCCCTGGTGGTGTCAATGACGTTTTGAAACATATGAAGGAGTTCTCAGAACAGGTCCGGAGCGGAGAGTGGAAGGGTTTTACCGGAAAAAAGCTAACTACCATTATCAACATTGGAATTGGTGGCTCTGATCTGTGAGTATTGGCCAGAGATCGCCGAGCACGCAACTGATAGCGCTCTGCCCTTTTCTTGTTTCCATTTCACCCTGGGAGAGACGGTCAGGAAAGCTAACCTATGGCTGCCGCCAGTGGCCCCGTCATGGTCACGGAAGCTCTGAAGCACTATGGAGCCGATGACATGACTCTTCACTTCGTCTCCAACATTGATGGAACTCACATGGCTGAGGCTCTCAAGAACTCTGACCCCGAGACCACCCTCTTTCTTATCGCCTCCAAGACGTTTACCACGGCCGAGACCACAACCAATGCCAACACTGCCAAGGCCTGGTTTTTGGACCAGACTGGGAATAAGGGCGACATTGCCAAGCACTTTGTTGCTCTGTCTACCAACGAGCCTGAGGTAACCAAGTTTGGAATCGACAGCAAGAACATGTTTGGATTCGAGAGTTGGGTCGGCGGTCGATACTCTGTCTGGAGTGCCATTGGTCTTAGCGTTGCCTTGTACATTGGCTTTGACAATTTCCACAGGTTCCTCGGTGGTGCCCATGCCATGGACAAACATTTCCGCGAGACGCCCATCAAGGAAAATATTCCCATTCTTGGTGGTTTGCTCAGCGTCTGGTACTCTGACTTTTTCCAGGCTCAAACTCATCTTGTTGCTCCGTAAGTGTAGTCACTCTTGTGCAAACTAGCAGCTCTATGAAACAGCCTTTGTAGTCTTGGAATAAGCAGGGAGCAGTTGCATGGCTAACATATCTTCCCAGATTCGACCAATACCTCCACCGCTTCCCTGCTTACCTACAGCAGCTCTCTATGGAGTCAAACGGAAAGTCTATTACTTCTGATGGCTCCGCTGTCAAGTACACCACTGGTACGTTTTGTCTGCAGTCAGCCATTGATGTTGATGAAGCTCTGCTAAAAGACCAGGCCCTATTCTCTTTGGCGAGCCCTGCACCAATGCTCAGCACTCCTTCTTCCAGCTTGTCCATCAGGGTACCAAGCTGATCCCCACCGATTTCATTCTGGCTGCTCAGTCTCACAACCCCACCACCAACAACCTACACCAGAAGATGCTGGCATCCAACTACTTTGCTCAAGCTGAGGCCTTGATGGTCGGCAAGACTGACGAGCAGGTCAAAGCTGAAGGTACTCCCGAGGAGCTCGTTCCACACAAGCGATTCCTCGGAAACCGCCCTACGACTTCTATCCTCGTTGGAGGAACAATTGGACCTGCCGAGCTAGGAGCCTTAATCGTCTACTATGAGCACTTGACTTTCACCGAGGGTGCCATTTGGGACATCAACAGCTTTGATCAGTGGGGCGTCGAGCTGGGCAAGGTTCTGGCCAAGAATATCCTCAAGGAGCTAGACGAGGCCGGTAATGGTGCGGGCCACGATGGCTCGACTGGCGGTCTTATCGGGGCTTTCAAGAAGTACTCCAAGATTTAAAACACGAAACACCAGCTAAGCACGATGGCATTGACGGACAAGAAATTGTAAATGAAGAAGAAGAAAATAAATTCAGTGTAGCTGAACTTACCAAACTGTATTTCAGGCATTCTGTTGTGGGCATATGACCTCGTAACTAAATTTCTTAGTTTCGTCCATCCTGCCAGGTTATTCAAAGACTTCAGGCGGAGAATGAGTATCGCGTAAAACGCAACCTCAATACAGTCACCCCTGTCAATGTATTCTGATGTCCTTTGGGTGCCGAGGACGTCTTGGCCATCTGAGGGCCAAGTGGACAGAGGATTTCCCGATTGATCACGCAGCTGGACGCCCTCAGATATGACAAGATGGGAATACAACAACGGATCAATCGAAATACTCTCCAAAAGAGCAGCTGAGCCGGCATGATGTAGGGCCAGCGCGTTCTTGTTGCCAGGCGCTTATTAATCGTCCAAGCCAGAGGGGGGGTCCGAACAGTTTACAGACAGACGAGCAGGCATTGATACTACAAGGTGTTCAATTTCTATGTTGACACTATACAGACACGATATTGCGGCAGCACAGCAGGGCATGCGCACTTCATGTACCCCGTGTTGAGATAGGTTCTTGGCGGCCGGAGCATTGTATCCTGGTTGTTTTCAATAAATGTCTTGTAGGGTAGGTACAAATACATGGCGTGGTAACTTGAAGCACCAGACGCTCTAAACCAGATATTTTCTGTCCCGCGCGGCCGGCTCTCTTCAATGGACTCGTAGGTCTCGCCGGAGGAAAGCAATCCATGCCGGCCCAGCACGGCTACAACGCCCGATAAATGAACGGCAGGAGCGCACCGACGCAGCCATCACAACTTCCACAGGCTCCACTACGGCCATCACCGGGGGAGGCATCGTAGGACTGGCCACCGCCCAAGCGTGAAGGGCATCGAGGAAAAGGATCCCCAGTGGGTTCGAGACCCTTTATCGTGGCTCAAGCCCGTATCACGTTGTGCTATTGCAAAGACGCTTCGCGAAACGGGCTTCTCGAAGTGGAGCCTTGCTTGGCGGAACCCACGATGATGATACGAGCCAGTTTCGGCTTTTTCTGCGAGCAAGATTCTTGCTGTAAATGGGAAATGGGGAAGCCTGGTAGTGAGCACTGAGAACCATGACGTCGTGTCTTTGGGGGACTGCTGACTGGATGGTCATTTCACATCAGCAACTTGGCAATATGCTTGTGTTCTGGAGGAGAACCACAGTCCGGTATGACAACGAGCACGATCAAAATACTAGTTGGCACTTGTGACTTGGCAGACCAGAATGCATTTTTTTTTGCAAGGACGTCCAAGTTGCATTTGCGTGGTGGACGCCAAGCGCGTTCCGTAATAAACGGTGGATTCATGGATCCACTTCAAATGGATGGATGATGTTGGTTTCCGGTTCAATGAAGTCATCGTTTCGAAGATTCAACTAGTTATGTACCGACGTTAGTCGTCGTAATGATTCAACTAGTACGCGCCGGAGCCGTCGGAGGGTAAGGATGTAAATTGGGATGGATGGCCGTCAAGTTATGGCGATGTGCGTGGCCTTTAGTATCGTCCCGGCGTGTACGGAGCCTATGAGACATTCCGTTAGCCGACGACTTCAAGTCAACAAAACATTATAGCAGCGGGCCAAATGAAACTGGGAGAGAGGCCGCGACGAGGAGATTTCTTTCCTGTAATGAATATTCCATGAAATAACAATCGACAAAGAAAAACGACCGATCGCTCTGGAATCGTTCTCCACCTCTCGATTGATCCGACGTAACCTCACGATGGCTGTGCGGGTTTTTGTTCCCGTTGTCACGGGAAGCACCGGCACCTCCGGGGACAAAGCGCCTGCAGTAGGCTGCCGATGAAGAATCGTGGCCGGTTTTTATGGAGCACATTGATGGCATCGTGAAAAGGTGAAATTACCTATTTTGTTCCGGGACGTAGATGATGGGCCGCACGTTCGTGCTTGATGCACACCCCCTCGGCGACGTAAACATGGCCACATTCATCGTCTCTAGGGTGTTCTTCGGAATAACTACGTACTCTGTACTCCGTACTTGGTCCCGTCTGGACAACTAAGCATGGGTAGGTGAACTTGCTGTACTACGTACCTACTCATTTTATCTTTGGACCTGGATCTGTTCGAGATCCGCAAAAAAGCAACTGCGTTCTATTTTTACTAGGGAGGGTCACCGCGTGCTGGATATCATCAATTGGCCTTTAGAGGATAACTCGTCGACAACTCGAACAGGTGCGCCATTTTGGACACAGTTTCCCGTCCCTCGGTGCGTCATTATCCGCCCATCCTTTTCGCCGTCCCCCTGTTTATCTTGGACAGGGAGGCCCACAGGTGGTAGGTGCTAGAAACGATGACTGGGTGGCCGGGTTGCCAGGCTGCTTGGTCGGCTCCCCCCCGGAGAGGGCGGTATCGCTTCGACTCGTGTTGTCATAGTGTGGCCATGTCGAAGGCTCCGCGGTCAACACCCAGAAGCGCAATCGAAAAAGGTTCACGAAAACGCGTCTCTACTCCGTACCGCACTGATAATTTCGTGGCACAACCGGCCAGCCAGCTTCACCCTTGGTGGCATCGAGAACACATGGGTCGTGAGTGCCCGCAACGTCGTTCGTTCGATGTTACCACGGCAGCAATGGCCAAGGGCTGCAATCGGAGAGCGAATAGCAACAAGGCTTTGCCTAGCGCCGCTAAAACACCGAATGCGATGAAACAAGCAGCGAATAGCCAGTCGATCATGATGTGCTCACCGGTCGGCAGGACGGCGCAGACGGTGACGACTGCATAAACTGGGGGAACAGCTCTGCATGATGTTAGCTGAGGAGACATGGCTATTCTGGTGCAGCGCTGTCAGTGGCTGGCAAAGATTCAGACTTCAAACGCGAGTGAGGCTGCAACAACGGCCAGTGCAGGCGCAATGGTGGTGGTGGTGTGATACGTTGGCTGAGCTTACTTCAGTCTGTACATCTTGGACTCCTGGACTCCTGGACTCGCGATGGCTCGGCGGCGTTGACAGGGAGCCCCTGAGCATTGACGGTTTGCCTTGACGGTGGCCACGGTACTCCGTACTTGGGCTTCTATGGGCCCCGATGGCCGCTCATGCTTCGGGACCACGACTGCCACTGCCCGTGATTCTCCGTACTGCGTGGTACTTCCGTCTGGTACTCCGTACAGTAACTCCGTACTTGATGCAAGTCAATGACGGCGGCAAGGCGACCACGATTCCAACACCCGCCGACGACATCGCCTCGCTGCGGTGCTTCTCTCGCCTGGACGCAAGTTGGTCATGGTTTGCCGGCAAGCGTCCGCCGCATATTCCAGCCGTGAAAAAAGTCGAGGTGCATTTGCATTTGCGCCAAAGACATGAGTTGTCAGGCGGGCGTCAAGAAAGCCACGATGCCCTCTGACCAGCAAAACGTGCTCTCGACATCGAGCACATGAGTCGTCCGTTCCTGCCGTTTCAGTACTGGCCTTAGCCTGCATTCCCCACCCCGGGTTGACCGCCTAAACTCTGGTACTCCGGTTGTCCGGTTCATCAATGTTATGCATTGCGCCACACTGTACTCCGTAGTTACTCCGTACTTGAGTACTAGCAGCACTCGGAGGCTGCCTCTGAGGCCGGGCTGGCATGCACCCCGCCAGGCCCACCTGCCCCGTCCTGAAGACGCCCCACCCACAGGACGTATCGAGGTACGAAGTACACTCTAGACTCTGTGCCATGGTTACATCACAATCACACCTGGTGATTATTGTCGTGGATTGCACGGCTCTGACAAACACAAACGCTGCACGTGTAGTTGTAGCCAGCTGCTACAAAGCGTTGTCTTGAAGTGCCATGTCCACCACCGCAGGAGCCAGACATGTGCAACAACCACGGTAATCCACGGCCATGGCCATCATCTCAACGCAAGTAACGACAGTAACAGCCTTATGCACTGCCATGCGCCGTGCGCCATGCGCCATGCGCCACGAGCCATGGCCGCCCGCTTCTCAATATCGTCATCAATTGCCCCTCGCTCCTGCCCTTGTTTCTTCACCACACGCCCCGTGCCCCACTACAATGTCTCAATGTCCTCACTTGGCCGTACGTATTGTAACTAAGTTCTCTGGTGTATTGCAAAAGCCTTGGATCCGTTCCGCCATCACCCTTCCTTCGTCATTTCCCTCCCTATACATAAACCCTAGTAGACCCTCCCCTCTTCCGGCTGAAATTTCCCCTCCATATCCAACCAACACACTCCCATCCAAGACGGTCACCGTCCAGGCTTTTCCTTTTCGTTCCCTTTTCGGCTTGTTTGTTGAGCTGCTCTTTCCGCCGCCTATTCTACGACTCCGCCTTTCCATTCAAGACCCTAGCACACTCTAGTCCCCTCCGCCAGGCAATATTTCTGGCCTCTTTTCTTTTGCTTTAGACTCGAAAAATCACACTCATCAACCCATTCTTCACGATGGCTGTCGGTGGCGACAAGAAGGCTGTCCATTTTGGAGCTGGCAACATCGGTACGTAGCCTAGTAGGCGCAGTTGCATAGTCACTCTACTTAGCACCCGGCTCTGGCACGATGTGTCAACAAGCGGCCACTTTGCACCGTCCAATTTTGCCTGGTGATCACCAGGCCGTGTATCAGTGCTTCGGAATCTGCCTTGGTCGCTCTGGCTGTTTAGTAGCTTGCACACCTCAAATACTCAAGATAATAGTTCATGAAATGAAACTCCTTTGCTGACCTTTTTTTCTCCTAGGCCGAGGCTTCGTTGCCTGCTTCCTCCACAACTCTGGCTACGAGGTCGTCTTTGCCGATGTTGTTGACTCTCTCATTGACAAGATCAACTCAACACCCTCATACAAGGTCATTGAGGTCGGCTCAGAGGACACCACCGAGAACACCATCACCAACTACCGCGCCATCAACTCCAAGACTCATGAGGAGGAATTGATCAATGAGATCGCCACCGCCGAGGTCGTCACCTGCTCAGTTGGCCCGAATATTCTGAAGTTTATTGCTCCCGTCATCGCCAAGGGCATCGACCGCCGCTCCAAAGATGATGCTCCGCTGCATGTTATTGCTTGCGAAAACGCTATTGGAGCTACCGACACTCTTGCCAAGCATATAAAAGACCCTGCCAACACCGCTCCCGAGCGTCTCGAGGACCACCATCTCCGAGCCCGCTATGCCAACTCTGCCATAGACAGAATTGTGCCTGCTCAGGATCCCAACGCTGGTCTTGATGTCACCCTTGAGAAGTTCTTCGAGTGGGTAGTCGACAAGACCCCTTTCGAGGATGTTGGCATCCCCTCAATTGAGGGTATCAACTGGGTGGACAACCTGGCGCCGTTCATCGAACGCAAGTTGTACACTGTAAATACGGGACACGCCACTGCCGCCTACCATGGCTATAACCGAAGAAAGCGCACCGTCTACGATGCCTTGCAAGATCGAGTCATCATGGCCGAAGTACGTGGCGCGCTGATGGAGACCAAGAACCTCATTGTCTCCAAGCATGAATTTGGTGAAGATGACCAAGCTGCCTACGTTGAAAAGATTATCAAACGTATCGGCAACCCTCATTTGGAGGACGCCGTGGAGCGTGTAGGCCGTGCCCCTCTGCGAAAGCTTTCTCGAAAGGAGCGCTTCATAGGGCCTGCGGCCGAGCTCGCTGAGCGTGACCAACCCATCAAATTCCTCCTTGACGCTATCGAGATGTGCTTCCGCTTCCAGAACGTCGAAGAAGACGAAGAATCCAAGGAGCTGGCCAAGATCATGTCTGAGGACAGCCCCAACGAGATTGTCAGCAAGGTTTGCGGCATCCAAACTAGTGACAAGATTTATCCCTCGCTGGTCTCCATTGTTCAGCGTGTTCAAGAAGACAGCCGCGAAGATTGACTGGAGCGTCGCGACGGGTCTCCCGACCTGACTGAAAAACGACGCTTTGGTGCAAAAATTTGATCTGAAGGGCGCAGATGACGAGACATGACTTCACATTATACCTAGCAATATGCTATCGGATTTTGGAATTATTCCTGATTACTTGCTTCTTTCGCCCAGAAGCATGGCGCTCGGGCGGGTATCGGAGTTCACCAACTGGACTGACTCGGGTTTTGACCCAAGAGTTCATGACAGGGATTGAGATGCGGCTACATTCGGCTCGCACACATAGATTGATTTCAATAACAGAAGGGAACTTTTTGATGAAGCCGACTTGTACAATTTTGTGAATGATTCCGTGTCCATGATGACTGTTTTAGCTGCTTTGGGCCACATGCTTTGCCTCTTAGGTAAGTGGCTCACCCTCAAAACCAACGGCGAACTTGCCTGGCCACCCTCGGGATCGGTACCTGGCAACTACCATTCGATAGTAAATGCGAAACGGACCCTATACGGCAATCGGAACGACGACTCTCGATGTCGGACCGCTCTTTCGGCAGAGCACTTTCTCATGGTCGGAAGCCATAAGCCGACGTTGGCCCGGCTCCGGCAGCTTAAAAGGCTGACCATGTCTCCTTGGATTCCATTCAGAACAGGCCGTCAAGAACTCAAGGTTCCCCTCGAGCAAAAAGAAAGATTTATGTTCGAAAAAGCCCGCCCCGAAAAAAAAGAAAGAAACGAAAAGAAAAATAACAATAAAAGATCAAGCTACCTGAACAGCTTGTTCAAGTGCCTGCACTTCAACAATTGGCATTCGTCGTCCTCGTTTGCAAAATGAAGGGTCTTCTCAGCCTGTTGCCAATCACAACAGTCGTCTTCGGCCAGATAACAGTGAAAGTCAGCGACGTCGAGCCACTACCCTTGAGTTCAGCCGGCTTCGTAGCTTCGGCAGATGAGCTCTTTCGACAAAGCTGCCCGGAAGAAGTGGCGAATAAGAACCCCTACACGTCCAAGTTACTATTGTCGTCTCATTCGAAGTTTGAGGAGCCCAGCGAGCATGTCTTCCAAGGAGACGTCTACCCGTCGTCTGACAGTTTTGTTCGCGGTGCTATAGCGGCCTGGGCACAGCATCAAAGCCTGGTCCTTCGTCCCGATGTAATCTGGTTCGAGATTCTGACCCAGCTTAACTTTTACATGACGAAGCATGCGGAAGACATTCGACACTTGTTTGTAAACTTCGAAGGCAAGAAGGAAATTGTTGTGGAGGAAATTTCTTGGACCAAGGTTATTGGCGCATTTGCGGCCGAGATACAACAACGTGTCAAGACGAGTTGGCTGCTGGGATGGATCACACCTGGATTCAGTACCAGTACGCAGAATGATAACATGACGGCCACCGTGTTAATGATGGGACTTATGCAACACTACTTCCAGTTCACTGGAACCATCATTTGTGGCCTCCCGTCTGTTACCTTGTTAGGGACCAAACCTGACTGGGTCAGACTGTTGAAGAAATTGGACCGCTTGCCAGAATTTGGTGACGAGCCTGCGCAGTACGCCCATAACCTGAGGCCTATTTTTAGCCGATTTGTGCAGACGTGGGACGAACCAGATGACCCGCAGATCAAGAAATTCTGGAGTCAGATTGTGCGAGCTAATAAAGTATTTTCTTGCGGCGCTGGGCCTACAGAATACGATGTTTCTGGCTGGATCACGGGGTTCCTGCATTGGCGAGAAGATGGCGCGCTCGTCGCTCCCAACGGTACTCGAGCACAATCAGACGACGTACGACTGGATGACGTGGCATACACTCACGTGGATACGAAGCACATTCCTGTTGGATATGCCAAAGCGCCCCTTAAGATGCTGCACTACCCAGTTTACTGGGAAGACACACAGGCTTATGTGCTGGCAGGAAACATTGGAATCAAGAGGACTATATCTGAGCCGTTGGCGAAGGGCGGCAAACCCCAAGTGCTAGCAGAGGCGATGAATTCGTGGTTCCTGTATGGACCTGTCAACACCAACTTCACGACAGGACCGAAGTACGGGAACTTGTCAGAGTTTGGGAGCGTTGCAGCGAGTTTGAGCGACTGGTGCCCGGCGGCAGACGCTAAATGAGATTGACAATGGAGGATGTGCGACAAGTCGTGTTTCAGTACAGCGGTGAAGCCGCATACTTGAGTAGAGATGGATGGTGGAACCGTCTGTTGACTTGGACATGTCTGAAGCATCGAATGCTTGCGGTTGTCTCGTGGTGGGTGTTAGTCACTACTTGTCCGTTAAAAAAAAGTGTGTCGCTTAGATTGGACCCCTAGCGACGCGGGCAGACTGTGAAAATAAATAAAAAAATTAAAAAAAAAAACAATGACGGGCCACTATCTTCAGCAGCGCTTTTTCGTTTGACGTTTGACGTCAACTGATTGTGAACGAACGCGTAGTCCCTAGACGGTACTTGGTAACTAACGTACTCGAAAGTTGCGACGGAAAGGCGTAGTGGGGGTTCGGACCACCACTTTGTGCATCTGGAAGCATGCCGCCTCGACTTCCTCCAACCAACCACGTCGACTGGCGGGCTACCTCTTCTCTTCGAGTTTCCTCCAGAGACTACGGCACGGTTGAAACATGCACTAGAGTTGACTGGGGGCCGCCTGCGACTGATGCTTCTCAGCAATGCCATCATGACGACAGTCCAGCCTCGCACACGCTCCCGCGTAAATGCCATGAGACCGACGACCAAGACCCGCTCTCCCGCCGCGAGTTCTACGAGTTCGACACACGCGAATGGAGCTGGCCTGTCAGTGTTGCCCGTGCTGTTCACGAACTTGAGACTGTTGGATTTGGATACCTTGCCGGACTGGCCAGATGTTAGTCCTGATACGTTTGCCGCAACCGGAGTCCAGGGGCAGAAGAGGAGGGTGCACTGTATTGAGTGGATTTTGGTGCGACTATTCGAGCTTTGGGATGCCGGAGAGGCCTCTGCGGTAAGTGCCCGAATTAGCAATTTTGGTTTGAGTCCGCGTGCTTGCTCAGCCGACCTCTTGGGAGACTGCTCCATCCTAGATACCTCACAATGCTAACTAGCGTGTAATGCAGAAACTCAAGCCCTTCTTTCCACCCGCCGACCAATTGCAATCTGTCAATCTCCGTTCAGCACTACTTCGGGGCCTTGAAACCGCTAAAAAGAACGGCGTGCTCGGCCGAGACACTGTTATTCGAAGGACCATGCTCGACGACTGCAAGGGCGAACGGCTCGAGGAACTCCTGACTTCGTTCTCTACAGCTGTGCTCAAGAAGACCCTCGAAGAGAATATACATGCGTCTGATACATGTCCGCCTGTTTCTGTCAGTCTGGCATTTGCAAATAGAGGGTATGACGACGACAACAGCGACTTAAATGCCCTGATACTAGCATATAAATTTTCGCTGTGCCGGCTCCTGCATCGGAAAAGCAATGCTAGGGACTTGTATAATGACTTTGCGGATCTTCTGAGCATCAAAGAGAGGGCTGTTGCACGACGGTCGGAAGCAATTCGGGCAAAAGAAGCAGACCCTAAGCGAGACACTCTGTCTAACAATGCGAGGGAGGAGATGAGGCGCTTAATCAGGAATAACTGGTCTGGAAACGAGGATTGGATGCAGACCTTGGTGCACGGTGATTTCGGTGATAAGGAGACTGGTTTATTGGCCATGCCCTTTGATAATGTCTGGCGAGGCCTTCAACAACAGTGCTTGGCGGAAATTGAAGAGAACTCAATCGGGTTGTTGGATCAGCTGGATAAAAGAGTATGGGCTCAAAGAGAACGACTAGCGAGGTGGGATATGTTCAGAAAGGAGACATTCGGCCAATCTGCCCAGGGAGTCGTATCTCCAAAGAAGCTGCGAGCTGTCGAGAAGAAAACCAACAAGGGGATCGACTTTAAGTTTTCTGCTCATACCGAGCTGCAAGTTGGATCGGACATTATTAGCATGAACATGGACGTTGGCAGAAGCCCGTCACTGACACCGGAATACGAGGGCCTGGTGGAGAGGTTAAAACAAGAGCTATCTCGCATCAAAGACGTGGATTCCACTTTCTTGGACCACGTACACAGAAGGCCCTCCGGACAACGCTTTATGGGATCGTTTGGACATTCCTCAGACGCCGCCGAGACCGTCTCCGAGATAAGCGAACTCGAAGACGAGCCGTACGGACCGCTGCCTGTATCTTTTCCTGTCAGCGCCAACCGCCCGAAACTAGAGAGTCTCGGACGACATCCAGTTAAACCGCAAATGATACATTCCGAAGTTTTCAACCAGTCCACCTCAACAACCGGCTCTATTTCACCACCACATGAGGAGCCTCCTCAGAAACGACGAATCCACCTCCCCCCGGTCGAAGACTTTGACGAGATCGAGCCGCCTCCGTCACCGACTCAAACCACGGCCGACCGTATCCTGTCATCCACGGACGGCGCATCCCCATCTGCCGCAACCCGCATCAAGCAGCGGCCGACCCTCTCCCTGGCCCAGCGCACCCGTCTTTCCATGGCAGGAAACCATTCCCCATTTCTCGACGAAGAAACCGCACTGCCCCTCCGACCAGCATTTAGCGATAAACATGGCCCCACTCCCCCTTCTGAACCCGAGTCTAAACCGGCGGATAATGAGCCCATGGATCTAGCTAGCCGGACGCGGCTCAGCATGGCTGGCTTTGAAAAGGCACAAAGGAAGGCCCAGCTTGAAAGGAGGAAGAGTCTTCGGAAGAGCAAGGCTTTGCCCAGGAAGGAGGGCAGCTATTTCCCAAAGCTAGAGGAGGAGCAAGAAGAAGAGGGCAGGGCGGAGCTGACGGAAGAATTGATGCTGGAAGAGGACATGGAGGCCGTGTTCAGATCGAGGCCGAGGATCAAGGCCAGCCCTCTGGCAAGTCCGACTAGAGAATGGGACCATGAGTAAGCTTTGATGTGCGACGTACATAATAGACTTCTTCATCTCGAGCTCGAAAATGCGCCGTGAGATCCACGCATGTATCGCGTGCTTGACGTTATAGGGCTCAAATCAAGAAGCCCTGCGCGCTCTCGAAGTAGAAGGCCAGGGCAGACATGTACAATACGGGAGAGTTGGCAGACACGCATGTTGAATGTGAAAGGTCAAGTTGACGGAGGACTATAGCGGCACCAGCTGCCACGGGCTTCCAATCAGTCCAGTCGTGCGGCATCACAATCGTACAGAGGGAGGCGGACTGCGAAGGGGCCGATCCCTCCCTGAAATGCTAAAATTGTCGTACACGCCATCCGGGCTCTATGGTACAGGCGCCCCCGGCTCTTCACCAGCCTTGCTTCTTCAACTCCATGACCCTGTTGACGGCGGCCTTGAATCCCGTCTTGAAGCGGGCCCGCCACCGCTGGCTCCTTAAACGCTTCTTCTTGAGGCCCTTGCGCTCGTGGAACTTTTGGGAGTGGAACTTGTTCTTGATCTTTTGGTCGCGGCACATCTTGTCGAGCACGCGGAGGGCCATCATGGGCGTCGGGGCGGACGTGGGCGACAGGCGGTCCTGGATGAAGACCGTGCGGCCGGAGACGGCCTTGGTGCGCACTTTTGGGTTGTCCATGGGGTTGGGCGCGCCGCGGTTGTGGACGTACGAGGAGGCCTTTTCGGAGAGGATGCTGGCTAGGTCGATGGTGATGTTGGAGGGGGACAGGGCGTCGTAGGCGCGTGCTTGTTTCCCCGGGGACTCGGGGATGGCGGGAGCGGCTGAGGCAGGCGGTGGAGGGGGAGGGGGAGGCACGGAGACACCGGGCGATGCGGAATCGGGACCGGGGCGAGGTTCGGCGGGAACGTAGCTGCCCACGAGGGGGTTGGACCGCGCCGTCGGGCCCCGTGAGCTGGAGGAGGGCGCGTCGGCGTCGAAGAGAGGTTTTGAGGAGGCGATTCGCAGACGAAGAGCTGTGGAGAATCCTCGCGTCGCTGGGATGGGGGACGGCGAGGCCATCGCCATTCGGGCCAGCATTGCGCTGGTGTGTCTGGGTGCGGCCCTGCGGAGGTTTTAGTACATGAATGCCCCTGGGGGGATGGGCCGTGTGTTGGATTTCGGAGTACACACATTCTGGATGGTGCTGGCCCTGCACCAGCTGTGTATCGAGATCAATGGATGTCGCCAGATCAGGCATCAGGCGAGAAGCTTATCATCGCGTTGATGATAGCCAAAAGTTGCTGGGCAGAGGTTGCCGGAGCGGAGCAAAGTTGATGCGGACAGAACAAGGACGAGGACGCTGTTTGGGTGGGTTTACAGCTGGCCTCGGCGGGCGGCTCCACTAGAACCCCGTTGGGTCATGGGCTGCAGCTCTTTTCCGGCGAGGTCAAGTTCGACGACGACCAGTTGTTCTCTGTTCGACAAACTGATCCTTGACTCGTGCAAGTCATCGGTGCCGACGCTTGTGCGATTTGGAACTGCACGTTTGGATCGTATCGAAGGGGGCGCTTGCTCTGGTCGATCACTGCGTTGGATTGTTGGGAGACGCTCTCGGCAGATTTCACGACACGCCAGCAGACAACATGGCCTACAATCAGTATGGGGGTATGTTGCATACAGGAATCGAGACGTTCTAGAGCCTCACGGAAGACTGGTTCGGTTTCTAACACGTCCATCTAGGTAACCCCTACGGTATGCCACCGGGCTACGGTGGCTACGGCGCACCACCACCTGGCAGGAATGCGCCGCCGGGCCTTGGTGCGACTTCAACGCTCGATGCAACTTGTGATGAAGTACTGGCTGACTTTGATGGTGAAGGACCTCCTCCCGGTATGGCTGCTCCCCCCGGCGTGGGAGCCCCCCCAGGTATGCAGCAAGCCAACGCTCCCCAATCTGGGCGTCCTGGCGGCTTACCCGCCAGCTTTCAGGCTCCGGCCAACATGCCGAATATCAACTTCAACGCGCCCGTCATTCGCCTAGGGACGAGCGCACCGACGACAGACGGTGGTGGCAGGGGTGATCGGTCGCAAGCCTCGGGCGGCCGGGCCGGCCTTGGTATGGAACGTGGTCCCGATCAGGGACGAGGTGCTGCCAGAGAGGCTGCCCAAATGCTGATCCCGCCAAGCGCCGATGAGAAACTCCGAACGATCATGCTTCACCAAATCCCGGACGGCGTTCAAGGCGATGAGGGGGTGCAGAAGCTATTGAGTGCTGTTGGAACTCTGCGCAAGTGGGAGTCTGCGGCCAGTGTGTTGGAAGAGCACAGAGGCACAAAGTTTGGTTTCGCGCTTTTCGACGATGCTGAGTCAGTATCTAATGCTGTCAAGCTTCTGCACGAGCAGAATGTGGAAGTGCCGGTTCGGCGCCAAGGCGGTTCGGCCGACGCCCCCCCCGAAGACGAAAATTTCGAGGGCATTGAGAAGGTTGCGCTTCAGGTTGCTGTAGACCCTACCACGCTCAAGTACGCCGAGTCTTTCGAAGAGAGCAGAGCGGACAATCCCGCCGCCTTTGGGAAGGTGGAGGACGCTCAGGCAGCTCTGAGGCAAGTTCTGCGCGAGCTGTTCTACCCTCCAATCAGCAACGGTACCGACGTCGATGGTGACAGTGCCATGAAGAATGACGCCGATGAGAATGTTGAAGTGGTCAATATCCCCATAGCGCAGGAAGATGAATTGGCTGATATTCCTGCGGAGATGCGGGAGGTCGTGGCGGGAGAAATCGCTGCATTCCGTGAGAGGAGTAATCAACGAGATCTGGAGAGACTGCGAAAGGAGGAGGAGATGGAGGAGATGGAGAGGCAGCGAAACGGTTCATCTCGACCGGCGGGCGGAGCAAATATTATTCCCCTCGGCCCCAAGGGAACCGTGCCAAATGCTCCATCTGGACCTAGGGGCCAAAACGGACATCATCGTGTATCGTTTCTTAACGGTGAATTCGGCATAAACGATGAAGAAGACTCGCAGGCCAGCGATGAGGAGCTCAACCGAAGACAGAAGAAAGCACAGCAAAGCGAGGACGACAAGGCGTACATTGACGCCGAACGCAAGTGGGCAAATCGCGAACGTTCAAGGCAATCGGCACTGGACCGGGAACAAGACCGTGAGAAGCAAGAAGCTGAGACTGAGCGGTTCAAGAAGGACGAACATCTTGAGAGAGACAAGTCGTGGGATGATGATCGAGAGGCCAGCCGCAAATCACATCTCTACTACCGCGACCATGGAACGTGGGCTCGGAAACGCGGTATGGACCGGGCAGATGAGGAGAGCAAAGACGATGCGGACCGGCGAGCCGAAAACGACGAGCGGCGCCGGGAGCAGGCACAAGCGGAGAAGGCCAGAGGCATGGCCGACTCGTTCCTGGACCAGCAAGCTGAAGAGATGGACCGGCGCGAGGCGGCGGCGGCTGCTGCTCCTCAGCCATTCAAGCTTTCTCTGGGCGCCGCTGTTCAAAAGGCACAAGCTTCCAGAGTGCCCCAGCGCCGTACAATTGCCGAGGTTGAGGGCCTGCTGGACGACGAGGACACGGAGCAGTCCACCAAGCGCCAACTCGTACCTATCCAGATGGAACCGATATCCGGTGCTGCTGCCATGACGGAAGAAGAGATCTCGCAGGCAGTCAGAGCTCTTGCCCAGGAGATCCCATCCGAGCGGGACGGGCTGTGGAGCTGGGAAGTCAAGTGGGACTACATGGACGACTCTGTCATCCGAGAGAAGCTGCGGCCGTTTGTCGAGAAGAAGGTGGTGGACTACCTGGGCGTACAGGAGGAGATGCTGGTAGAGGCGGTGGAGGAGCATTTACGAAAGCACGGCACTGCCGGTGCGCTGGTGGAGGAGCTCGAAGGGGTAAGCAACTCTCTTATCTGTCATTGTTTTTGTTTTCAAAAATTGCCTGCCAACAGAGGGTGTGACTGACTGCTCTCTAGGCGTTGGATGAGGATGCCGAGGATCTGGTCAAGAAGTTGTGGCGCATGGTGATTTTCTTTACTGAGAGTGAGAAGCGAGGGTTGCCAGCGTAGAGCGGCCTCCCGGTCAACTTGTGCATGAGAGAGAGGCTATTAAAAAAAGAGAAAAAAAGGAAAAAAAAAAAAGACTCTCGACAGGGAAGTGGTTGTGATATATAGGGGGCGTCGGTGGTGTATTTCACTTTCCAACATGGCGATGGCTGGGCTGGTGATGCGGGATACCACTTGTTGTAATTGATGCAGACTGGGAGTACCTAGGTGCCCTGGGAGGGTATGGATCTTGTGATTGTGACGCCGTCTGGGTGTTGTTGGCTGTGACGTATCGTGTGACGATGTGTGTGGGAAAGGTGCTGGGCGGGCTTCGACGTGAGACGCACACCGCGGGAGTTGCATTTGAAATGCACTGGTCAACCACCGTCCCCTTGGACGCACCCGGGCCTGCTTCCGGCCGGTATACTGCAATGCTCGGCAGGGCCAGTTCTACTTGTCTCGTGCTCTCCGTTGTTGCCAGGGGCGAGAAGGACAGGAGAGGGTTGGTGTCGTCGGGTCGATGGACTACGTCAGCGGATCTGGAAACACAGACACACAGACACACACTTATGAACGCTCAAAAGGACTTTTTCTTCCAGAAGGGTTCCATAGGTACCAAGCCGCTCGCCACTTCTGGTTCGCGACCAGCCGTCTGGATGAATCTACTCTTGGTACATCAAAGTATGAAAGAAAGGACGAGGCAACATTGCGTGGGCTACTCCCGAGCCGAGGAAACCTCGGCGTGTTTCTCGAGTATCTCGGCGAGAGCATCCGTCATGTCCTGCAATGGAAACTCGCGTCTGTTGCGAGGGGCTGGTTCGAACCACAGGGTGACTGCGTAAACCTTGCCCTTCAGCTCAAACGCCTCGGACGTGTGTCCGCCCTCGCGCCGGTAACGGTTCTCGACGAGGCCGACGACCTGTGCGGAGCTCCAGGTCTGGTCCTTGGCGAGGACGACAATGATTCCCTTGTTGGAGGCCACGAGCAGGACCCTGGAGTTGTAGCCCTCCAGCAAGGTGGCGCCGTCGAGGTCGGGGCCGAACGTCTGCTTCTCGCCACTCTCGGCCACCAGGGGAACGGGAACAGGCTTGCCCTCGGCGGCGCCGCTGTCGAAGAGCACCAGCTGGCCGCCGTTTCGCTGGTCCACCGCCAGCAGCTTCTGACCGACAGTCACTATGCTGGTGAGGCCCGTGTCGGTGGTTTTGGGAGACCCGCTGTCCCACCAGAGGGAGGGCTTGCCGTCGGGGGTGATCTTGATGATGTGGCCTGGGTACGTGCCCACGACGAAGAGGTTGCCGCATTTGCCGACGGCGAAGTCCTGCGGGCCTCCCATTTTCCCCTTTGTCGGGGCGGAAACGCTGGCACGCCACACTTCGGTTTTACTTCCAAGGTCGTACTTGACCACGAAGCTCGACCCACCGAGATGCTCGCCGCCGCTCTCGAATGGAGCGCCCTGGTTGACGGAAACGAACAGGAAGTTGTTGGATTTCAGCACGCCGCTTGCGTGGTATTGTGAGTCGTTCGTGAGACCACGGAAGGGGATGGTACCGATGAACGCCAGTTTCCCGTCTTTAAATTCGTATTTGGCGACATCAGAGGCGTAGAGTCGACTGTGTCAACAGGTCAGCAATCCGGACCCTGGCTCCGTTGCGCTCACGTGCCGGCAAGAGCAGAGCACACCTGGTGTCCTCTGTGTTGTAGAGCGAGGTCATACCTGAAGAACAGCTCGTCCCCGTCGACGGCGACAGACTCGGGATAGGAGGAGCCGGGGAGAACGAGGTCCTCCGTCGCGGCGGCGACCACGGCTCCCAGACCTGCTGATAGCAGGAGCAGAGCGCGGGTCAACAACATTGCGGGCGGTAGAGAGTGCGAGCAGTTGCGTTGACGGCGCGTCAGGGGAATGAATGGGTGAATATGGGGCTACGAGGCTGCCAAGTCGATAGACAATCACCTAACTCGTCGGGGCTGGCATCGAGGCGGGCGCCCTGGGACAAATATATAGCCGCCCCAAGGCAACTTGGCATAGGTCGCAGTTCGGTGGACGAGAGGCAAATCCTGTCCTCCGCGTACCCATCTTGCTTCAGCGTCATGGCATTGCGAAGCATGCGCATGAGTCTGGACCAGGAACACAAGCTGGGCGACAACGTACACCCCTATCAGAGCGTCATCTCCCTCGCTGGCCGAGTGGGAGGACATGGACTTGCCAGCGTTTGATTCGGGCGCCGTGACTCGACGATGGTTGCGAGGATGCCGTGGTGTTGCGGCCTCGAGGCTGCCCCCCCAGACAGCTTGGACGCGTTGCGGCGGAATCCTTGCGACCAGGGAGCTTATCCAGGCTGAGAGATTGGTGCTGACTCGTGGGAATACAATGTTGCCCGGGTGTGGATTTTCATTTCCTCTGATATGGATGTTGCTTCCCCTTCCCACCGTGGCTCCAGCAGCAGATACATGGGCGCTGACGTGGCGACGTGCGTAAGAACTCGGCGGGAGAGACGGGCATGTGTAGCTTGCGGGAACAGAGGACAGCAGAGGCAGAGCCTTTTCTCGGCATCCGGGTCCTGGGGCTGGCTTGGCCGTGGCGATGATGGGCGACGTCGAAGCCGAGCCGCTGGTCAAGTCTGCGCGTTTCATTTTGAGTGGCGTGGTGGATATTCAACGCGTTTGCGGCAAAGATGTCCTGTTTGCACTGGGCAAACAGGATACACGGCATCCCAGGGGCACGCGCAGGCCAGTCGGGATGGCAAAGTCAGTTTCTCGCCCGTTGTACGCGTCCATGGAGGGAGGTTGAGAGAAGCAAGGCGGCCATCACCCCATCACCACATCACCACATCACCACACGGCCGCCGAGCAAACACGCTCCGCGCCCTTGACACCTCGGCTGAACAGGGCAGTCTCTCTAGAGGTCGTTGACGCGGCAGGGGTAGCGCTGCGCGTCCTCGGCGGTCGTGATGAGCCTGTCCTGGTGCCAGGACTGATTCGCCGTTTCATGTGGCTGACAAAAGACGAGACAATGTTAATATTGACGAAACCTCCTCTCCTCTCCAACTCTCGAATCCATCTTGTGAATAAAGCATCTGATCGTCTGTTGTCTGCCCCCTCTGCTGACTGCCAGCAAGCAAGCAAGCAAGCGCAAGCGCAAGGGACACCATCCCGCAGCGCAGGCTCCTCGTCGGCGTGCCTCTCATCCCGTCCTCGGTCCGTCTCCCGCGTGTCAATACGCATGGAACCATGAGGCAGACATCCCACCGAAGCCGTGGACAGCTCGTTGCTCCAGACGAGTCTCGCTCCTGCAAGAGCATTGAAACACGCCCGCTCCCATGACCGTCGTCACCACTTGTCTCCGCCCATCCGAACGAACGCGCAGACGGTTGACGTGGCTGATGCTACGCATAACACGGTATATTGCTGTGGATGCATGCGAGAGACGACTTGGGCAGGCAGTCCCGGCCGAGGGGACCATGGGACGGCCGAGTCGCGAGCCTCGTCACATGGACAGCCTCGCCCTCTCGTTTCCTGGGGAGGAGAGTCGTCAGTAGTTGCATGGCACGTACGTACGTACGGCATGGCATCCAATTCTATCCGGGGCGGCATTATCCCCCCCTCCTCTTCTGAAAACATCCAGTTCCATCCACGGCTACTAGTGTTGCCCTCGACATGAGATGCCCAGAGAGGGGCATCCCTCGGCCTGGAAAGGCATGAATGAGGGTCGTCATGACTGGTGACTTTGGAATCGTCGACATGGGTCCTACCGTCTGCCGCACACTATGGCCTGTTTCTTAGCCAGGTCAAAAAGGGTTTGTCTCAGCTGGAGTGACAAGACGAGTCATGCCATGTCCCACGTATTTCAAACACGTACGGAAGCACTCTTCCCCTACGGGTCTTGCTTGGCTGGGCCCCAGAATTCGCCAAGTCCATCTTTTCCCCAAAAGCAGGCAATGCAAACCCTCTCCGATAGTGTCAGCCTCATCTTGCACCATGCTCCCCCACGAGTGCAGCCAGCGGCGCCCGAGGGCTCAAGGCGGCGGCTTCGACGGGACACCGGTATCGGGCCCCGGCCTGGGGTCCGCATCAATGGCTGCGTTCTTGTCCGCCCAGTCCATCATCTTCTCAATCTCGCGACACTTGTGGGGAGTGCTGAAGTCAGGGTAGAGCCTGCGCTCGTCCACCCAGGAGTAGGTGACGGGGCCTCGATCATCTTTGACAAAGTTAAAAAGTAGCGCCACAGAGTGCGCACAGCCGGCACAATACGACGATAGGTCGCGACGACCCTTTTCGGAGTCACGCCTAGGCTTGCTGCAGTGAGCACACTTGCTCGCTGCTCGAATCCCCCCCTCCTTCGTCGTCCTGCCTGCAAACCGTGCCGTCGGCATCAAGGCTGCCAATGTGCCGTTGCCGAGGCACCGAGTCCTCGGGCCACCTCAATTCGCGCCCGCCATTGGCTGTTGCCCTTCCGTCGACCGCGTCTCCACCCCCGGATTTCCCTGATCGGGTGACGGCCCGACAGATAACATCGCCAACGGATATTCAACGCTTGCACAGGTCGTGCAGTTTGTGAGCGCTGCACACTCTGGAGCGGCACGGAACAAGTTCCTAGTTACCTACCTGAAGGTGCCACCGTCGGCGCAGCCGCCACTAGCCATCACCTCCTTCCTCCCATCGGTCGTCGTTGCGGTCGTGGAACAATACGTCGTCATGACCCTCAACGACTTCATCCACCCGCCACCCTCCATCCCCAACGTCATCCTCTCCTTTCCACGCTTTCACATCCTCCTCGTCACCCTCAACCGCCCCAAGCAGCTCAACGCCGTTCCGCGGGACCTGCACACGCGGCTCGACGCCCTCTGGGCGTGGTACGACGCCGAGCCCGTCCTCCGCTGTGCTGTTCTCACCGGCCGCGGACGAGCCTTCTCCGCAGGTGCTGACCTCAAGGAGTGGAACGAGGGGCTCGAAAAAAACACCCCCGGCGGCGCCGACCGCGACCCGACCTCGGCATGGGCAGACAGCGGTTTCGGCGGTCTCAGCAACCGCAGGGGAAAGAAGCCCATCGTCGCCGCCGTGAACGGCCTCTGCCTCGGCGGCGCAATGGAGATGATCCTCAATGTGGACATGGTCATCTCGGCGCCCGACGCCAAGTTTGGCCTTCCCGAGGTCACCAGAGGCGTCGTTGCCGTCGCCGGCGCGCTGCCCCGACTGACGAGGATTGTGGGCAGACAGAGGGCGTCCGAGATGGCGCTTCTGGGCGGGATGCATTCAGCACAAAAGCTGCGTGAGTGGGGGATCGTCAACAAGGTCGTCAAGGCAAAGGGGGAGCATGCCGTTGTTGAAGAGGCGCTGAGGTGGGCGACAGACGTGGCGTGCAATTCGCCCGACTCCGTCATTGTCAGTCGGGAGGGCTTGCTGGGCGGCTGGGACGCGGAGGACCCAAGGGCGAGCACCGAGAGGGTCGATCGGGGGATATATCAGAGAATGTATGGCGGCGAGAATATGAGGGAGGGCGTGTTGAGTTTTGTCGAGAGGAGGAAGGCGGAGTGGAAGGACAGCAGGCTGTGACGCGTGTTGTTGTAGCTTGTGAGCGTCTTGTCGTGTCCTTTTGAAGAGTTGCTTCGACTCGTCCGTCATCTTCCATCCAACCTGCTTCTGCGCCTGCTTACTGAGCTGCTCAGGGGTGCTGCGGACCGCAACAGACTGCGCTTGAGTCTAGATGCTCCAATATGCAACAAAAACTGCCATCCTTCCGCTCCCAACCACGTATCCAAGCCGTGGGGTCCCGAGATGAGTTGGTGGCCGCCATCCGACATGAGACTTGTCCGCCTAGAAGACCGGATCACTAGGGCGATTGCCATTGCTTGGTTGGTGGATAGATCTGCGAAGACGATTATTGTGTTGGCCGTCTTGATCAGCTACGAGGTCCTTGTCCTTGGTGCCGCCGTCATCCGACATGTCACCTAAACATCTTGCCAGAGGAAGTCATGATTTCAGTAGAGTCTGGTTTTCCCGGGACGCGTCATGCATTCGTGAAGTCCAGGGACTCTTGAAGAATTTCAAGTCGCCACGGACCCGGGGGCACGTGGCACCGACGGCAGGACATTGTGCAACTACTTGGGGAGCGCGGGAAGGCTAATCAGAAGGAACACCATCTGATATGGACATGTTCGGTCCGTGAGCATGCAGCAAGACCCAAGTAGAACGAGCCGGTACCCGTCGATGGAATGACGGAAACTCTGCCATCCTCGAACTTGACACCGCAGGCGCGTGCCGCACAGAGTATGGTCCGGGAATGCTAGCGAGAACAAGATGGACATGACCTGATCCACCATGAGAAATGTCATGCAGGAGATCCCGGGCGCCCAAATCGAATTGCGGCGGCAAATTGTGACGCCGCGTTGGTAGTGGTTTTTGAGCGGCACGGCCCGGCATAGTAGCATCTGCTATTCAATCATCGTCGATGGAATGATGGTCCGTCATCAATTCATCAGTCGACGACACGAGCAATTTCGTCAATAGATTACGGCGTAGCAAATCCTCATATACCGGAAATGCACCCATGGTTCCAAACGAGATGGGCTCCATGTGCTGTCCGTTCGACGTGCTCACAACCTGGGACCGGATCTCCCAGTCAGCGCGCATCCTGCAGTCGTGAAAGCCATACGCAGGAAAAAGCAAAAGGGCCAAGACTTGGGCTGTCCCATCTTTGACGAAAGTGGCCCAGCGGCGCTGCCGAAAAAGATGTGCATCGCGGATGCGGTGCAACGCCACAGCCCTCCAGGATCCTGGGAGAGGGGGGGGGGAGGCAAGAGGCAAAGACAAGAGGCAATGGCAAGATGGGGACGCATCATCCTGTACAGAGTAAGCTGATGGGCCGAGATGTGTAGCAGTTCTCGTTGACTGCCAACTAGCCGGACTGACGATAAGATCGTTCGGAACATCACTCACATCTCCTTTTCGAGGCACATGCAGATAGGGTGCGCATGTCACCATGTGGACAAATGACGACTCTACACTGTACACAGAGCTCTCCGAGAAAAAAGGAAAACGAAGGGTCTAGACAATGCAGATGCAAGCCGTTCCCCCATTTCGAGCCGTGTCTGCCCCCCGTTCCAATTGGCACAACACCCTTGCACCGGTGATGATGGCCTCGCTCGTAAGTTTAAGACATGCAAGCCTCCCTCTACGGATCGAGTCGCACAGTCGGCCGTGGAGTCTTTCTCTGCACTCGACGGAGCGTAGCATCCGGAATGGAGAGGTACTTGGAGCAGCGTCAGCGTCAACGCCACAGGTTTGTTCAAGACAGAAAAAATAAAAACTTGACGGTATTGTTGCAAGCCCAGCTACGGCTGAGGATCACGGGGGAACATGGAAATGACGGGCCTTTTCTCCGAAACACGGAAAAAAGCTGGGGGATGCTGCTGGTGTCGTGTCCATTGTTAAAGCCGCGGAGTCGAGGTTCCCTTCTCGACATGCTACGATCCTGCTCGTGGTTTGGTTCGCTGTCGTGTACCTCCCTCAAATAGACGGATGCATGCACCTCTTTCTGCTTGGGCATCAAGCTGAGGCAGGTTACAATGGCCGACGGGTTGCTTGATCTGTATCCCGCAAGCGGCGGCGCAAGGCTGAAGCAGCACGACGACTGGTCTGCACATTACTCGCAGCGACCCATGACGGCCAGAGATATAAGCCCCAGAGGCGTCAGCCCAGGTGGCAGAAGTCTGGGCGCGCGAAGCCCAAGAGCTTCGAGCCCATTCTCAAACGCAATCATCATGCCGAGAGATGCGGAAAGGACGCCGAGGAAGCTGATCTTGTGCTTTGACGGGACGGGGAACAAATTCCACGGCGATGATAGCGACAGCAATATCCTAAAAATCTTTCGCATGCTGGATCGGTCTGCGGGTGACCAATATCATTATTACCAACGTAAGTTGCGCGATGCCTCTTCGCCATACTAGGCGGCTGACGTTTGTGCCCCCCCCTGCAGCTGGCATTGGCACATATGTCATCTCGGACTCTCTTTCTCACAGCGGCCTTCGGGCTCGCATCAACTCGTGGCTCCAAAAGGCCAAAGACTCGGCCATTGGCTCTTCCTTCGATCAACACGTCGTCGGGGGATACCGCTTCCTGATGCGCTTCTACCAAACGGGCGATGAGATTTACATGTTTGGTTTCAGTCGAGGTGCCTATGTCGCGCGATTCCTCGCTGAAATGCTCGACTACATCGGCCTCTTGTGCCACGGAAACGAAGAAATGGTCAAATTTGCCTGGAAGGCGTTTGCGCAGTGGCAGGCCAGGAAACCCCCTTCCAAGGGCGTCGACGACAGGGGAGCAGAGTCCGAGGAGGATAAAGAGACGCACAGAATGTACAACTACATGAAGGGCTTTCGGGAGACCTTCTCACGCCCGGTGGGTCGGATCAGGTTCCTAGGTTTGTTTGATACTGTGAATTCTGTGCCGCGGTTTGAAACTGCTTGGATGCAGCGGACCAAGTTCCCCTACACAGCTCGCTCTAGTGCCAGAGTCATCCGACATGCAGTCAGTATTGATGAGCGGCGCGCCAAGTTTCGCCAGGACCTTCTATACCAAAAGCCGCCGAAACATGAACACCGTCCGCATGCCCATCACGAACATGTCACAAGGGCGATTGACCGAGTCCGACGGAGCTTGGATGTGCCTCACGCAAAGGCGGATGAGAAACGCAATGTGCCCCCTGAACCAGAACAAAAGGACAGGCAGGCAGGCCAGTTCCTCGATCCTGCCGACGCGGAACGAGGACGGCGCGGCGCCGCGTCGCACAGCCGCCGATACGCGCCATATCGAGCGCGGTCCAGATCCAGGTCAAGAATGGCCCGGGGCGCTATTTCCGATGACCAAGATAACCTGTCTTGCTCTGATGCATCCCAGTGGGAGGCTGAAGAGGACTGGCAGAATGAGGACCAGGACGTTGATGAAGTTTGGTTCGCGGGCGGTCACGGAGATATTGGCGGCGGCTGGGAAGCGCTGGATGGCCGCAAGAGCGCAAGCCATGTGCCGCTATCGTGGATGGTTCGCGAAGCCATGAAAGCCGGCCTTTCGTTCGACCTGGACCACGTCGCGGAAATGGGGTGCCAAGATGCCTTCGTCGACAAGGTACGACCCTCGGCGCGTGACATGAAGTCTGGCCGAGCCAGCCAGCCAGCCATCCAAGTGGAGGACGAGGCAGGCCATGTCCAGGGCGCCCAGCTTGGACAATCGAGCCCAGAAATCGAGTCGCACGACTTTGCGGCTGGACCGGCGCCCGACTCCAACTCGATCTCGCCGTTTCAAGAGCTGATGCACAGAGCGCACACGTCCCGAATCCACGACTCCCTCGTGTATGGGGGCGGACTGGGAGCCATGGCCGTCTCGGCGTGGAAATTCATGGAATACCTGCCCTTCCGTCGCATGGATCTGCAACCCGATGGATCTTGGAAACCGATTCGCTGGCCTCTGCCGTGCGGCGAAGTGCGAGACATGCCGGACAACGTGCGCGTCCATGGCAGTGTCATACGTAGGTTGAAAGAGGACGAGACCTACAGACCGGGCAACTTGATTATTGGGGGAGGCGGGAGAGGTGTGAGAAGGGCGCCGGCGGAATATGGCATCGGCGATTGGATCTGTGTTGCTGAGCATGGCGACCCCGTCGGCGAGATATGGCAGAGGAAGCCGCAGACGGTGAATGGGAACAGAACCAATGGAACCAATGGAACCAACGGAACCAACGGAACGAATGGGGCAAGGCCATGAGGGCACAAGTTTTGGCCATGGGCGATGAGTTTGGGCGTACTGTCGACTCCGACATGATGTGTGTGTGTGTGTGTGTGTGTGTGTGTGTGGTGGATGACTTATCCATTGGTGCCACGGCGGGCAGGTTTATCGTTTATCATGAACATAATGTTTCTGTACCCTCGAGCTCGAGGACAGTTGACCGCGCCACTTGGTCAGCCACTTTAATTACACGCTAGCAGTGCTTAGTATTTCTGTCAATCGATATCTCATTTTGCAAGTATACGATGCCTGAGCATCTGTAGATACATGCACTTGCTCTTTTGTGGCCGCCATCTCGTCACGTGGCTGAAGCTCCGGCAAAGCTGAGCTACGCTTCAGCCTCAACATCTACGTCTGGAGCCCCTAACCTACACTTCTATTTGCCCATTGGCACCGACACAAATCCTCATTTTTATTCATGGAAGTTGTAACATCTCCAAAACCATTGTACTATCCTTCGGCTCGCCGGCTCGAGTCCCCTCCGCCAAAATGCCCATTCCTTTCCTGATGTACGTCATCGGCCATGGCCCTCCAGACTGGCTTCGCGACAACGCATACACCATCTTGACCGTCACGACCACCGTAACGTTGCTCTACTTCTTGAAGAGGTGGACCTCTGGGCGGTTGAACACCTCGGAGAAGAACCTCCACGGCAGAGTGATCATGTTCACCGGTGGCACGTCAGGCATTGGTGCGCTCGCAGCCCAGGAAATGGCTACCCGAGGCGCTCAAATAATCCTCCTGACGCAGACACCGCCGTCCGATCCCTTTCTCGTCGAGTACATACAAGACATGCGCCATCGAAGCAACAACCAGCTAATTTATGCCGAGCAAGTCGATCTATCGAGCCTACACAGCATCCGAAAATTTGCTACAAAGTGGATTGACAACGCGCCGCCCAGGAGGTTGGACATGATTGTGCTCTGCGCTGCAACAATGACGCCGCCGGGCGGAAAGAGGCGGCAAACAAAAGAAGGAATCGAGGAGACATGGATGGTCAACTACCTGGCCAACTTTCACTTGTTGGCAATCCTGAGTCCTGCAATCAAGGCACAGCCTTTTGATCGAGACGTGAGAATCATCATGGCGACGTGCTCGTCGTACATTGGATCGCCTTCCTTGAGGGAGCCAACCGTAGACGGAAGTTGGTCTCCCTCTACGGCCTATGCTCGGAGCAAGCTCGCCCTGACCGTGTTTGGGCAAGCATTTCAAAAGCATCTCGACACCTATAAACGCCCTGACCAGCTTCCGATGAACGCCAAGGTCATTTTTGTTGATCCTGGGCCGAGTCGTACGCCAGGAATGCGGCGCTGGCTCACAAGAGGGTCGCTCTTCGGCCTGGCCATCTACGTTCTTGGATACGCGTTTCCGTGGCTCTTGCTCAAGTCACCATTTAGAGGCGCACAATCCATTCTCTACGCAGCCATGGAATCGAGCTTAGCTGTGGGTCACGGCGGCAGGCTGATAAAGGAGTGCATGGAAGTCGACTTTGCTCGCGGCGATTTGAGAGACGACGAAATGGCGAAAAAGTTGTGGGAGGAAAGTGATGCCCTGATCGAACGGACGGAGAATGCGTCGGCCAAGGCCAGAGCCGCTGAGAAAGCGGCAAAAGACAAGGAAGATGAGAAGAAGAAAGAGAAGGAGAGAGTCGAGGAGATTGAAGGATTGGTCGATACGATTCGAAAAGGCAAGCAGAAACAAAAGCAAAAGCGGGAGACGGACAGCCGAAAATTGAAGAGTGGGAAGGAAAAAATGTAAGAGAATCTACAGACCGGAGACGGCAAACCCCAATCGTTCATCTTTCGAGAACCATCATTGTTGGGATGATTGCTGTTGGTGCCTTTTGGGTCTGTGGAAAAGCTCCAGACTTGATTTCTCTTTGCATGGAGTTGCCCTTTAATCTTCGCTCGTGGAAAAAGGACTTGTCAATATAAATTACATAAGGAACCGGAGTCTCCTAGTGGGCGGCAGTTGTGCCCATTCGACTTCTTTCTCGATGATATCTGCTTGAAGCGTTGCCGGGAAGTCACGCGATGCCAGGCATAATAAAACCTCCTGTACAGAGTAAAGTTGTACCATATCTTCTCTATTTGTGTCTAAGCACACTGTCCATGCCAAACGCTTTGAAATAGACGGCGCCGGCTTCGAAACTCTGAATCAAACGGATAGCGCCATAGCAAACGGACAGCTCTTCGGCAAACGGACAACTCTTCGGCAAACGAGCTTCCTCAAACAGAGGGGCTCATTTCGTACCATAAATAGGAGCCCATTTCCAGACTGGGATATTGAAATCACCTCAAGGCATATGCACATGGTTCATGCTACGCCCATCACCAAGATCATTCGTTGTTACCTTTTTGAGTGCGTCAAATTAGTTCAATCGGCTCCTCGAGGCAAAGTACGAAACAGACGGCCATGTACCAAATCCGGGACGTGCCTGGAAAGGGACGGGGCCTCATTGCAACCCATTTCATCCCGAGAGGCACCCGTATCCTTTCCGGAAAGCCAACCATTACGGTGCCTGAGCAATATGTTAAGCTCGATGAGTATAAGCAAATCGCGGCACTGATTTCGGAGCATGTTGATACCCTCAATGAAAGTCAGCGACAAGAATTCCTGGCCTTGAACACTACACACATATCTAGCGATGAAGCGCAAAGAAGATTCGAAATCTTTCGGACCCGTAGCTTGCCAGCTAGTGATGGCCATGCGGCAATCTTCCTCCACGCATGCCGCATTAGCCATTCTTGCGATAACAATGCACAAAAGAACTGGAGTGAAAACATCAAGCGTCATACAGTCCACGCCCGAAGGGACATTGAGAAAGGGGAGGAGATCACGATCTATTACATGGGCGTCCGCCGGAAGCGCGAAATTCGCCGTCAGCATCTCCAGACACACTTTGGCTTCATATGCTCATGCGGTCTCTGCTCTTTAACACCCGATCTAGGTCGGGAAAGCGATACGACGTTGGAGCAAATTCTCTCCCTGGACAATCTACTCGAGCAGGATGACGGTTACGGCGCGTGGTTCCACCCTCTCCGAAGGCTTCGCTACGTGGATCAGCAAGTACGACTTTACAACGAACATGGATCGGATGGTATGGGCTTGCCAAAGCCCTTTTGGTGGCGCCGCAGATATTGCTATTCTACACGGTGACTTGGCAAGGGCAAAGGTCTTCGCTGATCGAGCTATAGATGGATATATCTGTCGAACAGGTGACGATAGTGACGTGGTGATTACCCACAAAGCCATCGCGCACCACTACTTTAGACGCGATCGGCCCCGGCTATCGACGAAGTATCTTCCCAGTATCTCTTGGTAGCCTGATGGGGTTGAACGACCGTATCCAGCAGTTCTCACTGGAGGTCGAGGGCACACGCATGTGCCATGGCTGCGGTGCGAAGGCGACGTCTTTGAAACGATGTGGCAAATGCCTACTTTTCTGGTATTGTGGGAAGGTAGGTTTCCCGTGATGATCCCTACGCTTCTCTTATATACTGATTCGGACGTTTCAGGACTGCCAAGTTGCTGGATGGGATAACAACAGCCACAAGGCTGACTGCAAACTTCTTAAAGATGCCGACCTGCGATCATTGTTCACCTTTGACTGGGAAACGTTTCTGGATGATATCCAGTTTCCACTTGGTGTGAGCAAGGTATAGGATGGGCGCTACGTGTGATTATTGGTATATAAAGTATGCAGGTTCCCATGTCCACGCAATGCAACGCTGACCGACTCTGATGGGGAGCAGGGCTCGTAATACCTGGGGAAAGGTTGCAACGAGGCTGGTTGGTGCGATCTTGAAGGGAAATCTTCGTATTTGTTGGCTGTTCAATTGTGTCCATTATGTTCTTAACGGACAGAGCTATGAAGCGGGCCGCGGAACAAGCCTGACTGACAATCCAGGGGGAGAATTGTGCAACCACACAGGCCATGTCATGAGTGACTGATTGTATACTGCCTGACAGTGGAAGACGGGTAGATACAGAGGACAGCTTGTCTGGACCAGGATGGATGTTGAGTGCTCAATTTTGGGGTTATTGCGTCTTAGATCAACGCCGTCTTAGCACTTTCGGATACGGAGGACCACAAATACGTACCTTTATCATGACTTTGATGATCTGAAGATTGACTAGGCCATCTAGGGACATGAAAAGTAGCGTTTATATCTGTCGGCCACCTGTCAACGAGTCATAGACTAGGTCAGTTAAGCTCTCAAGCTCTCATCTAAGCTTAGAGGCTGCCTTGTCATCCAAAAACTTGGCCAACCACTTCGACAATATCGTCAAGCAAGTATAAAAAGATCACTCAAGTCCGAAGCTAGATCAATTCGATCAAGGACGAGTTCCACCCTTCAGTCCCACCGCGGCGTCTCGTGATGTTACCGCATCACCGACGAGAGAAGGACAAGAAGGGTTAAATCGGCCTTGATTGGCATGTGCTTCTCCGTGAGCCTTTTTATTCCGGTGGCCAAAACGACAAACGTCGCCGTCCAAGGCACCACACACTTGACTGAATTTCGTCCGAGGAGACCGCATTGGAGTGCAAGACGACCCTGTTGACTTTATTCCCCGAGAGTAAGCACAGAAGCCGGCGTCAAAAGCTGCGCTTCGATTATAAAGAGGCACCGACTTGTTGACTACGCTTGGTGAGAGGCATTGGTCAGAGCAATTTCTTTACACAGGAGCGTTTGCTTGGTATTGACCCTTGCTGCTCTTCAACATGAGAGGGCCAGTTCTTCTTGGCTGGCTTGCAGCCGCGCTGGGCGCTGGGCTGGCCTCGGCAGCCGCTGCCTTCAAGGATATTGCCAGGGATACACTCCCGTACCACAGGGAGTTTGTTCTTTTCAAGAGCGCAAACATGCCGAGGGCAGACAAGCTCCCCAACGGCGTCGCATTCCACTCCTTCATGGTTCCTGCTGTCGTGACGACAGTGAGTGGCCGGATTCTTGCATTTGCCGAGGGACGGCGATATGACAACCGCAACTTGGACGACGTTCGCATCGTCTTCAAGCGCACCAAGGACGGCGCCAAGGACGGCGCCAAGGAAGGCGCCAGGCCCGAGGACTGGGAGGACCTGCAAGAACTCGTGCTCAAGGCAGGCGGCGTTTGGGGCAATCCTACTCCTGTTGTCGACGGGCAGACCATCTATCTATTCATGAACTGGCATGACCGCGAGTACAGCCAACACGGCCGCGACCGGCTGCACACCGGCAGGAAGACGAGGAAGGTGGACAAGTCGTGGAAGGGCCGGCGGCACCTCTTCCTGACGCAGAGCACCGACGACGGCAAGACGTGGACGGAGCCGCAGGACGTGACGAAGCAGCTCACGCCCAGGCGCCGGGCCTGGGACGCCGTCGGCCCCGGCAACGGCATCGTGCTCCTCACGAACGAGATTGTCGTTCCCGCCATGGGGCGCAACATTGTCGGGCGTGGTCCGCCCGGCGTTCGTTCGTGGACCTACAAGGAACTCCCGGGATCCGGGCCCGAAGGAACAATTGTGCAGACGCCCAACGGCATGCTGTACCGCAACGATCGCGGCAAAGACGAGATCGAGTACGAAACCGACCGCGACAGGCTGGCCAACAGATACCGCCGGGTTGCCCGCGGAGACCTGAGGCACTTTCCACCGTTCTCCCTCGACAAGGAACTCCCCGACCCTGTTTGCGCGGCCGCGATGTTGCTCTACAACCACGCCGACGCCAAGGAGCCGGCGCGTGTTGTGTTCCTCAACTCGGCCGACCAGGCCACGAGGCGAGCCATGCGTGTTCGCATCAGCTACGACAAGGAGGCCAAGAAGTTCCTCGTCAACCGCAAGCTGAGCGACGCCCCCGTCGTCGACGCCGGGTTCGAGGGCGGGTACTCGAGCCTGACCAAGACGGCTGACACGTACATCGGTGCGCTGGTCGAGACCAACTTTGACCAGACGGGCGGTACCAAGAGTGATTTCCGCGCCATTATCTGGAGAAAGTTCAACCTGAGCTGGATCCTACACGGGCGTTAGGCGCAGGCAGGTGTTGCAGCCTTGGATGGCGAGGTGTTTTGCTGGGGCGAGTTTCCCGTCGGCCGATGCGGGCGTGGAAGACCGTCGCCTGTACTGAGCAGCAAGAGCTGTTCCGCCTCGCAATGTTTTTTGTTTTTATTTGCTTGTCTGTGCGGAAGGGGTGGGGGGTAGAAGGGACATGCCTAGTTGGAGGATTACTCTCATCGTGCTGGCGTCATCGCCCACGTTGGGCTGACGCGTTTCAACTCCCCTTGTCCGTGCCGCGAACGATTTCCTCAATCTATCAAAGGGTATTTTTCTTCCTCCTTGAGTGTTTCTACCAGTCTTTTGGTCTCTGGATGGCCGTGCACACCAACTGAGCTGTAGCCGCCGTGTTTCAACTTCCACGTTAGCCTGCGATACTTGGCTAGCCGGGCCAGGGTGAATGGTTTGGCTACTGACCCTGGCTGGTATGGTTCGTTTTCATGGGCGGGGCTTGATTCGAGGCTATCCAGCAACGTGTGAAGCTGTGCTGACTCGAATAACCACCCGGGACGTGTTGTACGTGAAATCAGGTACAGAAGGGGAAACTGGACAGAGGCAAGCACTACCAACGCGTTCTGTTCCATGAAGCTTGTTCACGACATCATGACGCAGAGCAGGTCGAGCGTCAACCGACTGCAAACGCTGGACGAGGCGCCGCCGCTGCCAGGACGACAGCATTGCGCAAAAAGGCATCGAGCAGAACGGGGAGAAGATGGCGGCATGAAGTACGTAGCTAGGTAGTTGTAGACTTGCAGCAACGTGGCAGTGGGCGTCAACCGCTGTGGTCGCGAGTACAAGGTTCCTTTTTGGCGGCATCAAGAGTGCCTAGCTACACATGTAGTGGCAACGAGAATAGTATGAAAATTGTGCCCCAAGCTTGTTGCCAAATCGGCACCTTTGAACGGTCAGAGGGATGATGGGCGACGGCGTGGCTGAGCCAGCGGAGCAGTTGACCGCGTTTAGCGCGCTTAGAATGATGGGTTGTTGTGGCCACGCGGAGCACTCGTTCGTACAAGTCAAGTTGCAATTACTGCAAGCGGACGGATGCTTAGGCTGCGCGATGCTGACCCTTGTCTGCGCCTGTTGATTGCCTTACCTCATTGGGTGTTTATGACGCGGTGGCGGGGCTGGAGTGGGGGCGACATCCAAAAAAAAACCCAAAAAAGCCCCGCGGGTTCATCAACGACTGACTCGGTGCGAGGACATTCCGTAACGTTACCCTCACTCTTCATTAATAATAATCCCATCGCCGATATTATTCACTCGCCCTTGCTGGAACCTCGTTCCTGTTGGAGCCTTACTGGAGGACCCGCGCGTCGAGCTGCCATGCGTCGACCAAGTAGCACGCAAACTTGGATTTTGTTCGGATAGGGCATAGCGCTGCTTATTCCCGTCTGTCTGCTGCAGAGCAAAACGCTGTCCACGGGAAACATGAGACGAGTGCCATGATGACGGTGTAAGTGGGCGGTAGTGCTTCTTGATCCGGCAATCTTTGATCCGCTCTGGAACATGCTCATCCCACAACCGCAACATGCAGGAACGCGGGACCTGGCGTCTGCCGGGAGACCAGAACAAGGAGACTTGCTGGGCTGGACGCGGAGGGAGAGTTGCGAGCATGAAACAAAGGACCGACCATGTTTACGGAGTACTTGGCAAGCCTCATCGAGCATCCGAGCATCCTTGGCCGGGCCTGGGCGCCATACGCACGCGGCGAGACTAGCAAGTGCCGGCCGTTTTGACTTCAACACCCCCGTCGGCAAATCCACCAATTCCCACCAGTACCGAACGAACTTCAATGTTATTTCTCAGTTGGGCAAAACGTCGCATGCCGGGGATGGGATTTCATGGGTACAGCCTTGATGGGCGCTTGCTTGTATTAGTCTTGTGTGATGATGGGAGCGGTCAAGGGTTCCAAATATAAAGATGAATTGCTGCCCCGAACTCGCCATCGTCTTCAACTACTCGCCTCATTTCATTCGCAGCAACCAACCGGGCGTTTCACACGGATAACCATGCGCTCAGTCATCGTTGCATCGCTCGTTCTGGGGCAAGCTCTGGCCGCCGACCGCACTCTCGGCTTCAAAGCCAAGCCCACCGTCGAGAACCGCACACTTGATGAAATCTACAAGGCTGCCCTTGCCGAGGGCGGCGTCGTCACCTTGTGGCATGGCGGCGATGAGCCTGACCAATTGAAGCCCCTTCAAGACACCTTCGAGGGACGATTCCCGGGGATGAAGCTAAACGTGACGGTGGATCTTTCCAAGTATTTCGGCGGAAGAATCGATCAGCAGCTCGCAAACAACAATGTCCACGTGGACAACGTGATGCTGCAGACGGTCCATGATTTCCCGCGGTGGGCGAGGGAGGACGCTCTGCTGAACTACGCGCCACTGGGATTCGACCAAGTCCATCCGGCTCTCAAGGACTCCCTGTCCGGGTCGTGGTATGCAGTCGAAATTATCTTCTGGAAGAACATCTGGAGCACCAAGAAGCTTCCCGGTGCAAAATTCGACTCTTTCCAGTCATTCCTCGACCCCGAGTACAAGGACAAGCTGGTTCTGACCTATCCAAGTGACGATGATGCGGTTCTATTCGCCTTTGACCAGATGTAAGTAAATGCATCCATTACCCGGAGAAACAGCAACTCCTCCTACGGCGAGCTCCGCTAACGCTTTCTGCCCTTTCCTTCCAGCATGCAAGACCACGGCGTAGCCTGGTTTGACAAGCTGCTTGCTCAGAATCCTACCTGGGTTCGCGGCACGGAAACGCCACTGACGCTCATCTCCCAGCCCAACAACTCTCTGGCCGCGACCTTCACCACATCCATTGGGTTCGCCGACATTCCCGACATCGCCACTGCTTTCCCCAATGACGGCCTGTTCACATCCTGGGGCCAGAGGGGAGCCATCCTCAAGGACGCTCCGCATCCCGAGGGCGCCAAGCTGCTGGCCTCGTTCATGCTCTCCTCCGAATTCCAGGACTCCATGGGCTGGAGTGTCCTCCAAGACGTCGAGCCCCCTGCTGGCCTTCCTCAAATAATGCGCATGAACAACACGAACGTTGTTGCATTCAACTACTGGATGGAAGATCGCGCCAACGTTGAGAGACTTCGACTCTTCTTCGAGGATCGCATCGGCACTTCCCAGGGAAAGAGTCCTTTGCTGGATGATATTTAGCGTCATTGCTCTAGACCTGCCTCTTTTTTTTCTTTTTTTTTTCCTTTTTTCTATACTCGGATAGACTACTTCTGTGTCACAGAGCCAATACATGTGTTGACATTTACTACCATCATGCACTGGTTTTGCCATACACCGCCGTGTACTGTGTCCAATTTGTCTCTGAATAACCGAGACGTCTCCCGGCTCCTGGACAGCGAAACGTCTAGCAACACTAGATATTGCCCCGATTCAGAGATAATTGTGTGGTGTCAAAGGTCCGTCAAGAGTTTAATCTAAGGACCTGACCTATAAACTACATATACACGATGCCTACTGTGTGTAACCTGACCTAGATTCACCCGTCATCTAGGTCCTTATTGCAGCTGTTACACGGAAAAGCTTCAACCACACGACTAGCTGCAATGCATAAAGGTTGCAGTTCCCTCATCGGCCACCAGTGGGCTCGGGCACTAAGGCATCAAGGTAATATGGCACAAAGCGCATAACCCCTTTGTTGACTAGTCAGGTTACACACACAGGCACTATCTTGTATATAAAGCCCCTTGCTGGTCAGGTCCATCGCATGGAGGACCTAAGACCCTTTACGACTATACGATATTACATGTGAATATGAGTCATTTGCTCCAAGCCCTGATCATACAGACCAGCCCTTGCTACAGCAGCTCATGATATTTAATAATATAGTTGCTTGCGGCGAGAGTAAAAGACATGGCTCGGCGCACTGGTGTAGGCACTTGATTATTGAACAACAATCACTGATGTACTTTAAGAAATTTGATTTTGCCTTGCCGTGTTGCCTGTGTCCATTTCAACCGGTAGCCGTTACTGCTGTGTCGGCACAAGAAGTCAACATTATCCAGCAAAAAGAGCAACCGTGTAAACATTGTCGCAATATGACGGGGCCAAGAAAAGGAAGCAAGAAGAGTAAATTTCATATCTCAGCTTGGGGTAGCTCCAAATTCAAAAGGTCCCTGGGGGCTCATTCCGAAGAGCTGACGATGTCTTCTGCGTGTGTAACCTTGGCCAGATGACTGAGGCATGTGTGTGCTTGATGCCTCGTTTCCATCTCCTTCTTTGTATCGCAATGCATCCCGAGACCAGCTGCAGCAAGGGGCCTCCGAAATGATATGCCACGTCTCCGTATGGCAACAGCTGGGTGAGCAGAGAGTTTGATGAACTAGTTATATACGACTAAATTTCGCATCGCAACTCTCTTCGTCTAGATGGATGGACACTGGAAAGGGCTACACGATGCAAGCTTACTCCCCCTTTTTTCTGACAAGGCAATGCAGAAGGATTCCATGACACACTGGCTGGGTATGTCTGTCTGTTTGATGCTTCAGGCAGTACAGGCACATCTAACCATGGCCGTATTCAAAAACAGCTTGAAGCTCCTGTCTAGTGACTAGACGGTGTGCTCTCGCTGTGTCTAGCGTGACATGAAATATTGATGGCGAATCAGCCGTCCACTTGGAACAAAATTGGACCTTTGAGATTGACGTGACCATGTGTACCTGATACCTCTCGACACAGGTTGGATATCCCGCAGGTAGACACAAAACTTCTCATACCCTAGTCGGCGGGCGGATAGTTTTTCCAAGCTAGAAAGTGGAACTGAGGATGCCATTCGAGCGGTAGGAATATGTTCGCGGGGATGGATGATGTGTTGATGTGATTGAATGGAACTCAAGCACCTGGACGTGCCGGTAAAGATGGCTCTGAGAGAGGAAACAAGCTTTTCAGCTTAGTATGGAAACGTTGCATATTGTGCGTTCGGCAGCCACCTGTTTGTGTTGAAACCATGGTCAGATGAGACGAGACCAGAGTCGAGTCACAAGTCCGCCTGACAGCTCCAAATGTGACAAAGATCTGACTAGACGTTGCCGCTCGTGTTGCGGCTCGCTCTTTCCTCATTCATCACCTTGGTCATGCCTTTTCTCATTTCTCAAGAGCCCCCGTTTTGCAAACTTCAACACACATTGCGCAAGGCTGACCACTCGCGAGCACCATCAGAACAGCGACCAGCACAGGAGAGGATGCAATTTGCATCCCATCTCTCGTCTGGCGCCTACAACTCTCCTGTTTTTGATGACTTTGGCCATGGGCCACATCCCTGAACGCACGACGACGCTTGGCCTCTGCAACGCCGACGTGATGATGGCGTCTGCAAGCATCCTCGATTCGACCGACCAGACAAGGCAAGACCATTGTGCGTCGACCAATAAAGCCACGTATGACAGCGACAGCAGTGACGATGTCGAGAAATACCGGCTAGAGTCCAATCCCGAAAGGCCTTCGAAGAAACCGATCCAAAACTCCCAGCATGATGCGTTCTTGTCTTGGGTCGCCAATGCATTCAAGGAGGATGATTCAACGGAGTCAACAGATCAAAGCGATGATGTCGACGATGAATCTGCCCGAATCGCAGAATCTCGTGCAACACCTGCAAAAATTGTCACGAGTCCTCGTCAATACCAGCTAGACTTGTTTGAACGTGCAAAACAGCAAAACACCATCATTGTACTCGACACAGGATCTGGGAAGACCTACATTGCTGTCCTACTGCTTCGACATGTACTTGCTCTCGAGCTTGAAAACCATGGACAGCCGATGAAAACCGCCTTCTTCCTAGTTGACAACGTAGCACTTTGTCAGCAGCAGTACCGATTCCTTCGGGCAAATCTGGAATATCCCGTGGGGAAATTCCACGGAGATAAAGCAAGCATGGCGCAGGAGCGGGCGGCCCAAATACAGGAGAATATGGTCATTGTCTGTACTGCGCAGATCCTCTTGGACCTTCTCGGCAGTGGCCTTTTAACGATGAGTCAAATCAACCTGTTAATTTTTGACGAAGCACATCATACCAAAAAGAATCACCCTTACGCGGGCATCATGCGAGATCACTATGTTAGGACGAAAGCAGATCGCCCCCGTATTCTGGGCATGACGGCGTCACCTGTTGACTCCAAGACCCGCGATTTTCATGCCGCTGCCGTCGATCTAGAAGCTACCCTTTGTAGCAGAATCGCCACGGTGTCTGACGATGCCCTGCTGGCGGGTATGGGTAGGAAGCAACAGATTGAACGCGTCGTGAAGTATGGTCCCCTGCTAGGCCCGACGGGTGCAATGTCCGCCCTCTTTCTATCCCTATCAAATCTTTGCGCATATTCAAACCTCCAAAGTCATTTGGAAGCTGCTAGATACGTCTATTCTGTTATAGGGTCCTGGGGCGCAAATCAATACTGGAAGCATGTTTTCAAGAGTCACGATCGGTCTTTGGTAGTGACCGAGCTCGCCAATGCGGTCGATGAACTCAGCTGCTATCACTCCGAGGCATCTTATCAGTCTGGAGAGAGGACTAATGACGAAATTATACGGATGAAGGCTCAGAAGCTTGTTGCAGATCACTTTCGCAAGGAGCCAGCCGAAAATTTCTCACCTAAAGTCCAGGTGCTTCATGAAACTCTTCTTAAGGAATTCGGAACTAATCGCAGTACAAGATGCATAGTGTTTGTGCAGAAAAGATACATCGCCTTTCTACTGTCGGAGGCATTCAATCAGACCCTGATGAAGGTACCACACATGACGACAGGCTTCTTGGTATGTCCTTCTTCTCCGGACCTCATATCGTAGCACCATCTGATGTTTTTGACAGGTGGGATCGCAGCCTGCGTCTTCAAGCATCGTCAACATGTCTATCAAAGACCAGGTGGAGGCATTGGATCGTCTCAGATACGGTGAAACAAACTGCATTTTTGCAACTCAAGTTGCGGAAGAAGGAATCGACATACCCGAGTGCGACCTGATTATTCGATTCGATCTTTATGATACTGCAATCCAGTACATCCAATCCAAAGGCAGGGCACGTCAGGCGAATTCGCTTTACGTCATCATGATTGAACAAGACAATAAAGATCACCTTCGTAGATCATTGCAAGCCTCGAGAGACGCTCATTCACTGCGGCGCTTCTGCTCTTCTCTCCCATCCGACAGAAAAATTCAGGAGATGAACGAAAGCCAGCTCAAGTTGCAAGCAAACTCACAAATTGCATTTGAGGTTCCCCAAACAGGCGCCAGATTGACCTTTGACTCCAGCCGGCAAGTTTTAGCCAAGTTTGTATCATCGGTGTGCAGTGGTACCGCGGATGCTCACCCAGAATACATCGTCACACTGACAAATACGGGTAAGTTCACGGCGACAGTACTGTTGCCTAGTTCATGCCCGGTGATGTCGTTTTCTGGTACTCCCCAACGCAGTAAGCTTCTCGCACGAGGCTCAGCAGCATTCAAGGCATGTATCGAGCTATTCAACCTCAAGTACATTGATGGAAATTTTCGCTCAACTTTAAAAAGACTACTGCCGAGAATGCGTAATGCTCGGCTTGCTCTGAGTGACAAGAAGCAATCAGAATACGGCATGAAGTATAAACCAACGCTATGGGCTGGGCGCACAACGTCACAATTATTCGTCGCCACATTATCAATCAAGGGGATGGGCCCGACTGGAAGACATGGTCGTCCGCTCTGCATCTTGACACATGCCGAATCGCCTACAATTGAGCCGATAAAACTTTGGATAGCTCGCGGCATCCAGTCAATCTTGGCACACAAACGATGCGCTAGGCCGCTTACATTGACTGAAGACGAAGTGGCTGGTTTGGCCAGATTCACTTTGACAATATTCAAGGACATATTCAGCAAGGATTTCGATTGCAATTCGGAGGAAATGCCATATTTCCTGGCCCCTTGCCTCCTTTCATCAGCCGTGGCCAACCTCGGCGAGACTGGTCGTCCGTGGGATGGAGAGGGCATAATCGACTGGGAGCTCGTTAAAAGAGCGGGAGAAGTTGAAACGCAGGCCACTTCAACTTCTTCAAGCTCAGCAGATCTTGAGTATCGATTTTTCATCGATCCGTGGGATGGGTCTCGGAAATTCTTTACTTCCAAGGTCAACACTGACTACAAGGCATTTGACCCCGTTCCAAAAGGCGTGCCACCTCCAAAATGTCGCAGTTATTTCCGGGTGGAGCAGAATATTGCCCAGTACAGCAACAGTCTGGCGTATAAAAGTAGGCAAAACATCAGCTGGAACCCGGAGCGGCCAGTGTTCAACGCAGAACTCCTTCCAATTAGGAGAAACATGCTTTGTGAACCCGGCCCCGAAGATGTTGACTCACCCAGAGACTGCTACATTATTTTAGAACCATTGGTTTTATCAAACGTGAGATACCACCTCCAGCCTCCGCTACTAAAGGTAGCTAACCCACGCCAGCTTCCTATCGATGTTGTCGTCACAGCTTTGGCTCTCCCAGTGACAATATATTCCATCGAGTCAACAGCCATTGCAATGGACGCTTGTGAGCTTTTCGATTTGGCTATTTACCCCCCATTAGCGTTAGAAGCACTTACAAAAGGTGAAACGGAAATTGGCGTTCAACCTGGCAAGAATTACGAGCGACTCGAGTTTCTGGGTGATGCGTTTCTAAAAATGGCCACAACGATATCTCTGTTTACATTGATGCCCGAGACCAACGAATTCGAATACCATGTCGAGCGCATGATTCTAATTTGCAACAAGAATCTTTTCAATCACGCGGTGGACAGAGGTCTACAGGAGTACGTGAGATCCAGAGGCTTCGATCGACGGTCATGGTACCCTGATGTCGTGCTGCGGAAAGGCAAGAGACACAAATTTGTAGTCACTCACCGACTAGCCGACAAATCTATCGCCGATGTATGCGAGGCCCTTATCGGTGCCGCGTACATGACAGAACCCGAGGGGAAGATGGATTTACCTGTGAAGGCGGTAACTGCAATGGTGCAGAGCAAGAAGCATAAAATGACAAAGTACAGCGATTACTACGAGGCATATATCCCACGACCTTGGCAAACTATGCCACCTCGCGCCATTGAGCTGCTTGCGGTGGATAAGATGGAGGAATACATCGGGTACAGGTTTGGCTCCCCGAAACTCCTAAGGAGCGCATTCAAACATCCTTCGTACCCGTATGAGCCTGAGCTTCCAAACTACCAGAGGCTGGAATTTCTCGGTGACGCACTCCTTGACGTGGCCATTGTCGACTTTTTATTTCGACGACACCCCCTCGCCGATCCTCAGTGGCTTACAGAGCACAAAATGGCCATGGCCTCCAACCACTTCTTCGCGTATCTTTGTGTAGAGCTTGGGCTACACAGGCACATGCTGACTACAGGCTCAGCCATCATGGGCACGATAGCCGGTTTCGCGGAACAAATCGAAAAGGCAAAATCGTGCTCCGGGCAAACCAACGGCGGCATTCCCAAAGCCAACTTCTGGCTGGATACAGAGCACCCTCCCAAAGCACTTTCGGACACTTTGGAAGCGGTTGTGGGCGCCATGTACGAGGACTCCAAGTACGATTTCAGCACAGTCGGCAGATTCTTCAGCAGGTTCATGGCGCCGTATTTCCAAGACATGACGCTGTACGACACATATGCCGCAGGGCACCCAGTCACGAAATTGACCAAACTCTTGCAAGAGACGTTTTGTTGCCAGTCATGGCGACTCTGCGTGACACCTGTGCCTTGTGGTTCAGAGACTGGGGCCTCGGCAATGACGGACAGCAATGTGGTCTGCGCACTGATGATACATGGGAAGAAGGCTGCTCACAGTGTACGAGGGAGTGGACGGGACGCGAAGATTGCTGTAGCAGCAGCGGCGTTGAAGAAGATGCAAGATATGAACGGAGATGCATTTCGGACAGTGACGGGCTGTGATTGTGATTGCGGAGGAACGGGAGAGTAATCCGTGAAGGGGGCACCGCGGCCGCCAAAAGAAACTACTGGTTGTCATCGGCCTCAGCCCATGAGCAGCAACTAGTCATAAAATAAGTTCATGTGGCGTTTCCACGTCTAGAAGTCGAGCCTCATGGTGTTCGTCCCTGGCTACGGAGAGAAATCGGGTGGCACTTGTATCGTGCTGGCGCCCATCCAATGGAATCGTTTGGAGATGCAGCGCAGGCTCCGTGGGGGAATAGGAAAAGGCGACCCGGAAATGTAGACGCAAGTATGACGGATTAGAGTTTGGAAACGCCACCCAACATTACCGCAATCAGCGTCACCTTGTTGAGGCGGCCAGGGACTACTTCTACGGGCTTTTTGTGATTTCATTAGACGGCAGAGCTTGGTCGACGAGACCAACCCGACTTTGCGAGCCTCACCAAACAGTGACGATGAGTACGGAAGCGCTTGGCTCTTTCAAGACGGCCATGGAGGCCGTCTACGGTCCCCTGGACAGCTTGACCGCGGACGACGCGAAAAGATGGGTTCCTCCCTGCTCGCCGGGGGCTGGCGGACACGGCGGCCGATACCTGTGGACGGATGCGTTTGGCGTCGTCAACTTGGTGACTCTCTACAAGGAGACAGGGACGGCGAAATACCTCGACCTCGCGGCCCGCCTGGTCTCGCGGGTGCACGACGTCCTCGGGCGGACGAGGGACGGCGCCCAAAGGCTGCCTGGGGCCACGGACGATGAGCCACTGAAAGGGGGCTTGCGCATCGGCAAATTCACCGACTCGGGGGCCGACTGCGACGGCCAGTATCACCACTACCTGACCATGTGGATGTACGCGCTGAACCGCGTGTCCGTGGCGTCGGGGGATCCCAAGTTCAACGACTGGGCGGTCGAGCTCGCCAAGTCGATCCACGGCCGCTTTGCCGTGCGGGATGCCGACGGCAACATGCGCATGGTCTGGAAGGTGTCGGTGGACATGGAGGAGGTTCTCGTCCCCTCGGAGGGCCATCTCGACGCCGCCACGGGGTTTGCCGTCTACAGGCTCCTGCAGCAGACGGCTGCATCCTACGGCAAGGGCGACAAGGTGTCCTTGCGGCAGGAGATGGAGGACTGCGCGGCCCTGACGACGCATCCCGGGAAATTGGTGCCGAAGACTGACTTTCTGGACCTGGGCATGGGGCTGTGGATGTGCCAGTTTGTGCTGGACCAGCCGTGGGCCGAGGGGTTCATGGCCATGTCGCTGCGGATGCTGCAGAGTCTCCTGGGCGCTTCAGGTTCCCACGGCGCCCGGCCGCGGCACAGGGGGCTGGCATTCAGGGAGTTCGGCGCGTGCCTGGGAGTCCGTTGCGTCGGCGCAGACGGGGAGCTCCAGGACAGAATTGACGCCTTGGTCCGGTCCTGGGACGGAAGGGGCGGACACGTCGACGAGGACTTGAGGCCGATTTCGCACGTCATGTATGCGAGTGCCTTGATTCCTGGCGGTGAGTCATTTTCCATCCGTTGCCGGTGTTGGCGTTGCGTCTCTTTTCTTTTCTTTTCTTTTTTTTAATAACAGAGAGGCAGCTTTTCGGCGCGCATATTTGTCGAATCCATGGCAGTAGAATCTGCTGCGCGGCTGCGCCTGTGCTGGTGACGCAGTTCTGCACAGACATGCTCGGTGATTCTCTTTGCGTGCGTGGGCGACGTGTGTTCAGCAACGGAGGGTTTGTCCCATGTTGGCGGGCGCGATTGTGTTGGTCATGAGTATCGTACCATCCTGTGGGATGGTAGGCACCGGCTGGCGTGGCATCTGCTTGAAGCTGGACCGGCGGTCGACATGACGGGTATCTTTCGGTCCCTTGGACGCCTGGAGGTTGGCTGGCATAGGGCTGTGATGCTGAGTCTTTAGTGCCTGCGCAACAGAGAAGCAAACACATCGCGACATGTGCCTTGAGGGACAAGTTGAGGTCCGGAAGTGGAAGTGGACATGGGGTATTACTAAGCAAAGCGGGTCCGGAAATAGTACGGAGTACCTGGCCATGATGGCTTCCAGAGACGCAAAGTCTCCCTAGACAAAGCATCAATACATCTCCTACCAACAAGTCCTTGTTCACGATGATGCTGCGCGGGCGCTCCCAACGGCTCTCTGACGAATTATTCCTCATCCCCTCTGAATGATCGCCTGCCCCAGTTTGCAAAGGACCCGCAGCCACAGCCTCACAGCCACACACACGAATGACGTCACATGCACGATGCGACAATCCTGACGACATGGCATGCAGAGGAATCAAAAGACCCCAACTTGTATCCTGATTCCCTGATATCCACGGGCCGAATGTGTGGGGGGTTCGACCTGTCAGCCAAGTCGGTGCCTTGCTCGAGCGGCCCAAGACTTGGATTATTTAAACCGGGATCGCACTCCCGGGCACCACCAGAAGCAGCAGAGCAACATCCACCAGCAAGATCCGAAACCGACTCTACCGACCCGCCGTCAAAGCAAGCAGCAGAACATGGCCTCAGTCGCATTCATGTACCACTCGGGCGCCTTCAACTTCAAATACTTCCAAGACGCCCACATGCGGCTCATATCCGAGTAAGCAGGCACTCGCCCAGCTCCCAGCCCCCGGCCCCCGGCCCCCGGCCGTGATGCGTTGGCCCATCCCGCGCTGACTTTGCCTTTCCCGCCCCCCTAGTGCCTGGGGCTCCCAAGGTCTCGAGAGCTGGGAAGTCACGCAGTTCGAGCCGGGGCTGCCCTACATGGCGCAGGTCCTGCTCAAGTTTGAGACCATGAACAAGTTGGAAAGGGCGCTCTCGGGCAACGACTCGATGAGAGTCCTGAACGACATTCCCAACTTCACCACTGGCCAGCCGCATATCCTGAAGGGCACCATCAGGGCGTCTCACAAGACCACGCTCAAGGAGAAGAAAATCTTCGGGGACAGCTAGCGTGTCCGTGTGTGTGGCAGTCTGCCGCAGTTGGTTTCGGGGAAAAGGCCGAGTGTTTGGTTCTCGTTCCCGCTTCTGTGCCTTTGCTGTTGCAGCTACGTGGACCGCGCTCTAGGCAGACCAAAGACGTCTCGGGTGACGACAAATCATGCTCGTGCGTTTCGGCGGCACGCCCCTCGAGCTAGATAGTGGCTGACTTGTACGCCGAGGCACACCTATCTGGACTTGAATCAGAAACGTCCGCTCGCCACCTCAGCACGGTTGCGGCTAGACTTTGGCTTGTTGCAACATGGCGTCTCCGGGGGACCGTGTACATGGAATTCATGTATCAGGCCACAGAGTACAAACGTCCATAGTGACAATCATAGCGTCTCGCAATCAGTCAGAGTGCATTGTTCCCCCATAAATTCACCAGACGAGGAGCGAGGGTCTCTCAAAGGTACATCTTCAACCATGTGGAGTAAAGGCATTGTTCCGGCCAGGGAAACCCCTCTCTTCAGTGCAGAAAACGCAGCACATTCAGCGAGTATCATGCGCCTCAAGAGTGTAGACAGCCAACGTGTGTGTGTTTTCATCCGAGGACTCGATTGTCAACTAATATATGCTTCCTAAATGAAACGAACGTTTGTAAGACACCAACCATGTGCGCTACCGATTTCTCAAGTCCGTCCTCGTTTGGATTGGCCTGCCGCGGCGTTTGTCCCTGGGACCATTCGGACACGTCGTAGGATCCTTTACTCGACTGCCCATCCACGAACCGTTGGACAGGCACCCAAGGACGACAGAGCCCAAGGTCATCAGGCTTGAATTTAGCAGCCTGACTTGAGGCATTTGCATTCGGCAGGAAGGCACTGGTAGCAGGGATAATGAAGGCGGCCGCAAGTCATGGCACACGCAAATGCAGTGAAGCCGCCGCACCAAGCCTGCTGGCTGCCGCCTACACGCACAGTTAGCTCGTCATCATGCCTTTGTGGGAACTCGACAATGGGTGGTGCGGGATCAACATACCAGCGGCGAGGCTGAGGGAGTATTTGGGCAAGCCAATGTCAGCAGAAGTGTCCACGTTGGCGGGCTTGATGCCCTCGCCGGTGGTGGCGGCCAAGATGCTGCCTGTGAAGAGACCGAGAAGAAGAGCGGACTTCATTTTGGAGGCAGTTGCCAAGGACAGTGGGTGTGTTTGTTTGACTGTTTTGATCTAAACTGGGGGGGTTTGTTGGCGCTGGTCTGGCGAGATCCGGACAGAGGAATAGGAAGGGGCTATTTATAGTCTTCGTCTCAACTACCTAGCACTTGGAACCTCGAGCGCGTCTCTGCAGCTTTGTCATTTGGGGAGCGGCCGGCTCAACCGACTGCATTGCATGAGAATGGCCTCGCGGATGCCTTGGTTGTGCAGTCACAAACTCTTCTGGCAGAGCGAGCCATGCTGTGCTCCGTTGCGGCGAGAAGACAACATTTCGATATGTAGCACCACCCCCGCTGTCCCCTCTACGGTTATGCTGTAAGCCTCCAATATGAGAAGCATGCCAAATATTCCGCGGATGAGGACGCACTAGGAAGGTTGGTTGGTCCGAGATGCGGCTGCAAAGCCGCCTTGACACAGCCATCGTCCATGGGAAACATCAACGGACGTTAAAGCCGGACCCGATAGGTTTGGGGGCTTTCAGCCATGAGCCGGAAAAATGGCCGAGGACAAAATGTAGAGTGTCTTTTGTAAAGGCCAGGGCCGTTCAGTTTCACCGTTATGATACCTAGTTACTTTTGCCGTGATTTGCATGCGGCCATTCGTAGCATCTGACCAGAGGGAAGCAAGTTCATTCATCACCTTACTGCGAAAAGCAGAAAGAATTCCAAGACCGTCTCAAGCCAGGATATCCGGAGGTTGTGGAAAGCAGAAGCCACACAAAATTGACGTGGTATCACGACGCTTGCCCCTGTCCCGCCCAATCATCAATTCAAGGCGGCGCCACATCTGAGCCTCGATCCAATACATGTCTGTGTAATGTGCGCCTTGTGCAATAAGAGAAGGACTCCAAGAATCGGGGTCAGATGGTTTTTGGTGGCCTAGGGCACCAATCTTCTCCGTTTCGTGTTTCCGTGGTCCAAGATGTGTGGTTTGCCATGGCTCTCGGCAAAGCCAGTGGGCAACGATATTCTGCCGCACTTGATCTGGTAGGTGTTGTTGTAATTCCATCATGTTCCATGGCATGACCAACACATATGGGATATGCTTCTGAGCTTCAACATCTCTCCTCAACCGTCAGACAATGTTCTCCCAGCGCAGCTAGACATCCAGCTGGTACAAAGACGCAACACGTACCAGGGTAAATATATGTGCCGTGAAAGTACCATGATACAACCCTTGGTTCGACTCCATCTGCGTAGACATATCGTGTCCAAACGCCGGAAAAGTTAGAAGTTTCCCTCCGGCGAAAGAAGGCGGCTGAGAGTAGCCAGACGTAGAAATGACGCCAACTACCAGCTTCTAATCAGCTAGACGGCCCTGATTTCGTCCACACAAAGCAAGCACTTCGTTCATGAACCCTGCTGTCGCAGAGCCGTAATCGGACCTTTCGAGACACGGAAAAGGGATATGACCATAGGCAGGGCAACCCGAGTAATGGATACTGCATGAGCTGGACAAACCTCAACGCACGAGGCTTTCAATCAGAGACGCTTCTCCTAAGAGGCACGGGTGCCTGACTTGTTTTGTGAGGTGACTGTTTGAAGCCTCCTCTTCCCGCAGTGACACAATATGTTCGATTTGTGCAGGTTTCCCCGTCCTGTGCTCCCCTCCTGCTAGACCACCAATTGTATCGTCGAGGTTTTAGCCTTGAAAACTGTCAAGCAGAGGAAATGTCGTGATACCAGACGGATACAAAGAATAAGGCTCCCGGGCCCATGCCATCTTCGGATTCCGCCAACATGCAAGTCGCGCGAACGAGGGCTGACAATTGTTTTATCAAAAGAGGCAATTAAATAGACGTCAGTTCAAGCAACTGCATAATCCAGCCTGAGCACGTCTCAAATTGGCGCGTGCGACACATGAGCCGCCATGACCTCGTTGCAATTATGGCCTTAGCTCACCTCCCGTGATTTGCCACAGCTTTGTTCATGAGTGCAATGCTTTGTCGTGTATTTCACCCGGTCAGCGAACTTGGGTGTCACAGACAGCACCGCATCAAAAGCACCAATCGACTTTGTTCGACGCAACCAACTGCAGATGGCTGGAGGAAAACGCGCGCCGAGCCAGTAGAAGAGGCCAAACGAGGAAACAAGGCATCACCAGCAGTCCCTTCCACGTCCGAGTCCAGAATTGTGTGCGTTGAGGGAAGTTCCGCTACTGGCTGGGGAATACATCAGCCCCGTGTGCAATTTGGTTGGCACAAGACGCTTTTCAACTCGCATAAAGTGCCCCAGACTTCTCGGTGATGTTGGCCCCTCTTCACGCTCCCAGCTCGTGCGTCAAGCCATAGTTCCAGTGAGTGGCGGCTGGGAACATCCGGAGAACCGATTCGTCGTATGCATGTCGCGGTGGGAACTCTACCACTATCTCTCCGGGAACTGCTCCCTCATATTGTGGAAGAAGAGCCATGAAACGTTATACATCTTCCTACATCCCGACACATGTTAACGGCAAAGCACCATGTTAAGTCAAGGCACGACGTGACCTGTATCAGAACCTCTAGACCAAAGGATGTCCCGCCGGTGATGTTGAAAAAAAAAAGAAAAGAAAGAAAGAAGAAGAAGAAGTCTGCTACAGACCATACGGGAAGTGATGTAGGCTCTCAATGCGGGGGTTATGACGATGGACAGGCACGACGTCGTCGATGATAGTATGCGTTCGTGCCGCAATTTTTTCTACGCTCTGCCACGTGTTTCGTGTCCTCAACAAGACACTTCTTGTCTTGGGCTGCATACACACACTTGGAATATAAATGTGATTGCCTCTCATGAGCTTGGTGGTAGTATGCATAACCAGCCGCACTGGTCTTGACGTTGAATGATGACCAGCAACTGCAACTCGGGAAGTATCGAGGGAGGAAGTCGATTTCTGAACCCCATTTCTCCGTCTCCAATGCCTAACAGCGTGATCTGCCCTCGGCTTCTCGGCTGGTAGTGAAGCAGTCGTCGCGGTTGGCAGTGCCGTGATGAAAAGGTTGCTATAGGTTGAGTGTCATGCCTCACGGTCGTTTGATAAGTGCTCCGGATAGCGGGATAAGAAAGACTTGGTTAGATCTTTCAGTACCTTCATCATCCAATTTCCCGATGCCGTGCATAGAAATCTAGGGATAATCCGTAAACCCAGCGCTGTCACCATCCCTATTCATCATGTACCCAAATCTCCTGCCTTCCTCAAGAGCCAACAACCCTGGCACATCGGTATTCCTATCCACCCTCACGAATCTCTCCGTCTTTCGTCCCCAAAAATCCTTCCCGTGCCTCACAGATTCCACGATCCTTTCTCTATTCCTAAACTTGGGATCGTTCATCCATATATGCGAGAAGCTGGCCATCTTATTCAGGAATTGATCGATAGTGGCAAAGCAGCTGCTACAATGCCACGAGGCATTCTTCAGGCTGCGCTTTTCGAAGAATTCTCTGCGGAAAAATGAACCGCCATCGCCAACACGCAAGTGCGAAGGGGTTATGGTTTCGTCGGGACCTTGGTAGAACGTGGCTTGTGGATGGGGCCACTCTGGTCCCACGTGGAGGAATTGAAAGGAATAATAGTAGAATTTGGATTGAAGAGTCAGTCGAGGGGGAAATGTGCATGATCGGAGGGTGGTGATTGTTTCGGGGCGAGGGATTTCATCGACGTCGGCGATGACAATAACGTCGCCTTGGTTGGGAGCTTGGTCACCAGTTAGTTTGGGGAAGACTTGAGTAAACATGGCGTCGCGCTGGAGATCCTCAAAGTCCCAGGTGAGACGGGGGTCGAAATGGGGAGGGAATTCGAGCTGGTGGTATATAAGCTTGGAGTGGAATCGCTCGAACTTGGACCAGTTGTCGCGGATGGTGAGGTTCTTTTTGCCGCCTTGAAAGGTTAGCGGGGACTCGACGATGACGAAGTAGTCTACGTGGCCGTGCAGGGTGTCGAGGCGGATCTCTAGGAAATCCAGTTCCGAGTTGATCATGAACAAGTCGTAAACCTTGCGTCGGCCGGCGGGCGAGGGGACGAACGGTTTGAAGCCATGAGATGCACAGTGCTGGCGGGTTGCTTCGAGATGGTCTGAAACCAGCCACGTGTTGTCTGTTGAAGCGTCGGGAGAGGGCAAGAGGCTTTGTCGGCTCAGACTCCAGGCCGTCTGTGGTGTTGCATAAATGTCGTGCTCGGATAGAATTCGAAGGAAAATCCAGCAAACAGCACCAGCAAAAAGAAGAGGCGCAACTCGGAAGGCGCGACGGGTCAGCATTGCAAGTTGCGGACGGAGGTTGCTTTCCCGACGTGGACCATGGCGAGTCGCGAGTTGCGACAAAGCAAACCGGCCTGCTCAACGTCAACGAGTCTGTCTGGGCAGGCCAGGTCCGGATGGAAGAGACGAGAGATGCACGGAGAGAATGATCATCGACGAGACGACGCTGGGCGGCGTGGTGGTCTTGTTCATTCATATTGCGCCCACCCCTTTGGCGTCATGTCATCTTGTCGCACTGCCGCCACAGTGAGCACGCGCCGCCGCCTCGAGAAACGCCCATCGTCTGGCACGTCAGCAGAGCGAGCTGGTTCGTGCGGAAGAACCTCTGCACGGGCCAGGCCGCGACAACCACGGCAGCCACAGCAGCCATGGCAGCCAGCAAAGTTTTCAGTCGCTGATGGGTCGTTACAGAGTAATGAAAGTTAATGAAGAGAAGCATGTCCAGCATCCAGACGACCAGCCGGACTGGTCAAGCGTCGTCTTGGACGGGACCCGCTCCTCCATTGCGCATTCGCCTAGTTGAGCTTGGCACCCACTGTTGATTGGCTATTGGAACATGGACACCACATGCAACATGGTCTAACGGTAACGTACGTACATGCATGCCAACCTTGTCCGCAAGCCACCCTGCTGCGCCTCGTCTCGTCTAATCTCCTCGTCTTTTGCTCGTGCGGCCAAGACAACAGCATTGGCATTTATTTACCGATCCGCGTCAACAACTGCCACGAGAACTACGTACATGTCATTCCAACATGTTCCAGCTCTGTATGGGTCCCGGCAGCCGGGCAGAATATAACGTAACACGTTCCCACAACAACACCAAGTTGAAAATAGTTACAACATGACCCTACCTACCCACCAAGTCAAGGCAAGCCCGCAACACGAAGCTCGAGCAGCTGAAACACCACAAGCATTGCCAGCCATGCAAAAACTGCACATCACATCGTATTAAGCCTGCTCATCTCAAGGACGGGACGCCATAACGATGCTAGCCCAAGTCCACTCGCCCCATCATCCACGATCGAGTACATACTCCATACACAATCCCGAAATATCCGACAACCATGCTCACCCGCAATCCTGATCCCTGAGTCCTAGCCCTCCTTCACCCCGCGCATCTTCCGCCCCCCTCACTCGTGCATTGTCATCAGTCGGACTCATCACTGCTCAATACCATCGCAAAGTCTGCCTCCCTCGCTTCGCAGGCATACAAGGCCGAGTCTGCGCATCCTGCAAACTTGCTCTCCTCCGCGTTCCGCGTCGCATTGCCCCTTTGCTGGAACTCGACCGCGTCGAACTCCTCCTTGAGCTTGTTAAGCGCCGCCAGGGCATCCTGCGGCAATCCTGCATCTCTCCCCAGCAAGTCATTGCTGGCGTGCCTAAGCCGATTCGCTTTCAGCGCGTACTGAGCAACCTGGCAGATGTCAGCGAACTCGGCCCTCTCGGCTGACCACGCGTATTTTGCGTCTTTAGCCAAGTTGACGGGTCTTGCCAATTCCTGGTTTCGCTGTAGGCCGAAGATGGGCGTGGCATTCTTTTTGGGCCTGCTTGTCTCACCGCAGATGCCATCACCGCTTGCTTTTAACGACCGGTATGAGCACGGGGAAATAGGGTCCATTGAGCCTGGCGAAAGTGGTGCACTGGAGGCAAGGCTGGAGGGCCTCTGGCTGCCTGCCTGCTGATTGTCCAGGGAAATTAAGTTGATGGGCTTGATGAGCTCGCTTGGGATTCCAACTAGCATTTCACGGAACTGAGATCGCACTGGCGTATTTGGACTTGTACCACCGAGTCTCCTGCATTTCACGGGAGTTTTTTGGCTCTGCGCAGAGTGTTTGCGTTTTTTCCCCGTGACTTTTTCAGGATCATAGTCCAGGTCATCGTCCATCGCGTCCTTTGGTGCAGAGCCTGGGAGTATGTTGGTGTATGTATCATAATGGTCATGGCGCCGAGTGCACTTACGATGAGTCTTTGGTCTGCCAACGGGAGCTTTGCTCTCTTCTCGAAGGTAGTGTTTCCATCTATTATCAAGTTCCCGTCGGAGTCGGGCACTCATAGTGTTGATTTCGGCAACCGGGCTTGGGACCTCTTCCATCTCTTCCCCAGTTTTGAATGACTTGCGGGCGTCCTGGGCTTCTGACGCACGGCCGACGACTCTTGACAGCCGTGCGGCCTTTCCGGCAATGTCACAGTCATCTGTGGCTATCGCTGGTGTCTCCACGTGTCGATTGTTGAAAGACTGATATCCAGCAGACAGCCCGCCGCTGACAACGGCCGAAACTTCCGGGCCGGCTGCTGTTTCAAAGAGTCCGTTACTCTCGCTTTGCACTGCTCCGCTCGGACGAATCAGGCTCCCCAAAGCTTGCATGGAGATGATCTGTCGTCGAAGATCTGTTTTTGCCGCCCGAGTGTCCCCCAGCGCTGGGTGAGCACACCATGAGTTGTCCCCCGTCGTGTGGAGGGTACGGCTTTTTTGTATCGCCTCCATAGCTGCTGACCTCTGAGCCGGTGATATCTGAGGCTGTAGACAGTCAGTTTGTACGCACATTGACAGGGCGACAAGCCAAACCTGCTGTCTCTTCCAGCCCGGTGCCCACAGAAGGTACCGGGGCCAAATAGGGGAAGACAGCGCAAGTACATGGCGTATAACTACATACCTTGTGCACATCCAAGTCTAGGGGAGAAACATACTGGCCACCAAGCGCCATCAACTGGCTGACCGCTGAAACTCCGTCGCTATCAAACCGCCTTATGGAGACGAGGTCCGTCATGTCTCTTGGAACTCCAGCAAGAACAAAGCGATTTCGAAGAGGCGCGACGTGGACGCCATCCCGAACAGTCTTGTCCGGACTCGCTGCTGGAGCCGAACGCGGAATGACATGAGGAGCCAGACCGAGAAACACGTCGTTTATAAGGCATCTACTATCGGCCTCCACAGTCATCTGCTCTGCTCGGGCCCCCGCAGCAACCTTGATGTGCTCCAGGTCAATCCATCCAGAGTACTGTTCTCTCGCAGGGCAAATCTCGTCCTTGTCATGAAGCAAACTAGATTCCGTGATGCCCAGGTCGACAAAGCCCTGCGTGTTGGTTCCCATCCAGTCTTGCAGCTCTTCAGCATGTCTACCCAGCCCCCGGTGTTTCATGTACTCCGTGGCCTGGCGAACATCCTCCCGAGTGATGCGGTCGATACTCAGGGCCGGGCGGTACACGTTGATCAAATCCGACACGAAGCAACTCCTCCCCGCAGCCAATCCCATCAGCTTATGATTCGGAATCTTGGCCACGTTGGCCTCGTAGGCCTCCCACGCCTTGTGTTCTGCAAGGTACGTAGTGAGAAAGTCGCGAATCTGCAGACCACTCAGGCCCAAGAGCTGTACCACCCTGGGGAACGGGTGCTTCTCGCACAATACGTGGCACATTGCCCATTGAGCACCGGCCGAAAGGTTGTCCTACAACGGCTTCCGCCGGCCCAATTGGGGGTCTGGCGTGCAATCGTGTAAATGTACGACGGTCGTGCCGGGACGAGCCAACGGCGGCTCGTCGTCCAGATCGGACCCCCAGTCGATGTCGTCTCGCACGAGCGGCGTCTCCATGTCCACCGGCGACCTGGCCAGACTTGATGCCATGGGCTTCCGTCTGGGAACGCGAGCCGTCCCAGCCGTCCTCGGTGATGTCGGAGTTGAACCCTCTGTGCCTTCCTCCGACGTCAGCCAGGGGAACGGGCGGCAGCGAGGGTGAGGCACTTTGCGCCAGGGTCCTGGATTTTGCTCGCCTAGACTCACGCCGCGGTCTGCAGCTCTCGGCTTCCTCTGCAGCGCTTCCTTTTCCCCCTTTGCGTTGCCCTCCCTCGTGGCCTTGACCAGTTCGCTTGGCCCTGGGGCAGGGTCGTCCAGCGCACGAGACGGAAATGCGCAATACTTTCCGAGGTTTGGACTTCCCGGCTCCGCGGGGGACGTGATAGCCGGGCTATGATTTCGAGAGACCGCCCGGTGATCCGCCCGTTTTTCTGCGTCCCTGCCCTGGTAGCGTTGCGGCATGCGACGTGCTGATGCCGGTCGAAGGTTGTGTTGGCGACAGGCCATGGTGGCGGACTTGCTCTGGGTTGAACGAATGGGGGGCACGCCTTGGAAATTGGGGCGGCGAAGAAATGAACAATGTCAGAGCATGAGATCAACGTCAAAGAGGACGCCAAGTCGGGCCACTTGCTCGACTGCGGTTTGCAAACGTGACACCAAAGTGAATTCGTAGTGAACAAAGAGGACGGGCCCTGTCTCCCCTCGCAAAACATCAACGGCGGATGGGAATTGGATGCGGATTGATCAAGTCTGAATCACACAGGTGCAATCTTGTCTTTTTTTGGCCTCTCAAAACACAGATCGCTAAAGGGTATTTTTTTCAGGACGCCCACTACGCTCGACGGCATACCCGGGCTGGGTGAAAAGGACATCAAGTCGCGTTGTCGCTCAATTTTCAGATCTTTGGGGACAACGGCTTTACCCCATTGCGTTTCAGGACAATTCTTTACAAAGCATCGCGTACAATGAGGCTGTTTCATTTTCCCAGAGCCACGACCGGGGAACATCAATCTTGATCTTCTTATGTTCCTGCCATGTATGTCCATGTCGAAGGGTTCTCTACACATCACAAACGAGATTCTCATCAATATCGGTGTAAATGTTGATCAAGTTTATACAGAACAGAATTACCACCGTGTATTCGAGTTCTTAACGAAGAATACGTGCCTTGACTCCATGTATACGCTGTGACCGGGGTATTTTTTGCATACTTAAGCCACCCAGGACGCCTGTCATTTACTTGACTCGAAATGTAACCTTATGATTGATGCGGTGCGTCCCATTAGTTTCATGGACAAAAGAAAGAGAAAAAGAAATCAAGGTGCCCTCATTGTTGTCGGCACGACCCAACCTCAACAAGTTGGTTCATCCTGCTAGTTACCGTTCATGACATCGGCGAACGGTGCAAACGGGGGCCGGTCTGTAAATCTGTCCAGGTCTGCGATGTGGGCTTCTCCAGAACTTTGGCAGTCATCCTCGCCCATGCCCATCATGTCATCCCATCTCCTCTTTGAGGACGAAGAGCCGGTCCCCATTGCGCGACCGTTTTGCAGCGGACCGTCGGGGCAAAGTCCATTCTGCTCAGGTTGGACCGCTTCCAAGTGCTGACGGCGTCTATGCTGAGCAACTGCCGAGCCTGCCAAAAGGATTTGTTGCCATGATTGCAAAATGCGCTTTGTATCCTCGTCAAATACGCAACAGAATCTCTGGCGTCCAATGAATTGCAAAGCCTCCACCATGCCTTGACGAAATACGGACATGACATATGCCGCGACAATAGCTGCTGACCAGTCGTTCCCCGATTCGCACGTTACCAACACTTTGCCCCGACGAAAGTTGCCAGACGGTGCAATGATTCGCCCATCGCCGTTGCTGCCGCCGCTAGACTGAGAGTGATTTACAGCCAGCAAATGACTGTTGATGACCCTGATCGCCTCGGAAAACTCCCGAATGAGGCCTTGCAAGCCGTCCACGTGTATGTAATACGCAGGTATTTTCAGGTTGTTCGAGGCCGCTTCCACGCTTAGCGGTTTCTTTTTGGCCAGCAGCGACGGTCGCACCACAAGAATCATGGTAATACCTTCGCGTTGCAGGAAGGCGTGATCGCGCGTGACGCTGGTTGGGCCGAGATGGAGAAAGTCCAGGATGGCTTGCGCCCGATGACGATCTTGATAGTCCCAGTCCACAGCGGGATCCAGTGCGACTTGTACCGTATTTCCTGTGATGACTTGTAGATCGTGGCCGGACAGCTGATCCGGGTCGATGTTCTCGGACGGAGGCCGGAGCTCCATGGCGATTTTGGAGTTTGAGCATCTCTGGGGCGCGGGTATATGGATGAATGGAGGGCTCGGGGCTCGAAAAGAGTACGGCGCGGATCGAATGGCGTTGGCAGACAACGAGGACGGGACCAACTGATCCGCTGGCGTGGTAGCGGATGACATGGCAGCAAAGATCAGGGTGTAACCGGCGCGGCAGCAGACAGGTAGAGAGAGACGGCCACGAAGCGCGCAACGGCAAAGCAGATCAGATCAGGGTAGCAAGATGCTCGACGCAAGTTGAAGAAGCGTTGGTCCAGGTTGAAGTAGCATCGGTGGCAGCACGGCCAAGCTCGTGTCACGAGGCTGCCGTCGGATCTCTCTCTGAACAGCGCTGGGACCGTGCGGAGTAATCATTCAAACAAACGCCTCTGTACGGAGTAGAGATGAGGAAAATGCGCAAGCACATACAATGGATGACAGACAGAACAACAGGCAGACTTGACGGCTGACGTCTGGAAGTGGAACTGGAGCTGGACATTGTACTTACGTAGTACGTACAGTAACTACTTACTTAAGTTACTTGCAGTAGCTGGCAGGGACGTTCCAATACCTGCTCCGTGCTGAGTCTCTGATTTGCCCGCCTCAAAGGCAACTAGCAGCGCGCCACAATTTGACAAGGCTCCTGGGGAGTACCGGAGACGGGGGATGTTTATTTTAAGTTCTAGAGAAGTAAGTAAGTACAGAGCGACTAGCCCGCGATACTGAGTACTGCCTACTTACTTGAGTACTTACTTTACTTCGTAGTTGCATACTTTACTTCGTACTTGCAAACTTGAGTAAGCACTCAAGTAAGTAGATGTACCCACCTAAGTGAAGTACTTAAGTTCCAAGTATTTCAGGTACTTCTTAGCTTAGACTGAACCAAAGCCTCAAACCAGCGCATGCGTACTGCAACTAAACATTTGGTGTTTTCCTTCAACACTCTTCGCCCTTTTCACTCCGTTTTCCTTCAGGAGCCAGAGTAGTGTACACGCTATATTTATATGCAATTGTCCCTTTACGCAACAGCTATTAATATACATGGAGAGTTTTCTAGATGATACTTTTGTCCAAGCAAGGTCCTCGCGCCTGCAAATGCATCTGTTATACAACACCCAGAGCGTCCCATGGCACTGTCTGACGATGCACTATACACGCCATTGCGACTGGTTTCTGATTAAAATGCACCCTTCACATCGATCCGACCTCGATCTGCTGGTCATGCTGCTCCCTTCTGTCGACCTCTTCGTCTTTGTTGGCCGATTCCGAGGCCTGAGCATCATGCTGCTCCTGCTGCGCTTCATCAATGGCTTTTCGGCTCTCGCGGGAGCGAGCCTGTCTTCTCCAACTCTTCCGCCTGTGCTCCAGCTCCTCTTCTGTGAAGTCAAGTCGATCCAGAGTGGAAATGAGCTTCTCTTCGACCAGCTGTCGCACATGGAAAGCCAGCGCTTGGCTTCCAAACATGCCGGCATATCGATACGACAGCCACACGTATTGATTGATTGCAACATGCAACGACTCCAGTTTCGATAGGTATTTGTTGGACCCTCCAGGATAGTCCTCCATCTTCACCTCCAGAAACTCCAGCGGTATTTCTTTTATAGACAGCAGGTCACCGGCCGAGTTGTTGGCCACAACTCGTGCCAGAGCGCGCAACACATCCACGGCGCCTTCGGCCCGCAACGATACGGGCAAGTAGCAAAACGTGAGGCGATCGTGAATCGTAAGCGGCAAATCTTGGATAATATCGGCTATTTCCAGGACATCTCTGCCGATAGTCAAACGATACCTTGGCCCAACACTTGCAGCAGCCTTGATGTGCATCAATATGAAGGACAGGGGTGTGTCTGGTGGGAAATAAGATGCGAACCGTTCAACGATGCCGGCTGGGGGCTGAATACAGGCATACTCAATGTCGTTGACCTTCCTCTTAAAAGCACGCTCAATACTTCGAAGATCATCTTGGTCCATCGTTGTTACCAAGCCGACCTTTTCCTTGCTGGCTTCTTCGGCGTGCACGTCCACGGCGCTTTGTGCAGTTCGATATCGTCCTGCACGACCCCCAATTTGCTTGATTTCAGGATAGGTGAGCAGTCTGTTTGCGCTGCCGTCGAACTTGGTGACAGATTCGAGCACTACTCGGCGAATTTCAAGGTTCAGGCCCATGCCAATTGCATCGCTGGCGACAACAAAGTCGTAATCATTGTTGGGGTCGTTGAACAAAGCAGCCTGTTGCACCCGAACTTCAGGCGGCAACGACCCGTAGATAATGGCGCATCTTCGACCAGTCGCGGTCTCAATGTTTCGTTTCAGTGCATGAAGCGATAGCCGACTGAAGGCGACGACGGCGTCTCCTTTTTCTAGCTTGTTGTAGTCGCCCTTGATGGCGGAATCCATCGTCTTGAGTGGGCTCAGCCGTTCATAGCGATGAACAACACATTTGTCGCCGATGCTGGCACAAAGTGCCTGCAGAAGAGGGACAGTCCGATCCTCGCCGCACAAATGCACCTCCTTGGCTTGTACACCCAACACTGCTGTTGTCCACGCATTTCCACGCTCAGCATCAGCAATCATCTGAATCTCATCAATAACCGCCACGTCGAACTTGGAATTCAACGGGACCATTTCCACGGTGCAGCTTGAGAAATATTGATCCGTATCTTCAGGTATGCGAACCTCCTCGCCCGTAATTAAGGCGCACGGGCGGCCTTTGGCCTTGAGTCTCTGGTACACTTCGGTGGCTAGCAAGCGCAGTGGTCCTGCATAAACACCCGTCTTGGAGTTCTCCAGGGCTTTGAGCGCGTTGTAAGTCTTTCCAGAGTTAGTTGGCCCAACGTGCACATGGATGGTGCGCTGCATCGTTCGCGTCGCCGGAAACCACTCATGAGGGAAGCGGAAATCTAGCAGACGCTTTTGATTGTCTTCTAATTCTTTCGTGAATCGTTGTCGAGCCATGAAGGAATGGAAAGAATAGTTGAGTTCCTTGGTTAGGCCCTTGACGTCTCGTGTGATGAAAGCGTCTCGCAAGGTCCAAAATAAGGGGTTCTTGTCGCGACGAGTAATGTTCTTTTCGGCAAGTATAAATGCATCGTCTAGCGCATTCATGAAAAGAGTCACCTGTCTTTTCAACTCATCGTCTCCTGTCCCATTCCCTGTTTGCTGTGACGCTGAATGACTGTTGAGCACAACTTGCAGCCGATTGAGGACGGTGGATCGAAACGCGCCATGACGACCAGCATGCTTCTTGCCAGCATCGAGCCTCAATCTGCTTTTTGGATCATGCCCTTGGCTGACCTGTTCATTGCGCCTCCAGTCAGTCACTTGATCAGCAGGATTGTTTGCGAAGATTGGTCATACTGAGTTTGCGCGCGAACGGGCAAGGACTTTCGAAGAAACGTTTTGCTCATTCTTCGGCTTTCCGACGCGCTTATCCGAAGGTGACTTCTTCTTCACCGTCTTTTGTTTGCTTGCGCTCCCCGGTTTGACGAGCGCTGACGTCGACACAGCACGACGTTGGATGTTGGGACGAAGCCTGCCGGCTCTCCAGGCTACTTGTCGGGACAGTTGAATCATGTCCCCCACCGCCGTAACGCAGCAAGCATTATGTCAGTATCTCATTTGGAGTGATCAAACAGGCTCGAATAAATGCGACAGTGGCCGGCGTAGTAGGGATATACACAGTGACTCGTTACATCAAAAACTTTCTCCTTGCCTCATACCCGCCCCGAGTCCCCGACCAGCAACCAGGATTCAACGCTCGCTCACGTGACTGGCGCTCGGTTGCCGAGGACGCGATGACGTCGCGCTGCTTGTTCGAGGCGGCTTCATGAGTCGGTTTGCCCAACAAAGACTTCAAGCACCTACGACTTGCGATCGCACAGTCTTCTTGCGCAGACATCTCATCCAGCTGACCACGGGGGTTTATCGCCATCCTGTGGCCCCGCGATCAGCAGCAGCATATCGATTGACAGCACAAGCAATAATCCAACCAGGACAAGATGGCGACCTCATCTACGTCGGCCACACAGCTCCTCTAGTAGGCTTCATCGGACATCCACTACCCCTCTGTTTTTGCATCAGGTCTAACGTAGCGGGCTTCAATCTAGCTCATGTATCGCGTACAACACAACGATTTTGGCAGAATGCATGACACCAGCCTCCTCGCAGGCCTCGTCTCTAGCCGAATCCATTCTCCCCCAGATAAAGCGCAGCGATTCCCCTCAGAAGTTGACGCATGACTATAAGGACCATCGCATTCACATCATTGCCGAATCGCCGCCCAGCGACAGAGGCGACTCTGCCGCTGGCACTCTTACGTTTCTCGTGGTCACCAACGGTTCCTCGCTGCGGCAAGCACCGTTTGATTATCTGGACAAGGTCCGCAAGCGCTTCTTCGAAGAGTTTCCCGAGAGCAGCAACTTCCCTGAAATGCCGCACTACGGCGCCGGATCGTTCAATGTAGAGCTGAGAAACCTGATGGTTGAGGCTGGCCAAAATGACGCCTTTAGCAATGCGAAGCGTGAAATCAACGACGCCACGGAGATCATGACTGCCAATATTGACACCATTGTGGCCCGAGGAGAGAATCTGAACTTGCTTGTTCACAAGACTAGCGATCTTAACAGCACCTCGCGGGACTTCAGATTCCGCAGCCGTGGCCTTAGCCGCCGAATGTGGTGGGAAAACAAGAGGTGGACGCTCATCTTGATTGTTGTTGCTTGTGCCCTCCTCGGGATCATATTCGGCATTGTTAAGGCGGCCGCTCCATGAGGCGCAAATACAATGGACACTGGGAGGCTGCAGACTAGCGCAGCAGTATCAGGCCTACAACGTCTGTGTTGTTGCTTTTTCCTTTTTTAATGTCTCTGGATATCCTACGGAGCCTTGGGTTGGTTAGGAGCGAGAGAGTATGACACCACCTGGATCCTATTGCGCGGTACTGCACACAGTCACTTGTATACTATCGGGTCGCGGGTGAAGGTGCGACTTTCTTCACGAGTGGTCGCCTAGCTTATCGAGTCTTGAAATACCCCTTCATTCACCTACGGACTGCGCCGCACACTCCAGACTCTTCTTGGCTCGCAATAAAGCGTTGTCCTTTGACATGTTGTAGATTAAAATTCCTGGCACCGCGAATGCAGCGGGCGCCAGATGTACCCGTGTCCCGCATCCAACGACTAGATAGACGCCAGGTCACCCAAACGCTTGTTGTCGCGTTGGCACAGCCGCGGCAAACACCACTCCAACCTGCCATCCGCACAGTGTCCACTGCTGCCAAAAGCACGTCTTGACTCCGTGAAATTTGCGCATATCGTGCTTGCCATCCATGACCTCTCTTGAACCTCATCACAATTTGGGGCTGTTTGTGCTATCCTTCTGAACCTCCTGATACACGTACCCGTGCGCGACAGGGCTGTTCGTCCCTCCTGTCCATGGACCCAGCGAAGCAGGCGATCTGCGTAATCTTTCCGTGAAGAAGACAGGGTGTCTCGTTGATGAGTTGTGCGTGTAGTGTTTGTCCCATGCCGCTTGGAGGGCAGGCGAGGCGGTGGCTTGTAGGGAAGGGGTGGTTGCGAATCCCATTTTGGGGCGAGAGAAATCAACTTCCTTGCATTCGCGAACCGATTCCAGATTGTGAGTCGTTGTGACAACCCAAATTGCAGCAGTTCAGGATTTTTCGTCGCTCGTGTCACAAGCGGCTTGGAGATCGGTTATAGTGTTGACATCTCAGATGGGAGACCAGAGGGGGCGTCGTCGTGCCGAGGCGCAGCATGACTAAGCGTTGGTGGTTGGAACTTGTGAAGTGGCAACCGACGACGGACGATCAACGTGCCCTCCCTCCCACGAGGATTTATTTGACGCCTAGTGTACAGATTCGATCCAAATCGCCCTTCATCTCAACTGGCGTTGCTTCCAGTGCAACAAGCGTACGCCGAGATGGCCAATATACGTCGCCTATAAACTCCAGTGCAAGTGTACAATGTAAACTGACCGTCAACCGAGTCGCGCCACACACCGCTTGGTTCTTTCAGAGTCATTCATTCGTTGTTCCAAAATGGTGTTTCAACTTTCTTCAACTCCGTGATGCCCTTGTATGCTCTTCGTAGAATTCCAACGTTAGCGCAGCCAGAAATCCAGGGATGCAGCCTTTCTCCCGAACCCAAAATCCTATTTGATCGCCTATTCGTCTGGCAAATGGACTCTTGGGACCGCCGCCGACCTTCATCGTTCCCCTCTCGCCGTCAAAGACGATTGAGTTCTCATGCTCATCGGTCTGCGATGGGAAAAAGGTGCTTTCAACCCTCATCTTACCATTGGGGATAAACGTGACGGTCCATCCCAAAGTAGAGAAAATGGCTTCTTTGAATTCTTGGGACTTGGAGGCCCAAACTTCCTTTAATCTTCTCGCTGATTTTTGGGCAGAGGCCGTCTCGGCCTTGGCTGCGGCAATCTCCCTCTCCATAGCACCAAGGACTGATGTTGGAATGACGGCTGCCGCCGGGTTGGGATGCTTGGATCGAAGTTGTAACAACAGGTCCGAGTTCTCGTTTTTGAGTGCCTCCAGGGTACTGCGCTTGATGGCTTCATAGTCCGAGGTGGGGTTTGACCTCAAGGACAAGACTCTTATCGAACTGCGCTCCTTTGCGGCGGCCAGTTGTTCCTTGTTTGTAGCGAGGTCTTTTTCCAACATGGTGACCTGTGTTTGTAACCCAGTGATATCTTCTTGAAGTTTCCTATTCTTGCGTGTCAGCTGGCCAATCTGCTCCTGCGCATCGTCATCTCCAGATCGAAAACGTTTAGTTCCTGATGAAGGATGCGAAGCTGAGGTTGCGGTTGCGGCAGCTTGTTCCGTAGATGACAGGTCATTATGAAGACTCTGGACTTCCGCCTTGTATTGATCAACGAGGTTTTCTAGTTCTTGAATCCGCGCGACTCGTGTTTCGTCGTATCTCTCGGGCTGCATGGTTTGATCCTCGTCGTCCAGGGTCTTGACTTGCGCCCGCAAATACTCGACTTCTTTAAGTGCTAGGATGCGTTGTCGGTCGATACGCTGGCGCGCCTTGTCTGTGGAGAGCATGCCAGTAGATGCCTCTGCGTTCTCCAAAAGGCCCTTCAGCCGCGCTACCTCCTCTTTCAATAGGTGAATCGAGTTTTCATGAGCGCTTGCTTCTGCCCGCACAGCTCCCAACTGTTCCACATAGGAAGCTGCTGTCAGGCGTTCTTCCATCAACGCTCTGGCCATTTCTTCAGGGGACTCGAACTCGTCATCGCCTGTACCGGAAGAATTCTTCAGATACGATGCCCAGGCGAGACGCTCGTCTTCCAACCGCTGTCGATGTAGCCTAGCCTCTGCCAGCTCCGTCTCCAGAGCCTCCGCGGACTCCAGCTTACGCTGTAGTGATCTCTTTTCCTCTTCCACAACTTCTACAGCCCTATTTACGGTCCTCAGATGTTTCAGCTCGCTCAACTGATCGCGGTTGGCGGCTTCCAGCGCCCTTGTGTGGTGAACTTGTTCGGACAGTTCCCTCTTGATGATTTCCATGGTTTCTGCATCCCCGCTTTGCGCTTTCAATCGGAGAACGTCTGCCTCCAGTTTAGCAATCTGAAGGTCCTTCTCCGCGACGATAGAGTGAGCTTGCTGAATATTCTCCTCTCTAGAATGACTTTCCTGTTCCAACTCTTGAATGGAAGTCTGGAGAGCAGTTATCTGCATCTGCATGTCGTTCATCTTCCTATCCGCAATTCTTGCTGAATCTCCCTTGGCCGTGGACAACTCCTCTAGCTGTTCTTGCAGCAAACGAGCCTCTCCCTGTGCCTCGCGAGCTTTGCGCTCCAGAGCTGAGACATGGGATTGCGATCGCTCGCGCAACTCTTCCATCTCTGCCTTGATGGAGCTCACCAATTCGGCAGCTTTGTCCTTTTCTGCTTCCGCAATCTGCCTCTGCTGCAACTCCTCCTGCTCGCGTCGTCGAGCTTGTTCCAATTTATTAGCCTGCTGAGATATGGCAATGTCCTTCTCCTGCTCGGCCGTTTGCATGCGGTATTGCAAAGTTCCGATTTCTGCCTTGAGCGCTTCTATTTCTTTGCGATATTTTTCGTACTCGTCTGCGTCTGGGGGTGCCATGTTTTCTTTCGAGCTATCTCGTGAACCAGGACGCACGATATCGGCCGCCTGGCTCTGTCTGGACGATGGTCGGGCATTGGACTCCGCGCCGTTTATGAGATTGTATGATGGTTGAGTCGCCCTAAATGAGGCTATCTGAGGATTGAGTGTTAGTCTTGTTCAAAAGGGCAACGTCTAACCGGGTTAATGGTCTGGTCGCGCAGAGCTGTGGAAACTCACCCTTGACCGAGCTTGCGGTCTTGGGGAGCTGGATGGCGCAGTCGCTCGCAGTCTACTCGACATTGTGCTTTTTGGACCGCGGGATGCAGCTGGCTCGCCCTCGCTGTGAGGTTGGCCTCGCATGTCTGATTGCACGCGCTTGCACTTCTTGTTGATGGTCAGTTGGATCTGCTGTGGGGCTCGCAAAGCCAGCGGTCGCGCGACCGCCTCTCGTGATCACGTGATGTCTTGCGCCCTCGGACGACGCGCACGGAGTTGAGAACGTAGTCGACACGAAGCTTAATGCTGGTGCTAGGATTTCCACGGCAAAGCTTAGCTTCACAAACTGCCGTCGCTGGGGCTTCTTATATGTCTGGTAAGATCCAACAAGAAAAGCTGCAAAGCCCAGTGCGACGTGCATATTGCTACATACCTACCTGGGCAGTTGAGTACCTAGGGGGGTAACTATATAATGTTTCTTTCGGCTTCCAACTTACCCTCAAGCCCTCCAAACTGATGATGAGATCCCTCGGTTGCGTGGTAAGTAGTCAACTTGCTTCCAATGAAAGCCCCTCTCGAAGACGCGGCAAGGTCCATTCCACATGTTGCATCATCAAGATTGGCCATTCAAGGTAGAACTGGCTGGTGTGGAGTTGATACACAAGATACCGGCCTGAAATACTTCCCTGCACATAGCAACGCTCACGAATCACTAGTTCCCAGTAGAATACTGGATGCTGTCGCCCAGATCCAAGAAATCGGCAGGAATCTAAAACGATTAGTTGAGGAGGGAAGGGTGAGATACAGAAGATTGTAGACAAATTTGTACACCATTCTTCATTTTGACTAGTGTTAGAGTGACCTAGGCTGCGTAATGGAGTATTGCAATACATGACATGCCAGCAGTCTCACAACTAAATGGGGACGAGTCGCCGCGTGATAATGATACTCCATAAAATAGCAGAAAGAATAGATGGGAATACAAATTCAGTTTTCATCGACAGTCAATATTCTTGTAGTACTGCTTGCATTGTTTAAAATATTCACCTATTTTACGACCCTCACTACAGCCCTACCTCTTCGTGGCAGAACCCGACGCCCCTGAGGCCGATCCTGATTTCTTGTTAGGATCAGGGTTCCTAGCAGAGTAGACAAAGGGATTACATAGAGCACTTGCTGCAACTCTATAGATAGCTAAGTTAGTAAAAATAACTATATTAATCTCTAAACCTCTTCTTCTCTTAGTATAAACTCCTCTTTTTTTATATATATATAGTTACTAGCTACTACTTTATAGCTAATTTAGTAGCTACTATACTATTATATTAAAGTAAATTAAAGTTAAATATACTTTATATACTTTTAATTACTTAAATAAGTATTAAGTTTTTAATAAAATTTCTCTTATTAACTATAGCTATATTTAGTTATAATAAAGTAGTTATAA